CCCTTTTTAGTAATATTATATAGGGGTATAGTAATTTTTCTATAGTTCTTAATAAATTATTAGTAGTAGTTAGTAAATCCGAGAAAGGCTTATACTTCCTTAATAGTTTTAGATACTTCCTATTCTTTAACTATAGTAATCTTATCTTATTCTATTTATATTTTATTTAGTTAAATAGTATATCCTAAGAAGTTAACTTCTTATATATAGAAAAAACTTTTTTCTAGTTCTATAAGAAGTTTTATTTCTTTTAATTTTTCTAAGACTTAGTATATATACTCTTTATATATTTCCAGGTTATTAGAGAAAATTAAGATATTATTAAGGTAGATAATTATAAAGATATTAAGATACTCCTGGAGTACTTGGTTAATTATTTATTAGAATATTATAGATATATTTATTAATCCGAAGGGTATAATAAGATATTTATAGAGGCTAAACTTTATTCTAAATACTATTTTCTATTTATCTCCTTCTTTAATTTATATCAGATTATAAGCTCCCTTTAGATCTAGTACTATAAACTACTATTTATCTTATAACTAATCCCTGAGTTTAGTAATTAGTAGTAAGGGTATCCTATCCTTCTGTATAATCTTATTCAGCTATTAATAATTAATAACTAAATAGAGTTTATAATCTAGAAATATATAAAGAATATATATATTAAGTTTTAGAAAAACTAGAAAAAATAAAACTTTTTATAGAATTAGAAAAAAGTTTTTTCTATATATAAGAAATTAATTTTTTAAAATATACTATTTAACTAAATAAAATATAAATAGAATAAAATAAAATTATTATAATTAAAAAATAGAAAATATTAAAAACTATTAAGAAAATATAAGCTTTTCTTAGATTTATTAATTATTATTAATAATTTATTAAGAATTATAGAAAAATTATTATATTTTTATATAATAATACTAAAAAGAGAATAAAATTCTAATAGAATAATAAATAATAATAAGTATTTAATAAAATTAAAAACTAAATACTCTTAGAACTTATATTATAAATATTTAATTCTATAAGAAAAGTAGAATTTAAAACTAATATATTAAACTTTATAATTAGTATATAAATTAGCTAAAGAAATAATAATAAAGTATTATATTCTATAGTATTCTTCTTAAAGAAACTATATAATATAGAACTTAATTACTCTATTTATAATAAGGAATTTATAGCTATTATATATATATTTAAAGAATTTAAATATTATTATTTAGAAATAATATATAAGATTAAGATATATATAGATTATAAGAATATTTAGTATTTTATTATAATATAATAACTAAATAGAAAATAAATATATTATATTAAGTATTTATTTTAATTTAATTATAAAATTATATATTAAAAAGAATTAGAAAATAAAAAAGTAAATATTTTTAATTAAAAATCTAAATATAAGAAAATAGTTTTAAAAATAAATAAATAGTTATTTTTAACTAATAATAAAGAATACTTAATATAGAAAACCCTAGAAATAATATTTATAGAAATAGTATATATTAAGATCTAGATAGAGATTATTTCTAGTTTAGAAAAATTATAATAAGATATTAAAATAATATTTATTAAGAAAATCTATAAGTATTTATTTTTAGAATATTAAGAAATTAAGAAAATATTTAATAGAATTAGATAATATTATAATTATTTAAATCTATAGAAAGAAATATAAACTATAGTTTTAGAATATAATATTTATATATAAATTAAATCTATATATTATAAACCTTATAAAGAATTAAAATTAGTTCTAATATTAAAATAACTATAGTAATTAATATTTTTTAATTATATTATTAAATTATTATTATTAAAAGAATTTATAATTAGAATAAAATATAATAGTATTTTAATAGTTATTAATAGATTTATAAAATATAGATATTTTATTCTATATAAGAAAATAAGCTTTATAAAAGATTTTATATATTAGTTTTTATAATATATAGTTAGTTACTATAGATTATCTAATAAGATTATATTAAATAAAGAAATAATATTTATCTCTAAGTTTTAATAATTATTTATAATATAAATAAGTACTAAATATAAGCTTTTAATAGCTTATTATTTATAAAGTAATAGTTAAATAAAATAATTAAATTAAACTCTAGAATAATATCTATAAATATATATTAACTATAAATAAAATAATTAGATATAATTATTATTAATAATATAGATTATTGATAATAGTTTAATATAAAAATCTATCTAGCTAATATTTATATATATAAATTATAATTATAAGCTGTAATTTTAGAATTAATTAAAACTTAATAGATCTAATATACTAGTTACTATATTAATAAAAGAAATACTATACTTATTATATATAGAGATAAAAATAGAATTTAAATTTATCTAAAAAAAAATAAAAAAATACTATAATAAAATCAGATTAAAAAAACTAATTCTAAAGAAAAAAGATAAGATTTATCTATTTTATAAAAATATTATAATAATAAGATTAAATAATAAATTAAACTATAAAAAACTTAGATTATTTAAAATTTTTAAGAAAAAATTAGATATTAATTATAAACTTTTATTACTAAATATAATATATATCTATCTAGTTTTTTATATTTTATTATTTAAAAAAGTATTAAAAAGTATACTAGATTAAGATTATCTAATTAAAGTTTATAAAGAAAAATTTAAATTAGAAAAAATTCTAAAAAAGAAAGTTAGAAATAAATAAATATTCTACTTAGTTAAATAGAAAGAGTATATTAATAATAATAATATATAGAAACCTATTAAATATCTAAAGAAGTACTAATACTTATTTACTAGTTCTATTAGAAGGAAAAAAAAAAGCTAAATTAGAAAAATCCTCTTTAAAACCTAATAAATTTAAATCTATTTTAAAGATAATCTTTAAAAACTAGACTTTTTTTAAAATATATTATTTAGAAGCCTTAAGAAAGTTAAAAGCTTAATCTAAAAATAATTACTTTTTTTTATTAAGCTCTTAGAGATTATACTAAATTTTCTACTATATTTTACTCTTAATATATCTATATATTTTATAAATATACTAAATATATTCTAGAGTAGTAAATAGATTATTTTAGAGTTAAATTATTTATTAATATAAAAAAAGAATCTTTTTATCTATATTAGATTTTTTTTTAATTAGTTTTTTATATTATATTATTAATTTTTCTATTAAAAATAAGAATTAGAAGGATATAGATAAAGTATATAAGAAGAAATATATAGTTAGATATAACTAGTACTCTATTATAATAATAACTATTTTATATATACTTATTATATTAGAATAACTTTCTATTTAGAAGAATAAAATACTTTTTTTTTACTTTAAAATATAGAATATATAATATATTAGCTAGAAAACTAAATATTTAAATAATAATAATAAAAAGAATTTATTTATAAGTCTTAGAGTATATTATTTTTTAAATATAATTAGATATAGTAAATATTATAATATAATTATTATATATAAAAAGAGAAAGAACTTATTAAAATTATATAGAATCTTAAAAATAAAACTAATAGAGATAGAGTATTATATTATAAATAAAAATCTCTATAATAGATTATATAGTTATATATATTCTACTATTTAAAAAATAGAAATAATAAAAGTATTATACTTCTATTATAGAATAAGAATAGATTATTAGAAATAATATACTTTTTATACTCTATAAATATTATATATATATATTTATTTTATTAGCTAAAAATACTTTTTTAGATAGTTATTAATATAATTATCTATATATCTATTATTACTAGCTCTATAATATTTATATATTAATAGTAATTTATATTATATAGCTTAAAATAATCTAATTATACTATTTAGAATAATATTCTAATTAGTTTAACTCTAATCTACTCTAGACCCTATTTAGTATAAGTTATTTAACTATTATACTATTTAGTTTATTATTTTATTATATAGTTTATTATTTATAATTATTATAATTATTTTTTATATTTATAAATATAAAAATTTTTAATAAAATTATATTAAAATTATTAATTATTATAATTTTTAAAAATAATAATATTAATTAAATAATAAAATTTAAAAAGTTTTAATAAAGAAAAATTTCTTAATAAGTTTTAATTATAATTAGTTTTAATTTATATTTTTATTTATTATAATAATAATTTTTTTAAATATTTATAATAATATAATTTTATTTAAAATTTAAAAAAATAGAAATTTAATATATATAATTTTTATTTTATTAATATTTATTAAAAAATAAAAATAAATTTTTAAAAGAAAAAAAAATATAAATATATATTAAAATCTAGTTTATTTTTATAATAAATAATTATATTTATAAATAGTAAATCTAGAATTTAATAAAATATATAAAATAATTATTATAAATTAATAATTATTTTAGAGAAACTAAGATAAATAAACTCTAGAAAAAATCTATATCTAAAGTTAATAAGAAACTCTATCTGCTTTTACCTAGTTAAATAGATAAGAGGTAGATTAGTAGTTAGGTCAGTAATAACCAGCAAATACCTGCTGTTATATGTTCTTTTTTAGCCTTTATGACCTCGATTTTGCCTGCTGTAGTTATGAGGGCTCTCCAATGCTTAGATTGTGCCTGACAGTTACTATCGTTATAAGCTCTCTGAGTAATTCTATTTCTCTTAGGAGCCCCTGTAAGTGCTCAATTCCTCTGTCAGCACTCTTGAATCGCCTCGACCTCGTATCTAGGAGGATGCTATGTATAATGATGTTCTATTAGCGAAACGAGTGCCTGGCATAAAAGGTGGCGGAGAAGAATAGGCATTCAGTCTGAGCCGACGACAGTGGCGGTATTGAATTGATGCCAGTATGTCCAGTGATTAATGCCTAATGTCCACGATTCTCCCCAGGGTGAAAAGCCTGAAGTTTGTCTGTGAAACCAAAGTTCCGCAATCCATCACCAGGAGTATAGATAGCTCCACCCAAAGCTACGGCAGCAAAGCCATGTCTCGGAAGTGCCATTGGCTCTAAGCTTTCCCAGCAGTCCCCAGGGACGTTGTAGACCTCTGTCTCGTTATGTACAAACCCAGTGGACTGGTCCGAATTCTCGCCACCAAATGCATAGATTCTATCTCTAATAACAGCGACGGAAATGCCTCCTCGGGCTGTGGACATCGGACTGCGCTCGCTCCAATTCCACGTCTTCAGTGAGAGCACGAAGACGGTATCCATGTTATTCTGCGGCCCCTTAATGCGGCCTCCGACGACGTAGAAGTTCTGCCCGATGACGGCGCCGCCTGCGTGCTCGCGACCTTCCGAGAGAGGAGGCAGAGACCGCCACGAACGCTTTTTGATGTTGTATGCGGATACGGTAGCAACAGTATCTTGAATCCCGTTGAGGGCTTGTTCGCTCCTACTAACGCCGCCGGCGAGGATAATCTCATCGCGGTAGACGCCCACAATGGAACTGCCTCGACCGGTCCCCTCGGGAAGAGGTGGGAGAGCCGACCAGGCGTCGGTCAAAGGGTCGTATTCGAATGCATCGGTGAGGCCCCAGAATGATCCATTGGTATTCCCCGAGAGGCCACCCAGGGAGTAGAGCTTTCCGCCCGTGGACGCGATATTCGGATGGTTGACCGGAACTGGGAGAGGCGCGGCAGGTGTCCAAGTATCGCTGTCAACATCGTATGCCTCCATTGAGTTAACAGTGGCAATTGACGAATCCTCCATAGGAACTATGCCGCCGACAACATAAATCTTGCGGTCGATAGCGGCGGCAGCGTGCTCCTGTCTCAAACCCATTCCGAGAGGCGATAGAGTTTCCTAACTCCCTCCACTGCTTGGCGCGCACTGAGGAAAGGCAGAAGCAAAGTTGAGACTTGTTGATGCCAGAGCGGCGGAAAGTGCGCAGATAGATACGAGGTTATAGGAATTCATTTTTAACAAGTTCAATGGTGAAGATCTGTGAATTTGAAGACAAATAAATCCCTCAATAACTTAGCAAAATAGTGCCCGAAGGTCCCAGAATCTGGTTCAAATGCAGAGGAGGGGCAGACTGCACTAATATCAGATCCGTTTATAGTACTTTGTCCTTTTAGCTGTCGTATAATAGAATAGAGAAAATCGCGGAGGAGTACAAGGACTTTTGCGGAGGACTAGGTCTAAACCCCGAAACCGAAACCGAAATCGAGACGCAACAGTGTTTCAATCAGCAAAAGGGAAGGTGGATGGACTCTTTCCTTGGCCTTCTCCTCCGGAGATCTCATCCAACCAGAACTCTCAGCATGAAACGTCCTCGTTAGGGGTTAAGAAACGGAACCTTAAATCCTGGATATAGCAGAAGTGTCCGTCCTTGTCAAATGGGGGGGATCACTGTTTGACCTCAAAAGTGTCGTATGAGAACTCTATCTCTGGTCGGTGATTGCACGTTGGAATTTGTTGAAGTATGGCTTGTGTAAACAAGCTGGCGGCGTCTTCTCCGCAAACTGTAAACCCAAGCTTACGGATACTCTTGAGTAGTAAAAAACTTTCAAACAACATGATTTCTTTGATTATGCAAGTACAACGGATATTTCTTGAATTTCTTTTTTAATAAAACCTGCATGTAGACTTTCTAGGCCTTGAAACCGCATATTGTGAGCAACGGTTGAGTCTACAGGGTAGGTCACATATGTTGATATGGCAGCCGGCGAATGACTCATCTTTTGAAATGAATCTGCCTTGGCTAACGCGTGTCAGCCTGCCACCTAAGCTTATATTCTAGTCTCGTTATCAATGAATCCTTCAATTCCTCATCTGTTTCTCGTCTCTCTAGACTGTGAAATTGAGCAGGCGCTTTGCAACGCCATCTTGTCGAAATGCCGAAGAGAAAGAGAGCCGCCACTCCTGAGGAGCCCGTAGACAGCGATGGCCCTATCTTTTGGTACGGCGTTGATCACAAGTACGGCGCGTTCAGTCAGTTCTTCCCAGCCACGTTCACCGTACCCAAGGCCGACATCCTCAGAGTCGTGGGCCATACAGTCCCATCCCCATCGGCAGAGCAGAAAGAAGAGCTCGTTACGTTCAATAGGGCCGAGCAGTTCATGATGTACAGCAAAGCCATTTGCTTCCATGACCCCAAGTCTGCCGCACTCATTCTACGATCGCAGAGCCCGAAAGAGCAAAAATCACTCGGCCGCAAGGTGGAGAACTTCACCGATCAAAAATGGAACGCGGTCAAGAGGCAAGTCGTCGAGCTCGGCAGCACCGCCAAGTTTGGCCAGAACGAGGATTTGCGGGCGATGCTGTTGGGGACAGGCGATCGTGAATTGATTGAGGCAGCGCCGAGGGATCGAGTATGGGGAATTGGCTTTGGGGAGAAGAGGGCGAGGACTATGACGAGCCGTGAGAAATGGGGGCAAAACTTGTTGGGGAAAGCTTTAGTGAAGGCCAGAGAGAATCTGCGAAAGGGTGAGGAGGAAAGCAAACCTGATGGAGAATAGTTAGATTCATGCACCTACCTTTTGCAACCCTTTTGGATTTAAATTGTCCCTGTTTTGGAATAAGGGCTTGATTGAAGCAGATTGAAGTTGGTGTTTTCAGGTACAAGATTGTGTAATTTTTGGTCTTTTGCAATAGTCCTTGCCTTTTCCTCCATTTTAGGTTGCCTCTGATAAGATTGGTATCAGCATTTATTGAAGATGATACTCCATTGCCATATTTTTCGTGAGTCAATCAACATCTCGTGTTTCAGAGTGGGAATGTCGGACTAGAATGAGCCCTGTTCTCTACACCAATTAGTGATTATATAAATCGATGGTTCTGTTCACGTGTAATGGCTAGTCACGATAATTCACTATTGATACATTAGATGCCAAATACATTGCCCGGAGGATAGGCTATGGCTAGGTGCCTTAAAATGGCAGACAGATTTGGGGCCATGGGAGTGAAGAGATGCTGCAAGATTACTCTATTTGAAGACTCTCCCTCCCCATGTCTGGTGCTTTCATCTGCAGCCTCACTACTCAAGCCACTATCTTCTACCTTCATTTTTCCTGCGGGATCTTAAACCCCGAAGTTCGCAGCCTTTGGAAAACTCTATTGGGATCGTACTTTGCCGAAGCAGCTTGCAATTTGCCAAGTGCCTCCTCGCCAACTGTGGTAATTGCATCCTGACTCCCGTGCGCGTAATTCAGGTACTTCCACTCCCGTCCCAGGCCCAGTTCCTCCGCGTAAGCCTCAACATCTCTCACGAGCGCCTCAGCCTTGGGTATCGCTAGCCGCTCTATCTCAGCGTCGTCTGTAGATACAATAAGCAGGAACAGGATACCGTTTCCATCATTGAGGTAGCGATCTAGGCCCATAACATTGCCCCCCTTGGCAATGCTCTTCTCAACGATGGATTTCGTGACCGGTTGGACGGTGTAGACCGTTGTGAAGTTTGCGCTTAGGGTCTGGGTAATTTCTTCGAGTTCGGCGTTGAGTTTATTGGCCTTTTCGAGGGCGTATTTCATCGGTCGTGGGTCATTGTTGAATGATGCAGTGATGAACATATTGCTGCCACCCCGGTCAACTGATGAATGCCGATACCATCTTTTCTTGTGGATGATTCAAACTTACCGGAATCCCATGGGTTGACCCTCCGAGAGCTCTCTGGAGAGTGCCGACATGGTGTCAACCCTGGTGGTGTCGTTTAGGACGGCCCCGATCCCGTAGAAACCGTCAAAAGCCGGTGGATTGCTCAGAGCGAGAGTGTTTTCAATGGAAACCAGACCTACCAGACCTCCCGCTAACTTAGGCTGGTACGAGAAGGACACACTGACCGAACTGTTCTCGTCTTGGTACACATTATCAGTAAAGTCTACCAAAGCGTTGATAAGATCACTCCCCGACTCCGATCCAAATATCAGATTGCCTCCCCAGATAGTCCCCTTCGAGGGACCAACAAGCTCAATCGGGCGCATATCGAAGCGTGTAACAAGACCCAGGTTGGCGCTACCTCCCTTGAGAGCCTGCCACAAGTCCGGATTGTCCTGGGCATTGGCGTAGACGATGGAGCCGTCAGCAAGCACCACCTCGTAGCTGGCAATGTTGTCGCAAGCCCATCCATGCGAGGCGGCGAAGAAGGAGATGCCACCGCCGCTGAGCAAGCCACCCACGCCGACAGAGCCGACACGGCCTCCTGCGACGGTGATGCCGTGGGGCGTGAGCACGTCGTATACGTTCTGCCAGCGGCTGCCGGGTTGGATGGACACGAGACCTGTATCTGGGTTCCAGGTGGTACCGTTCATGTGGCCTGAGATAAAATACCATTAACAATGCACGATGTGTCGTACTGGAACTATTCTCGGCGTTTTCAACATACCAAAGTCTATTGTGACGCCCTTCTCGACACTGTTGGAGAGAGGATGCGAGCTATGCCCGCCGCTCCGAACGCCAAAGGGGCAGTCATTCGCTACCAAAGCCTTGACAATGAGTGACACGTCTTCGGCTGTTGAAGGCAGCACCATGCACCAGGGCTCCAAAGCGGCACTCTTGGAGAAGTAAGTCTCGATTCGGTCTGCGTAGGCATCTGACCCGGGCAAGTAGACCTCGCCACGGAGCTCAGCGATGATTTCGAGCGCATTGCACTATATGGTATTTCTTTATTAGTATCCGCTTAAGCTGCGATGTGCAACCCCAACGTAGTAGAAAGAGGAAGGGGTTATATAAACATACACAACGCGGGATGCGGTTTTGGTTTGCTGCTGCAAAGGCAACAATTCCACCAAGGATTGTAAGAATATTGAACAACATAGCTATCTGATATTGCGAAAGTAGTTAGGATTGAGATCAGGATTGGATGTATATTTGTGGCCTTGTGATGTTCGATCAATACTGTCGGCGGCTGGCTACTTATAGATGGGCTGGATCACTGGCAGCCGACAAGATACCTCCCAAACTCTGCGAGGTAGGAAAATCTTTGGTGGTCATTGCAGATCTTCCAAAACTGAGGCTGAATGCGACGAAATGCGACGAATGCGAAGGCCATTGGGCCCCAGAGCCTTTGGCCAGTCTGACGTGTGTACCCAGCATTTATGAATCTGACATCTGTGGGCGGTGATCCATACTAATTGAAATGCAAAATTCATGAATGTAATTGGATTGGGCACCTGTTGATGTTGTAGCTCCGACATAATGCTCGGCCCGAGACTTTAGACTGCCTACATACTCTCGGTATCGACTATGAAGGCCAAGGTGGTCGCAACACTCGGCTTTGACAGGCAAACAAGATATTGCAAGTATAAATATGAACCAACCAGACAATAATTAACCCTCTCATCTACCTCTTCCTGCACAGTTAGCCCATTTGCCAATGCCTCAAGTGCTAACGACAAGGTTCGCGGCCACAGAGCTAACATTGGGGCCAAACTAGTCAATTGAGCGATAAGGAGATCAGTCCATTCTCTTCAGATTCCAGTCTAGCTGTCAGACTTGGCTGAGGCGATCCCTTCCTGTCTCGTCAGTTTCCTCGCTTCGGCAATGCGACGTGCATTGCCAAGTCACGAGGTCAACAATAGCCATGAGACGGAGGGAAAAGCCGGAGTAGCTGGCTTTTGGTACGGAACATATTATCTATTAACGGTGTCAACTTGTGAGATATAAATAAGGCCTCATCGTGCGGAGATCAACATCACTTCGACATATAAAAACTACTGGGCGAACATCTTCAGCTACATTTACATTGAATTTTATTCTTCACGGCCGGCAAGATGTCCAAATGCGAACTTTGTGATGGTCAAGGCATTTACGGTACTACATGCCCTACCTGTGGCCATGAGCCGAAGAAATAGGGCAAAGTGGCATTTTCTGAGGAATTTCAAGGTGAGCTCTTACCTCCTCCCACTATCACCTCAGTTGCTAGTTATGAGTGCCAGTGTTAACAAATTAGTGAGTTCACATCTAGCCGAGTGTTGGGAACGGGCTGTCTTGGAACTTTTTGACACTGTTTACGTCGCCGACTGGATATGTAGAAACAAATCTATGCATCTGTGCGCGCGTAACATGTGCATTGGTGCGCATTGGAACAATAGTTGTGGCATAGGTCTATGAGAAACAAGTGTTGTCATCTTTCAAGCTTATCGCAACAACTACGCATGTGACGAGAACCACTCCTTGCCTTTATTACGCCACTATCGACCCATGCTGGCCAAGGAACGTTACAGTCGTCCACGAATTCGGAGGCTGTGGGTTGTCCACGTATCCGGGGGCTGCCCACGCATCGGGGCTGTCCTGCTTAGATCATCGCCATGCGCAACGCTTCGGGGTGGTCCGGTACTTTATGAGACCGCTTGCGACCCTGCACCACTGTCTTGATAGACGAACTATAGGGAGGCTTTACTGTGTGTGGGGGGTCGCTGCGTCGTGGTATCCCGCTGCATGTATTGGGAGTTTGTTCAGGGTGCGTGTGGTTCCTAGCCACCAGAAATTGGGCCATTCATCATCTGTCACAGGCTGGTAAACTCTAGTACATGGAATGGAGAAGTGGTTCTGTGACGGGTGTCCCGAAGCCACACCAGGATATTTGCTGAGTTGATGGATGGCCCCCATTCTTTGTCCGTCAGATTGGCAATCAACTGCGGCAAAGTGACACAGCGAATTTGGTGCCTTTCTACAATGATTGAATTTCCCTTAATTTACTTGCTCACTTTCAGCACCATGACCGGGCCGTGTTTGGCTGCTTTTTGCATCTCCTCTATGCTCAGAGGCACCAGCAAGATTTCAGATCCGAGAATTCTTTGGATTTCCGCTATTTTCTTGTCGAACTTACTTGTAATGTTACAATAATGTTCGGAGACGCCAGGTGCAGGTGAAGACAAAGTGGCTCGGCTTCCACGTATCCTTAGTCCCCAAGTCTTTTGTATTGAAGCATAAACATGTATAACCTACACTAGCCAGATGAGGCCAATTTATGTATGACCAGTGGCTGGAGTCATGTTTGTCCTATAACATCCGCTACTTGAATGGTCATTTAATCATGACATGCTACTCTGGCATGCGATTTAAGCACCAGGGATAGAACGCCGTATATGCAGTCATGCTTAATTTCCATCATGCTCAATATGTTCTCAACATGTTTCAAAGTAGATTCCAAATCCTTTCGCTAGATAACGAAAGAGTCGCAGAAGCCGCTTGTCAACACTACTAATTGGCTTGAAATCTATATTATGCTAAGACTAGAAATCCCGTACAGTTTATTTTCTTAGTCTCTGAATATTACAGCGTGATATTAGGCCACCAAAGTAGATGAAATTAAAGGGCTGCGTTTACCAGGTGCATGACCCATGGCTGCAAGTTATCAGATCAGAGATGGAAAAGATGCTGCCATAGGGTAAGACCATTTCTCGCGTATCATATCTATCGCCTCTGCAGGAGTTGAGTGCGCCGTAAATATAGTTTTTGTATATAATTTCTTTAGACTAGGCCTGAGGTCACTCAAAAACCTGGTAAAGCACATATTGAGGTTGAACGGCGGCCAAGTTGTACCGTCACACTGTATCACTTATTACTGCAAGGATGAAAATGTATCACGTCTGTGTACCCAATCATTGTTTCCGATTGGCATAGAATTATTAGCTGCTCCTCGCCATCCCCTGGACTGTAGGCTCAAAATTCTAATCGTTTCCAGCCGTCAGAAAACAAGAGGGCAAAGGTAATACATCACGCATGAGAACCAGACCGGGTAAAGATTCATTTCACAGCAATGGAGACTCAAACCCCTCTGGATAGCCGATGATACGTCATGAGAAGACTGGTTCGTGGTCTTAGGCAAGCTAACTATCGCTCATTGAAACTATGGGTTCCAAGTTGTCCAGGTTTCGAAACAAGATCCCAGCTACTCTCGTGTACTTATCCTCTAATAAGATCCAAAACGGAATTCTCAATGTCGATTAAACTCTAGACGCGGCGAATTGCGTGTGTTATTATTTCTGTCGTCATTTTCCTCCGAATGTGGATGCATTTTAGGGAGTTCGGAGCGCAATCCCGTACTCTCCCACTCCAACCCTTAGTGAAATGGTATATTTGGAGCCTGATTGCTCTTTGCTTGGTTCCAGTTAGTTTCAAACGTGAGACCCCACAGATCATCGTCCTCACTGACTCGACAATGTGGGGGAAAAGCTTGTTGAGAGAAATCCGACGCCAATTGGCTGCTCTCATTAATCCTGCCACCTTAATATAAGTCTAGATATTAGGCTTGACGTGGCCCTGCCCGCGGGTGAGGGGCTGAGGCTCATGGGTTGCCTCCTTGCCACATTCCGTGAAATAAAAGTTCCAAGACACGAGACATGATGACCCAATGAAAGCTTTCAATCTTGACTGACTGGGAAAGGATCAACTGAAGGGCGGGGTGTAAGAGATAACTTGTCGGAGGTTATTCCCCTCTATGTAGCGGTGGATGTCGTTCCGTGTAATTCAGTGGAACAAGCTTTCAAACAAGCTTTTCTCAGTTCCAGAGTTGCAGGGAACGAGTTGGCTGCCTCTTTTCTCTGGGGCTGGCGCTTGCTGTTTCATAGGCACTCCTGAAGTGTTGCATTGCACTGCTATCAATCGCTAATGTGGTTACGTATGCAACTGGCCAATGGGATGGTTATCATGTAAAACTAAACCAGGTTGGTGTTTCAGGTTTCCACTGGGAGAGGTTGTGCTGACGAATGCCTCTGTCCTTGAAATGTGGGAACCAACCACCGATCTTCAAAATGTTATGCTTCTTTTTATGAAACAACGCTTGTGTAAGAACGGTGCGAATATATTATGTAGTTTGCATAGTGCGGGAATTGAGACAGCAGAAAAGACCACAGGAGAAGATGAGAATACAAGGAATGGGAAGAGCGTGCGCAGCGTATATAAAGTGTGTAGCATCAAAGGAATAGCAACCGCCGCTATTGGGAGGCCGCCTCAACCCAGCATTAAGATGGGAATAAGGGATGGAACAGGCTTTCAAACGCCCCCTGCACCCGGAACTGCTGAGCAAACGTCATGAGATGGGAGATGGGGGTATGTGTGATACGAGATTTCACCGGCAAGTGGGAGGATACCCCTGACTGAACCCGATCGTTAGAATCGGAGTGCTGACGGCGGTTGAACATAACGGAAAGATTTCAATCGACCTCAGCTATAAAGCCCTCGATCATTCCTGTGGATGAATATTGTTTTGACTGTCTTCCCTACCCTCCTCAACAATCTCATCCTTTCGTTCTTCCTTAGAGCTCATCCTATCGTTACAAGCTGTGCTTGAACATCTCGCGATATACTCTGAACCAGATCCTCAAGCCGGCTTGACTACTGGACTATTCCCGCATTTACCTGGTCACATTTTTTATCCCAAATCAACAAGACCAACACTCCCTTCAAGATGCAGTACCGTATGATCATGGTGGCCTCGATGGCCCTTGGCACCGCGCACGCCTTCCCCGCCCAACCGCAGATCACGCAGGCTCCCAAGGCTACACGCGACCTCTCTAAGCGTCAACAACCCGATGCTGCCGGCAGCAGTGTTCTTGACGCCCCAATGACCATCGCTGCTGGTCAATCTTTTGATGGTGGCAACGTCATGTACGATCGCGGTACTAGCTGCACAGGCCAATCCGAAGGAGGCAGCTCTGACGCTGTGTTCATCCTTGAGAGCGGCGCCTCTCTCTCCAACGTTATCATCGGTACGTGACCATTTAGACTTTTTCTTCCTATACTGGAATGACTTGGCTGACAACTTCCCTTGCAGGCCCTAACCAGATTGAGGGTGTCCATTGCAACGGTGGCTGCTCGATCACCAACGTCTGGTGGGACGCTGTTTGTGAGGATGCCTTCAGTATCAAGGAACAGGCTGATGGAGAGACTACTACCATCAATGGTGGTGGTGCTACCGGTGCTAGCGACAAGGTCATCCAGCACAATGGCGGTGGGACCGTGTCCATCACCGATTTCACTGTCTCTGACTTTGGAAAACTCTACCGGAGCTGCGGCAACTGCGATGAGATGCCTGCACGTCATGTAATCGTTTCTGGTGGCTCGGCCACCAACGGTGACATCCTCGTTGGCATTAACTCCAACATGGGCGATACAGCCAGCATCTCTGGCGTTACTACCAGCGGAGTCGGCGAAGAGTGTGTTGACTACGAGGGCGTCACTGATGGAAGTGAGCCAACCAAGATCGGCGCCTGCTCCAACGTTGGTGGAGGTGGTGGCTCTGGCGGATCGAGCAGCGCGGCCACCACTCCAGCTGCTACCCGCACTTCGGGGACTGGTTCCTCTCCCACGTCTGCCTCTGGTGATGACGAGGAGAAGACAACGTCTACCTCCAAGTCTAGCTCTTCTCCTACATCTTCCAGTGCCGATGATGAGGATGAGAAGGCTACCTCTACATCCGAGTCTTCTTCCAAGCCCACTGGTGGGTCTGATGATGAGGATGAGAAGGACGAGGACGAAAAGAAGGATAAGGACGAGGGCAAGGACAGGCAGAAGAAGGAGTAAGATGATTAAATGGTATTCTTCGGTATTTAGCTTGGCTAATCTCTGTCTTTCACCGTCTTGGTACTGTCGGCAGCCAGAGTCGGATACCCGCTAACTGGCCCCTGTTTATCATTTTTCATAGAGCGATGTATGACCGTCATGGCCGTTCATATATAAGTCCAATACTTCTTGTCTTGGATGACTGTCAGACAATGGTAATATTACAGTTGCTATCCTCAACCCTTATGAATTTCTTCGTGGATAATGTCGTATAATGTTGTCTAAGCCCTCTTCCTCCCTCCCTCCCAAGTTAGAGAAAGTTTATAGACAAATTATCCCACACCCGCATTTCAAACACTCTGTACGCGCGCGGCAACTCATCGCTAGAAAGAATTTTGTGATTCATCATTTTGATTGCAGCATTAATCCCGCGGATTGTAACCTTCCTGGTGAAGCGGAAAGGGAACACACGTAAGCACGCTGGCGGAGGGTATCACTCTTTATAGAATCAGCCGAATGTGACTTTCAAGTCCCGAAATACTACTGTGTTTACGCCTCGAGGATTCCTAGTGGCTTATCTCCCGCAACCCATGCCGATTTATGTTTCATGCAACCACTGTAACCATCAAAGGGTGTATGCTCACGATTTGTTGGAGGGTACAAGGTCGACGCAAGTGAAGTACAGACTGTCTGAAATTAAGACTGGGGACATCAGTGTCGCTGACCAAAGGGGTAATATCCAACGAGACGATGGCAGGGTTGACACCTTCTTGCCTCTGCTTATTCCCGCAAAGGGAGAAGGCAAACTGGCTTGTTGCGCCATGTGACGAATGGACGCCTCGCCAGTCACTGGGTGGTAAGATGGGCGACCCTACATGGTTCTCTTTTTCCCAATCAGATGAAAATGTGCTCTGACTAGTCCTCTGTTTTGGCAACTTGGCGCGGTCTCGGAAGTCCTTGGTTTCTTCGAATAATCAGACTCTACAGAGCTACTTTTTTCAGGCAAAAGGCGAACTTTGCTTAAAACAAGCATCTAGTTAATCAAATAATATGGTGCTCTTTGTCCTATAAATATGATGAGTTGGTCGGTCATCATGCATTAAACTTTATCTCCGGTGGGAATGGACCTTTTGTCCCAAAAGTTTAGGCACACTCGTTCCTCCGATAAGAAATTAAAAATATGTCCGACAGCAGGTCGAAGAGAGGGTGCGCCAGGCACCGAGGCAAAGCCTTGCATCTGCTGTAACCACCCATAGCTGTTACAAGTAGTGCTATCAGACAGTACACTCTCGAGGTTTTATTTGGAGTCTGCGATACATGAGCGTGGTCGACTGATAAAGCCAGTTCTGGAAGCCAAGTATTGATACATCTTTCGAAGTTCCTTGTTTAGTAAAACGCTCCGAATAGGATCCAACAAGATAGGAAAGTCATTTCAGCCTTACAAAACCCAGAGACAACCCGCTGCAGTCCTTCACTGTAAAACAAAAATCAGCCTCGGCGGTTGAAAGATGCTTCCAAGAGAATCTTAGCTCTCCCCGGGTTGCGCGGCAAGTCAGCAAGAGACTGAACTTCAGTGGTTCGCTCGGTCCGACCACCTGGTGGTCCACCTTCTTATGCTTGCTTCGAGTAACAGGGGCCCATGGCAGGGGCCATAATCTAAATTGGGGGCGAGTCACATTGTGCTAGTGTAATATTCAGCCCACCACATCACTTAATAAAGATCTCGCACCATCTTGTTATGCAACATCAATCCGCTTCTAGTGCTAAGATTTCTTCCCTCCTGCATTCAAATCCCCGGAATTGAACTTCTGGTGGTGGTATTCGCCAGGAAATCGATGCTTATGTGCTTATTTTAATCTTTCAGCATGTGAGGCTGGGCACTTGTTTCGCCCCCAATGGTAACCCAGCGTACATTGCTTTGCCCAAATTGACAGCATCAAGTGGCACAGGCAGTATCAAGTGGCACATTACATGCCACTGTTGCAAAGATAAGTTCTATGTTTCTATAGACCGAACGGACGGGTATTCGAGTATATATTGTGCCTTGATCTGCTCCAAGCTGTAACAATATCTTTTCCTCTCAATCAGCTCACTTTCATCTACTCTTCAATCTTCGTTACCAATTAGTTACAGGTTTCATTTTTATTAGTTCTATATTTGATACTCTCACATTGCCTTACAACAATCCCTACTTTGTACAAAGTTTATTCTCTTCATTTGCCAACTCACGCAAAGTTACCCATAAATATCCAATCACAATGGTTGGTGTTACTCACTTTACTGCTGCCGGGATCGCCATGCTGAGCACGCTGGGCAATGTTGTTGCCTCTTCAGGTCCGGCTGGGGATGGTGCCTCCATGAAAGCCAGGGACGTCATGGATGATTCCACGGCCACCCCCGAGACAAGGGACCTTGATGATGTCGAAACTCGTGCCGTCTTGGATGGCGACGACTCGGATCTTGCCGCCCTAGACAAGCGTCTCTTCCCTCTTATTGGACTTGCCGCCAAGGCCGGTATCAAGGCCGGTGCCAAGGCTGGGGCGAAGAAGGCCGCCAAGAAAGGTGCCAGGAAAGGTGCTAAGAAGGGTGCGAAGGAGGGCGGCTCGCACAAGGCCAAGGAGAAGCACCAGAAGCATAAAGCCAAGAATAACAGCAAGCCCAAGAAGAAGGGCCGTCGATCTTTGGATGATGAATACTCTTTCCTCGACTCTAGGGATATTATGGATGATTTTTCCGAACTCAACTTTGATGCTCGCGACTTCGATGAGGATATGTTCCTGGAGACCCGCAAATTCGTTGGCCCAATTAAGAATGGCGGTATGTTCTTCAACCGGCACAAGAACTCCCTCAGACCCATGGGGCCTGGCGGCGGTCGCAAATTGAAGACCGGCAATGGAGTCAAGGCCAAGCCGGCTGGCAGGAAGAGACCTCGATCATTTGATGAGGCTATGGAGTTTTACGAAGAGTAACTTCACATAGGAAGATACATTCTTCTTAACTGTCCTCCATCATGAATCAAAAGAAAACGGCCAGGAGACTGATAGCTTTGTGACTCTTCCAAAGGCTCTCAATCTGGTTATTGGGAACTTTTAAACGTCTTGCTATCAGTCTCAGGAGTACTCTACCATAACATGAGCCATGGGATAGAGAGTTAAGATGGCTTGGGCTACATACTGAGTAAAGGGAGCAGAAGAATACTGGCGCGTTCTGGAGGCTGGTTGTAACATTCATTCCAGTTATATGTAGTATAGGCTCAGGTGAAAACCTCCTATAGACACATATACTATATACATTTGCACAAACTATCTCGTGCTATCCTTATGATGTTGTGAGCATTGGTCTAGAAATGTAAGACAAAGTAAAAAGCTCCCAGAACCTGTTTCTAGCCTTCAACACACGCCTGCCAATCAATACCGTCGTGAATGCCTCGTCTAACCAATGCTAACAAGTTATTAACGGAAACTAGACTGGAAACTTCACTGTACTCGTTCAACTCTCGAAGATATTGTGCTTGTTCGCGGTCTTCGAAGTTCTTAGCCCTATCATTCTCCTTACTAGAGATATACCCTCCCAATCATACCTTCTAGGCCACCCAATCCATTATTGAACCCCAACCTTCCGGCAAAGCAAGAGATTACTGCGTTATCAAATTGCAAAAGGTTCCAAAGAAAAAGGCAGTGGGGAGCGTTTAGCTACTCAAGAAGAGTACTATGTCGGAGATTGAGGAATGACGCCTCCTTTGATCTTTCATATTCTTAACTCTATACTAGACTATCAATCGCATAGTCAGTACAAGAGTGAAGGGCAGCACGGGTTTGGCAAACCTCACAACCACCACGCCATCCCGCTCATGAAACACGTCCTTCTTCTCACCACACATTTGGCCACACGTTAAGGAGGATGGCTTTGTCAGATTTTCAACTACCAATTAAATCATACAGCTGTATTAACTCTATTTTCCTCCGCTTGTTTGTATGCTATGGCACATCATACAGTCTTAAACTTCAATCCATAGCATTCCGGGGCGTCAGGCGATTGGCGGTTCGCAATCACCAACGGCGAGTAGAACCACTCGTCGTAAATAGGACACGTCTGGAACATCGTCAAATCACCTACCGAAGACGGTTGCGGCACAGTGCAGTTCAAGAGCCCTCCGGCATCGACCGAGCAATATACATGGATGTAACTCCGGATTGTTATCTCAAACTGGTCACTGCTTGGTGTCAACATATCGAACGGATAACATACTAACTTGCACGTCGCTTCCAACGCTCAAACCAAGTAGCCCCTTTGCAGAAAATAATGAAAAGGCATGGATAACTTACAGCCAGTAGACCATCTCGAACCCGGGCTGATATGGGGACACGGCGGCATAAAGAACCTTCCCTCCTCCTGGCGCTTGTACGTGAATTCGCCCAAGACAGTCAATGTTGAAGAGACCTCCACCGACAGCTTGAGGCTTCGTTGGGACGTAATTAAGAGCGTAGAAAGGGAGGTCTGGGAGTCCACGATAAGGTGCTGGCGTGGCGTACAGATTATTGTAACTATCGGTTCGTGTCGCGGTGATATCGGAGACCTGGAGGTTGAAGCTTGACTTCGGATAGTTTCCAGAGCAGCTTGTTACGGTCACGGTAATGGTGGAATCGGGGTGTTCGGTGATCTATAGGGCGAGTGTTCAGGACAAGACAGACATGCAAGATTTGGGGATGGAGGATGCTTCCTACATATGTGTATACGCCCTGGACATCCAAGTTGGTTTCAGTAGTGGTGACGGTCTGTGTCGTAAATAATGTCCCCGATGTCTATATCGCCTTGGTTAGCCACCTGTACAAGTGCGTGATGGAACGGAATTACCTTTGTGACAGTTGCGGTTACGATTTGCCGGGTGGTTTCTGTTACCGTCTTTGTCTTGGTGACAGCCCCAGTTGGTTTCGGGATGTAGCATGAGCAAGCTTGAGATACAACCGACTCGGGAAGCCCAAATGCCCCCCATGGTTTTTCAGAATCCTGCCCTGCGGCACGGGGTGTAACTGCAGCCCCGAACGTTGATATTTGCGTAACGACCGAGCTACAAGTCGGTTAGCATTGCAGACAGACGTCGAGCCAACAGGAGCTAACTGCAAGGTACACTTGAGACATACTATTTGTAGGAGGTGACAGTATTTGTCAGTGTGACGGTTTGCTTCATGACAATTTGATTAGTGTGGCTTGCGGAATTTCCCTTGATTCAACTCACTGTTGTAGATGTAGTAAAAGTCTGAGTAGCACGTCGCTATAAGGGTTAAGCCGTCAGTAAACTACTCCGAAAATAGTAATTGGGTCCCTGTCTTACCGTTCGGGTCTGGGCAGCGACGATATTGGTGGTTGTTGCAGCAGTAATTGTTCTGGTGTCAGTAGCAGTCTGTGTGACTGTTTGGGTCGCAGCCGAATAATGAAGCAAGGAACTGCAAGCTTTTGATACGAAGGGCAAGTCAAAGCTCTTGAGGGCCGAAACGTAGCGCTGATAGGGAGCACATCCGCTTGATTGACCGTCAGTAACCCCCACGAGGGCTGCAACGGCGACTGCCGCCCACCCAACCGCTGTTTGGAAGTGCATTGATGCTTCTGTGGATGGCTGTTTCTGTTCTTTGCACTGCGTGAATGTTGGCATGATAGGAGACAGAGCTTCGGGGAGATTCTCGTTTTTATCACATCTTTGACCACACGCGCATATCTAGCGCATGAAGAAGTGTGCCGCCAATATCGACTTTATGTGCCTTAATGAGTCTAGACTCCCACCGTCCACTTCAGCTTATTGCTAGTCGTTCTTCTAGCCCACAACCTAGTACCTTAAAGTCCGCTACGAGCCAATTATATCCCGATCTTATGAAGCCAACGGGTTGTGGGCGTTTGGGGCTGACTTCGACTATCAAAGAAGTATTAAGCCTGGACTCTTCCCATCTTTGATCGGTTCTTGGCATGCAGCTGCGTGATCTCACAGTCTGGAGCACTCAAATACCGCTTTCGTCCATCACATCAGACTGAAGACTGAAATATCGACTATGAGACCATATTTTCTTAGTCGTTGAAGTAAGCGTTGTAGACACGGTATAGCGGTTGGTTTCTTTTTAAGTCGAAGAAAAATTTAATAGAACACGCACCGAGAGAAACCCTCAGTCCCTTCTACACCCTTCCGGATTGGCGGAAGGTAGCTTAGTCGCGATAGGCATGGCTAATGGTCTCAAGCAATTTATTTCGATCGACCCTTCCGACCCCTAAGGGCGATAGTTGCATTAGCCCCGAATCTCGTTACTCTTGTTTCCCTATTTGAAGTCATGGCATAGGAAAAAGTCGCAGCAGGATATAAGACAGTGCTTGGAGTTGAAGCTGTGCATGCTGGTAGTGTGGAGCAGTCTGTTTCTTCGCTATTTCACCAATGCTTATTTGACGTATCTCAATTGCTCTAGTCTTAACCCAGGTCTAGACGGAAAGGCTTTGCCGTGAACGTGACCGAAGCTGACTGCCGAACAGGTAGAACTTGCCATATTCAGAAGGTAACCTCGCAACTCCGCACCTCGGTCGATCAACGACCCGGGCGATCACTTCCCCATGATATAAGACGTGGTCTATGACTGATCTCCTCACTCCCGATTTATTTAGCCGATGGTTCAATATCCCAACCGTATCGAAAACGAAAACACCTAAGATGGTCAAGAAGATTTGGGTTTCGTTTCTCAGCCTGGCATCCGTGACTGTCTGCCAGTCGAGCACGGACCCCTGGTCTGATACCAACTGGCACAAGTATGTGCGATCTCCAGGTTCCTCGGATGTTAAACCGGTTCGTATTCTTGCAGAGAAAACAACGGGAAATGTCACCAATCCTGAAGGCTTGCTTGACAGCAGCCAGACTACCATCTTCACACGAAGTCAAGCTGAAGAAGAGGCTCCTTCGGTCATAATCGACTTTGGGTTGAATGTCGTCGGCTTGCTGAGAATCCATGTCGAAGGCTCAAGTAGCTCCTCAGAGAGCCTTCCAGGTCTGCGTTTGGCGTTTTCCGAAACCGAGGATGCTCTAAGCGACAATAAGAGTGACTACACTCGCTCTTATCGTGGTGTCTATGAAGTGAGGATTCCCTTAGCGATGAATAGGAAGAAAAAATAGTAAGAAAATTGCTAATGGCAGTTTAGGAAGACAAATTGACAGACGGCACTGACCAAGTATATCCTTCTTTACTCGCGCCACCCATAAGCCTAGCCCATAGACGCTAATTGCAGTGAACTTGCAGGTTGCCGTCAAGAATGAGAAATACACCTGGACCAACACGTTAGGATGCGGACATGGCCGTCAAGTCTGTGCAGATGGCCTCCACGGCTTTCGATACGTAAGAATATGGCTGGATGCTCTCGAGTCCGACTCCCCATACACATCATCAACTGGGTCAGTCTCTATCTCATTGATTGATCTCGAGTGGTCTGGATACCTTGGACCTCCGGAAAGCTTCGCCGGATGGTTTGAATGCTCCGACCCAGACATTAGCCAGTGGTGGTTTGATGGAGTATACACTGTTGAGACAAATATCGACTTGTTTCTCAAAAATGAGACTGAGCCCAGAGACGCATTCAGCCCAACCCTGGACGGCAAGTGGGTTTTGCTTGATGGTGCAAAACGCGATCGGGACCCATATGTTGGTGACCTCGCAATCGCCGCCCTGACTCTGTATCTTTCGCACGATTTCCCCGAGGCGAGTTTCAATGTTCTTGAAGATCTCGCCCTTCATCAACGAGATGACGGGTGGATCCCTCCAGCCAGCATGTAGGTGAAGATCAAATGAAGGCATCGTCTGTTTTACTCGCTGACATAGGAGCGTACGAGCCAGAATCAATTACACACTGCCTCTCTTTGACTACCCTCTATGGTGGGTGGTTTGCAGCGTTGACCTCGTCATGTATACTGGAAATACCAGTTACGCCAAACACTATTGGGGCGTATTGAAGAAAACTCTCGATGATTTCTATCCCGGGCACACGAATAACGATCTAGGACTTCTAGATAAGCCTGCCTCGATAGGTTATGGCGATTATGCCTTCCTGCCAAGATCCGGCCCAATCACCTACTACAACGCGCTGTACATTCATGCGCTCAATCACGCGGCTCAGCTGGCGGCCGAGCTCGGACACAATGACGATGCCAACAGATGGGCTGACCGAGCCAAGCCGATGGGTGGTAATCTGATCGCCCGGAACTTCGATGCATCTACCGGTGCATTCTTCGACGGAGGGCCATGCCCAAATGAGCCAGCTGGAACCATATGCAATGTACATGCGCAAGATGGCAACTCCATTGCCGTTCTGGCTGGTGTGACGAACGATACTCTATCCACCACGATACTCGACTACTGGGCCAACGCCACTGCACTGCCATATGGAAACGCATTTTATGACAGCAGTGTCCTCAGCACTGGTGACCGATTCGACGAGAGAGTCTATGCCCTAACCTCTTACTTTGAGCTTGCAGCCCGGTTCTCAACCCCGGGAAGCGAAAATTCTGCGTACGATGAGCTTCGTCGGCTCTACGGGTGGATGGCCACACACGACCCTGGCGTCACGCAGTGGGAAGGCATAGGCCCGGGAGGCGTCTCGTACCAAGGCCCATTCATGTCATATTCACATGGATGGTCAACGGGTATAGTGCCGCTGATGAGCAACTACGTCCTCGGAGTTAAGCCAACAGCTTCAGGATTTAGTACGTGGAGCATTTGCCCAGTTGTGAAGGGTGAGCTGAGCTGGGCGAAAGGTGTGGTACCAACAGGAAATGGTGGGAGCATCAAGGTTTCGTGGGAAAAGTTTGGCACGGAAACCATAGATTCTCTGGCCTTGGAAATTGGTGTTCCTGACGGTACTAGAGGTAGCATATGCGTGCCGGATATCGGAAGGGATATCACCAGCGTCGTGCTCAATGGCGAGGCCCTACCACTCGATGAGGTGATCAAAGTGGATGGGGGAAGGTATAGCATAACTTTCCAGTAACTATCGCTTAACCTCTCAAAATTTGTATCGAATGAAATCCTTTCTCCATGGAATGATGTTTATCCTTTCTAAGTTACCCCCACACAATGTCCCATTCGCAAAAGTCTAGCAGAGAGAAAAAGTAGTTATTCTCCATCTAGTGAGCGGATATTCAGAATGTATGCTACATTCTTTGTATCATCCGAACCAAACCCTTTCATTAAGGTATATTCTATATAATCTAATTAAACAGATCAGCAGCAAGGGAGAAGATTCGAGTCATATGATTGTAGTTGCGAATTGTTTTGACTCTCGCTTCGATTTCTGTACCACTTGAGCGTAGCCTTCCTGTAGTTCTCCCACTGGGAAGTCTGTAAATGCCAGCTCATATATATAGTAGAACTGGCTCAAGTTCCAGATCCTAAAAATTCATTAGAATAAGAAGCATTGGCTATTAACTAAAGTCACTCACAGGACGGCAATGCCCATACACCCACAAACGATTGCAGCACTCTCGGAAATTCCCATACTGGCTATGTCGCCATCTTGCTTTCCCGCATTTCCATTCTCTCTTAACCCACGGAACAAAAACATCAAGAGAATGGCGGGGAGGCTGATCAGAGACGAGATGATCACAAGTAGATAGTACCAAGATTGAGGCCGCGGATTCATTTTCCCCTGAGGTTTCGCAGCCGGTGCCAAAGCAAGACACAAATGCAGCCCTCCCTAAGTACATGTCAGCAGTGAAGGCAAACATGTTCCAGCCCAGGCACTCGACATACCACGGCAATATTACAAGCAGCGGCAATCAATAGACGTTGCTCTGGGTTCTGTGTGAGGACAGCGATTGAGAGGCCGGTAGAAATTAAAGACGTAACCCATCTACCGACGGCGCATACAAACAATTTATAATATATGATTGTGATACGATTTCTTGATCTCGTGCTCGTCTTTTCGATCAACCCTTGAGACTGCTGAGGATCCATTTATTCAAGGCGGGAGCAGAGGGATTCAATTAGATGATCAGGTAGCACGTGTCTGAGAAAACACGATCATTATTTTAACGTGCGGTATCTACATTTAAAGAGATTTTTCCTTTCACAAAGCCCCATTTCATTCTTTGTAGGACTAAATGACAGCACTTGGTCCTTGTCTTAGCCTCAGGACTACGGGTGAGCAGCCAAGGACCAAGAGTCAGCATCCACATTTTCGGCCTACAGCCGGACGAAGCCGCAAAGGAAATCAAAGTAGGACTTGAGCCACACTCCCGTCCAGTGGCGCAGTTCCTCTCAAGGGATGACATAGCTAGAACGTACTGTAGCCACAGTGGCTGATGTTCTTATCCTAACTTTTACGTCTTACCCTGTACTCGCGCTACTCGTTCAGTCCAAACTTCAATCACTCATGAGATCCAGTCACTCGCCCCATCTGAGCTACCCTACAGAACATTGATGGAACACTTGGATCTATCTCACCCAAGTTTAAGTTTTCCAAAGAACAGCTACCAAGAGGGTGATAAGGCAAGTACCTAGGAGCTTTAACGCAATATGTCTATGTGTCATGAGAAAAGAAACTAGAAGCAGATGATAATTTTGCAGATGCTATCTCGTTCACGATGAATATACGGCGATCTTACAGATAAAGACAACAAACGCTCGAGCGCACATTGGCTACCAATCATTCCACTTCCAAACTCGTAAAATTTTATTTCGTAAAATTTCATTCACTCATAATATTCCATCTCACATCAGCATTCACATAAGTTTTTTGGATTGTTTTTTATGAGCTTATTTCGAGGGACAAATGTACTGAATCAACCTTCTGCTGGGTTTGGCATTTTTCTATGGAACAAAATAGAGTATCAAATCATCGTTTTCTAGAAGCTTCTATTCTAAATTTAAATCTAGATCTACTGAAAATGTTCGAAATTCGGGTGTTAATTGCTGATTCCCCTATGGCTATCTATGAACGCCCTAGAAGAGCCGAGCACCGCGATCCACCAGCTGCTGAATCGCAGAGAAGCCCAGAATTTGCGGTCAGACTCTCTATGCATCAGCAGGAGGAGGCTTGCTGTAGACAAAGATGCCGACAGGCGTAACTTGAGTGCAGACATAGTCGCCCTGTCCAGCGCCACCAGCGCGGCAAACAACAGGGACATCTCCCTCGCCCCAGTAAAGACCACTGAATAACCAAGTCAGTAACGTGAATATTCACCGTAGTATATAAAGGCTTGAAACTCACGTAAGGGCAAAGTCGTGGTACATGCGGAGCGCAAATTCGTTGTCGCCAGTTCCCTTGTGCAGGCTGAAACGGTACTTGCTGTAACCGCAGTCGACAGTCTCGGTGGGGTTGGGGAAAGCAGGAAGCTCGGCGCTGCAGCCCTGGTCGGTCACATCGTTCGCGGTGATCTTGAAGTCTACGAGATTGATCACGGTGCCAGTCTCAGTGGACGACTTGCGGACGAGGAAGTCGCTGATCCAGATATCTTCCTTTGGAGTGTCGGCGGCAACGACTGAGAAGAGCGCGAAGGCAGCGCTGGCGGCAACGGTGAAGGCACGCATATTGATTCGGTTGGGAGAGTAATTGATGTTTTGAGAGATGGATTGTGGTTTTTGAGAGTGTTGGTGAGTTAATTTACCTCACTTGATCTAGACTCTGCACCCTTATATACATCTGGTTTTTCTAACAGACCAATACAATGGCTCCTTGGCCGTCCGCCGCCTTAACCGAGTAGACACCAATGATACGAATGCCTCCGCATATCTGATACGAATTCCCGGGGCTGAGCAATTTGGAATCAAGTGCGGCGGCCGGGTGCAGACTGGAGAAGCTTTAGTCAAGCCTTTGTCATGGCCTAATAGGCAATGCCAACCCCCGTGGCATTGCCTAAATACGAGACGATCGGCATCTAAACAGTTTTTCTGCTCTTATTATTCATTATTCATTCGTTACCAAAGGGCTTTGACTCCTCATTATAATTTTCTGCCAACAACATTGCCACAACGCATGACGTTGAGCCGTCACTTGCCAGTTGTAATAGGTCAGCGATGGTTTTTAAAACAGACCTCAGCAGTTGTCGATAGTCAGTAACAGAGCGCCCAGGAAACGAAACCCAGTACTGTCCACCTATAGTCCCACAGATGGCAGCAGGATCAGGAAACAGCTGTCTCTCGCTGCTGCCAAGGCTGCCGTCTGCAACTTGCCTGCATGAGAGCATTTCTACACGAGGTCTCATGACTTTCATATGTAACTAAAAATGGAAGTCACTTTTCGGGATACGGGATTTTCTCAATTAACCACCTGTCGCGATGTTAAGCGATGTCAATGATTAAATTTCTTTACTGAAGCTCAAACAACCTACAACAACGCTGCTATGCAAAGTGACTCTGACTCAACTCTGTCAAACCTCGTAAATACTGATGGAAATAAGGAAATGACCAGAGAAAATTCTTCTGAATACGAATTGGTCACCGCTTCATGCATATCGGTGAACACAGCTTCACCGCCGGCCATTCTTCAAGAGGGGCGACTTAACTTGAGGAGCAAATGATCCGGTTTTAGTAAATTGTTATGAATGAAAGACCCGAAGAGACCCGGATTATGGGTCGAATGAGCTCAAATCCGCAATAGCGAAAGTCATATACCTCAAGCCTCAAATGATTTGACATCAAGAAAATGAGGATCGGCAGCATGCCTAATAATCCCTTACATACCTGGCCAAATTCACTGTATCATAGCCTAGGACGAGAAGCAAGGCATTCTACGTATCCTCCCGAACGCGTTGACCCGAGCTTCAGACTGTACAATGTCTGATCGGTAGTTGGTTTTGTCTATTAACGGGAATTTATAAATTTGACATTATATGGCCAGTACATACGCATTTCTATCTGTGTGCGTATTGAGAAGCATCTAACTCCGCCAGCTGTTTTGGCTGCTCAAGCTCTGCTAATCGTGATTGCCCCTTCATCGCGGATCGGTGACACTCCATCTCCAACAAGTCCGTCGAATCAAGCTCTGTGGTCGCTTTGCTACCTTTCTGGCTGACTCCTGGATAGGAGAACGGGCTGGGCACCGGTTCAGATGCCTTGATTTCACCCTTCTCTCCCTGGTGTTTAGTTCGTCATTTTTGGCGTCGAAAGAGAAGCCATAGCGCCCCCATGGCCAAGGCGCCGGCGACCACGCCACCCACAGTGGCACCGGCGATGATTCCTGTCGAGGTCGTTCCATTTCCAGAGTCACTATTATTCTCTGCATCGTTGATTCATGTTAGCGGGACATATACAATCATCCTTACATGCCACTGACCGTCCAAAGGCTGCGCCGTTACAGTGCGGATGATCTCGCTTATGATGGAGGATCGAGTATCCGTTTCGGTTGGTGATGGCAAATTTGTTGTTGTTGTTGATTGTAGATTTGTCGCTGTCATTACAGCCGATGTTGATGATAACGTAGAGACAGCTGTACTTGTGGTCACAATCGATCTGCAACGACCTGTGTCCGTACATACAGTGCCTGCAATGCAGTAAGTCTTGCCACTGCAGCAATCGGCGTTCTCTGGCATGCATCCAGGCCCGCAGGCCGTTTGACCGTCTTTACATGATCCTTGCCGTTTGAATAAAGGCTGAAACGAGTAGTCGCTACCGCTCTTCTTCTTTATAAGATCGTGGGCGAGGTCATTTCCCGAGTAATCCCGTTGGCCTTGTTCAGCATTGACGGAGCTGCTAATACGCTGCGTCGGACCAGCCTGCGACCGCCTCTGGATTAAACCATCTTTCAACGTCCCAAAAAGAAATACCAGTGCTAGAAAAATGAGCAATGAAGGGGAGTGCATGATTTATTCGTTTGGCGGGCCGGTTGGGCGCGCTTGTTCGCGTGCTGCCCTCGTCAACAAGTCATGACAAGGAGAAGTTGAAGAAATGGGTATGATTGAAACGTGGCAACGAGATTTATTAATGGACATCTTCTTACAGTCGCATTCATGGTGGACTTTCATCATTGATGCACGACCAAAGATCTTCCATGGCTTTCAGGCACTCGGTTGGATGCAGGATCATTTCATCGACTTCCCTCGCAGGAGTTTTATATAATGCGTTTTAACGATGTGTGGTTCCCATGTTTATCTCGCCTCTGTAGCTTGTAGCTTGGAGTTAATATGCATGTTTTAGCGGGGTAATGGAACATCTCTTACGTGCTTCATGCGTTTGTGGGAATACACCAATTGTTAAGACGGGCAAAATGTAACCTGAAGAATACGAGATCAGCTCAGCCTCCTACGCTGACTGCCACCAAGAAAGGATTGCAGCAGGATGTTACTTATAATAGCCCTGACGTACTGACAGCATAAAACATGCATAGATCCCTTTTATGCCACACATTTCATTCATCTGATGATCGGAGATATCGACCTTGAAATGCAATACATCCTGGTTAGTTGTATACTTACTCTTCGCTCTAGCTGTATCTCGATGCTACCTAATTTATCATCAATCGCGTCATACCTCCTCACAGGTTAAGCATTTACCAAGACTCTGCAACGTAGTTTACATATCTTCCTTCTCTTTTTGGCCAGATGGTACCACCCGAACCAATGAAGATGAGAAGCACAAAGCTCAACCCCGCTGCTGAGTCTGTTTACGGAGCGGCTGAAGGTTAGACAAGCGGGGTTATACGAATGCGTCACTCTTCTGTTTTAACGGATGCCATGAGCCTTCCTCACTGCAGTTGTTCCTTCAAGTCCTTGCTGATCAATTATGTTCTCAATCACCGCACAATCTGGCACCGACATCTGGCGCAAAGCCCCCAGCACAGATGTCTTCAACGGTATGATCCATGTTTTGAGCATCATCACATACACTTTAGTTAACCAGAAGAATGATGCAGCGCCCACTGTGCCTGGGCCAGATAGTCCTATCGGGCCCCTGGGAAGCTTTGTATCGGCGTCGCTGACGTTTCGCGTGCCTACGGTAGTCCAGTATGACCAAGCAGGACTGCTTCTTTCCTTGAACCTGGAAAATGCTACGGAGGCACAGAAACCTCCTCCAAAATGGATCAAAACAGGAATTGAACTGTACAACGGTGTCCCGCGACTTGGCACTGTTGGGACTGATGCCTGGTCTGACTGGAGCATTGCCCCAATCACCAGCAATGATCACACTGACGGAAAGGCATGGACCACAGTTTCGGTTCAAAAACAAGAAGATGATCTTGGTTTGAGCCTTTGGGTTTATCAACTGGTCGGAGAGGACAAAGTGCCACTACGAGAGATAAATTGGCCATTCGGATATGGAGATGATTGGACGCTGAGCGTGGACGCATATGCTGCCAAACCTGGAAAGGGGAAGCCTCTGGTCGCGGACTTCAAAGACTTTCAAATAGTTTGGAAGAATTGAGGATCAATTTAGGATGGCGCATAAAGAGCCTCATCGAACGGGACTGATTTGGCGATTTGTCTGTAGGATTCGTTATCAACCAAGCAGACCAATCCATTACTGTCCATCTCGGCGCGCTTTGATGTTTACTAGAGTAGAGAGATGGCCTATACTTAACTAGAAAAGATGGTGTAGTTCTCGCCTTAGCCTGCTGTCTTCTAATGGGTTCCAATTGACACAAGACTGAGCGTGGCACTTCATAACCCCTAATCTATGTATGGATATCATTCTTCATGATTAATTATTGGGAAAAAACTATATTGATGCAAGTTTGAAGACATCCAGACTTCTCACATTCGCTATGCCGGTCCTGCTGAAAGCCACTGTACAGAAAGAGAGCCTCCGTCGCTGAACCAGTTTGAAGCACTCAAGGAGTTTTCCGAGCCGATCTGCAACTTGGTGTGAATGACTTTTCCCCCAGGTCCAATGCCAAATACCAAAATGGAGTCATTGCCGATTGGGAGGGCCAAAGGGGCCGAATTGAATGCGCCTCCTAGATCGTCCCACGAGGAACCCCATTCCGAGCCAACGAGCGCTTTGTGTTTGAGCTTGGAATCATTCCCAACTGCAAAGGCATCCAGCCTTCCACTTCTTGGGGAAACCAAACCAGCAACTGACTGAGCCTCGCCCCCAATGACGGTTGTTTTGAGCTTGCTGAGGTCTGCTCCGTCACCCCATGATAGATAAACCATGGCCTTGTCGCTGTTTAGACCTAAAAAATCTGTTCGATTTTCCGTCATCGCGATAGTTGACGGGTTGCTTTTATAATGGCCCGTCAGCGAACTCCACCTCTCGAAATCCGATCCATTCCAATGCGTTGAGGCTATCTTGAATGGGGCTTTTTCATTTCCATATACTGTCACGTCCATAAAGTTGTTTCCACGGCAAGAAGCCGCCAAAGAGCTCGCGACATAACCCTCAGAGCGACCCCAGCCTGATCCAGAGCTCAGTGAGGCCCACTGCCCATTCTCGTAGTACTTGTGAGCGAGGTCGTTCGTCGATGAGAGGGTGAAAAGGTCCATCCTCCCTTCTCTCATTGAGCATACTGCTGGTGCGGCGTTGCAAGCTCCACCAAGTGATGCCCAGGAAGATTCCCAAGCCGAATTTCGATATGACTTTGTGCGCATCGTTTTATCCGTATCGATACCAAAAACGTCAATTTGGCCCTCGCGGATCGAAACCGCCGCCGGTTGGCTGTCAAACTTGCCACCCAAAGATTCCCAATCCTTTAGCCATCTTTCACCATCCGATTCGCGATACCATATCGCATTGTCGGTACCGCGGCCGAAGAGGAAGAAGGCTTTCGGATCAGAGGAAGGTCGCGCTGCGGCTAGGATCGCTGGGCATATTGATGGGTGGCATGTTGTCGCCACTACACTTGGAGTAGGGAAACTCGTTGTTGTCGCGGTCAATGCCATTTCAGTCCCTGTCGGTTGACTGCTTGACTCACCACTATCATTACGGGCATCAGTATAACTCTTAGATAGGCTGTACCGCCGGGGAGACTCGTCCAACCGATTAGACTTACCTGCCTGTCCCTTTTCGACTGGTAACAACGCCAACCGCGGTGCCGACGACAACTCCAATAACAATCAGCGCTGCTACTCCGGCTGCAATACCGATCTTCTTCCTCGTCCAGAAAGGTTCTGGCGCTTTCCCAGTACTTCCAGGATCGATGATTGCTGCTTGGCTCTCGGGTGATTCAGATTCGAGTATTTGAAGTCCTTCTTCAAACCTATGCCCCTGGTAAACCTGCGGTAGGCTCTCTCTGTCGTAGACCTGTGGTAGGTTATCCCTGTCGTAAACCTGCGGTAAGTCTGACCCCTCAAATCGGTTATACGCCATTGTAGGCTGGCCGCTGTGAAGGAGGTCGATCGTGAGGGTAAATTTTCGTGATGGCCCTGCCGTGACGAACTTTCAACTTGGGCGCGTGAGCTCCTGGATTAATATGACATGAACTTGCAGTTAAACACGACATAATGATGCATGGACAGGGGCATAAGCAGCGTTGATGTGGTTGCATCAGCGCTTAAAGCACTCGAGTCCGCAGCGCTCAAGTCCCTTCTTTGCATTTCCAGTAACGCAGTTTAGCCCTCCACATGTCGATCCCAGTGGCCAATGCCCTTCCATAAGACGGCTACTTTGGACATTGATTGGCTGTGGCCTGGAAATAATGGCCTTTGGCGATGCCTCCCGCATGATGCCAAGCTTTAATTTTATGCTTTTTTCCATCAGGCGGTTGGAACTTTCGTCGATGGGCTTTCCGAGTACTATGTAGCTTATTGTAAGATTAGGCTTCCGTCGGCCGTTAGCCTTTAAAGGCAGAAGGCCCTGAGCAATGTGCATCTTTCAAATGGCTGTCCAGCCGTCATTCGGATACTGCCATGGAAGCCATGAATGGACATGTGGCCATCAACTTGCCAATAGAACGGTCATTGCCAAGTTATAGTGACTTATCGATAGGTAAACCGTTGGCCCCCTGGTAATTGACAGGTCCAATTTTAAACTCAAGGATACCAATGGTAGATCTGTAAAGCAGTACTGCCACTTTCTTCTTACGATGGGAGCTACACTCTTGAATGGCTGATTGGGGCTTACCAAGTGTTATCAATTCAACCGCCACTTCGTCTTACGCTTGGTCACCTTGGTGTGATTCGGTAAAACATACCCGTCATTCGGACGTCACGTAGCATCCATTGTAGCATCCGCGAGTATTTCCGTACCTGGTTCCTCTGCACAACTACAACTTACCTCTTCAGCTCCGCCATCCAGCCTATTCTCATCTCGAGCCTACCGTCATGACACAATTCGCTACATATCCCAGTCTCCGCGGCAAGACTGTCCTGATCTCAGGTGGCGCCGAGGGCATCGGCGCCTCTGCGGTGGAACACTTCTGCAATCAGGGATCCAACGTCGTCTTTCTCGACATTTCCGAGGCATCGGCCCAGGCGTTGGTTCAAAAGGTCCGTGAGGCCGAAGGCGCAACCACACCAACATTCATGCATTGCGATGTGACGGATTTAGAGCAGCTCAAGTCGTGTGCTCAGAAAACGCTTGAGCTATTCGGCCATGTTGATATACTGATAAACAATGTTGGCGCTGCCGGGCCCAGGAGTCGTGTTCCCACGTCTGGTGTCACGCCCGAGTCCTTCGACTTGGATATTAACACTAATCTCCGCCATCAGTTCTTCCTGACTCAGGCTATCGTACCCTCAATGCAAAAACAAAAGTCCGGATGTATCATCAATATGGGATCCATCACTTGGAGGATCCCTGCCACGGGAATCCCAATCTATACAACCGTCAAGGCAGGCATTATGGGTATGACAAGAACGCACGCAAGGGAATTCGGCGAGTTTGGGATTCGGGTTAACAGTATCATGCCTGGAGCAATTGCGACACAGAGACAGATTGATACCGTCCTTACGCCGGAGTATGAAGCAGAGTCTTTGGGTGCGCAGTGCCTAAAGAGGGTACTCGTGCCTGCTGAAGTGGCTAGATTGATGCTGTTCTTGGCGTCTGATGATGCCAGTGCAATCACGGGAGGGAGTTACGTGGTAGATGGCGGATGGTGCGGTGATACTTGAGGGTCAGACATGGCTTGAATCCATGCTGAGATGGAGACGACTATTGTTCGAAGCCTATGCTCTCCTCGCGGTCCTTCCGAGGTGATGTCGTCCATCTACTGCCTGAAAAGGTCTTGGATATAGCTCTAGCATTAGGTATGCTGAATGAAGAGAATTCATTCTAATCTTAAATATTCACACTCAAGATGTATATATCGCTAAGATTTACGGTTTGCGAGTTCATCTACCAGTTCTAATGCCTTCGTAGGCTCCGTGTATCAATGACAAAATGGAAGGAAACAAAACAAAAGCATTCAATAGTACAGAGACAGTGGCCAGCCCAGACAGAACCGATCACAGGCGTGCTTTGACGTCCTTTGACTGCCCAGGAACCTTTGGATGTCTTCTCCATGGAACCACTCCCTCCTTCTCGTTGGGAAATGGCAGAATGTCCAGAACTGGGCTGTTGGCAACTATAGGGATAGTCCTACCATCTGCAAAGGTTGCCGCCTTTGATGCAGGTCCCGCTTTCGACGTGTAGAGATCAATGTCCAGTCTCGAAACATGGACCCAAAGCCTGGCTGCCGGTTCGCGTTCAACCTGGTACGCGGTGAATGCTCTGCTCAGGTCTCGCCTCGGAGGTTCTGGGTTAGAGCTGAGTGTTCGGTTGAGTTTGTTCACCAGAGAAATGACTCCTTCAATCCCACAGCACGCACCAGCACCACGGAACGGACTCATCTGTAAGATCGGTCAGTAAGATTTCCTGAGTCAAACGAACAACAGAGCACTCTACCTTGTGGACAGAATCTCCTACGAGCACAAGCCTATCCCAATGCCACCACGGTATGACTCCCTCATCATGGTTCACCCTGCCACCCATGGTCTTGTTGTCCCAGAGGTCTTTGAACGTGGTTTGGTCATTGACCGGGACATCGAACCAGTATTTGACATCCTCATCAGTGACCTTATTCGGCGAAAAGTACGTGCGCTCGCTCACATCCGGAATCCTCTCATATGTGGTCATATGAGCCTCGGTAGCAGTCACGAGGGCCATCAACTGCCTGTTCGGCTGGTGGACATACACCGTCTGGCCGGGCTTCAGAGACTCGGGGCGAGGCACGCGGAAGAACAGGCCCTGGTAAGGTGCGCTGAAGGGGTTCGGGCCTTCGCTGAAAAGTCCGGGGGGCGCCTTTTCGCGCATGAAATCTCTGACGGTGCTCCAGACGCCGTCGGCTCCCACGACGATTGACCCGTCCTCCGAGGTGCCATCCGCGAAGTCGACGGTAACTCCATCCTTGCGACTGGTAATATTGGTGACTTTCTTATTGGTCTTTACGAGCTGATCACTTCCCTTCAAATGCTTCAGGAGCACCTCGGCAAAAGTCTTTCGATCAAACAGCATAGTCGGATATCCGTGACTAAGTCCATTGATAAGCCCCTGGAATCAGCGCATTCGGTGTTTGAAGTTGGTGTTAACTTACGCAAACTCGAGCAACTCGAAGCCGTTGGAGACTTCAAGCTGCTCTCCCGTTGAAGACTTATTCAACAACTCTGTCATAACTATCCCAATGCTCTGCATATCCTCATAGAGACCCAGCTGATCGAAAATGCGCAGAATGTGCGGCCACAGGAAGATACCGAAGGCGGTTGGTGGCGGAACCTGTTTGCGCTGCTCGACGACGACAAAGTCGATGCCGGATTTCTGCAGCGCGATCGCGAGGACCAGACCGACTGGTCCTGCGCCGACGACGATGACTTTGAACTGGCCCATTGTACGTGAGATGATGAAATCGCGACCAACAGACTTGTCACGGGCGCGGTCCTTGTTATATAGCGGCCCCTAATTAGCACATTCTCCATCAAGTTAGTCCCCATCGAATGAAGGATAAACACGCGTCAGCTTACATGGGACTTGTTTGGCTTTTCAAGGAGACAGAGGAAGCCCAAATCTTCTTCTCGAGACGTACAGACTGATCTTTGATTCCGAGACTGTTCGATACACGTTTCCTCACCCTTATCACACATGAATTCAGGCATCTTCTGTCCACTAGTAACCGGGCGAAGCAAGTTGGAGTGGAGGCGCGTAAAGCCCCTGAAGAACCTGCATGAGCGCTAGAACATCAACCTTGCTGTGCCAGTGATCTGGGATGTTTGCCCCGAAAGGATTGATTGAAAGCAGGGGTTATATTACAACCGGAAAAGGCATAATTTCCAGGTTGTCGCTGTTCGGAGCATTTTATATGGCGTACCACTCAAGATATTAGCGAATGGCAACAGGAGAGTGAAATATTCCGGGCAACCTGCGGAATTAAGAACATAATTTGAAGTCTTCTAATAACCCATCAAATTTTAATCATCTTAATAATGAAAAGAAGTGGATGTGATAACCCTTGCGAATCTTCATTGCTAGGACCTGTTAGACGTGGCCATAACTTTTAAAGGTTGGTGGCATAACAAAACGAAACGCCAAAAGCACAGGTTTCTGCAAAATGTGCAGGTAGCGTTTACCACCGGGTTTTCCATATAACGCTTGATCATTAGCTGCTAAAAAGACAAATATAAAGACACTAAACCTCCAATGCGCGAAACTTCTACCAGACAAGACATCCTCATCAATAAATCCACCCTCAAACCAGCCTCTCGTGGTTGTTTAAAGTCACCATAAGCCCCATGGCTGAACTAAACACCCTTCTCCTTCTCACTCATATTCCTCTTTAGAACCTCGACCTCGCCGCCGCCGCGAAGAACACCTACGCGCATGGTAGAGAGCAAATTGTGTGCAGCATTTGAGTGATTGTACACACCCCCATTAAAGATAGCTGTTGCATCTTTGCCGAGGCCAGACTTGATAAGTGCCTTCCCACCAGGGTGCTCAGCGATAAATTTGGTAATATCGTGCACAACGCCAGCGATCGCGACAAGATCCTTGCCAGCCTTGACTTGTTCGACGTATACTTCCCAATCCATGACAGGAAGATCCTCTAGCGGCGTGCCCCAGTCAAGGCTGGCGCGTTGGCGATCAAGCTTCTTCTGCTTCTGCTGGAGGACGCCCTTCTCGATCTCGTTCTGGGGGAAGTGCTGCAGATTATACGCGAGGCCAAGTTGTTTCCACGTCCAGATAGACCACTTGGTTGGGTCAAACTGCCACCAGAGAATGGCATTACGGTAGTCTGAGGGAAACTCGTGGTGGAAGTTGTGGTAGCCCTCGCCAAGCGTCACGATAGCGGTAAGAAAGTGATCTCTTGGAGTTCGACGATCATCGTAGGGCTGGTCACCAATCATGTGTGCAAGAGAGTTGACGCAGAAGGTAGCCTGTTGGATCCAAAAGACCTTGAGCAGGCCCGCGTAGATGAAGCCGCCGAGGTAGTCGCCCCAGCCTAGCCCGCAGACGAGGGTTGGAAAGATGTATGCCATGAAGACTACAATCTTAAGATAGTGTGTATGCTGCCAGATGACAAGGGGATCCTCGTTCAGATCCGTAATGTCGGTACGGCCCAAGCGCTTAGGGTTCTGTTTCCAGACCATCCAGCCCATGTGAGAATGCATGAAGCCGCGAAGGGCATCATACGGATCTCTATTGGTGTCGGTATAGCGATGGTGGGCACGGTGGCCCTTGGACCACCATCTAATGGAACCCTGGATGGCAGAGGCACCGCAGAGAGCGAGGTATAATCGTAGGGGAAGGCAAGCTTGGTAAGCGCGGTGAGCCCAGAGGCGATGGTAACCTTTGGTATTCCATGATTAGCAACCGTCTTAGAAAATCCTCAAGCATTCAAGAGTTTGAAGAAGACAAACCTGCAGTAATGCCCAGCCCGCTGTTTACGTAAAATATGAAAGCAAAGATAGCTGTGTTGAGTCGAAGAGGAACCCAGTAAGAGGCAATGAAGCCAAAAAAGGGGATGATGACCACAAAGGTGCTATTGATCCAGTTGACGTGCTGGTACCAATTACTCCATGTCATTGGCTTGTCCGAAATATGAACCTTGTCAAGATTGTAGGACTTTGAGCGAATGGGTTTATAATCGGTAGTCCCATCGTACACGTTCTCGGTGGCAGTTTGAGTTTTCCCCATGATGGAGATGAGCCTCGACTGAAGGTCGGCCAATTGGAATGAAATCAAATAATGACAATAGAGTTGCAATTGACAACGGAGGCAACGGCGCCTTCTAGCGGACGAGAACAATGAACACCAAAGCGAAAGATATCCTGTATTACGCTCCTACGAAGACTGACTAGGACACAAGGCGACAGACATATATATGTACTATATTTACTCCCGTTTCTACCTTCGACTTACGTAGACTCCTCATACCATGAGACCAATCAATTCGCACTCGTTGGGAATCAAATCCGGGGATACAGCGGCACACAGCCTGTTGGGTGACTAGCATGTGCACCAAAGAGCAACGTCCAGATTCCTTCGAAGCGTCGGAGGTGTGGAGATGGTTGTTGGGCAGTAGTTGGGGCATTTTGTTGGGAGCCACCCGTCTAATATAAACCTGCTTGGAACAGAATCAGGCCAGTCAGCCTTAATTCTGGGTCGATACTTCACCGTCAAACACGCGATTCCAAGCCGATCAGTTCCGTACTCACTCCTCCAGCCTGCCTTCTCCGGGCCGTAATCCAATTGGGGTGACGAATTGTCAAATAATAATCGTCGATGGCTAACATTTTTGTTTTTGGGGATTTTCTCTTCCCGACTACAAGGGAGGACACGGAATAGAGCCCTTGATCCCTGTAACTCGGATCCTTTCTGTAGCCAGGAGAAAATTCCCTTTCCGTTCATCATGAGATGATCGACTGAATTATTCCCGATCCACGAAAAGCCCAAAGTGCTCCGCCGCGTGTCGAGAAAAAAACTCAATGAGGTATGCCCCAGAAAGTCACAAGCCTTGGGTTGGTGAATCTAACTCGTGCCGAGCCCCAACACTTGGTTCGGAGCTCGCTCCGTTGACATCTTCTCCTCATAGCGCTACAGTTAATCAAAGTCCACTCTGGAGACGTCACATGTTTCCTTAAGATTGACGCCTCGGCAATTACACCATTGTAACAACTCCCCCCGGGATCTTAATCCCTGCAGTGCTCAACATCCCTTAGAATTCTTCGCTCGAATTCTTCTCTCAGTAGCTTGCAGTAAATCAATGCTAAATGATTCGAGGAATAAGCGTTTCACGTGGCGCAGATGCATGTGTGTCCTCCTATTCATCCAAATTCCCTTGGCTACGCCTTGCTAGTTCTGCCCCATTTAAGCATGGCCGCGGTAGCCTTCGTGACAAACTTCCATCGCATGTTAACAGCGGGCTGGTGATGGCTGCGGGTTTATTTTTCGCTGTGTTCCTTTGTCAGGCTTTGTACACAGCTTACTTCCTGTCTCTAGTCAACACCAATCTACCATGATTTGCTTTCGAACTAATGGATGTGAGTATCGGTATGCTTAAAGCTTCTAACCCCTGAATGGAACAAGTTCACCGTCAATTTTGACCAATTTGTCCGCGTTGTTGAATTGCATGGTTATGAAACATTGCTTCAGGGTTTGCACGTCAGTATGAATAATTATCTATATATGTATTTCATCCTAGCAATCATTCAGGCACAAGATGCGCTACTTCGCCATCTGAATCGAGTTCCAATGCCAGTTCTTCTTGATGCACGGGATATCTGCGGTCATTCAAAGGAAACAACTCAGGGAAGGTATGCTTGGACCTTACTTTATGAAGCAGCTTAAAGAGATACTTTTTGTCCCTCGGATATATTGACCAGACGTAGTCGGCATTCTGCCATGACCTCGAGTTCGCAAAATAGCCAGAATGGCCCCGAAAGTAGGTCAGTTGGTTAAAGCCTGCGTACTCGAGGCTGTGGCCATCTTTCAGCAAAGAGGAAAACAAATCATACCACACGCCGCCATCGACGTGAATCTTGACTTCTTCCAGTCTTATTCGTTGAATGAGAAGCTGCTCATCATGGCTACCCAGCATCGCTTTCAAAGATGGAACACTGGCATATACCCGATGAAGCCATAGAGCCTTGAGTCGCTTGGAAATCAGAATGTTTCTTTCGGCAAGATAATCAAGGTCCAGGAAGTGGGTGACGCCCGCCGCAAGTGACTCGAGATTTGGGCATGAGGAGATGAATTCCCAGAGTGGTCTCTGGTGCTCTCTGTTGGGGTAGATGTCCTAAAGTGGGCTCTGAAGAAACTCGTTGTTGTCGTGGGGAATAGCGTCTTCATCTTCTTCATCTCGCACTGTATTCCTATCTCCGAATTGACCAGTTTGATCGCTAATGCCAATGTTGAGATGTTTGAGGCGGTCCCGGGCCGTCTGGTCTAAGCAGCTGACTACTTCTCCGACATTATGCGTGCATGGTAGGGAGAGAGAAAGGTCTGTCAGGCTGCTCAAAGCAGGTGATAGAAAGCTATGCCGAAGAGTTGCGGTTATGTTCTTAATGATTTGCAAATCGATGCAGTCCACTTCGGCTTCCGGGTCGGTGCGGAGTTGGCTGTGAAATGGCAGCCCTATCGCCCTTAGATATGAGAGTTTCAGTGCCTCAACGCCCTCAATGTTGTCAAAGAGATTTCTTAGGGCTGAATAAGGTAGCATTGTCTCATCATGCTCCGGCGCCAAAGGAAATGCTATCTCCTGCCGGTCGAAAAGCCGGTCGGAGTAGACTGGTTGACCAGTCTCTTGATCCTCTCCTCTGCAGGATCTCTGGTATCTGATTGAATGAGTTATTTTTGGAATCAACAACCTTCCGACGAGTCTTCGGGCCTTTGCCGCACGTGTAGGGTTGATAGCCATCTCGAGGTTTCTGCCTTCATCCTCCGAAGACGCTCTCCACCAGTGATGTTTCCGCAGAATAGCAGTGGAAGCCATGTTCCACTCATGGGACACTAGGCGGAGATTCAAGAGCGTTCTGAGATTGATGTTCAACTTGTAGAAGATTGTCTCGTGTTCTGGATAACCCGACAGCCAATAGGGTCTTGCCCTCTCGAAGCTAGCCATCCTAGAAGGCTCACACTGCTTGAAAACCTCCCAGCTACTATCGCTATGGAGTTTCTCCGGCCAGTGTTCCATGAACACTGGCTCCAGCAATTGCGAGGCAATATTACAAAGAACTTCGGGTGGTAACGCCATTTTCTTAGATGCGTAAGCCTAATTGGAGATCAATGTGATTATGACTTCAATACTCTCCCTCAATCGGCCGTTGGATTCTTTGAACGGAGTATGAAGGCGGATGGTTGAAAGCCAGGACGTCCGACGCTGCTTCTGTTCTGCGGGGTTTTGATCCAATAAGCAACTTTTTAAATCCCTCGTGATCAAGCAATCTAATGACCCTACACTCGTGCCGTATATACAACGTAACTCAGCAACTCATGTATCTTTCTATCTAGCTGACATATTCCCCGTCCCGGTAGCTCTACGAAATTCAATTTTGATCCCGTTGAAGTCAAGACTCAAGATAGAGATCAGTCTAGCTGCTCACTAACCGTACTATAGCACAGGGATGTATTGACAGTTGCAAGCTAACTCCATGATGTCAACATTTTACATATCATCCAACATCCGCATTAGCTGATGATGGTTATAATACCAGCTTCCAAGGTTTGAACTCTGAGGGTCCACACCTGCTCCAAATAGCCCAAGGGATAGTTGTTCTTGGGACTCTAGAGTGCTTGTAGCGACGATGCTACTTGGCGCCTGCTGATAGTCGCCAGAGTCAGGTTGAGGGAATTGGGGTAGGGTCAAGGGCACGATCCCAGAAGCCTGTGTCACTGCTGTGGCATTCATAGGATTCTCAGAAGCCCACGGCTGAGACAGGTCTGTTTGGCCCGATGTCTGGTCTGATTTGGACCTCGCATCAAGGTATCTGACAGCAGCATCGTACAACGCCCTGAACAGACGGAGGTAATTTTTCGGTGCGGCATCCACGACGCATGCAACCATCGACTCTATGCTGTCAATGCAATCCCGTAAATACTCGAGATCGGAGGCTTCAGACGTCTCAATAACGTGACAGAAGAGTGTGGTGAACGGCACAAAAGGGGCCTGGACAAGTGACCTGTTTTGAGGCAAATTAGCACGTGTGTTAATGGATACAGCTACGAATCCTTAGAATAAGCATTTGCATGCGAATCCTTACGCACCAATTGACATGAAGGCTCGCGCCAATTGAGTTCTTGGCTTCTCTGCTAAATAAGACCAGCGTCGAGCTCAATTCAGACATGGCAGATCTGGCGACCTCGAGACACTCGCCCGATATGCTTCGTCCGGGAACATTTGGCTTGATGCTACGGTACACAAGAGTCAGTGTAGACAGGTTGATAACGCGGTCGATTTTCCAAATCAGTGAATTGGGGCCACGTGGTTGATTCTGTCCCCAAGCTTCAATAAACCTCCGCTGTGAGAGTCAGCCACAGGCTCTAGGAATGGACGTAGTATTGTAGAGTACGTGTTTTGGGCGTCCGGGTATAAGCATAAAATGACGAACCTGCACTTCAGCCTCAATGTCCATGATCTTTTTTATCTCTGCCGCCAACTCATATGCTCGCGATACACGGCTGTGCTCCGTCTTCGAAAGACTACCGGGGCTATACAGATCATCATAGAGACTCCCTTGAATTTGTGCTGTTTTTATCCATGTTGGAAAAACTGCACGAAGATAAGTATCGCAGTTGTTACTTGCTTGCACGGGCGGGATGGTTATATCGTGGTCTCGAACGTTCGATGATCGCCCGATGCGTAAAGCCAATAGTCTTTCGGTTGAATAGATGGCCCAGAATAACCAAGTGGTCTGACTTTTCTTTTCGTTTGACTCGGGCTGAAGAGGAACAGCACTGTGGTATCCAAGGGTTTGCGCGCTGTGGACAGCGGTACAAATAAACATCCAAGCCATCGATATCTTTGAGATTTGTAAGCAGTATGTTGCCTTTGCTAAGCGTTAGCGTTCAAATTTTATTCAAAGCTGGAAATAAGTATTCATCTTACAGCCATGCTCATGGCATATACAAGGTCCATGTTTGAACCAACGTGAAAGCGAATATTTAGCAGAACAGTTTCGAGGTTATCTCGGCACAGGAACGCTTGCTCCTCGTAGTCTTTCTTCACGTTAGCATCTTCGACTAGGCTCGAGCACTCGCAAAACAGCCAGAACAGGCCAGCAAAGACAATTATTTGTTCCAGTTCAGTTGGCAGGCCTGGGGAACACATCCGAATCACGTAGTGCGTGAACTGGTCCAAATTTTGAAACTCGTATATCCACATTCCGAGAACGAAGCGATCCTCTGTTCATGCAATTCCTGTCAGTGACCTTAACGCCACCCCAAAGCTTCTAATACGTACCCTGAGCCATTCGAAGACAGCCGAATATTTTCTCCATTGGGGGAAGAGGAAGGTCCCGAAGATCGGAACGAGAAGGAAGTAACCTTGCATGAGGGAAAACACTACCCAAGGAGTCCGACTTTTGTTTCTGCGACTTGACAATATCATGCAAGGTTTCCAGGACTAAAGTCATCTCGCCTGTCACTTCAGAGGCCGAGTTTCCACCTATCGCATTTTGAAGGAACGTAGCGGCAAATTGGGCGTGCCCAAATAAGGAAGACTCGCCTTCATACTCCGTCTTAGGAGAGTCAGCCAAAGGATCTACGTTTTCTTCTGCTCCGAGATGCGGAGCCGATGCCGCGTTTGGTGATGTATTCGTTGATGGACAACCAGTATTCTGTGTTGATTTCTGGGATGTTTTCAAGATTTGATCCATTTGCGAACGTGTTTCAGTCACGATCTCAGTAAGGTCATCCAGACGAGCCATGATGTGGCTGATGTTGGTCTCTCTGCAAAATTGTGAGAATTGTGAGTCGAAAGGATACTTGTTCCTGGTTCGACAAGCGTACAGGTTATCCGAAACTCTCACACGTTGTCTTTTTGGTTTTATCTTTTGGCCTTGCTCATAGGAACACGACGCCTTTACCCTCGTGCACTGAGCACATGGTAGGCCACGGCTGCATCTGGTCTGGAGGGCGTCAATGACCTGGAGGTTCAATAGGTCTAACGAATTCAAGGGAACTAACCTTACGCTGACGACAACGGTCACACTGTACGATTATTAGCTCCTACTTCTTTTCATCAATTGATGTCGCCACACACAGCCAGCTTTTGGACGTCCGTCGAAGCGTCTTGGGCCTGCTCCGTTTCTTCCAAGCGTCTATCCATATTCTTAGGTGGGCCTTCCCTAGAAACCGCCCGGTCTCCGGCTCTATCGGAAGAGGATATTACAGGGGCGAGGGGACAAATGATGGACTTCGATGGTTGAGTGATGAATGAAATAAGTACGGCGACTCTGGGACAACTTTGCCGGGAGGAGTGATGTAGATGACATAAAGGCAGAGGGGAAACTAAGGGGCTTACGGAGTTTAATGGGCTCCTGATGCCGTTAGTGTATCAATGGCCACCTTACGGCAGACACTCTCATTCGATCGGAGCCCGAGGAAGCCGTTGTGGAACATCTTGACTCATCCCGGCCGGCAAGAGACTGACAAACTCGTAACCGCCTTGCACTAGTTGATTGGCCAACTACAACAATTAGTAATTGATAACCCACTTAGCAGCAAAGCCTGCCTGGTGCTCTGACGAGGCGATACTTGGCCATCGGCGGTTTTGTCCCATTTGGCGCCGAAGATGCGAGTTGACAGGCACCTGTTACCAGACACGAGGTAGAAATGTAGCATGTATAATTTGATTTAATCCTGGCTCATTGCCATTGTGGTTCTTCTCATACTTTTATTTTACGCGCTCACTATCTTCTAATTTCTTGTCAAAACGGCCAAACAGACTTGATCTTGACTGCATCGTGTATAATCCTGTGGCCTCTTCACTAACTCGCCCGACAGGGCTTTTCCTTTTCTATCTTTTTCCCCTCGATTATTCTAGAAATCTTGAATTACCAAGATGAAGAAAGAAAACGAAAAGCAGGACGTTGTAACCGCGCGCATCGTCGAGGATCCCGCGAATCCCACCGACCAAGTCTCAGCCTTCAGTGGATTTTTCGTACGTCTTTCGGCCCTCAGTCCTTACATGAAGATGACGATGCCCTTTCTTATTCGTATACTAATATACATCTTCTCGATAAAAGAGAGTGTTCAGGTATGGCGCACCAAGCGATTATGTGCTTGAAATAATTGGAATCCTGGCCGCAATCGGATCAGGCATTTCCTTGGCTCTTGTCAATATCGTTCTCGGAGACTTCATCAACCTGCTTGTCGAAGTGACCTCGGGAGATTCGATACCAGACGACTTTATGTCGCGGGTGAGCTCAGCCGCGTGAGTGTCTCTCAGCCAAAACATTCCGCTCAATTTAAACTGCTAATGCTGGTCCATTCCCCCTCAGACTTCGATTTGTCTACATCGGCATTGCTCGGTTTGCCTTTACTTACATCTACGCCTCGCTCTTCACCTATGTCGCCTATCACCTCACCAGAAACATCCGGCACAGCTATCTCCGCGCTGCTCTGAGCCAAGAAATTGCCTTCTTTGACGGGGGTCAATCGGGATCCATCTCAATGCAGGCAACTTCCAATGGCAAGCTGATACAGGCCGGGATCACAGAGAAGCTGGGTCTATGTGTACAAGCCACCTCGACATTTGGGGCGGCCTTCGTTATCGCTTTCATCAGCCAATGGAAACTAACGCTGATCACATTGTGCATCGTCCCAGCCGTGTTCTTGACTGTCGTTGCCGCGTCTACCGTAGATGCCGGGATCGAGACTAATATCCTCAAGATATACGGACAGGCTGGAAGCTACGCCGAGAATGTGCTCGCGGGCATCCGAACAGTACATGCCTTCAGGCTCTGGGACCATGTGGGTGTCAAATATGAGGCCTTCCTCGACAGAGCCTACAAACGTGGGATGAAGAAGAATTTCCTCTACGGGATCCTGTTCGGTGCAGAATTCTTCATTGTTAATTCCGGAATCGGTCTCGCGTTTTGGCAAGGTATCAGGATGATGGGGAGAGGAGAGATTGCGGAGATTGGCACCGTCTTCACGTCAGTTTATGATTATGGCTCGATTTCGCGGATCTAGCTAACCCTCGAGCAGAGTCGTTTTCTCTATCATTGTTGCGGCGACGATGATTGCCTCTATAGCTCCCCATACAATCGCTTTCAGCCGTGCCGCGACCGCCGCCGCCGAGCTGTTCACCTTGATTGATAGGAAATCTCAACTGGACCCTTTTAACGAAGAGGGTAAGCGACCTATCAGTGTTAAGGGCTCCATAGACATGAGAGATGTAACATTTTGTTACCCTTCCCGGCCAGAAGCTACTGTCCTGCGAGATTTCAGCCTTCATATTCCAGCAGGCAAGGTCACCGCTCTTGTGGTAAGCTGTGTGTGAAGTAACCTCCTCGGAAGCTTAGCTAACATCATTCAAAGGGGCCCAGCGGTTCTGGCAAAAGCACAATTATTGGACTGCTCGAGAGATGGTATAGCTTAAAGTCCGGCAGCATCCGACTAGACGGCACCGAACTCGACCAATTAAACCTAAAGTGGCTGAGGACAAACATTCGGCTTGTCCAACAGGTACGCAAACTTGATTGACTTGTGTCAACTAATCCTCGTTGAGCATCAGAACTGACCTGGAACTAGGAACCTGTCTTGTTCAACACAACAGTGTTTGAGAATATCGCCAACGGCTTAGTCGGAACCGAGTGGGAGGACTGTTCTGCCGAAGAGAAGGCTCAGCGAGTTGAAAACGCAGCAAAACTTGCCTTTGCGCACGACTTTATTCTCGAGTTGCCGCAAAAATACGATACAAGGATAGGCGAGAGAGGTGGACTACTGTCGGGTGGGCAGAAACAAAGGATTGCCATCGCTCGGAGCGTAATCTCTGAACCGAAAATTCTTTTGCTTGATGAAGCAACAAGCGCCCTCGACCCAAAGGCTGAGGGCATCGTGCAACAAGCATTGGATAACGCCTCCAAGAATCGTACCACGATCACAATAGCCCACAAGCTATCCACGATTCGCCATGCACATAACATTGTTGTCATGTCAACTGGCGGAATCGTTGAGCAAGGCACTCATGCAGAATTGGTCGCCTCTGGCGGCTTGTATTCCAGTCTTGTTCACGCCCAGGACCTCTCGGCTTCCCCGGAGAGCAACACAGATGAATCAAGCTCCGACGAGGATGCCGTCGAAGAGACAAAGCTCGACCTTCGGCAGTCCCTTACCAAAGTTCATACCATGGATGTTGAAAACTTGGAGCTATTGAAGGATCGTGAGGATTATGACCTTCACGAACCGATGGGGCTAATGCGAAACGTAACTCGACTGATTATGAAAACACCTGAGCTGGCAATCTGGTACATCATCAGCTTTGCCACCAGCGCGATTGGTGGTATGTCCCCTTGTGGCAATATCTTTAAACAAGAAGAAAAAGAAGCTAATACAGAGCAACAGGTGCCATCTTTCCCGCCCAAGCCATTCTCCTTGGACATGTCTTGGATGTTACGAACGCTCCAAACATGGTTTCTCGCGGAAGTTTCTACGCACTCATGTTTTTCGTCATGGCAGTTGCCAGCTTAATCGTCTACTTCGTTATGGGTTGGGCTACGAATATCATAGCGCAGGTAAGTGAATTCACTTTGATCCATCAATCGAACGAACTAAATGCTGATTATTTATGACCGCTCCAGTCGCTCAGTAGACGTGTCCGGAAAGAAATGTTGAGCTCGATTATCAAACAGGACTTGCGCTTTTTCGATCGGCCGGAGAATACGGTCGGCGCGATCATCAGTCGAATTGATTCCTATCCCCAAGCCATCCTGGAGCTTATGGGGATGAACATAGGTATGGTGTTCATATCTGGCGCCATGGTACTCATCAGCGCCATTCTGGCGCTCGCAGTGACCTGGAGAGTTGGTGTGGTTGGAGTTTTCGCCGGTCTGCCGCCACTCCTTCTCGCTGGATACGCTCGAATCCGTCTCGAGACGAAGATTGACAGCGACATGGGTAAAGGGTTGGCTGCTAGCTCCTCATTGGCCTCGGAAACCGTCAACGCCATTCGAACCGTCTCGTCCCTTGCTATTGAGCAACGTGTGCTGAATCTCTATGGCAACGAGCTGGATACTGCTATTAGCAAATCTGCCCCACGGATGTTCTTCATGATGATCTGGTTTTCATTGACTCAATCCATTGAATACTTCATTCTTGCCCTCGGCTTTTGGTAAGCTGATCAAATCCCCCACGCCCCATGTTGGTAGCATTGAACTGACCAGGAGAATTACGATAGGTGGGGAGCAAAACTCATCGGCGAAGGGAAAGTCAGTTTCTACGAATTCACTGTTTCGTTCATGGCGATCTATTTTTGCGGCCAGGGAGCCGGCCTGATGTTTAGCTATTCAAGCAGTGAGTCAATACCAATTCAGACAAAGATCACATTGAGACTGAGCCCATCCATCTACAGGTTTCACAAAAGGAAATCAAGCAGTGAACCATTACTTCTGGTTGTTGGGATTGCAACCAACCATCCGAGAAACCGACGAAAATCGGGATGTTGCTCCACAGAATGGATGCAGCTCTTACGACTTCCAAAACGTCAAGTTTGCATACCCATTAGCGCCAAAGAATACAGTCCTAAAGGGCGTGTCCCTAAATGTAAGTCCATTGATACAACTGATCAGTTGGCTCTTCGATTTTCTAATTTACCCTCCTGCTTGATAGATCCGCCCCGGGGAGTTTGTCGCTTTTGTAGGTGCATCTGGCTGTGGCAAGAGCACGATGATATCTCTCCTGGAACGGTTTTACGACCCTGCAAGTGGATCTATAGTCATTGACTCGGCGCAGTCCCTATCTGAAATCAACCCTCATCATTACCGAAAGCATGTCGCGCTCGTACAGCAGGAGCCTACTCTCTTCCCAGGGTCTATACGGGAAAATATCGCCAACGGGATTGATAATCCCACAGGGGAAAGGGACCATGACGCGGAGATTGAGGCAGCTTGTCGGGCAGCCAACGCCTGGGACTTTGTATCTTCCCTCCCAGAAGGCCTCGAAACCCCATGTGGCACCAGCGGAAGTCAGCTTTCAGGCGGACAGCGACAGCGCATTGCCATTGCACGGGCTTTGGTGAGGAATCCGAACGTCATTCTCCTCGATGAGGCTACGAGTGCACTTGATACCGAGTCCGAGCGAGTAGTCCAAGGCGCTCTTATGACAGCAGCTAAGGTGGGAGATCGCATCACCATCGCGGTTGCACACAGGCTGTCCACTGTCAGGGACGCGAATCGTATTTTCGTCTTCTATCAAGGGCGAATTGCCGAAGTCGGCACTCATAACGAACTGTTACAGCAGGGTGGAATATACACCAAGATGTGTGAGGCGCAGAGGCTCGGTGTCTAACCCCGGTATCCCATGATCACATTTTCCAAAATCAAATACAGATGCAAGCGTCATTTGATGAAGTTGAAGGCTTTCGAGGGACACTTAAAACAGAAGAGAAACTACACTCACAGCAACAACCAACTTGTACCATTTAATTATAGATTGTGTTATATTAGCGATTAGATCTCGGTTTCAATTACAAACATTATTCCTCTCCTTGATTTTCCTTGTGTTTTTGCGGGCTTTCCTCTCTCGATGAATAGAGTCCTTTTTGAGAACAAGGTCATCCAGGCCTATATCTTTATTTGTTATGAAAGAGGACAATCAAGAATCAGCAGGAATAAAGGTTAATTTATTGTCAGCTAAGAAGAAAATCATGCAGCCTTTATTTCCGCCAGAAAGCAATCAGCTAAGAGACATGATCTACTACAGCTTCGGTAGAGAAAACAACCCAACCCCCTTTTGTTCATTCCACCCACCAATTAATCATCGGTCGGTTCTCCTCGGTTAACCGTCATGATTATTACTATAAGAACGGTAGCATCCTCAGCAAACCCCCCAGTCCTCCACTTTCTCACTCGCCGAAGCCTTACCCAGGGCAAGGTTCTACAGGTATCCTCCAACAACAAAGACAACCCTCATACCCCTTAAATCCATGCCTACCAAGGATCACTCGTCCCGGAATAACTCGTCAAACACGACCGCTTGTAGATTGCAAGAGAGTCTATCAGGAACGCCTCGCGGATCTACAGTCCTCCGAGGTCCGTCAAAGACCGCCGTCCCGAAGGACTTGACGGTATGCCGGCGTGGCGTCTTTGATTCTTCCGTTTCTGACCAAGTATCGCAGTCTGAATCAGCTACTTGATACTTGCGGAAAAACTCCATCTGTGACTGCCGAACACTTTCCGGAAGAGTAGCCGGCATCGAATTACGCCTCGAGCGGGGTGTCTCTGCCGATGTGTCAGACACGGATCCACCAGACACTGCCCGATCAGATCCATGTCCTTTATACGCCGTGTAAAAGCTTTCGGTTCTGTCAGATTCTGAACTATCTGACAGTGTTGCCTTTTCATTGACATAGGGCCATGTAATAGCTGGCCACTGCTTGAGAATTTGCCTGGCCGAGGCTCGGTTTTCGGGTTTCGTGGACGCCATCTTTATGAACGGCTCAATGAGCGAGTGCCTTCTCGACCTGATCTTGTGGACCAGATCATGAACTTGATGGTGGTTATTACACTTTAAGCAGTCCTTCGCAAAGCCATCGATATCGTATACCACGAGCATGGTTACATAGAGCGCCCAGACATCAACCTTGGTCGTCAATTTGACGCAGTATTCGAATGTCTCTGGTGCCATGAAGACCATAGTCCCCGCGGATAGCCAGCTGCGCGAGAAGACGGACGTACACTTGCTGAGACCAAAGTCAGCAAGGACGAAACGATACCTTCCCTTTGATCTTGTGCTGAACAGGATGTTTTGGGGCTTGACATCGCGATGAACGATTCCTTTGGTATCCAAGTAATGTAAAGCCTCAAGCATCTGTTTCATAACGGACTTTCCGATTTTCAATTGGTGTTTGCTCTTCGAAGGCTCTTTCATTGAATTGGTGTCGAGGATGAGCGAGGCCAGGCTTCCTTCCTCAATTCTCAGGAAGATGTTCGGTCTTGCTTCATCCAAGCCACTGGCCGAGATGAACTTGACGATATGTGGGTGTTTCAATTTTGCCAGATTTTTCACTTCGCTCTTGGCAAACCTCTGAAGCAAAATCTTTGGAAGCCGCTCTGGCCTGTTGTCGTTCTTCTTGTAAGTTTTGAGGGCCACCACGGCTCCAGTATCAAGGTCGATAGCCTTGTACACTATTCCGCAGCGTCCAGAGCCCAAAATTCCGGCCTTGACACACCGATTGATCACTTTGGCTGATGAGCGGGAGTCGACGCGCACATCAGGATTTCGCATCGTGAAAAGAACTTTGCCCCTTACTAAGGCATCTTCAACATCGCCAGACCACACCAACTTGAATTTAATCTTTCGATGGCGGCCGATGTTGAACAGTTCATACTTTCCAGGGGTCATGGCAACCTTGCGAGATCTTCTCTCAGGGAAATCATGACCGCGCACGTGTGTTGTGTTGTTGTTTGACTTGTCATGGAGCATCACCACTCCAGTCTCAGGATTGATCTTGAAGCAGCAATGAATGTCTGAAATGCCATCATCTCCACCCTCAACCGTGATGTCGCCCTTGCGTCCTAGAGTGAGGAGTGTTTTGCCGCCTTTCGCAGAAGGGATGACCCCGACGGAAAGTGCTGCAGTCCCGATCTCCTCCTCTGCTCTCTGGCTAGCACGGAACTCTGAGTTGATGGGGGAGGTGACAACCTTTATAGCCTCACGGTTGGCCGGTGCGAGATAGAACAAATGGATACCAGGTACGACTACGGAGCTCCGGTGTGACATGGAGTTGTCGTCATACCTAGAAAATGAGTATCTACACATGGTAGTCAAGAGTTCGGGCCATACACTTTCAGTTGAGGGTGAGGGTCGCGATGGACAGAGAATGCTTTTCGAGCAAATGCTGAAGGATAGATGGGAGCTAACCAGATCAGCCAACTCCATCTCTTTATATCTAGCTATTTCGAGGGTGTTTGGTAACAATGCTGAAACTTGAACTATCGACCTTTGTTCACAAACTCGTCCTCGAACAGACCTAACTAAACTAGAGAGTTGGATAATTGAGCTCGGGTTACACGACCAGCAAAGAACAAAGAGTGAACATTCCCCGTCAAGAAACTGCGCCCGTGGTGATTCCACTTCTCTGCATTTGTCCATTTCACAGTGATGCCTTGTTGGGTAACATGGACGGAGACCTGAGTCTGCACACATGACTTGAGCTCAGTGAAAGAGCAAGGAAAGACATTGCTGGGCCACGTGTACGATGTTTTGTTGCGTGGATGGCTGGTATTGAAATTCACTTGGGCTTTTGGGTCTTTATTAGCAACAGGGTTTGATTTAATCTCTTGTGGACTTCTTTGTGCTCAGGCTCAGACCGAATTCGCAACAAGTAGCCGAACGTGATTAGGTGTAACTTACAAGTTTCGCATCTTATCACGCACCTTCACCACAGGGGTATGATGCAGAGGTCTAACAGACCTTTGTGTCAATCTATCGGTGATGAATGCTAAATTGAGAAAATAGACCCCTAAAACTACAAGGTAGTTACGTGTTGATGCCCAAACATCGTGATGGAGTGGCCTGTCTGTAGGGTAGGTGGACTCGACTGTTCAGAGATGAACTGTGGCTAGTAGATATGGATGCAACTGTGGCTGGTGTCAGTGGCTGATATGTGTGGCTGGTAGCTGTGGCTTGTGCCTGACCCAATGTGGCCTTGCGCGCGCGATGGCAGATTTACGACGAGGCATTTCCACGATGATTAATGTGACAAGGATCGCGATGGGATGATTCTAAAAATTCCACTCAATCAACGCGCTGGACCCACCCCATGCATTCCTCCAGCAACCTGTTGGGAGCAACACCCACCAGAGCTCTCCCATCAGCAGAGACCGTTCTCACGCGGGCTCAAAAGCCGGAAGGGTGGGGAAGAGTCATCCCCTGCTCCCGGAGCCAAATGCCCAGAGCCAAGGGCTGTTTATATAATCCGTCGATTATTTTCCTCTTTGACAGTTTCTTAATTTCGGGGTTCGGGCACAACGGGACTTCTGGATCGTTGTCGGCTCACGGTCTGCTTGACTGATCTTGACATTGCGGTGCTCACTTCACTGGGTGGCGGCACTGCCTCCATCGTGCATCGTGGATTACAGTCAGATCCTCGGCTATGAGTGCGGCTGGCCTGAGACAGTTCTGTCACTCGCACCTGCTGCCTTCGAATTCAATATGCAAGATATTCCTCTCTGGGGATCACCAGATCGTTAGATAACGACTCCAGGTCTTTGGAATGGGGATGTTGAGAATCGACCTGCTGGTTTTGGTCTCGAGAACCACGGTGACCCTTGGAGACGACCCTCGAGCGCTGGATGCTATTTACAGTGACGTGTAAGGATGGGGGCCAATCACAATCAGCACAGGTCAGATGTAGGGCCTGGTAACAAACACACCAACCAAGCAGCCCTCGCTTCTAGTAGCCTCGAGCTGGCTCCAAAGTCCATCTACTATTCCTGAGGGAATAAGCTGCATCGAGCGGCAAGTGGGAGCATGCTACGTGCCCCCATGAATCACTGGTGAATCAATCTAGCGATGCTGGACAGCCCTCAGGGGAGTGTTTCGTGTACCAGTTGATTGGGCTTACATAGCACAACACGCAGCTCTGGCTACAGGGGAGCTGCATCTAAATATAGGCGCCTGCTTCAGGGTCCAGAATTTTTCAACAGGACACCAAACCAGGCCAGTGAGAGCCAAGCAGCCTGTCAAATCTACGGTCGACCGTTGCTACCGGCGACGATCCAAAGCAACCAGGCAATGGAGTTTGGATAGTACACGGGTAGTTCAACTACTAGTAGGGGTTTGATTCTTCCTGGCTTTATCACCGCGCGTTCGGACATTTCGGACAGCTGGCCAGGATCATTACCGACGCCATGAGACAGACAGGGCCATCCAGCGCGTAGCTGCAGAAGTACTCTGTAGGAATTGTGAAGTAAGTAATAATCCAGCTGGTATATGTGGGCTCCTGCAGGTACGATGATGTGCAGCTTGTTTCGTGTGAAGAGAATAAATAAAATAAAACGCGAGTATTATCACCATCGGTGCTGAGACAGAGGAGACAGTACTGGTGAGCCCCTCACGCCAAACACCAAAGAACCAGCAGCCGAGGTGGAGGGTCGGTTTGGGTCTGGCAAGGATGGGAATATGCAAACTGATCGAGAAGCAGCGAATAGCAGCGCGCGATGGCCCATCTGACTGCCTCTCAGCAATCATCACATCGCCGCCAGCAGACGCGATTTGGCTGGTGCACGGTCTAAGATTAGGCACGAGTCCCTTGCAAAACAGAGTAGAGGATCGGGAGTCGGGACCGGCCAGTCCCCGCGCCGCAGTCTTAGAGTGCGCACATGGTGCTACCAGGTGCTGCCCCGTCATCCCTCCCAGCCCAGTCTGTCTGTCCCATGCTCACTCACTCATCTAGGCTCGAAAGGGATCGCCTGAGTAAGTCCCCCACTGTTTCCCTGCTGCTGGGCCAGTGAGTGCCGCAGAGGTGCTCTTAATATATGCTGTCCGCCTCCGGCCGCGAGCTGCTTCGGAATGGCGAGATGTGTCTCTGACTGTTGAAACCATTTCTTTTCCTTTGGTCTGAGTATTTCCTTAGTTCCTTTGTCTGTCTCCTCGTTTCCTTTCTTTTCTTTCCAAGTGTCTGTTGCTTCTTTTCTGCACCTTCACTGCTGGTCAGTTGTTTTCCCTTTGACTTCGACACCAGCAGCTTGATTTCCTTTCGTTTCTTCCGCCCGCCCCGGCAAACAACAACACACACACACACAATGGCTTCAGAGGATAAGTATTTCTACGCCAGCCTGGTCTTTCTGGCGCTGGCGCTCGTGGCAATCGTGCCGTATGGCCTGCTCGCCTTCATGAAACTTCGTGCAGCCAGCAAATCCGCCCGCAGCGGCCTCCTCTGGATCCGAGCGACGACCGTCCTGGTGGGAATGTAAGCGACAGCCTCAGCCCCGCGCCAAGATCGAAGCCGACTGACTTGACATGTTGATTGTAGATGGATTGCTATCTGGTTGGCCGAATTGAGCATTGCTACCCACGTCCAAGTGGCTGGACCGACGCCGTACGATCTCCGCGCATCGCTGTACCATCTCGAGGGCGTCAAGACCCTGATCGGCTTCACCACCTTCGCCTCGATCGTCTACACGGAGCTCGAGCTCGTCATTACCCTCGAAGATACCGACCAGACCCCGATCTACCGATACTTTTGCTGGGGGGTCTACGCTGTCTCCATGATGCTCAACATGGCCCGATTTGTCGTATACGAAGTCGCTCTCGTTAAGCCCGATGTAGCAAAGCTCGGAAGCGTCTCTGAAAAGCTCGAACTCGTCATCGCCGTCCTAATTGCCGTGTTCTCCATGGTCGGTGTCCTCGCCCTCATGCTCTACCGCATGATCCTCCACGAGACCGTGAGTAGCCGCTCCCGCCCAATAATACATACCAAGACTTGGCATATTAACGTTGTGACGTAGGACTTTATCGTGCTTGCCCTCGCCTACGGCCTGACATTCGTTCGCCAGCTTGTCAGCGTCGTGCAGGTTGTATTGATGGACACGGATGGACACAAGGCCGACGACTTCCCCTTGGACGGCAATTGGCGCCGACTGGTCGATGTTCTCGTTATCGGATGGACCGTTGTCGCCTCCGTCGCCATGATCTACACCGTCGTGGCCAAAAATACCGAGTCCCAGTACTACGACGGGGCGTCCGACACCGCCTCGCTCTGTAGCAGGAGGTCCGACAAGTCGTTCAACTGCAAGGACAGCGTCACCTGGGACAACTTCTCCGCCGAGGCGCTGGAGAAGTTCAAGGCCGACGTGCAGCGCAACTCGATGAACCGGAGCGTCAAGGTGCAGCGGACGTCGATGCTACGCGAGTCGATGAGCCACCGGGAGTCGATGCAGGGGGTGGTGAACCCGAACCGGAACTCGATCCATCACAAGATCATCAAGTCGTGATGTGCTGGCATCATGATCACCAGTGTTTCCTATCGTCTTGATCACCATTAGCGTTTCCTTAGGGGCATATAAAACATTCACGGGGTGGCGTGTTGGAATGGGTTGGAGATTTTATCCTTTTCTTTTCTTCTTTTCTTCTTTTCTTCTCTTTTTCTTTTTTTCTTTTCTTCTTCTCTTCCTCTTTTCTTCTTCTTTCGTCTTTCTTCTTTTCTTCTCTTCTTTTCTTTTCTTTTCTTTCCTATTTACCTCTTCTTATCTTATTCTTAGTCTTTCCTTAACTATATTAACGGAGCCCCACGATACCATGTATCTGATACCAATTTGTGTTCATCGGGGAGTTATGGTGGATTACACAAAATTTCATTCACCACTGAATAAAACTACATCTTCTGGACCACCACCAGACATCTATCACCTAATCAACTGCCCACCAATCTGCCTCGTGAAGTAATCGTGCATGAAGACAGGATATCTCTGATCGATCGTAGCGCCTTGGCCGCAGATCCCGCCACGTTAACCCTACGTCATGCCTCTATCGTCGGGCGACTCTGCGGCTGAGATGGCTCCGGTTTTATGGGCGATACAGCTGCACCACAATCATGTGGCCCGGCTAATCACCAGGCAACAGGGCGGTGTACGCATCCTGAGGGTGTTCATCACCAAGTGCTACTGATTATAAAAGCCCGCGTTCTTCGCGTCCTTTGCGTCGGTGCATTCCTCATTCTAACCATCGAGTAAAACGTGTCGGTTGCTATAAACAGTATACCTGACGTAAGTCAGCCCATCACCTCTCACACCATCCTACGGGTCTAACCCTTTGGCAGCAGTTAAACCCAAATCGACATATCAAATCTCTTACGAGCTATTGAGACCATGGGAAATTCCTCGAGTAAGGGCTCACGGGGCGGTAGCTACGGCGGTGGTGACGGGGGAGGCAGTGGAGATGGAGGCGGTGGCGGCGGCGGCGGAGATGGTGGTGGATGCTAAGACGGGAGCTGTGTTGATTGACTGTGTTCAATAGTTGTTGCAGAGCAAGTTGTGAAGTCTTAGCATCATTGAGCAGCTGGATTATCTACTGCTATCATTTACATCGACAAATATACTTTGAATCACAACGATGAACCTTCATAGTGATTTCTGTCCAAACCTACAAGAACACGAGAAGTTGGATCGCGTGTTCCAAGTTTGGTGGTGAGATGATGGAATGAGCTGGAGCTAGTACTTTATTTAGGCTATAAGCGAGACAAAAGTCTGTAATATGGCCCCTAGATACAGGGAATGCTACACCAAAGTTCCCTTACTATCGCCGCCGGACTTGATGGAGTGAGGCTTGATATTGAATGCGTTCATCCACTGAGGCGTAGATGCGTATGGCATACGGGAGTAAAGTTTAGGAGATGTTGAATTAAAAATAAAGCTACCAAGGGGAAGAAAGATAGAATAGTGTTCGCTACTGAGTAGAGTATTAGCTATATATATTAAGCTGATATCTTCTGAGCATGGCTGGTAAGTTGGAGTTTACTGGTTCCTGTCTAAATTGTTCAACTACTTGTTTGGTCATAGGTCTGGCCAAATTCACTCTTGGTCAGCAGAATCGTGTATGTATCGAGTACTGGACGCTGCGAGCTGTCTTACGATCCAGTAAAGGAGATGAGTGCCCACTTACAGTACGGGCAGAGTTGCACCTTAATTCGGTCCAAGGTCTTGCAAGAGTCCATTGGATTTTATGGCAAGCTCTCTACATGATACTTACTTGACAGTGCTCATCCCGTGTTTTTGCTGCACGTCAGCATATAAGAGCACGTTGATAGATTTGGATTTAGATATGCTGATGCGAAAAAAAAAAAAAAAGACTAACTAGATTGTGTGAGTTAAGGGAGAAGCCCAAAAAAAACCGAGCCAACTCAGACAGCTATAGAGAAACGCGTTTGGATTGATGCGTTATGGCCACCTTGATATAGCGGATTAAGAAGACCCAAGAGTTATCTCGTGAACTTGATAGAAGGTTCACGCCCAGACCATGACTTCGCAGATACAGTCACAAAGCTGAATGTGAGTGAGAGTAACCGGTACAGCCTTCAATGTACAAAAAAACAAGCTGTATCAGTGTCTGAGAGCCCTAACTTCTACTCTAGGATCAACCTCAGAAAAAGATTGAAAAGGATTTGTCACGCTGTAACGCCAAAATCATAACAAGGGTCCAATCACTCAACCCCATACTCGCGGTGAGGCTACCCTGTAACAGGGAATCCGGACACGAGCAGATGATGAGAATCTCTGAGGCTCGTAGTCAGAAAGAAGCAGGGATTGGGAATGGATCTACGGATATGCATTTATTCTGCACAGTAAATTAACCGAGCTTCATTAGTATAAATAGCGTAGAGTCTGACAAGCTTGCTAAAGAAGCTCAACGGACATCTTGAATATCTAGAGTTCCTATCCTGCGGTTTCCATGCTCCAACCAGGTCCTAGCTTTGCCACTCTCTGTGAAAGGATTGAACTAGTTTCTCCTTCAAAGTAAGACATTGGCCTCCATATCCACGAAGAGGATGGCACCAACCGGCCTTATAAACATATTTTGCATTTTTAGTAGGTACGATAATAGTGAAGATATAGCCCAAACATAGCCGAACGTAATTCCTGTGGTTCTGAGGCAAATTTAAAACCACGGTACGGCAAAGAACAGCGGGAGATCGGGAGGCAGTTGGGCATTACTTCACTCGCCGTCACAGCATGTTAGAGAAGAACGGCGATGAAGATATAATTGAGAACGAGACAAATTGGCTTGTAGGTTCGCAAGACCTGGACGGACCAGAGAAAGAGTCTAGTGCTGCCCGTGCCTCTCAGCCCTATCATTTATGCACTACGTGATATCAAGCCACATTCTGATTCTGTATTCTAAATGAGCAACGGCTTCACTTCTCCATGAAACGACCGAGGAGCAAAATTGAGTTCTCCTTGAGGGAATAATTCCTACGTACTCCTCAAGGAACCAGGCAGTCTCACGGGAAAGAGCATGTATCAAGTCTGGATAGTGTCGAGACACTGAATTAGCAAGTAACCGTATACCTGCCTGTCATCAAATCACTCTAATCAGACTATATATGGCATGAAATCTTCGGGACGATTCGCCGTGGACAAAGGATATCCATAACCTTAACCCTAACTTTATCTTAACAAGCATTTTGATGGTAGGGAGAGGAATGTCTTGTTTTCCTCATTTGAAATCTTTTGTCCAATACAGAAACTGGGCGTTATTTCTAATCCATACACTCGCGAATGTCAAAGTGGCCAGGTCGCATATGGCCCTAAAATGTTTCTTTCTAGCTGTTTGGGTCAAACCGGCTTTTTTCTTTCTTGACTCACATACGTTCATGAATGAGGCCCAGGAACGAGTTTCATGAGCAAATCCCAGAAGGATGTAAGTAGACTGTCATGCGCAGAATTTCTTGCTTCATCGATATTGGTTGATATTGGTGCTATACCTCATCACGCCTGCATCAGTATTTCTGTCGCTCTACGTCTTTGGTGTACCGCTCCCCATCCACTCCGCTAAAGGTTATATCAAACCCTCTACTGGTGAAGTTATTTGTGAGTTGAAAACCCCCATCTTCCTCCTCTCTCGATCTCCCTGATCGTCCAGATGATTGTTTCCCTCCCCTATCAGTCGAGACCCAACCACTGAGACGATACCAGTAGTTTCGCAAAAATGAAGGGCCAGCCCAGCTTCTCATGTTGATTTTACCTATCCGAACAACAAGAGGCCAGCACACTGGAAGGCACGCGCAAACTATCCCAGTGCCGCAGTGAACACTAGTCCAGACCTGTGTGTGGAAAAAGGATGGTTGGCGGCTTCCGGGAAGGTAGCCAAAGATGGCTTTGAGAAGTCCTGATAGGACCACGCTTTACGGATGAAACTGGTCAGTACATTGAACTAGTTGAGGATCGAACAAATAGCTACTTACACGGCACCTATCATGAATACGGACGCCACCGCAATCTTTTGTCTAATGCTCAAGTGCAGCCCGAGCACAATCTTAATTGGCAGGATGATAATCAAGATATCGATCACAGCCTCGGCAAGGCCAGAGGCGAACCAGAAGATGTTGTAGTTGAAGCAGTACCGCGGGTCAGACAGACTGTTGATCCATACGTATTTCATAGGAATGCAGTTCAGCAAGTTGGCAACGGTGCACCCAATCCAGAATCCGACCACGATTGCAGCCAGAGCGAAGATGAGGCGGCGGAATAGCGCGTCGCAGTCGAAAATCCGTTTATACATGAAGATGATCGAAAGCTTAGTTGTAGCAGAAACGGAAAAGTAGACCATGCTCATCGTCCAGCTGAATTTGGTGTAAAGCTGGTCCTTTGGGGAGTAATCGTGTGACTCAGTCTCGACGGTGGCCGTCGTTGGCCCCGTGGGATTCATACTGCTGGCTATAAAAGTGAAAAGAAAAATGTCAGTGAGTGGTTTTCCAAGGCATATGAAGAGCATATCTGCAATGGCATATCGTGATTATCTGCTCATTAGCATGCAGTGGACACGAACCGTATATGGAGAGGACATCGATTCCAAGCATGAGCAGGAGTGATGTGAGGATCAACCAATCATCCCATTTTGCTCCCGATTTTAGAGCAAATTGTACATAGAAGCGGACTATGACCGCCAACACAGACAGGATGGCAAAAGCGGCACCAACAGCAGTGATGGTGTCTTCATCTTTCATCTTGCCTGTGTTGGTGTTGAGTAGAAACGGAGCTCTGTTCGGAATGAGATCTGCCCTTGGGATAACCCTGACACGACGCGGGAACTCATTTGTGCATGAACATGGTTGGTATATGCGCCATGAGAGCCCGGGTTATTGTGCTTTATTGTTCTGCTGTTCTTGAATAGCCATGCAAGTCCACTACTGACCGAAGTTCCTTTTTCTTACAGGCGCGCTTGGCCTCGGGGCATGCCCCAACATGGTTACATGCATTGGGCCTCTTCCTTTCCGCAGGATTGACCTGCAGCAAACAATGTACATAATACAATGGGGCCGCCGATGGTACGTAAGGGCACTTCACACCCCTTCCATAGGACCGATGAGATGGTGGCGCATTCGATGTCGTTACCATCCCTCTTCTGCTTTCCCGTGCTCTTAGGTTTTCCTTATCCTGGTAAAGACTGCGATTCCTTTTCCTGGTTGAGATTCTGACTCCTCCTCCCGTCTTGGCTCCGGATCTTCTTTTGCCCCATCGATTTTCAAGGCTCCAAGCTCTCCCCCTCCACTCTGCTTAGTGCTGCACGTACACCTTAGCTGTGGCTGTGGAATAGAAGCAATGTTCTCGTCAAACGCGTTTGAGGTGCTTGGAAGGGTAGTTCAGCCATGTTTCTCCGTCTCATGATCCTGTCGTGGGAGGAAATGTTTACTGACTTCATGTTTCTACTTGCAGACGGCGATTATTACGGGTGGTTCAAGTGGCATGGGCCTTGAGTTGGCTCGTCAGCTTGCTGCAAAAGGAGCCAATGTTGTCATCGTGGCTCGGAGACAAGACCGGCTGTTGAAAGGACTCGAGATTATTGAGGTTAACTTTCCCACTACTTCCAGGTATACATCATTCTAACGGCTCATCAGGCAGCAGCTCTGGATAAGAAAACCCAGCGTTTTCATCAAATTAGTGCCGACCTGACGGTGGCCTCCGAAGCTGTCCGGATCGTGGATGAGGTGACATCATGGAATGGGGGACTTGCGCCAGATATTGTAAGGTCTTGTCCGCTGACACCAACTTGGAAAGGTACTGGCTGGGCCCGAGTTGAGGTTTTCAGCTGACATCCGTCTGCATTTCTAGGTATGGTGTTGTGCCGGCTGCTCGCACCCAACGCTCTTTGTAGACACGCCGGTTGAAGAATTCTCCAGGCAAATGGACAGCAATTACTTCAGCGCCATGTACGTCGCACACGCAATCATGAGACGTTGGCTTAAAAATCCAGAGGAGAATTCTGGCTCGTCGAAAGAGTCAAACAACCAGACTGCCAAGTCGGCACGTCATCTCCTCTTTACTTCCTCTGTACTAGCATTTCACACCTTTGCTGGCTACACAAGCTACAGTCCCACAAAGGCTGCCCTCAGAACTCTGTCGGACACGCTATCCCAAGAGCTGAACCTATACCACGCAGCACATCCCGACATGCGCAAGGTTCGTGTTCACACTGTATTCCCATCAGGCATCCTGACAGAGGCTCTTGACGAAGAGAACAAGATCAAGGCCGATGTGACAAAGGCGCTCGAGGAAGTGGACAAACCTCTTACTCCCGAAGTCGTCGTATCCAGAAGCCTCAAGGCACTGGAGGGTGGAGATGAACTTATCGCCGTAGATCCTCTCTCTTGGCTCACAAAACGAAGCATGCTGGGAGGCACTGCCCGCAGCGGCATATCGGTGACTTACGATTGGCTCCTCGCTGCTGTACTCGCACTTGTAATGATCTACGTTCGTTGGGATATGGACAAACAGGTTCGGGCCTTTGGTAGGAAGTTTGGAGCCACGGGCATGAAGGATGGCAGTGGCTCGTCAGCCTGATCCAAGGCCCATTTCTGAGAAGCCATTGTATTTTATTTTTACTTTTACTTTCTTAATGAACATGTGAAGGGGGGCAAGATGGTGGAGCCCTCGCTTTTTCCATTGACAGCCGTTCGGCCGGTGCTTGGCTCCGTCCACTCTTTGCTCGTACATTTCTTGATTGGCCTTCAGGGCACGAATATGCATGTGCTTTGCTAATCCTGCATTGGCCTTCGTGGCTTGGGCACAGCATGGGCGTCGGTTTATCTGACTGATTCAGCCTGCTGCCGGTAGGATTGTCTTTGAATACTGTGCCGAACAGGGGGCGGGCCATTATGCATAAATGGATCTTTGGTAAAATGTCTCCTCGCAAAATGGATTCCAGAACATCCTCGCAAAATGAATCCTTGGCAAGGATGGACCCAGTTCCCTCCTGCAACGTCTCAGGTGACATTATCGGCGCTTGACGATGAAAAGCAAGGCCACATAAAGAAACATGATGCGCTGCGGCCTTTTTCGTTTTAGTGTCTTCGCCGCCCTTGTTCAGGCGCGATGTCAGCGAGGTCTGTAAGATTGTAACGCTAGATCTGGTCTGAACTGTCACAAATCTGCATCGCATGGCCATCTGGTTGAGATAGCGATGTGTAGGCCACTACGCGGCATAACGGCATATACTGCGAGTATCCAGAAACCAAAGACTGTAGGGGATCTACACTCGAGTCCTGGTCTCCCGACCAGCAAATATTTCTCCCTTTCAGCAATTATGCTTCAGCATCCTCCGACGTGTACACGTCTTCACCATATCGTCCGGATGATAAGAGCTCAGCTCTCCTGAGGTATTATCGCGCCGGGTGTTTATCATATATTTAGCCATAAAAGCGGCGTTGCTCAGATGCTGGTCGAATACCTTGAGCAAGTTTTCAGGTGCTTTTCTGCTGCCAACAGACATCCGTAAGTACCTATTATTACTGTTCATGCATTATGGATATGGCCCAAACAAACCCACAGCGCATTTGGAAGCCCGTAAACAATGGTACATAACCCTGGCTGCTGCATGGCCCCCAATACCAGGCTAATGCATCCTAATCACACCCGGCCAACACAATATTGGTCTCTGCCCGCCAAGCATGAAATCACGGAATGAACCTCCGCCTCTGTGCTTAAAACTGGAAAAGCACCTGAATACCCTGAGAAGGGGCATCTGGCACATTCCGTCTAGAACCACCACTGCATTTGGTCGTTATTCGTCAGAACCTGTCCCGCAATGGCACCAACTCAGCTCTCCCCATCCGCCTTGCTGTACACTCCCGCTGTCACTGATTCCGAATCCACTGTCAGCTCTCGCAATGCGCCAAAGCTGGTCATTCTGACTACTTGGATCTTTGCCCGCCGTGACCACATTGCCAAGTATGTCGAACAGTACCAGGCATTGTACCCAGGGGCCACGATCCTTGTCATCGAGTCGTTTCTGTACCATTTCTTACGGCCATTCACCCTACGAGAAGAGCTGACGCCCGTTATTCCTGTCATCCGAGGCATCCTCGGTGATGGAGCAAACCAAACCGGCAAGCCACAGCTGCTGTTGCACGTCTTCTCCAACAGTGGCCTAGGCACATCATGGGTGCTGAGAAATGTATACCAAACAGAGAGCCCTGCCAATGAAAAAGGCATCTTGCCGCAGCATGCCACCATCTTCGACTCGTCGCCTGGTCGTTACGACTACTGGGCGGTCGTCGCGGCGTTGCTCTACGGCATCCCACCAAGCGCCTGGCTGCAACGTATTGCCACCATGCCGCTCGCTCACATGCTCAGCGGAGGCATTTGGGTGTGGTGCCGCGTGTTCGGGGGCGAGGACTGGGTCTTGAGATATGCTCAGGCGGCCAACAACCCGTCCCGAGTGGACGAGGTGTGTCGGGCTTACGCCTTTGGCAGAGCTGACCGGCTGGTCCCGGCCCACTGGGTTGAGGCCCATGCTGCGGATGCCACTGTGCAAGGGTTTAATGTCAAGCAAATGGTCGATTTCGGCACGAAAAGTGCTCATGTGGCTCATGCGAGGACCGACCCATCACGGTACTGGGCGTTGGTGGCTGACACTTGGAAGTCCGCCGTGCATGATACCAAGCTCTAGATGAGGGAACTATGATTGGCGGCTTCATTGAAGAGGGAAGTTCCCGCGAGGGAATGGCATTGGTAGAGTAATGCGACGGTTATATTCATGTACCTATATGATCTGTTGTTAGTCCACGGGCCAATCGGGAACACGTCCATGAGCTGAATCGACTGATAGCACAAAGTGCTTACGTGGTCTCCTTCCTGGGCATCTGTGCTCACTGTACGGAGCAGGCTGGCTTATGCTGTGCGAGCAACGGAAGCTACCGAATCCAGTTGCTCCATTCAAGGTTAATTCCTGTTCAGACAAGCAGGGGTGTGTCAAGCTTATCACCGATGTGAACCGATAGTTCCAATGTATGAGCATGGGTCTGTTTCGGTGCGATTCAACTAAATGTCACTCAAGTTGCCTCCACCTTTATGTACAGTAATACTCAACCAAAGTTCTGGTTATATTGATAGCTCGTATGCATGTATCTGCCAAATTCTAGGAAGACGTGGAAGGATGTCTGACATTCTTGACGACAGATCCATCTCATTGGGATATGATTGGACCTTAGACCTTGCTTTTGTTTGCACGAAGGAAGCCAAGAACATCTGTCAATGAGATGATGTCACCATCTCATAGTTGCCACAGTCATTCTGCACTGCGCTCTGGCCGGACACACCCGTTTGGGATCGGTTAGACGCTGGCGGAATCCTACTGATCCCTTCTATGTAACAGAGCTCCAGAGATTATCCTCCTAAATTCAGTAGTACATACGATGCCCTCACATCTCAACCCATCACGGAGGTCACTCCAGCCAAAGATCCAAACATGTGATTCACGGAATTTGCCATTGTACATTCTTTAGCCGCACGTTATTTCGAGATGAGATGACATGCATAAACCGGGCACCCTTGGAATACCAGACCGGGGACAGACGTCGGCTTGCTCATGGGGTGCAGATCTCATGAGCTTTATCAAGGAAAACTAAATACACTCTTGCCTATCTAAGTTTCTCCTCCGCATGCTTAACATCTACTCATTGGAGAGGCTTATAACCCGGCGGATTGCATTCACGCTGAGGTGGACCACATCCTTCGTGCTGGACCCAGACCCAGAACCCGGCACTTCGTGACGTCCAGAATGAATGTACGTGGACCGGACTGCAGAATTACAAATCCCGCTGAATTCCTTGGCCGCTGCCGCATACAAATCCTCAGACCCGTAAATGTGGGCAGTCGGGGTGTCAATGACCTGTCCAACTCTATCGGTCGGCAGTGCTACCATGCGCCCATCATGGAGAATGTCTGGGTCAAGAGCCGTAGCGGCCCCGGAAAAGAACACCCCGCAGCGAACGCTTGGGAGCTGGCGCCTTTGACGGTGAACTAGCCAAGTGCCTGCGAGACCGACGCTCTGGCTGAAGGCGATGATGCCATCAAAGGGGCCTTCAGAATCAAAGTAGTTGTCGAGGTCAACGAGGGCAGCTAGAGCAGAGGGAGGGTCATTCTCTTTGAAATATGAGAATCCTTGGTCATTTCCTGCGCCCAGAGAGCTCAAATCTAAGACAAATCTGTTAGCAGCTGGCCAATGTACGCGTCGCAATGATAATGTGCATGAAAGAAGAAGGGATGGATAACCCAAACAGCAAGAAGGAAAAGATTTTTAAGGCCACGTAAGACTTGAACGCCTGGTATTGTTATAGAGTTTAGAAAATAGACCAACAGTCATCTCAAGAGCTTAGTGGAAGGCTCACGCCTCAACTTTAACTTCGCAGCTGCAATTGCCTCGTCACCGTGACTCAGTTGCGGTAAACTGAACTCTATCGAAGACAATGAATCTTCGTGAATTGGATAACATCCCCTTACCTGAATCAATTTTGGCGGCAACATTGCCCTCGACGAAGTCATAGGTATGATTCTCTCCTATCTCATATCGTATGGCAGCTTGAACTTTTTAGCCTTCAATTCTGAGTATTGACAAAGATTAAAGCGTCCCGTCTGAATACTCACCTGTTTGCATCTCAAAAATCTACCAGACATGATTAGCTTTGTTTTCTCGTTCGAGGCTGACGAAATCACCATACCTTGGAGTTTGTACCCCTTCCATGGAGGCTTTCCAAAAAAGTTACACGATCAGTACCTGTCCAAAAAGAAAAATTATTCCGTACACGGCAGGACTTACCAAAGAAAGCGCATAGTTGCCTTGGAACACTTTCGTACTAGACAGCAAATTTGTCCACCCTGTGTAGTAGCTATCTCATTATGGGCCTACTTCAGATGGAAACAGTGAGGCCATTTGTAGGCACCGAATACGGTAATAACCAAGCCTCACCACGTAGCTTCATCTGAACACAAAGCTTACTACCATTGTCGTAGCTGATGCATCGTTTAAGGCCGCATATGGGCCGATGTTGCATGCATGAAGGAGGGAGGGGCTCAGGTCGGCCGCTTCCGCATTTGGGCGTGAATGAGCTGATCCATCGGGCGCACGCAAGTGATACGACATACCGCAGTGCGGTGGAACCTCCTTGACAACGGTGCAGGTGTAGGAAGATCTTTTGTTGACATTAGCCGAAGAGTGGCTTGGCACCCGCCGGAGTTGCGAGCAAACAAGGCTTAGAGCAGTAGATACCGAGATAGGCAGTACACATCATTGGAGTGGATCAATGCGTTGGAAGTTGAGAGATACTAGTCAAGTGAATCAATGCCTCCGCGGTTATGGCCCGGGGAATCCCAGTTCTGGCGTGAATATTTCAACATGTATATAGCAGGAATGTGATGTACCAAGAAGAAACGACGCCAGAAGAATACATTCTGTTCCCATCTATTCTAGCATATTGGTCTTCTCCCATAACTTTCTTGCCCCTGACAAGGAGCGTGTAAAGAAAATAGAATGGGCTCACCAAATACCCAGAATGAGTCGAATGGCTTCGATTCTGGGGGCCTCATGCCTCTGGCTGTCGTGGGCATGTCCTTCCGTTTCCCTCAGGATGCCACGGATGCGCCCTCCTTCTGGAAGATGCTCATGGAGCAACGCTGTGCATCTACAGAAGTACCCCCAGAGCGTTTCAACATGGACGCCCATTACCATCCAGACAGCAGCCGAAGGGAAACAACCTCTGTTCGAAAAGGACATTTCTTATCTGGGGACATTGGTGCTTGGGATGCACCGTTTTTCAATATCACAGCCTCCGAGGCCGATGCTATGGACCCTGGTCAGCGCTTGACTCTCGAAACTGCTTTCCATGCACTGGAGAGCGCTGGGATACCAATCCCAACCATAGCGGGAACTAAGACATCTGTCTAGTAAGTCTCATTTTCTATCCGTGGCATGGAGTGTTAGAAGCTTACAAGACACGCGGTTGATATAGCTCGGCCACATTCATGCGTGACTATGACTACCTTCATAATAATGATCCTGATGATCAACCCAAGTACTTAGGACTTGGCACCTCGCCAAATATGCTCTCAAATAGAGTAAGCTGGTTTTTCGATTTGAGAGGGCCAAGCGGTAGTGTCGATACAGCATGTTCTAGCAGTTTACTCGCTCTGGACCTCGTATGCCAGTCAATATGGAGTGGCGATGCGAACATGGGACTTGCCTGTGGTAGCAATATCATGCTTACTCCCTTCACAACCGTTTCTCTTGATAATCTCGGCCTTTTGGGCAAAGACGGTCGTTGTTTTAGCTTTGATCACCGGGCAAACGGCTATGCTCGAGGAGAAGGCGTGGCGGTGGTTGTTGTAAAGCCTCTCAAAGATGCCCTTCGGAATGGCGATACTATCAGAGCAGTCATTAGATCATCCAGCTCTAATCAGGACGGAAAGACTCCAACTATTACACAACCAAGTCGCGAGGCCCAGGAGAGACTGATTCTTGCGGCCCATGCCAAGGCTGGCCTTGACCTCAGGGAAACAAGGTACTTCGAGGCCCACGGTACCGGTAAGAAGGAATATTTTCAGTGTCAAATGCAAGTGAACTTTCCGCTGAGACTTCTAGGTACCCCTGTGGGTGATCCAATCGAAACCAGATCTATCGGAGCTGCATATCGGAGGTTCCGAACCCCCGAAGATCCCCTTTACGTGTGAGTGAACACCTTCAGCCAAGCGCTGGAGTTTCTGGCTGACTGGAGACTCTCAAGCGGCTCCGTGAAATCAAATATTGGCCATCTAGAAGGTGCAGCTGGTCTTGCTGGTGTCATGAAGACGATACTAGCCCTTGAAGCTGGAATTATCCCCCCGCAAACCAACTTTGAGAAACTTAACCCAGCCATCGACGCCGAATTCCTAAATATCAGAGTTAGCCAAATCAGCCCCTCACTTGTAGAATCTGTGACTCTAACAAAGAATCGTTATAGATTCCTACTAAGGCTGTTCCATGGCCTACGAAAGGCCTTCGTCGTGCCTCTGTACAGTCATTTGGGCTGGGTGGCTCTAACAGCCATGTCATTCTCGATGATACTCACAATTTTCTTCAACAGCGAGGGCTTTCGGGCCACCACAACACAATTCCTGCCCCCCCTGCCCTTGACAGTATTTCATCTGATAGCGTCCCTATATCACCTCACGACAAGGGTATTATTGTCAATGGGGCCAATGGGGTCAACGGGGAAAACCTTACGAATGGGATCAATACCGTGAACGGCAACGGTGTTATCAATGGAGCTCTGAATGGGATTAATGGTACAAATGGTAACCATGCTTCAAATGACACAAATGGAATAGAATCAGACAAGGACCCGGAGAAGAAGCTGCTCGTTTGGTCGGCAACTGACCAAGATGGTATCGCCCGTCTAAAAAGTGTTTGGAGGGACTACCTGGCCAAACTCCGACTTTGCCCTAAGGAAAAGTCACAATTTATCAGGAACCTGGCTTACACACTGTCAAATCGGCGCACACACTTCTCCCACCGAGCTTTTGCGGTGTTCGATATGTCCGATGACCTCACTGCGCTTGTTGGCAAATTCTCTTCAGCGATCCGGGGAAGCGCAACACCCAAACTTGCCTACATATTCTCAGGTGTAAGAATTCCCTCAAATCCCCTTGAAAACACATGACTGACTTCATTCTTTGGGTTTCTAGCAAGGTAGTCAGTGGTACGCGATGGGGCGGGAGCTCTTCTACCGATATCCCATATATCGAAAGTCCTTACTTGATGCTTCGGTTTACTTTCAGGGACTTGATTGTCCCTGGGACGCTGTGGGTAGGTTGAACTTTTATTCTTTTTTTTCCTCAAAATTCCCCGAGACCGACCTAATCATTCAATAGATGAACTTATGAAAGGCGAAAACGAGACGAATGTAAATGATGCCGAATACAGTCAACCGCTCTGTACAATCATCCAGATAGCTCTAGTAGATCTGCTGAACAGCTTCGGTCTCCGGCCTGCAAAAGTTGCTGGACACTCGTCAGGCGAAATTGCAGCAGCGTAAGTTTAATTGTGACTATTATCAAAACAAATCGAGCTAACATCACGCTCGGCAGATACTGCGCAGGGGCTCTATCGAGGCATTCAGCATGGAAGATTGCCTATCTTCGCGGGCTGCTGGCAGCACGGCTGACCTCGACCTCGCCTAACAACACAAACAAAGTCAAAGGCTCTATGATGGCACTTGGCCTACCCGCAGCTGAAGCCAATAGATACCTGGAACAGGTTGCTGATCAGTTGGGATCCAAGCGGCTTGTGGTTGCTTGCATCAACAGCCCGTTGAATGTGACAATCTCAGGCGAGGAATCACACATCGATCATCTCAAAAAGCTCCTTGATGCGGCCCCAGGTGGGATATTTGCAAGGAAACTGAAGGTCAGTGTCGCCTACCATTCCTTTCAAATGCTGGAGGTGGCAGATGAGTACGTGTCTCGGATTGGACAGCTTCGCCCTCCGCCAGTCAGTTCAACATCAGCGCCTCTCATGGCTTCTTCCGTAACCGGGACATGGATTCTCCCAGATGATTTGCTAAAAGCAGAGTATTGGGCCAGAAATATGGTATCACCAGTGCTTTTCTCAGACGCTCTCGCCACAATATGCGCTTCACCTACCACGGGAAAAGCCAGTTCAACAACCACTAAGCTAGACCGCAGCCACTTGAGAACAGTACCGATCACAGAGATCGTGGAAGTTGGACCACATTCGGTATTACAGGGTCCTTCGAGAGAAATACTTCGCTCCATTGGTAAAGAAGGGAGTGTGCAGTATGCTTCCGCATTAATCAGAAACAAGTCTGCCACCACTACTATTCTAGAACTTGCCGGCCGTCTCCATTGCTTGGGATACCAACTGGATCTTGAGCAAGTCAATAGTAGCGCTTCAGAAGTGGATGCATCAGTACCTCTCAAGGTGTTATCAACTTTACCTGCGTACCCTTTCAACCACTCAAGGGTGTACTGGGCAGAGAGCAGAATAAGCAAGGCTTTCCGGTTTCGCAAATTTAAGAGACATGATTTGTTGGGTGCTCAGTCATTCGATTGGAACCCCCTTGAGGCTAAATGGCGTCATACTATAAGGATATCAGATCTGCCATGGGTTGAACACCACAAGATCAATGGGACGGTTCTGTACCCAGCGTCCGGGATGCTTGTCATGGCCGTCGAGGCAGCTCGCCAGATGGCTGATTCAACACGCAAGCTATCGGGGTTTGTGTTTCACGATACCTCTTTTCATTCAGCACTGGTCATTCCAAATGATGCCGATGGTATCGAGGTGAACCTTCATATGCGGCCTCGCAAGAATAGCAGCGAGAAAGATGCAGGCTGGTTCGATTTCTCGCTATATGAACGTGAGGAATCTAGCCAGAGTGGCTGGAAAGAAAATTGCAATGGCTCCATTCAATTAAATTACACCGATGAACAAAGCAGCGTTGACGGCGAAACCGATGGTCTGGGGGTCAAAAGGGAAGAGGTTGCCTGGGAACAGTCCCGTCTGTCTCGTATTCAGAAGATTCGGGGCAACTGCACGGAGGCCGTCGAGCCAGATAAGCTGTACGAGAAGCTTCTCTCGAGTGGGTACAACTACGGCCCTTCGTTCCAAGGTATCACAAGGATGAGTTATGATGGCAAGGATTCATCCGTAGCCACGGTAAAGACGTACCGGTGGTCAGACTATTTTGAAGGGCCGGATCCTGGTGCTGAGCATGTTGTGCATCCCACCACCCTCGACACGATCCTTCACACTATGCTTGCCAGTCTCACTCATGGCGGTACGGAAGAAATCTCAACAACCATTCCTACTTTTGTTGAACACATGTGGATCTCGGCCAGCCATGGACTTAGTTCCTCAGAGGCGGGTGCGGTTAACGTTGTTACGACTGGGCAGAAATACGGTCGCCGAGATGCTCGATCCTCGCTCACTGTGACGGCCTCGGATGGCCAGACTGTCTTGATCGACGTTGCTAACTTTCAAACAACCGTTATTGCGAGCGACGGAGGCCAGAGCAACGAAATCGAGCAAAGTTTCAAGCCAGGCTATACACTGGATTGGAAGCCTGATTTGACCCTTTTATCTCCAACAGAGCTCCAGGAATTTTGTGGCGAGTCGAACATTGACGTGGTTGAAGGCTCAAAGGCTACAAACCAAGAAGTCGTCACATTCCTTACTGTTTCCATGGCCTGGACACTCAAAATGCTCGAAGGCCATCAATCAGAAACAGAGTCCAATTACATCAAGTGGATGCGTCGACAAATCAAAAGGTTAAACAACCCTGCTCTGGCACAACTGGACGATACCACATTCGAACAGATGGTGAGCAATCTTGAGAGTCATGGTGCACAGGGCAGAATTCTTGCAGCCATTGCAAGAAACCAGGCCGCTTTACTCAAAGAAGGCACTTGTAAAGTAAACTCTCCAGCACTCGTCAGCCTTGCTGAAGAATATATCGACAATGCTGTAAGTCAAAGTCCATCATCTTGAAGTGTATATTTGAGAACAGGAATCTGACAACTTTCAAGCTTCAAGCACCGTTCTTTGACAAGTTGTACACTCTTCTTGATTGCATGGCGCATAAGAAATTGAATCTTCGTATTCTAGAGTTAGGTACAGGCAGCTTATCTTTGACGGATCGAATCCTGACGACGCTCAACACCCGAGACAATGGTACCGAATCAACTGCAATGCCACGTTTCGCATCCTATGAATACACCACCAAGTCACACGAGACTACTGATGTTTCAAAGTCAAAGTTCAAAGGACCAAGCGCCAAAGTCAGCTTCAAAACACTGAATATTGATCACGATCCGGAAAACCAAGGGTTCGAATTGGGAGGCTATGATATTATACTGGCTTCTGGCGTAAGTCATTTCAGCAGTTTTCAACAATTTTTCTGCTAATATTATTTCTTAGGGATTTCCAAACCTCTTGGATGACCTCGTTTCATTGAAAAATGCTCGCAAGCTACTGAAGCCGTAAGTGTATACACAAATGGAACTGTAAAGAGGCATGCTTCTTACAAATTATATAGTGGTGGAAAGCTCATTGCTATCGAGGCACCAAGGCACGATGAAGCACTTCTCGCAAACTTTGTATTTGGTCTGGACAAGGGCTGGTGCTTAAGTAAGTCTAACCAGTGCCACTTTCTTTCTTTGGACCATTCGAATAATCATCAATATTGACTATCGCAGGTCCCGAGAAGTGCACATCCGTACTTTCTGATATGAATCAAAAACACCGCACTGAAGTACTCGGCTCGGCGCAGTTTTCTGATCTGGAGGTTGTCCTTCGCGATTCGCACGACCTAGCACTCGAGAAATTTTCTATCTTTACCACTACTGCAGTGGAAGAAAATGGTGTTAAGGATAGTGGCAGAATAGAAAGGACGAATGGGAGTCGACTTATTATCATCCACCATGATGATGATGCCAAGCAAGAGAGCCTTGCGCGGCAGATACAAGCCTTGATCAACGACTCACAAAGTACCGGGTTTCCTGATATTCAAGTGACAGATGTGACATCCGCAGTAGACCTCTCACCTTTTGGCCAAGACACAATGATTGTCTTCCTTCTCGAGCTTGGAGCGCCTGTGTGGTACACGATGGATGATACACTCTATAACAAACTTCAGAGGCTCCTTATTTCGAACATCAATTCCAAGATGCTCTGGGTGGGCCAAAACGGGTCTACAGGAGGCAGCGACGGGCCTAAAGTGAATCAATCGGCTTACCGACTTATTGATGGCCTCTCGCGCGCGCTCAATTCGGAGAACGACGGTGAGATATTGAGTCTCCTAAGTCTTCAACAGGAGGGAAGTCTCTCTTCCAGACAAATGAGCCATATCCTTGCGGTAATACGAAAGGTTCACGCTCAATCGGATGAGTTCATGGACACTGAATGGGTTGAGAAAGATGGCCGACTATGTGTGCCAAGAATGGTCCAGTCGCCATCGCTCAAGGACAAGGTTTCCTCTCGATTGATCCCACAATATGAGACTCAGCAGGCCTGGTATAAAGGCAAGGGTCCTGATGATAGGGTGCCGCTGAAACTGGCTTTAGGAACCCCTGGTTTGCTCAACACTCTCCATTTTGTGGAGGATAAAGAGTACTCGACTACACAACTTGGTGAGGGCGAGTTGGAAATCGAGGTCCAAGCCGTTGGGGTCAACTACAGAGATGTTCTATCAGCTCTCGGAAGATTGAAGAATGCTCAGGTTGGCTGCGAGTGTGCCGGAATCGTAACCCAAGTTGGTTCCGGGGTAGTTGGCTATCAAGCTGGAGATCGCGTTGCTGCCATCTCCCCCATCGATTGCTACCGCACATATCTTCGTGTTGACCATCGCTTCACTGCCCACATCCCTGATTCAATGCCACTGAATATAGCAGCAGCAATGATCATCAATCACCTGACCGCTTGGTGGACTCTTCATGAATTAGCACATCTTGCTCCTGACGAGACTGTACTTGTCCATAGCGGCGCGGGCGGCACAGGTCAGGCTGCCGTGCAGGTGGCACAGCATATCGGGGCCCAGGTTCTGGCAACCGTGGGCACTGAAGAGAAGAAAGCGCTGCTGAATGAACAATACGGGATAGACTCCGATCATATCTTCAGTAGCAGAGTGGCCTCCGCCTTTTCTCGCGGGGTCCAGCGTACGACAAAAGACCAGGGCGTCGACGTGATACTCAGCGCTCTAAGCGGTGAAGGTTTCATATCATCGTGGGAATGTCTCGCGCCGTTTGGCCGATTTATGGAAATAGGCAAACGGAACATCCATGAGCGCAAGAGTCTACCCATGGCGCGGTTTGACACTGGTGTCTCCTTCCACGCCTTTGACATCGGAGTTGTCTGCAGGTCGAGACCCAACACGGTCCGGCCGATGCTGGAGCAGCTCTTCGGCTTGTATGAAAAAGGAGTGCTGCGGCCAGCTTTCCCATTGCAAGTACATGGCGTGTCAGACCTAGAAAAGGTCCTCCGAGTCATGCAGCGAGGCGACAATATGGGCAAGATTGTGATAGAGATGCGGCCCGAAGACAAAGTAAAGGCAGTCCTCGATAGGAAGCCAACCACCTCACTCCGGCCAGATGCAACCTATATGGTAGCTGGCGGTCTTGGGGGGCTCGGAAGAAGTATGGCCGCATGGCTTGTAGATCGCGGTGCCCGCCATCTCATTCTGCTGGCGAGATCAGGGCCGCGGACGCAAGAGGCCCGCGATTTTGTCGAAAGTCTGACTCTCAAAGGTGTCCAAGTTGCCACTCCGCCTTGCGATATTAGCGACGCCGATGCCTTCCGATCAGTCCTCGACAATTGCTCGTCGACTATGCCACCAATCCGTGGCGCTATCCAGGCGACGGGACTTCTCCGCGATGCGATCTTTGAAAGGATGTCATATGAGACATGGCAGGCCGCCGCCGCGCCAAAGACATTGGGGTCCTGGAACATGCACTCTCTCCTTCCAACCAACCTAGACTTCTTCATTGGTATATCATCAGTAGCTGGTGTAGCTGGTGGTCGCGGTCAGGCGAACTACGCCGCTGCAAATACCTACATTGACGCACTCATGAAGTACCGTGTTGACCAAGGGCTACATGGCGTAGCCCTAGACCTGGGTGTGTTCCTCGATATTGGCTTTGCGACTGAAAATGCCGATCTTTGGGCACGCTGGGAGGCACAACGAGCACTGACAGTAACCGAGGCCGATTTGTTCGCCCTCCTAGACTGCTGCTGCTCCGAGAAGATGCCTACTCAAGTGATATACGGGATTAATAGCTTTGTTCAAGATCCATCCATCAGACACCAATTCTTCCGCAAAGCAATGCTTCGAACGCTTGCCATAGAGGACGAAGAGGAAAGCGGCAATTCAGGGGGATCAGGCAAACAAGCTGCCCAGGACGTAGACTTTAGTTCCGTCTTTGCACAGGCCGTCACTTTAGATGATGCAGCAAGTGCCGTCAATGAAGCGCTATTGCGCAAGCTATCTACAATGCTCGCACTGCCTCGAGAGCAGCTAGACCCAGATACACCACTACATACATATGGTGTGGACTCTCTTGTCGCCGTCGAGTTGAGAAACTGGTTCGCGAAGGAAGTGCATGCTGAGCTGGCTATTTTCGACATCCTAGGCGGAGCTACAACACGCTCAGCAAGCACATTGGCTGCGGTAAAGTCGAGACTCAAGAAGGGAAGCTGGGAAGAAACCAAGGTTTAACATGCCACATGCCAGGGAAACTGGGCATCAATCATCAAACAATACGACGTCTGGCAAAGGCAGACATGACCTGTCAAATTTACGTCAAGAAAGGGTGGTCAGAGCGATCAATCCTGTGAGTAGGTTGCATTGAGCCGTATATTGCATATTTTGATAAACCCCACGAAGTCGATCATGAGAAAGAACAAATTATTAGTAAAGTTCTCCTAGCCAAGCCCCCCTCTACCATGTGATAAAGGGTCTGTGTAGATCGGCCCATCCGGCTCTTGTTTTCTCGAGGAGTTGAATGCATCATCTGGAACATTGTTTATCATCCGGGGGTAGGCCTCCCACCACACATGTCAGCTCAATGCTTCTTCCAAGGCGCTAATGCAGTATTTATTTGGGGGCTGAGAAGCCATCTCTCAGCTGTTACTACTCGCCCAATAAGAAAAAGAGCACGGCCGTACTTTAAATTCAAGCGTAATTCAGATGTGCTGCTAGCTGTTTGTTTCCCCCCATGAAGGGATTAGTCCACCGCCACCCAAGACATCTTGTCTTACTTTGGGCGTCATGATGGGCACATCCGTGCATAACGGTCCCTTCTACCAAGTGACATGGCGCAGCATGTTGCATTAGACAAACTTATGCTTTTGGTGGCTGCCCATTGAAGCCCCCCTCTCTGCTCCTCCTAAACCTCATCACTACAATTCCCCATCAAGTTCATTGCGTGAACTTGGTTGTGTGAAAAGACTACTCACGATGCGGCTTTCTTCTTTTCCAAGGCTGGGAGCACGAGCTCGCCTTTTCGCTCTTTTACTCCTTGCCATCCATGCCAGCGCTGAGGTGCCTCATCCAACCATCACAGAGGCTCCCAGCACATTCGAATTGGCTGCTCGGCAGGCCCAACGGTCGTCCAACTTCCTTGGCTTCACCGTAGACTCCACGGGAGGCTGTGAGTTGGCACCTGGCCGCCATCAAAGGAGACAGAGCTATGAGAACTAACAGGCCTGAATAGATGACAGAATAACTTGCGGATCCGGTTCGACCTTTGCGATATCCTCGACTTGGGCAGGATGTGCGCGCACGTCGGCCCCAGGTTTACCTACAAGTTGTCGAAGCAGCTCGACACTCATTTACGCTACCGGTTCAGCCCTGTGGTATGTATATCATCTCCCTCGTGACACGCCATGTCCAAAGGCACTTGCTAAGCTGTGTTGGCGACAGTCCCTCGAACTTGCCCGTGTGCGGCTTCCATTTCATATACACCGACCTAGACGACCAAGCACCATTTACAAGAGTCGGCTGTGCGAAGATTTTGAATCCCATTCGCTACTATCGAACAACTACAGGCTCTCGCTCCTCAGCTAGGATCACAACGAGGTCGTCTACATCGAGAACCGCGTCGAGGACCACGTCGAGAATCTCGTCAACGAGAGGAATAGAATCCACAACTTTCGAGACGTCTACGATTGCGCCCACATCATCCGAACACCCCACTAGCAGCGAAACAGATTCCGTTGCCGACGACGTAAATGAACCACTGCCTCAGCCACCCGCCAGCCTTGCCTGGATCGCCGGCCCCATCGTTGGCGGGATTGCTGGCCTCGTCATCATCGGCCTACTGGTTTGGATCATCAAGCTCTTGCGGAGGAGGAGCGCCGCTCGACAGGATGCTGCCCTCACGCCCGCCGGGCCGCAACAATCGCCGCAGGTGGAAAAGTATGTCGCTGCGTCGCCGAATCCCACCGTTTCCCAGCCATCGCCGGCCCCGCCGTATACATCACCCAGACACTCGCAGTGGACCTACTCTGCCGAGTTACCTGCCACTCGGGTTTCATCGCCGCCGACGGAACTAGCTGGGAGTGGACAATGGGGCAACGAGTTGCCAGGAGACGCGGCCAGGGGAGGGTAATAATGAGCACTAGTCCCTAACACAGTGACTTATGGACCGTGTATAAATGAACTGGTTTATTTGATATTGAAGGAAGTCGTAATGAAATATATGATGGCAGTCTGTTAGAACTAGAACATCGCCCGTGACACTCCAATTGACATCGAGTAGGGCATGTACTATCCAAGCTAAGATTCATAAGCGGGCATAAGAAAGAAAAGAAAACAACGAATCTTCATGAAGAGGATGAAGAAAGAGATATCCCAAGATAAGGATCAAACATAAGCACGACAAACTGCGGAAACAACTCAAAATACCGATGCCGGGACCGCCTCGCTTCAGGGACTTCGCTTCTTGAGAGTAGATGAGATGGTGTCCCTCATGAATCTCGGGACAGCCAGTTGTTGGTTTTGGGGTGGTAGGGTTTCTTCAAACACTGGTGGGGGGTTCATTGGCTCTTGAATGACCGGAAGCGGACGCCATTCGGGGTTATAAAGCCTCAGCTGTTGGTTGCTCCTGTGAGTATACGTCCGAGGGTCATTCTCGTCCCATCGAAAATGCACCCTCGCGATATAGTACTCTATGCGGGACTCGGCAGTCCCATATCTGGCCCATCTGTCATCGCTTCTCATGCTCTTTCCACTCCATGTGGAATACGCAACTGACTGCGAGGACAAAGTCACCCCGTCCTCCCTCTTGAAGAGCCATTTCTCCATCATCTGCGAAGCTAGCTCATCCACCTGCCCTTTCATGCGACGAACAGTTTCGAGCTCGATAATGAGTTGACGCACGCTCGTTGGTAGTACCTTGGAGACTCCTCGCGTCCAGTTTCCCTCGAGTTTCAGAGGTCCATTCTCCCAGTTGAACCAATCCGTATGCCGAATCGTGATGGTGATGATGTGAGGGCGAATTCCAACGTTCAGGATCTTGTTTATGATTCCAACCTTCTCCAATGAATACACTTGAGCGAAAATCCGAAGATCTCTGAACTCCTGCCTCAGCCACAGCATCGGGAACGAGGACCGCAGCTTCTTCAATTCCGTAGCCAGATTGTATTCCGGGGGGCAACACCACTCTTGGAGGGCAGCCCAGTAGACCTGCTCGCGAAGGAAGAAGGGGAATTGCCAGTACTCCTGGTAGACGGCGCGGCAGGTCCGCAACACAGCCGTGCAGGTTACAAGAGGCGCCGAGTAGCCTGGGCGGGCATAGGCTTCGCAGCGATGATATTCCCGCTCGGGAGATTGGTCAGGATACGATTGCAGCACAAGAGTGAATATCTCGGTTCTGATCTCGGCGGGGATTTTCGTGAGCAGGGTCGACCGAGTCTGTCTGATGGCGGACGCTTGCAGGATCCGTTCGTGGAGCACCACTGAGGCCATCCGCATTTCTTTCATGATTGTAAATGGATGTTGAGAAAAGCAGAAACAGGCAAATCAAAATGAACTAGACGCAATCCACGAGCGAAGTAACAAGGTGCATACCCTCCAAGATTATATAACGGGCGGTTCTAAAGGCAGCAGTAGGCAGCAGTCGGCACATCGGACTCTTGATGTGCATCAGCCACAAAAGTCCGAGGTAGCCACCCAAAACGGTGCTGACAGGGCTTTTACTGAATGTGGAATTACTACTGGAAATTGAACGCGGTGCAGAGCTGAGGCCTGCAGTACTGAGAACTGTAAGTGAATTAAATCTCGCCTTTGTAATTCTACCCTCGCAACTGTCAAGTTGATCGAGGGAATAATATGGATGTTGATGGTGAGGATTGTTTGACTTTGCCAATGCTCAACTGTGAATAAAGTCATGGATTATTGGCAGTAAACTGCCTAAAGTTGATTTTACATGATGCTTGAACTTGAGAGCCAAGCGACATTTGTGAGGGTTGAGTCTACGTTTGGAATGTGTCGAATCCCAGTCTGAAGAAGTTCATCATCAAGCAGTAGATTTCACACGGCTTGAGTCATGATACGGAAGTTCCAAGTTGAAATGCATCACAGTATTCTAGCAATGACAGCCCCGGGATGAAACAAGTTCTCATGGAAAATCAACGCGCTCTATTCTCCATCTTCCTCCGCGGCGTGTTTCTCTTTTCTCCACCTGGGGCCGCACTTCTGAATAACAAACAGCAGAGGAGAGAGCAGAGCTGGCAGGGCGCCGAAAATCGTAAAAGCCCATCCATACCCAATCTTAAGAAACAGAGGCTCCATGAATGCGGTTCCCGCTGCTCCCAGCAGACACCTTGCCATGTTGTTGGCCGCTGAGGCTGTGGCGGGGGCCTTCGGGTGTAAATCAACAATCAGCGTGTTCATCACGCTGAATGAGCCGGGGAAGCAGAGCCCGATGATAAACTGCAGAACCAAGGGCACGGCCACGCTGGCCTTGGCTTGGAGAACCCAGCCGTATGCGACGAGCGTCCCGACCCCGAGGACTATCACAGGGGTGACTGTCTCAAGTCGGGCTTTCTCGAGTGGGAAGTTCAGAAGATTGTCGCCCCGTCTTCTGTCGATTTTGAACCCGACCTTCTTCGCGACGCGGCGGTAGTTCCAGTCTAGAATATATCCCTGACCAACGCTGGAGATGCAGCAGCCAGCACCGTATGGCAGATAGCATAGACCAACCTCAAGATCCGAGAAGCCGTACGTCTTCTGGAACAGAGTTCCCAGGGTTGCCGCCACGATAACGAAATCCAGGTATAGGATCGAGCTGTACAGTAGGATAAGTGACATCTCCTTGTTGAATATAATTTTCAGGGTGTAGATAGGATTCGGGAAGCGTAGCTTAGGCCGCTCGATGGTCTGCCCAGGCGCCTCTTTTCGCCCTTTGATGATTTCAAAAAGAGTTCTGTTCCATCTCTGCGGCGGTATACTTCCATTTCCAACCACAGCTCGGCATGTCTCGGGAACGACCAACAAAAAGGGAATTAACCATACAACGGCCAGTATGGCACTGAACCAGAATATGGAGGGCCACCCCAGGTAGGCTGAGAAGATTCCACCGAGAACAGGGGCTAGATCACATTATGAGCTCAGCCGCCTTTCCAACTTAGCAAGATCAACCGACTTACCTAGCGTGGGTCCAACATTGATGCCACAGTAGATTATGCCCATGTATTTCCCCCTCTCGGAGCTCGTGACTAGATCCGCTACCACGGCAAAGCCGAGTGCAATCGTGCCACTGTTACCGCAGGCCTGGATCATCCGCAGAACTAGCAGGGCCGGGTAACTTCTCTGCAGAGCGAGGCCAATGTTGGCGAAGAGGTAGATCGTGAACGAGAGGAATAGAGCCGGTCGCCGACCCGCGGTGTCGCCCAAGTCACCGTACATGGAAGGGATTATGGCCTGGAAAATCATGTAGGACGTGACTGTCAGGTTAATCAAGGATATGCTCACGCCGAGGTCTCTGGACAACGGCACCAGAGCAGGGTAGTATATGGTGGCGGTCATTGGAGAGACAAAACTGGCAACTGCGGCCATGAAGATGATCCATCTCCTACTTCCTCTAGAGAAGACGGAATACTCTGGTCCGGGTGTCTCCGTCCTCGTCAGAGTTAAGTCTCCATTGGTGGCCGATGATGATGGCTGGATGGGTTCTAAAGCCATGTCTTTCCCGCCCGCTACTTGCACTTGCTGCTCGACATCAGCCGTTGTTACAGATGGTCCAGTCAATTTCCCATCCTGGGTGGTCGCGTGACTCATGGCGCCTTAGAAGGGACATGAGCCGCGTTGTTTGAGTGGGAAACTTGTGTACTGAGCGTATCGAGAGCCGAGCAGGGCCGTCTCTTGAACTTGAATGGATAGAGACTTCTCGCAATAGCGCTATTCTCATGAGCATCACTCAATTGAAGTGTGGAGGAACTGGGAGTCAGTCGGTGAGGAAAAAAGAGGGCAACGGACTTGAGCCACTCTTATTGCCGGTCGGTTCAGTCCTCGCCGAATACCACCCAACGCAAGATAACCCGCTCCCGGTACCGGAGGATACCCAAGGCACCGCACTGAAGGCCGCAATTCCGATCGATCACTGGTAAACTGATGGCGCAATTGAAGGCCGTGGTTTGGCCACAAACGGAATGGGACCGCCGGCCGTCCATTGCCGCGAAATGCCGATTTATCCATGGCTTCATATAGAGCTAAGCTGTAAGTTCTTCTCAGTTTGCAACTCATTGAAGCTTCGAAAATTGTAAACTCTAACATTTGAGTCTCGCCAGAGGTTTCCCTACTCTATTAACCAGACAAATACTGCGCATGGGCGGGCACATGGATATCCCTTTGTTAATTACTGGATTCGGGATCGGAACGTTCCGAGGGTCATGTAGCTTGCCGGCTAGTGGGTAATTTCAAAAGCCCTGCGTGCAGCAACTTGAGTTTGTTGTGAAAGGTTGTGAAAGATTCCAACCAAACCTCAAATACCATGGTCTCGATCATTCATAAGACGTTCGAAACGTGTGCAAGATCGAAATAGGATAAGCCATGACCAAGCATGTTGGCAAATCAAAGAAAGACAAGGAATCGAAGCAGATGTATTCATTCGTTTAGTCTATCGGAAGGAATCCTCCCCAGAGATGCAGATCTAATGTGACGGCGGCCAGCCCTACCCATGAAGCGACAGAACTCAGCTAGGCCGATTGCGCCATGCCATATGCGAAAGAGAGAGCTCGTTTGACGTCTTGGATGTATAACTGGTGAGAAACTCGCTTGTTTCCCCTTGTGCCCTAGAGAGAGTTGCGGCGTACAATGAATTGTGGAAGTGTATTCCTGTCATGATCTCATCACAAAATGATTCCTCTTCACAATCACACACCATGGCGCAGCTGTCTGAAGGCACTGGCCGGCTCTAGCTTTCGGCAAATGGTAAGTAATCATAACAAAATAAGCCGTACTCAGACACGTCATTGCTTGCCATGGTTCGTAAGGCATCAGAGATGGCCAGTCACCCATATTGACCTGGCTCCTATAAATTGAACTTCAGCCTAGCCTCAAGGACATGGTACTCACCATGAAGGCAAGGCTACGCAAGACGACTTATCCGTGCAGTATATCATTGGCTATATCATAGAAAGATACATGATTGGCCTTCGCAAACAACACTGCTTATAGACACCAACCATCCCCAGACGCAGCCAAGAAGAGGGGGAATGGCTATCTTGGAGGTGCGTCGTCGCACATCAATGGCTGCGCGGGTGCGTTGTTCTGCACATGCACAACAACGCCTTTTCGGCCTAGCAGGTCGAGCCGTCCGCTAGCCCAGCTGGACTATTGCATTGGAGGACACCCTCACTGGCTGTTTCACTGCATGTCTCGGATGGGGGACCGTCCATCAAGGACCCTCTATCCGACTGTCGAGAGCAACTCGGCCAGAAACGCTACACAAACCAGCAAAAACCTCCACGAACAGACAACCTCTGTTCCGAGAGCATCCCATACCTACAGCCCCCCTTCGCGTACCGGGAGCCTGGTCACCGGAATCCATTCCAGAGAACCAACCTCCTCTCTCCAGACCCCCTGGCCCCGTCCGCCCCATAGAAATCATGCACATTAACGAGGTTAGGCAATAATGTGCAGACCTGGGCCCTCCGGGACGAACCAGTAGCATCCGCAGGCGCCCCTCCCATCGACCCAGGCGCGGCCCATGTCCATGGCGGTGGGTATCTGTCCCCATGCCATGTAGGGGGAGGCGTAGGCAAGACTCTCTCCCCCCGTCCGTCCCTTCAGGTGAGCCGCTCGATCAATTGAGTTGTTTCTCTTTAGAATTAGGCGTTTCCCTCTAGACTAGGCTTGCCGTCTATTCTCTACTCGATCTCGTTTCGAAATCATCTTGTATACAGCAATGGCCAGCTTCACCAACGCAAACGCCCCAAAGCGGGTGGCAATCATCGGAGCAGGAGTGACAGGACTGTTGATTGCCCAGGGGCTACTAAAGGTACGGCTCTACGGCTCTTCTGCTCTGTTCCTTTCATGCGCTAGAGAAGCACGAGGAAAAGCAAACGGATAGGCAGGAGAAGGTCGGACCTGTTGGCGCTAATCTTTCCCCTTCCGCTAGAATGGCTTTCAAGTGACGGTGTACGAGCGAGATCCAAGCCTCGAGTTCCGCGGTAATTGACTGAACCACCCCTCCCCTCCCTCACTCTCTCAATCCCAACGTTGCACCCGCCCCCAAACAATGCCGGCCGGTCGCTGACGCCCAGTGGCAGACAACCGCCCGGTGAGCTTCATGATCCACTGGGGGTTTGAGACGCTCTCGGAGCTGCTCCCCGCCGATCTGTGGGCGGACATCCACACGACCTTCTGCAACCCCGCCGCGCGCGATGCAAAGGAGAGCGAGGGCATCAAGTTCTACAACGGCCACTCGGGGGACTTACTCTTCCAGGCCCCGCCGATGGTCATCAAGCGGGTGACGAGGCAGAAGCTGCGCAAGCACGCGGCCAAGGGCGTCGACATCCGATGGAGTGTGACGTTCGAAGACCTCAAGGTTCAGGACGATGGGGTCAAGATCACCTTCAAGGACGGATCCGAGACAACGGCCGACTTTGTCATCGGCGCGGACGGGTCGAGGTCCAAGGTGAGGCAGCTGCTGCTGGGCGAGGATAAGTCCCAGCTCACCAAGTCGGACTTTGTGTGTGGGTACACGAGCGCCGTGCTCGGGCAGGAGAAGGCGGAGGCCATTCTCAAGGCGCACCCTGTATGGGCCATGGTCTACCATTCAATGGGCGTGCTCGCCATCGGAGGTACGAAGATCAGATTTGGTGCCGGGTTGGAATGTCAGTCAACTAACATGGCGAAATGCAGCCGAGGACGCCGTCAATCCAGATGACATATCAACATGGATCTTCAACATCACGCGCATCTGGCGTGGCGAGTCACCGCGCCAGGAAGGCCCTGATGCAATCAAGACCATGAAGGATATAACCGAAACGTTCAGTGAACCGTTCAAGTCCATCGTCCAAGGCTTGCCCGAGGACATACCTGCATTTGTTCGCTCGCTGTACTACTGGCGGCCGGTCCAGTGGCCCAACCTGGATGGCAAGATCACGATCGCTGGAGATGCGGCGCACCCTATGCTTCCATGTACGTTCAGTTTCTCATCATCAATTTATTACCACCAGCCTGGTGGTGGCACCCGAGTTCTGTTCCCTCTCCTTGTCATTGCAATGCTAACCGTCTGGCTCCTTCCCAGTCCGCGGCCAAGGGTTGAATAACGCTCTTGACGACGCTGTCAAGATTGTACGTGCTCTCGTGGAGGTGTCAACTGGCAAAGCAGAGTTGAAGGAAGCAATTGATAAATATGACGCGGATGTGGTTGAGCGTGGCGCAAGAGCTGTTGATATTGCCGTCAACGAAGGAAAGCTGGTCCAGGACATGGACAGATTGACAGAGATGGTGGTCGCGAAGAAAGGAGTCGGCAAGCCCTGAGTTCAAGTGCCTGTTGAGACTGAAAGAAACATGATATTTGTAGTGAATTCATACCCATCCACGCGCAAAATCAATTAACGCTGCGGAAACCCCATTCGCCGTTGCAAAATTCAAGCAGCAATAAATAAGACAAATAGAGAAAGTACAAAAGTACATGCTGGGAAATGTGTCATGTCATCGCTTCGTTAAGCTCATCCTGTCGTAGGCTTCTGGCCGTAGACAACGTGAAATGTGTAGTAGGAATGTATCGATGTGTTGGCCAACGACCTCCGCACACCTATCAAGTACTTCTCGATCTCTTCAGGTGTCCACTTCAAACCACGCGAGTACGGACCCATGGCAACGCCTTGCAGGGCATCTGCGATCACTGAGCGGTTGTACATGCCAATGGTCTTCCACTTTTGGTCCCTGGCCCACGCGCCAATGGGTACCTTGAAGATCTTCTCCTCTACATTGACGAATCCAGCGTCGATGAGAAGTTGTTGGTTCCTCTCCATGCCGAGAAGATCAACTCCGAAGCAGCTGAAGCCCTTGGCGAGGTTGCTCATAAAGTCGGCCACCAAGTAGTCGTCGGGCATCGTTCCGTCGTCGCACGAAGGTTTCAACCTGAGATCCTGTAGCTCAATCCAAGCGCCAGGCCGCAATGTTCTGTCGTCATGTTAGCTGATGCGCTGAGGATTAATAGCCGGTCAAGCCAGGGGTGTCCGTACCTGTATGCCTGCTGAAGCAGCTCAGGCCAATTCTTGATGGCTGGGGCCATATGTCGGGCGTGAATGAAGTCAACCGACTCTGGTTTGTCGATCCATTCCGATTCGACGTCGTCGACGTAAAACTTGACGTTGGGCGGCACGAATGACGGTTGGATGGGGCTGAGGTCGACGCCGATGATCTCTGCGCTTGGGTATTCGTCCCCCACTAGAAATTATTAGTATGAGCAAACTGGAAACGAAGCGCTGGTGGTATTTACTGTCGATTGCCCATATCCCAGTACCGGTTCCGAGGTCGAGGATCATCTGAGGGTGGTCGAGGGGGGCAAAGTGCAGGTTGTTGTTGGCGACATGCAGGCACATGGTGTGCTTCATGTCCTCGCGCTCCTGCTCGATGTCATCGTTGGGGATGAGGTACCGGCCCTCCTTGAACTTGTGATATCGGCGGTTGTTCTCGAAGACGTAGTCGCGCACGCTCGAGGCCAGCGACGTGGAGGCGGCAGAGTCCGAGTCCGACTCGTACCCTTCGACGGAATCCGAGGCGTCGAGATCGGCCTCGATGGATTCTGGAGAGTCGGCGTGGTCGGCACTCGGGGGTGACGGTTCACCGCTACTGACGGATTTCGGGGGTGGAGGCATGAGGCTTCGCGGTAACGGTCGAGGCGAGGATTTGTTTGATTGGCATCAATCAGGAAGGGGAGGGGGAGGAAGAAGGGCTAGCCAGGCGCAGGATTTGGCATAACCGACGCTAGACAAAGCAGAAGGAGGAGAACGAACTGCCTTGTAGGGAGCGACAAGACTGTCTTGGGTTGAGCTGGACAGGAAAAGGAAAAAATAGCAAATTCGCAATACAGTGCTAGAGGAGGGACAGTTTAGGGGCGGATTCAATCCAAGCCCGAGACAAGACCAGCGCGATCAGAACGGATGGCCTGGAGGAAGGTGGAGCCTGCGCCAGGCCAGCGTTTGCCCATGTGCGCCGCACCTTCCTCGCCTCTGGCAGGGGAAGGGGAAGGTGCGATGAGTGGTGCAGCTCGCAGCGGTCCCCGGCTGACTCAGCTCCCGCGCGCCCGCTGTGGTCTAGCGGTTCAGCCCTCTGTGCTAGCGCTGCACCGTTCGGCCAGCGAGCGTTGAAGGAAGCCAGCTCAGGGGGTCGATCGGAATGGCAGTGGTGCGGATGTGGAAGGTCCAGTCGTCTGTCGGCCGCTGCTCCAGGCCTGTAGCTGTCCGAGAGCCCTGTCCCCCAGAGACAGTTGCACCTGTTTGTGGGCTCCTGACCGTTTAATCGACCTGGAGCGGGGCGGCATCTGATCGTGGTTCGATTCCTTCTTCCCCTCGCAAACCCAGCGGCGGCCATTGGGTGAATGCGGTGGTGAGGATACGTAATTAACTCATTATTGGTTTCTGGATGGGGCCAATGCAGCACGAACCGGCTCAAGACCCTCGGCTTATCCCGCTTCGTCTTGGGCTCGCCTTGGCTGCTGCTCCCTGCCACGTTACGTGGGTTAAACCCTAGCACAACCCGTGCAAGTGTGCTGCACTCATTGACTGAAGCAGGAAACCATGGCATCGGGACTGCAGTAAGGTTGCATCTGCCCAGGGTATGACCAATGAGACAGATATTGATGGGATTATGGAGTACTCGGTGTTTTAACCTATTGCCGAGCTCTTCTTCCACATGCTGTTTGTGCAAAACGGTCCGGTGCCACATCACATGGAGACTTCCGTTTACCTGCTCTAGGGTAGGTACAGCCCCATCAACCGACATTGAAGATTGGGATCGCACGGCTCATTCACCAAGGCTTCTCTACCATTTATACTACTCAGGTACATCGCTGGATTGCCAGTGCGCGTGAATGGGCTGGCGTGTCGCCCGTCCCATTGGACTCCTAAGCCAATGTCACTTCTCTATGATGGTCAGGAATATCGACCCAAATGCTCGCCAGCTGGTTCACTGTCCCGCCGTCATTGGACAACTCAAGCGACACAAGCTCGCGACAGCACCTGGCTGCCAATGCTGAGTCCCAGAACCCTTCGCGGTGATTCCACACGTCCATCAGAAGCACTGCCTCCTTTCTAATCGATCCCACTCGACACTTTAATACCGTCAGGGTCAGAGGGAAGATGATGCACAAGCCCGCGGATAAACTACCTACCCTACAGGCCGAGCCATCGACACTGGTTTAGTTCGAAACATATTCTTTGGCCAGCAGAAGGATGTCCTGAAAATTGCAGATATGCTCGTTAAACGCGTCTTTAGCGTCGCGGGCCATAAAAACTGTAATGAGCACTTGTGTGAGTAGGGTATGCATCTGCAACAGTCGAAAAGTTTGCTGTTCCTGACCACGCACTGTCGCGGAACAAGTTTGGAGAAAACTGTAGCCAACACAGCAGCTTCTCCTGCTCGGCCATGAGGACCTGGTCGCTCAGGTGATCTAATCAATTCTTGAGAACGTTCCTCTCGCGAGTCCTTAGCAATCCACAGGTGTGTTAGAGCAGCGTGTCATATTGCTCTTTTGCATCTTCAAGTGTCATAAAAGGCTGACTCAATGCATCATCGAGGACGGCGAGCTCATCAACCAGAAGTTTGTAGTATGGCGCCTCAGCATCGAAATCTGCAGCCTGTAGGTCAAGCCGGCAAAATCCCGTTCTCATCATCCGACTCACATCATGCGACAGAACATTCCCGGATTCTTCTAGTATCTTCGGCCCGCTCCTGATGTGCCCCCTAGCAGCCTCATATAGGCCGCGCATCAGATCAATATGAATGAAGATCAAACAAGTAGCCAACACACGGAAGTTGCCGTCCGGCCCCAACAACAACCTGATGGCGGCATTATATTGCCCCACCGCAAACTTGTGCTTCTCGTTGTGGGTTAGCCGGTCTTTGGAAATAGGCATGCCAAGGCTCTCCTCGGTCTCGTGGATGACCCCGAAGGCATGCAGGACAGCCGGTTCTGACTGGCTCAGCTGAAGGACAAGCGACGTCCAGAACCCAAAGTCAAACCACGGGCACATCTCCCGGGCGGTCCGATGCTGGAAGAACTTGAACCCGCGGAGCTCCTGGGCTTTGGCGTCGGGGAATTTGGCCAGGACTTGCTGTGGCCTCAGCCTTGGCTTGACTGTGCCAAGCCTGTCGCGAAATACTCCAAACCACTCACAGGTGCGGCCCGTCGATGCGCATCGCGTACAAGATGGGGATGTCTCGTCGCATTTCATTCGCCGTATCCTGATTTGTTAGCTTTCATACATGGCAGGCGGTGGACATCTTACCGATAGGTACGACACCCCTTCTTCGAGCGCCGCGTTTTTGGTTTGCTTGAAGTTTCCATTGGCGCTGTTGCGAAGTAGAGACTGCGAGACTGGTGATGCAGGCAGTGGGTGTTTATTAGATCTTGATTAACAATGTCAGCCTGGTGGGCGTACGTAGCATTGAGGCTTGTAGGCGAGGCTGACACACACAGACTTATCCAAACACAGAGTTGCCCTGCCCAAGTGTATGCGCTTGGAGATCTACCACGGGCAAATAAGAGCCAGACCTGAGGCATCGCTTCTATAGCCACACATCGGTTGAGTAATTTGTACTCTCACAGTTCCCTGATAGGTATCCACATGTTTCTACGTACATCTAGCAATGACTGAAATTCTGGAAGGAACACCCCCGAAAACCTGGTGAAATTATTTTGCCTCTTGTCTAGTCTCTAGAAAACTAAACCCCTCAAAGTCTTCAGCCTCCAAATCTCCGTCAATAGCGCCAAACCCTCAAGCTTGTTCTGAAATGGAACCTCATCTGGTTTGCAAGAGACAAACGGAAGGGGAGATGCCCCGGAAAGATACTTGCGCATTTCCTTGAACGCGCATTGAGACGGTGCGCCCAGGCTGGTGTGCTACATGATAGTTAGTTCTAAGGATTGCTTTTCGCCAATGGAAGCTATGCATGGAACTTACACCGATGCCATTTATTTCAACAAGTCCAGAGTCGGGGAAGAATGTAGATGCTCTCCGGGCCCTGTTATTACAGTCAATACAATACATTGTGCTCTCGCAGCAGGGAAATGAGTTTGCAAAACTCACTCGACGAGTGGCGTAACAGGATCTGCTTTATTGCCAATAAACAAGATAGGCGCACTGGTTTTGTTCGCTGAAGGCGGTAATTGACCTGAATACTTCTGTTAACGATATGCCTCAAATGCTCTCATCTGCGAAACATTCGTACCAGAAAATTGTCCACTTTTTGGTGGCATCACATCCAGAGCACGACAAGTGGCAGATGTAACCGCCCAGGCCTCTCCGGTGTATTTGCTTTGTGCTTTCAAGAAACTTGCATACTCTCGGAAGTTGTCAAGAGAGGAGACGTTGTGTCTAACCCCAGGATCGACACACCCCATCACTGTGTACCCCTGGACCGAGTTGTACCTGGCTTCTTCATTGTTAAACCCATCTTCTTAGAAGCTATCAACGATTTGCCGCGTCACCGTTCCAGATCTACGAGAATCCGAGCAATTTTTGGGTAGGATGCCAGAGCGAAGTGAGTAGCAAGGAGTAAGACGTTACTCCAATCTGCAAATGTAGCCAGAGCAGGCACGTCAACAACCGCGGGATCCCAGACAGGGATCGAGTGTTGCTTGAGCCTAGTGAGAATGTTGGAGAGACGATATTCAATAGCTTCAAAAGAATCCTCATAAAGAGTACAGGCCTCCTTCCCAGCATCCAAACAGGAGGAGATCAGCCCTTCGACCACCTTGTCTGTGTCAATAAGGCTTTTGCTCCAAGAGCCCCCGTAGTAGCCCTTGCCATCTGCCACTCCATCAGGGATGAAACGACCGATGCGGTCAGGGAACAGGGGCTCCAAAGGTTGTACCGAGAACGCCTCCGTAGCTGAACCCCGCGAACCACAGCTTCGCGTCTGCTTTTGGCTTGTCTCTTGTCGCGTGCGCGAGTTCGGTGAATGAAAGCATGTCTACATACTTTGCCTCCCATTGGGACCTCCTATCACCGAGTCGCACCAGCGACCGAAGGACTCGGCCAAGTAAAACTGGGTTGCGATGTTGTCTGGTGTATCTGCTATGATGCGATAGTTTTGGGACTCGAAGATCGCTTTCGTCGCTGAATAATTCGGGAAACGGTCGAGCGCAGGACCGGTATTGTTGACGCCTCGAGGATCGAAACTGATCAAGTTGACACCCGAACCGAAGACGTCGGTGAGTAGCGGTGCGATGTTCAACAGTGTTCCAACACCTGAGCCGCCCGGACCCCCTAAGAGCACATATCAGAAATACCGCAGACGGGTTTTTGAGAAATTACAGTCTTACCAAAATTTAGAATGAGGTCCTCTGCCGATTCGTTTTGTGAGGATATTTCAGAATGCTACTTTCGTAGTTCCCACGCTTTCATCAGCCCAGTCGAGAGGGACCTGGAGATGGTCAGTCATTATAAAGTCAGGTTTGATATTATTTGTTTCACCTCTAGTCTCATGCAAAGAAAATCTGCACCAAAGCAGGGCACCCAGTCCAGTTTGGTCGAGGAAGTAGAGGACGTTGGCACCTAGGGCACGTGAGATTCGTAATGTTTCGTAGAGAAGGTTGTTGAGGCTATACCCCTTTCAAATCATAAAGGCTACTTGAGCTGTTTTGTGATGCAGCGCACAATGGCAAGGATGCCAAGAATGTTGACCCCAGACTGAGCAGTCGCAGTAGCGTGCCTATGGTCCTCGAAGTGTTCGGTATCATTGTTTGCTTGGCTTTTCTATTGTGATTTTGAATTGGAACGAACATGGAACTAGAAGAAAGGAGAGCGTGCCGTTAATTTATGCCGCTTCTCCTTGGATCTTTCAAATTCGGCTTCCTTTTTCCTAACATCTCACTAATAACTCTTAACCCTGCGATGTAATTCCTTGGACAGATCGTCAAAATATCTTGAAACGGTGCAGCAGCACTGCTAAATGTCTAGGATTGATGACGATAAGTGTTTCATCGCCTCACCATATCAAGAGTCTAACGTCAGCCACAATGCACGGTCCGTATATGATTGGTCCGCTCGACTAAATTTCTATACCAGAAATCTTATCTATGCCGGTCTTCCGAATGGAAAAAGTGTTGGAAGATGCTCGATTCTCAAATTTACGTACTGGATCAAGCCCCTCGTTATGTCAGACATTGCCCTGATATTTATGTAGGTAATACGAGATGGGCACCAATCTTTGATTCGCTTTCTATAATTTCATAAGAATGCTGAAAACAACCCTTTTGATTCCTTGGTATAGTGAGATGGGAAGCGACGCAGCAGCTGTTCCATGGAGTGGATGAAAGGGCTCTTGTATTGCCTCCCCTACCTTAACAATACCAACCGAGCTACCAGATCGAGCTCGATTAAGCTTGAGAAAGCTACGTAATAGAAAATACTGTCTAACAAATCAGAAATTATCGACGTGTTGAGCTATTGTTTCTGAATTGTTTGCATTGAAATTGAGGCTTGGAAACATCCTTGTGGGTTATTCAACTTGGCTCGGTGCCCATTTCCCGTTTCTTGTTTATATTAGAAAAACAAAGACGCGCCTGGCTGACAAATTGTGGGTGTAGTGGTGGAGGAATGGAGCCCTCCTGTAGAGACAGACGATGAACAGCCAGTTTGGCTGTCATGGCATGAGACGGAGGAGGTCTACTGAGCAGAGAAAATTTGGGCGTAAAGGGATTCTAAGGGGACGCCAAGGTGGAGTTTGGACGTAGAAAATGGTCCGATATAAACACCGTTAGGTTTTACCCCAGACTGGGGGGCTGGGAGATGGAGCTCCTAGGATAAAGCCCTGATACTCTTCTCTATTATGCTAGAATATGGATGAAAAAATCGAATCACATTGATGAATGCTGTAATTTTTGACATGTCTCAGCATCCTGCTGCTACGTTTCATGAAATTCCCAACATCGCTCGAAAATTGAGAGGGCTTGAGCTGTCGCTAAGATACATAATAAATTGTAGCATAGGTAGACTAGCTTCTACTGATATCGATGAATAATGGTGTTCATCAGTCACGCTGATTCCTCAGTCGTGCATAATACATCATCGCCTGGTATTAAGAATGGAAGAACGATATCATGGGATGTTATTGGATGATGGTACTCTGGGTTGACTGGTATCTTTAACTAGAAGGTGACTAATATGACGTTCATCATGCATCGTCTTGGTAGGATGTATCTTGCTGGGGCTATATTGCATAAAGCAGTTTCAAGGCTGCACATCCACGTCGGAGCACAACCTCCTATCATGCCGACAATGATTCTCCACCAGTAATGACTGGCCACTACGGCATGTGCTTGATTATTACAGGTGGAACCCTCGGACTTTTTCCTGTGGCACAATGTATCCCATTAAGCTGCATGATAGGCTGCTTGGAATGTCACAAGTGCATTTCCACGCTTGACGGGTAGGCATTATATAATTGTGGAGCGCGGATAGATGCAGATTGATGCTACCGTAGCAACGTCAATCAAGACGACGAGTGTTGAAGCTATGCTGGAGATGCATCCTCTGGGATGGAGTGAATCAAAACTTAATGAGAGACACATGGGGCTGTGCAAAGTATCTGACAAGTCTTTGGACTATCCGAAGGACACGTAATTAACCACCATGGGCGCGCTCTGTGTGGATATGGAGCGTGCAGTTCTCATCGTTGTACCGAGCCTCGAGCCCACACCGATCGCGACGTTATGGAGAGGTATTGAGTTCAACTGTTGCAAACGAAGTAACACTGTGAACAATGTCACCAGAACCCAACATGTTCTTTGATGTTACGTTTCTCACTAGTTGTCGACTTATCAAATCACCGCTGGTGGCCAGACCGTGTAGCGATGACGAAAGCGAACATGTGATTTCCTCTCGGTCTCCGACCTTCTTGTTTCTGATAAGGTGCAAAAGCCCCGAAGCCTTGGTCTCAATTGAGCTCAACCTGGGAACAACTCACATTGTTGTGTATGATTGCAGAGTTTCAGTTTACAGGGTACACGATTCGATTGATAACTGGACCAACCTTTACCGAGAAAGCCTCGGATAATACCTCGCAGAGTAGCCTGCTGTCAAGTTTCATGCTACCCTAAATGGCCGTAGGTGGCGTGATAGGTGTCTGTCACTTCTGACAGAATCTCAGCTGTCGCTCAACTGGAAGAAAAGGGGGGGTCACAGTAGCGATTGGTCACTCACAGACATGCACGGTATCCCACGCATCCTTGGAGCTGAAGGTTTACAGAAAGCATCTGAAAACAAGTTTTCGAATTTCAAAGAGTAAGGAGCGAAAGCAAGCCAATCATGAGAGCAAGCCGGGTGTGATATCAGAGGCGCAGTAGAGGATGGGCGCTAGCATGCGGGCGGCACGCACCGTGGCATACGTCTCTTTAGCTGCAATACAACCATTCTGACAGAAGGTTGGTGTGGAGCTGACCGGTCACACTGTTCAGGAAAGAATGGAACGCGAGCAGTCGGGGAGTTGCAGCCGGTCAAATAGAGCCGAGTGGTTTTCAAGGTTCAGCTCCCTTCCGCCCCTACCCCCCACTCAATTTATTCCTGAGCGCTTCGCTTGTGCCTAATGCAGCTACCCTGGTAGATAGCATCAAGGAGGTGGGCTTTCAAGGGGATCTACTGGTCGGTTATGATGATCACACCTTTGCTCCATGAATCAACGTGTCCGATCGTTCGTTCTGGGCTTGCCTAGGGGTGGATGAACAGAACCCTGACTCACACACAAGGCCCGGGTCGGCACTGGGCAAAAGGACAATCGCAACCCTCGCCCTGTAAAAAACGAAAAACGGTACAGGTGGGGAGAATGCCGCGGGGTACTCTGACAGCGACCTTGAATCAGGCCTTACCCGGCTCCCACGGGATTACTACCCCCCTGGCCCGAGATGCTAGGCTTCATACGGGCGCGGGATGCGTTTTCATGAATTCTATATCGTGATTCAGGCATTTCTGGGTTGAATTGCCCGAAAATCAGACCTTGAAGGGTCCTTGCCGACCGGTGTTATGACACGTATAACCGGCCATGAAACCATGACACTTCCTGGATTCAGCTGGCCGCTAGACACCTGAGCCTCAGGTGTGTAGCAATATTCGTCGAAAGAGCCAACCCTCTTGCCGAACCGGAAATTGATTTGTTGCAACCCGGCTGGGGCGTGATAGACCAGCAAGAAGGATGGATGGCTCTCATGGTAACACAGGGAGGTCGATCCACTGTAAGACGGGTACACACTGGCGATCATGAGCTAATTCTTTCGTAGCACAAGCGTAGTACTTGGAATTTAAACCTGATATAGTGAAAGCAACTTGAGATGTCTATTTGGTCACTCGTTGCACAGAAATCGGTCTCCTCCACCTTCTGTAGCCCTTTGATGCTATGATGGCTGCCAACGTTGTTTGACATAGGTGTCACGAACCGGGCAATTACGGAGAGCGGCATCCTGGCCACACCGTAGGTCTCAGGGGTTGGAAATTCACTGCACTTACGGGTTCGAGAGGGAGGGTTGATCGGTGCCAATGTGGGCCAGTATACCTCTCCGGAGTAGTATTCAACCAAAGCTGCCAATCAGGCCGTCCGGAGGAGCCTGCATCCTGTTACAAGGAAGAAATGCATGGTACGTACCCTGGAACTTCTGAACATACTGCATGAAAGACCCCCAAGCCTTACCCGTGTGATTGACAACGGTGGCTTCCCGGAGAGTTGCATAAACTCATAGATACGACTGCCCCCACCACGACGCCCGGTCAAGTTGGACACGGGGGCCACAAGGAGCAAGGTTCCTTTCATGTACCACTAAGTACTGCTATGGGCGAGTTATATCATCTATAGATGCCGTTGACACGTCATTCGGCGGGGATGCGGCTCTGCGCTCCTTGGACCGAGAAGGCCGCGAGCGGAGGGAACTCCTGTCTACTCACAACAACTGCCGGACTCAAGGCAATAGCAAATGTTGAGAGACCAATGGTGTGTATCTGTCGTAGAAACTCTCTTGAAAGCATCCGTAGCCAAAAAAAAATATAAAGCCACCTCCAGATTCCACCAATTCCTATCACACCCATGAGCATCACCACACCCAGCCTGACCTTCTCTGCACTCTTGATTCTCTACACTCTTGACTTCTCTAAACTGCTGCCTTCTATAACATCCACCATGGTGACAAACACTTTAGTGACCCCATATTACTCCTCTGGCATCAGAGAGAGGTTTCTCCTTCACGCTTTGCACCCCCCTGCAACAACCAAGAACATCAAATATGCTGAGCTTGACTACGAGTTCGATCCCATAGCTTACCAGAAGCGCTCTCTTGCGAGGGTTGCAACTGAAAAGCTCCCAAAGTCCCTGCCCAAAGGATGGCCTGCTGCCGTCCATGGCCCTCTCGCCTGGTCAGGGAAAGACTTTCCTGATGAGACTCCGTTTATCTACATGATCTCTGATGAAGAGAACCAGGAAATAGCCAATGCACTTGCCCAATTTTCTAGTGAGCTTGAGTCTCCCGAACTTATCAGTTGCTATGCTGACCTGCTGTAGAACTTGGCATTAAACCGGAGAAAGTTACACCGGAGCTCTTTCCGCTACCAACCCTCCAGCGTCGTCTGCAGAAGGTCCAAGATGACATCTATCATGGCCGAGGCTTGGCGATACTGCGTGGGTTGAACATCGATAGTCTCTCTGACGAGCAATTGACCGTCGTCTACCTCGGCGTGACTAGCTATGTAGCCGGCGTGCGCGGCAAGCAAGATCAGCGTGGTTCAATGATCAGTATGGCTTCCAGACGTTGTTTCTTTCTGTTCTCATCCTAAATTAGTCTTAGTGCATGTCCTCAGTCGAGACGACGAAGACGCTGTTCATAACAAGCTCGTTGAGAAGGTATGTTGCCCCTTTGAAAGATTGGAAATAAAATATCTGATTCATATCTAGCCATATCACACCGATACAAGTTGCGACTGTCTGTGCTTGCTTACCAAGGCATGTGCGGCAAGTGGAGGTAGAAGCCTCATCTCCTCAGCTTGGAATGTCTACAACATTCTGGCAGCAACGCGGCCAGATCTAATCCACACCATGATGCAGGCAAACTGGCCTTTTGATACGTAAGATAAATCTTTCCAATGTTGGATACGGGGAGACTAATCTTGCACGCAGATCTGGTCGTGACCCGCCATATGTCAACCGACCCATCCTGTACCTCCAGGATGGGAAGATCATGATGAATGTCTCTCGTCGCCAACTCTGTGGCCATCCTAATGATCCACGATCTTCGGGGATCCCAGGCCTTACTGAGGCCCAGGCTGAGGCACTTGATGCAATTCATGCCATCGCTAGGGAGCATGAAATCAAGACAACCATGCAGCAGGGAGACATTCGCTTCCTCAATAACATGGCCTTGCTCCATCGTAGAGAGACGTTCTATGACGATGATCAGTCAAAGCGACACCTCATGCGACTGTGGCTGCACAATCCTAAGCAGTGCTGGGGGCTTCCAAGAACTCTCAGGATTGCCTGGGCCCGCATTTTTGAGGATATGGAACGTGAGGCCCATTGGGACATGAGCCCTGTGAGGGAGGGTGGACGCATCTTGCGCACTGGACAGTCTTGTGACTGAGTATTCACTGCAAATCACTCCTTATGGTTTTCTCCATGTTTCTTCTTTCCTACTCTCCCTTGTGTCTTGAATTAACATCTTCAATTAACAACGATCGTTACTTGCTATTTGTTTTTATCTAGCTTGGAAGAATGACCCGAGGCTGGGAGAGTGAATTTAAAGGACAATTCTTTGACAACATTATTACGTTAAGGCTGCTTGTCTGGCTCCCATTTAGTGTCATACAGCTGTGAAGCCCAATAAAGATCATCCCAGACCCATCGCTCTTTTCGTATGGTAGCAAATAAGCCAGCTGAATAATGAGTCTATCAGTATGGTTCAGAATATAAGGTGAGGAGGCAGTACATTTCGCTTGAACCAATCTGCTGGTTTCAGCCAGAACTTGAATTTGGCTTGGCTCTAAACACCCCGATGTTGTCACTGGGTCAAAGAGGTGAGTTCCATGGTTAACATGGAAGTGTGCTAACATGGTAATGGCACCCGAGTGCAGGGCGGAGATAGCATCCGGATTTACGTATTCGCCCTGTACAATTTTTATCAGCTTCGCTCGGGTTATTTAACGGTGGGTTCAATTTCCTCACCGTGTGATTGATCTGCCTAGCATATTCCTTGTTTCTTCTCGTGAGCATGGAACAGCTGTGGAGAATGATGAATAGCCCCAAGTAAGAAGGATACCGCATCTTGGGATTCGCGTTCTTGAGGAAAAGCCCAAGCTGAGAAACAATTTTCTTGCTCAAAGGAATGAGAAATCCGGAATAAACGATGATCTGCTCCTGGGGTGTGATAATAGGGGGGAGTGGCACCTTGCCGTGCATATTGGAACTTTCATCATTGACAGGAGCTAGCCCAAGCTTCTCCCTGCCGGTAATTTCCAACGAAGTGGAGGTGATGCGGCATGCAACCCAGAATCGAAATATAGTGATGAGAAGATCTTTCTCCTTGAATTCCTACGAATGATCCTAATTAGCAACATGCTTCAATGCGGCCCGTTAACATCAATACCTGTGTGTGTTCTGCATGCCAGAGTGCGGCAGAGTATGTCCTCTGTATCAGTTCATCATGGTGACGTACGGTAGCCTCGACAAATATCGCGACATACTTGTCAATGACGGTGCCATATGACTGAGCTGCTTCTGCCAAGTTGGCGATTGCATATGGAGGCATGTCGTATCTGGTCATTTGTGAACCACCCCACCATGATCTGAAAGTGACATCTGTACTATTTGGTATGAACTTTCGCAGTTTTAGTTCAATCGGAGCATGTAAAATGGTTGGAGTAACGTGAATCGTCAGTATGTCGCCCGATTCCCAGTCATTGGCGTCAAGGTCGACCATGTCCATTGTTGCCCACCGTTGGCTGGCTCTCTGAGCCGGCTGTTGCTGCACGCGAAAGAGAGCGGCATCAGAGACCTCGTAACGAAGACAAACTCCAGTCCTGAGTGGAGTCAGGCGTTTTTCGCAAGGCTTGCAGATAATCCCGTCGTCGCACTATGGTATTGATGAGTTTGCTATGAGACACAAGGGCGCAGCAAACATACACCTCTTTTCCCTAGGCGACAAAAGTAGCAAGGATTCGAAGCTTTTTCTTCTATCTCATCCGTAAGCATTCAAGTCATGTGGCTCTCCGTTATCATGCTTACTGGGTTGCGGCTGTCGTCTGGCCTTGTTGGGCTTGGGACCACGCCGACGCTATCCTTCATGTCAGCGTCCAGTGAGAGTTCAGTAAGTTCTGTGATGACACACCCTAGCGGGTAGCTTGACCGAGCGACTCAAGCCTATGATAGCTGGCCAGTTTTTTGGCCTGTTTGGGAAACGAATGTCCTCCCCACTCCCACTGCCGAGTGCTGAGGGGGGTTTTCGGGCAATTTCGACCCATGAGGCATTAGAACTTGGGGTGATATCGGTGCTTCCTGAACCCTGTCCATCAGTGCAAGTGTGCGGGCGCCCGGCTGGTAAGTCTTCGGCCCGTCCCGAGGCATCATCCGCGGGGAGAGTGGACTGGCTGGTTGGTTGCATCACAGTGGGTTGTTGGTCCATAGTGAGGTCAGACATGTCGCGTCCGGTTATGCCTTCGCCTCTGTCGCCTAAAATCAAGTCAATGGCGATATCGTCTTGCTCTTCGGGAGGCCTCTGCTGAGATCTAGATAAGGTCACACCAGAAGGGGTGGTGCCATATGTGCTGGGGATGGTTTGTTGAGAATGATGTGCGCCTTGGGCAGACCCCGGGTATAAGCGAGAGAAGAGGTACGCCGGCGACCATCCTAGCTCCAGTGCAGCTCGCTGTATCTGCTCGGTGCTCGGCATGGGATTTCGCGACATGCCAGCAAACAAGTCGTCCGCTGCAGACCCTTGCTGGGCAGCCTGGTCACCATCCATCACGTGTATCGTGGAGGCGACAGGGCTTGTGGGCTATTTTGGAAGCAAGACGTTTGGTTCGCTCAAGGCCTACCTTGCGGGATATTCTTCACAATATACTTGCGCAGCCATATGCTAAGCTGCCTAACGTGCAACAACAGTTAGGAGGCAAGGAGGAGAAACCAACGTCATTAGTACCGAAATCTCTCTGCCACCGACTTTTCTTGCTTTGACCCTACTGGACAATCAGTTATCATATTGACTCCTTACCCCGCTCGAGCTCATGATTGGATGGCTGCGTTACGGCTGAGCGTAATCTCCTCTTCACTTGCTGCACGTGCACGGAGAGAGACAAGCTCCTCCGGTGTGTGGCAGATTTTCAGAACACGTGGACAAATAGGAGCCAGTAGAATCACATCTTGTGTGACAAAAGTGCAATTGCATCTAAAAATGGCGACGTGCGCAGGAAAACCAATGCATCAATGACCAGTAGCCCCGAGGCCTGTCTCACAACTCCTGCAGTCCAACTCAGCTCAGTTCAGCGCCAACCAATGAGGTTGCAGATAGCTCCAGCTCCGGCCGTGTGTCACTAATAATATGCATTTCTGGTGTAGTGTGGCTCAATGATAAGCAGTGCAACATTCTGCAGTCCACAGGCATTCGGTAAGTCAGGCACTGCCACCACTCTCAATGGCCACGGTCAACCTTATAGGCACTGTAATCGAATTGGGCGAGTAACGAGTTTCCATCAGGCGGAGAGACTTGTGATAGAATAAATTGCTTGCTTAACGTCCCATAAGTGGCGAGTGTGGTAGGGGGTGTGTGGCCACCGATCGGCATAACTGGTTTCAGAATCAGCCCAGGAGCCAACCGGCGAGAGTTTAAGTCACTACTCTAGTTTTTCTTGGGCCGAATTTGCAGGTTGTCAGTTGCAAGTTTGGGAGGGTTTCGGCTTTTTCCGTCACCGCTCTCGGCAGGCGGTGCAGGCTGGGCAGGCTTGTTGGTCCGTTGGTAATGAAACGCACCCGGATCAAATGACCCTGTGTTCTCGGTAAAAAGTTGATTGCTTACGTTAAACGCTTTGACCCTGGGGTTCTTACCATTTGCGGCGATCAGGCCAATATATGAGGTGGGTGTGCCGTCGCTTGTCATTGTTCAAATGTTCTTGTCTTCTTTCTGGTTTGACTTCTTCTTTTTTCCTTCCTTCCGTGGGCAGAGCAGCGAAGTTTAAGAGAAGAGTAAGACGAAGAGATTTCCCCTCCTTTTATGGTAAGAACTGCCTCCGTTCTATGAGGTCTTACTACACCACAAGCCAGCTGTAGCCACCCGATCATCGTTGACTCTTAGTCCAGTGAGGGAGTCACCCAAGCGCCAATCTAAGAGCACTCTAAGAACCAAAATGTCGAGACTTGCATACCGCCGACCGAGTTATCTGCGTACCGGTTCGTTGAGCAGATTCTTGGCTGATTATACTTGACCAGATTGGGGTACATTCACCGTTTCCGCGTCTGACATGCAGCTAAAGTACTCGCTGAGATATCGTACTCAGCGGTTTCACATTAGTCAGTTTATGCGATCTTGTCCTCCCACGAAGCAGCGAATGAGAAACGAGATAACTCGAGCTCGCCGAAATAGAAGTGGGGATGCTGCAGCTCAGTCAATGTATCTCTCGCGCATTTTCATGCACCGGTGAGTTCCACCACGCAAGCTAGATCACTTGACCAAGTTATTCGAGTCGACTTATGTTGCCACCGGGATTGTCGTTAGTCTTGTGCAAAGTTACATCATATCATCTGAAACGGGGGGGAAAATGGGGGAAATCGCAAGAATGACTTGACTAGGAAACTGGCTGACGGCTCTACGTGGATGAAAAAGAGGGACAAACTGAGACCGAAAATTAAGAGAGAGAAAAGGAGAAAAATTTTGCCTCTAGCCACCCACTCGCAAACTGCTGCAGTGGCGGTTCTCGCGCAGCTGAACGAACCGACCACACCCGACATCCGGAATTCAAAACGATTTCCTACGAAGACGTGATCCTATTTCCCTCTTTCTTGAGTCCAAAAAGCTCTACTGACTACTAGCAATGGAGAAAATCAACCCCAGCGTTTTCTAGATTATTCACAGCACCCTGCACGATTTTTGCCATCGCAAACAAACTCTCCTCGTCTTGCCTCCTTCCGATCAACTGGATGCTGATAGGAGAGCCATGGAATTCTGCAGGGTCATCTACGTCATGTTTAGCATTCGACATGACTCTTAAATGAAGTAAGGGCCTTACACGTCTGCATTACTTCCGCGTCCTTTGAGGTGAGAGGCGTGAACATTGCATCTATCTCGTCGATGTGCTGATCTGAAACGGTAATTGGGATCCCAATACTGGGATAATCCAGAACATTCAATGAAGTTGCATACGCTGAACCCAGAAAAGTGAGCAGGTTTCCAAATAAAGCAGCGGAACCTTGGATTCCTCACCAGAGTATTTGGTTTGAACTCTTTTGATTCCCGCGTGCGGTGTTACAGGTGATATTATCGCTTCAACTGGATGACCTTTGAATGTTGTCTTAATTAAAGCTTTGGTTCATCGTATTGACTGACAAGGAATTAGGAGACGTACCATTTTTCGTTCTTTCGAATGATGATTCCCAATAATCGTTCCACTTCTCCCGAAAGGCGGCCATCCGAACCACAAACGACTGGTAATCAACAACGGACATTGGAGGCGCAGCTCTCCTGTCGGGGAATGTAAGTTCTAATTCAGGTGTCAAAGGCTCACCGGATAATTCCAGGGCTTCCCAAACATCTAAGCACCCATCGCCACGAGCGAGAGAACCCTTGGGTCTCGTGTTAGCTGCTGATACAATATTTCATGGTAACGAAAAGACCAGTTGCTCACATGGATATTGGCCACCTCGCTGTTGCTAGGGGGATACCAGCCAACGAGTTCAATTTCGGCCATCTCCATTGCTTTCTTTACAATTCTCATCGCTCTAGCAATAGGAGGATGCGGAGTAACAATCCCGTCATTTTCAAGGAATCCAAATGCAAGATGAGCGCGCTTCGACAATTGGCCATCATACAAACTTTGCCACGGCATCCTACTCACGGCCTGGTCGCGGATCCATGGACTGGTGGATAATGTTGATTTGAAAACCGATTGGAGAACGTCGAGAGAGGGGCCCATGATACCTATGACGGCCGGCATTGCCACTTGTCCAGGGCTCTGATCTGGTCAGCGTTCGCGCCCATTGGGGTTCCAAAGCACGTACTATTTTGACACCACCCTGGAAGGAGATGCGACCCGTAGATGGCTTCAGACTGTAGACTCCCTGGTAGGCCGCTGGTATAGACACTGAGCCCCCGACATCCGTTCCGAAACCGAAACAACTCCCTCTCAACGCCTGAATTGCAGCTTCACCTTCAATTTTTATCTAAGTTAGACCTATTATAGTATCATAGATACTCAATACCAGTTTCCTTACCTCCTGAAGATCCGCCTGTTGACAATTGCCGGTTGTGCGGGTTAACAGCGCACCCAAGAATATTGTTGTTATTAACAGCGGACTATAAACCCTCGTTAGGATATTTGAGGAACTCCAGGAATGGGCTACGCTCTAGTTAGTTTTGACTCACCCAAGTTCCAGTTGCGAGTGTTGTCTGACTTCTTATTAGTGCACGAAAACTATTATGTCACTTTGATCAACACTTACCTTGCCGATAGGGATAGCCCCCAATGACTTGAGCTGTTCCACAAGCAAACTCTCAAACTTCATGTACTTTTCAGAATCTGATTTGCCTTCAAAGGTGCCAATCCATCCTATATAACCGGCACTAGTAGCCATCCCTTCGATGTGAAATTGATCTTTCATCGTAAATGGAAGTCCGTGCAACTCTCCGATTAGTTTTCCATGCGTTTTGAAATACTCGTCACAGTCTCTAGCTTGGCTCATTGCCAGGTCGAAACCAATTTCTAAGAGTAGGCCGCACTACATCATGACCATTTAGTATCATCACGCAAGGGTAGAAGAATCGCCTCTCGCAGGTACTCACAATTTGATGACAGTAGGCTGCGCGTTTGCAAAATGCAGACACCACTTGGACAGCACTCAGCTTGCCCTGGGACATTTGGTCAATGAGCTCCTGCGGATTCATGTTCGTGATGCGCCCTGTCTCATCATCAAGCAGATTCTCGATCACCTCCCCTGAAATTTTAGGCTGTCGTTTTGCCCATGTGATAACTTCAGGCTTCAGTCGCCAGTGCTTGGGTATCTTCTCTTTGTCAGCTGCCAGCTTCTTCTGGAGCGTGTCACGCCAACAGCTCTTCTCGGCAAAGGAGCTGTAACGGAAAAGCAACCCTCTTGTTCGAATGAAGACAATGAGTGAAAGTGAAAAGGGTAGAAGGAATAATAAGAGTATGGGTGATGGAACAATGGACTTTGTTGAAGTAAAGGTGAAGTCCAGGCTGAGTGATGGCGCTTCATCGCCTTCAGTCTGATGTAGGCCGTTCAAGTCCTGCCAGTTAGGCACACTTTCATGTGCATATGGTGAAGTCAGCTCCATGGCGAAGCCAACAACCCGCCTTAGTCTTAGTCTGGTAGGTGTTTTTGGGCGCAAACTTGTGGCAAGAGGCAGGAAGGGTGGGTTATCAGTTGGTAAGAAATGACTGCAGTCGAAAGCGCTGGATTCAACATTGAGAGCCCGTCGACTGGGACGAACTTGTTTAAATTATATTCACATTCTACTGCAGGCACATTAGAGATCTATTTATGCTTTTGAGAGAGAAGATAGCGCTCGTTATCTTCTCATCGAATCCGCGTTGTTCGTACACGTTTGTGGGTTATGAGCGTAGACATCGGCTCAACACGTTCGAGTACCATCATGTGAGCGCAGTCTACCCAATAGCTGATTAAAATTACAATATGATAGCTGATACCTCTGAAAAAAAATCATCCAGTTCGAAAGTCACCCGGTAGGTGGTAAAATGAATGCCAATCAATTCCCAAGCGGATCATCAAGAGTAACTCGTCTCCATTCGCCCACGCGAAGCCAATACGAAAGATTAGAGTTTGAGTCTAATTCTAGCTGCCTAGCTGGCGTATAGCCAAGGTCCAATAATGACTTCTTGGCACGCAAACTGTACCACTTTCATAGTAGGTGTGGTCTCGAACCCGCAAGCTGCAGTCTCTCGAAATGGGTCAAGAGAAAAGAAAAAAGATGTGATAAGTCTGATAAGTCTTCTATTGGCCTGGCTTCTTCAACTTTGTGTCACTTTTCATCAATTGTGGGCAGTGCACCAGACCCAGTCCGTTTTCATATATTGGATCACCACAGATGAAATACGTAGCCAGCTCATGTCTTGCCAAGCTTCCATGTCTCACTTGGTCAACTCGTAGGTTGGGGCGTTGGTACGGGGTGAACTGAATAATACACCCTCTTTTGACGGTGTCTCTGTTTCATGGCTTGTAGGGCGGGAATGAAAAATCCCATGCCCTTTTGATCACAAAACAATGGATCATAAGCAACCTCCATAGGTAACTTTTGAAAATGTGCTCAACCGTGAATCCGGCGAGATCCACCGAGCAAATATCAGTAGCCAGTGATTGGCATTGTCTCACCCACAGCCCCCCTTTTCTGTCTCTCATTACTACACGCTTTCAACAGGATTGGCATTGTCCAGGAAACTGGCGCCATTACATCATATGTGGCATCCCGAAGTTCCCAAGATTATGACAGTGATCACTAGTATTCCTGCGCATGTTTAGGCCAAGGAGAAAGGTTGTCCTGAGCAAGGACACCGCTTGCTGACTACACCAAGAGTCGAGGCTGGCTTATATGGAAATCATTGCCCGTAGCTATTCATAGGAAGCGGAATATTCTTAGTCTCTGTGGATGTGAAAAGATATTGAATCTGCCAACGAGGAAGAGGGGCTGTGAAGACCAGGTTGAACGCCTCTTTGTCTGCCTCGTCAACCCGGCGAACCAGCACGAAGCACTTCCGCCTGTCCTCGCCTTTGTGTAATGGTGGTATCATTTGCACAACAAAATTTGTGAAAATGTCCGAGACCGGTCTCTCCGACGCTAAAATTGCATCGCAGCGATCAAACGATACTCTCCGAGGTCGCCCTGTGTATTCAGATGTGACTGATATCATACACATAAACAATAGCACCGGCGACGCTTTGACGCACATGCATTCGTTCAATCAACACATTACCATTTGCAAAAACTTTGAGACCCATGACAAAGGGGGCGAGACTCGACCTCACGGAGAGGACACAGAAATCTTGACTGATCACCTACACTAGCGTCCAATGGTGAGCTGAGGTGGATATGTCTCACTCATATGCCTATCCTCAGGCCAGTATGATGTAAGATCCTGGCTACGTTTACTGGAAAAATTACATCCAGCCGTAAGATACATGCAAAGGCGTATCCCCACCCTTATTACTGGGCAGACAAGAGTCTGTTATGTCTGAGATGACGAGTGCCAATGATTAAGTGTAATATTGGCAGCAAGATAAGTTGGTGGATGCTCACTCAGGGGAGGGGTAAGCAGAGGCCCTACTCCCACCAAGCCTCCGCCTAGACGGTCGCACTTGAAGGATGTTTCTAGAGCTTAGAGCATTGTAAGGGGAACCTAGACGTTTATTTCCCTTCGCCAAGCTAAATGCTGGGGTGCAAAATACGTGCAAACGTTGCAGCCGTCGATTGTACCTTTGGCCATTCGGGCTTACTGCCGACGCGTAAGTGGGCTGGAGGCAAATAAATGGGCCACAGGAGAAGTTAAGCAGGGGCCAAAATAGCCTTGCCTTGCAGCCTTCAAGTATTGAGCCGAGTCTTGTAGATAGAGAGGTGATCATCTTCGATAAAGACATGTGCTGCTTCATTTCTTACTCTGACCAAACTGTGTGTTCAACAAGGCATGGCGATAACTCATGTTTGTGACATGAAGATTCGGCTAACTACCCGTAAGCTTCGGGCTATATCCGCTGGGGATAAAGGGGGGTAAATCCCTCCCAAGGCCCTGGAAATCCGTAAACACATCAACGAACACCTTCCAATTCACATCTCACCATCGAATAAACAATGTCTCCAACTGAAAAGAGTGATGATGCCAATGCATCCTTGACCCCGCTTCAACATGAGGATTCTTCCAAACCTAGCTCTAAGATTGGAACCTTTCAGTTGTCATCTCTTATCCCCGACGATCCAGCCTTTACGCCACTACTGTATAGATTACGCGAGGAGACCTTCCATAACAGAACTGTGCAGGTCCGGCACGGGTCATATCTCAGGCGGTTCACAAAAGATCCAGCCCGCAACCTAGGAAAGGCAATAACCGAGGCCGGAATCAATGTGGATGACTTCATGAGCGAGTATGGATTGACAGGATGCATCGTCGTCCAAGATGGGGCCATACGACTGGAGGAGTATCGACATGGTAACACCCCCGCATCTCGCAACGACATCCAGTCCATCACCAAGTCATTCGTGTCAACCTTGATGGCCATCGCGCAGCAAGAAGGCAAACTCTCGGTCAACGATCCCGTCTCCCGCTACGTGGAGGAGTTAAAAGACACCGCATGGGCCGACGTCACCCTTCGCGCTCTGGCCAGCATGTCGTCAGGCGTCGTTGAGCAATGCGACGACCCTCGGCCTGCCGACATCCCAAATCCATATTGGGCGACCCACCTCTATCCATCGCAGGATCCCAACGCCGTTCTTGAGTGGTTCAAGACCTTTAGAAAGGTGGCTGAGCCATGGGAGGAATTTCATTACTACAACCCGAGCTACTATGCACTGTCAACGGCGATTTCTCGAGCTGTCGGTGAGCCTCTGGAGGATTATCTGTCTCGGAAAATCTGGGATCCTGCGGGCATGCAGTATGATGGATACCTCAGAACCACTGCGGCTGGCAGAGCAGATGGGCATGGTGGTTTATCCATTACATTGTCCGATATGGCTAGGTTTGGATCGTTCGTCTTGGAAGACTTCAAGACCGAAGGAGCCGGCCCCAGCGTACCTAAAGGATGGTTCCAAGAGATCTCTGAAGGTCGGACTAGCACTGGGCCAAGGGCTCCAGGCGTGAACGGCATGGTATCGGATTTTGGGTACGAGACCGGCTGGTGGGTGCCGGCCAGAGAAGGTGACTTGGCTCAACTCGCGGAGCTAAAAGCGTTTGGCGGCACCGGAATGTATGGGCAATCCCTCATTATCATTCCTAAACTGCAGACTGTCGTGGCGATTCAGTCAGGTTACCATGATGCTTCTACCAGCGACGTTTATAGCCACAATGCAAGGTTCACTGCTACAGTTGCCAGCATTATAGCACAAGGTAAATAGAAACGAAAGTGCAGCCAACTAAATAAATTTTAAGCCGAATACGTGCCCACCCAACAGTACGAGCTATGTAAGAGCATGGAAAGGACCAGTCATGCATGTACGGATGCGTCTGAGATGGATAAATGTTTGGCATACGCCGAGAAGATAGCCCCGATGAATATCGCAGGTCTTATGACAGGTGATTTCGCCGTCAAGGACAGGAGATTGATCCATAGTTAAAATGGGCCAACACGATGAGGGCATCACCGCGAAGATGGGCGGGGATTGTAGATGCGATGCTATCCATGCTCACCTTGCTACTCATGTCATTTATTAGGCGAGAATAGGAGAGGAAGTGTTTAGATGATGTATTGAATAATGGAGAAGATCAGGCTTAATTTTAATTGTCTGTGTAATAGCTCTGGGTGAACAAAGCTGAGCATCGGCAGTATATGCATACAGTCTGAGATCAAGCAGCGATCAATGCTAACATTCTGATCAACTCTATAATCCAAAGACCGAGAGAATAGTACACGGTGCCGTATGTATTGAAATATATCATAACTGGCTTGAGGCCTGGGAAGAAGACAGATATGCTGAAAGTGTTAGCTCACACAAATGATATGTCTACCACTCTGGGGATCAGAGGCAAGAGATTTGCACTACAATATCCTTAATAATTAATATCCTGTGCTTTATTTTGTAAATAAGGATTAAATGGTTACCATTACTGCGATGGTCGAGCTAGGATTGGGCAGATGTGAGAGTCAGCATATGTATTGACGAGTGAGTAGTATTTGGGGGTCAGTTCACTCGGAAATCTAGCTCACCACTGTGGGCGTGCGTTCTCGTTCTTTGTTCAAAGGATCCCCCTGTTCTGCTTCCACAGTATTTCCCAGACTGCTTCTCGCAAGCCAGGGGAAGATTGAGGCCAGTCAGCAGGAACATTCGCCAAGCACCTGTTGATGTGTTACCCCGCACAATTCCCGTTGCAGTAATTTCCCTTTTCTACCCCATTTCCCAATTTCCTCCTGAGTCTGATGATCATGTACGTATCATGTTGCTACACCGGCTGGCGACCGGCAGCAATACCGGGATTGGCCTTCGAGATAAGAAAGCAATTAAATTAAAATTTCTGGTTGTGTTGCAATGAGGGGCCGAGTTGTGTTTGATGTCACTCGAGGTCGAGGGAGATGCCTACAATGCTGAATCTCATGTGTTCGTCGCGGATCTTCAATCCACGCTTTCGTTTTCGTGGTTCTCGACGTGGTATTACACTCTTTTCATCTCAACGTACGATGGCGCCTGGCCTTGCTCGCAAGTATGAGATCAATGCCGACATGGGCGAAGGCTTCGGCCGATGGAAAATGGTAGGTCTTGCAACATTTTTCACCCACGTGTTCATTGATCGCTCACACCCACGTCCAGGGACCTGATGAAGAGCTGATGCCGTTGATTGATGCTGCAAACATCGCTTGCGGTTTTCACGCTGGTGATCCTTCCATCATGCTCAAAACAATTCGCCTGTGTAAGAAGCATGGCGTTAAGGCCGGTGCTCACCCCGGCCTGCAGGATCTTTTTGGCTTTGGTCGAAGAAAAATTGAGGTTGACACAGGAGACATGTATGCCATGATTCTGTACCAAGTTGGCGCGTTGAAAGCAATGCTGGATGCCGAGGGTGTCGAACTGTCGCACATTAAGCCGCACGGCGAGCTGTTCTTCTATATGCAACGGGACAAGGCGATTATGAAAGCTGTTCTTGACGCGTGTGCCACGTTCAAAGTTCCCGTTTATGCGTGCCAAAACCCGGAGCAAGAGGCCATGTGCGAGGAAATGGGCATTCCATTCCAAGGCGAAGTATATGTCGACGTCGACTACTCTCCGGAAGGGAAGCTTGTTCCCGTATCACAGTCTCAACAAGTCAACCCAGAGTTGTGTCGTACCCGTGCTGTCGGCGCGACAATGACGGACAGTGGACATGACATCAACGGTTCCGATTTTAGCTTTGGATTCAAGGGCAAACCGTTCAGCATATGCCTTCACTCTGATGTTCCCACTGTGCTTGAGAACGCCAGGGCCGTACGAAGGGTAGTCGATGAGGCGAACCGGGTCAGATTTCCTTCAGAATGACCCAAATAGGCATATGGGATAGGAAGAGAGGCTACAGGGCATTCTCATAGGACAAAACATGCTGGAATGTATAAGAAGTAATATGTTATCTACATCTGGTCGTCTAGTCAGCGTTGTTGAAATTTAATCAACCAGCGACGAAAGAAGCCAGCCAATCACAATATACAACCGAGAATTTCCATTAAAATTCAATTGGACTTCAGCTATTGCAGTTCTGTAATAGTGTAGGCCCTGATGCCGGTTCGGATGTTCAGGTATCAAAACTCTACAATGGAACCGGTAACTTGAGTGTTATGATATTGAAGAGGAACCCGATACTATTGAAGTCAAGTGAAGTGAATTGTATTCCCTGTAACGTATCGGCAAGGGGATTGCGGTCGAGAACCGGCATCTGCCTGATGTTATCAATGTGGGGTGGATATGGCGCTTTACTATATCAAACAAGTCTAGCACCACCCAAGAGATAAGAATCCTGGAGGCTGAGCGTGACACTGGGGTAAAAATGGCTTGTTATCATTCTCAAGTGTGGCAAGATTCCTCACAGGGGATCCTGGTAGCAAGTACAAAAGTAAACACGCTCCCTTAACAGTGCCCTGATGTAACACATTGAGTCACTGTTCTTACAATTTTTGGTCCTCAGGGCCCTGCCAATTCAACCTTGTTCAAATCTAATTGAGGTTATAATTTCTTATATCGAGGCCTACAAAGCCAAGCCTTAACCTCCTCGAAATGGCGACTCAAGTGCCCGTTCCCGGGACTGTCCAGTTGGTCGATATTGAGGGCATCTTCAATGTCGAACATGGCAAACAATCTCGGGACATTGTGCTCGTTCCGCAGCCTACCAACGACCCCGATGATCCTCTGCGCTGGACAGTCCCGCGCAAGACAAGAAACATCATTGTGGCTATGATATGGTGTTTCTTTGTCGCCGCCATGATCTCTGGCTTGTCCCCTGCCTACCTTTTGATCGAGGAGGACACGGGAATTTCTGTTGCCGACCTGAGCACTGGAAACGGAATCCTCTTCCTCTTGCTCGGTTGGGGTACCATGATATCGCAAACCCTCGCTCTCCACTACGGCCGACGTCTTACACTCATGATCTCCATCGTCACATCGACCGCCGTGACCGTTTGGACTGCCTATGTCAAGTCGAGAGGGGAATTCTTCGCCAACCGCGTTATCCTCGGCATCGTTGCCTCCCCACAAGAAACCCTGATCGAAGTCATCATTGGGGATATTTTCTTCGCTCACGACCGAGGCTTCTATATGGGTGCATATAGCTGGACACTTTGGTGTGGTGCATTCTTGGCTCCTGTGGCATCTGGTTATGTTGCACAAGAACTTGGATGGCGATGGATTCAATATATACTAGCCTTCATCGGCGCTGGCGTTACGGTCATGACTTTCTTCCTTTTCGAGGAAACTATGTTCTATCGTGACCATAGCATTGAAGGGCTTCCCGATCCTACTACTGTGAGCTCGGTTAATGTCAAGGATGCCCCAGGAGCGACGGAAGGAGATTCCACAGTCGTTTCCGAAAAGACAAATGGCGAGACGACCACGGACAAAGGTCAAGACTCTATTTCACAGTCTATTGATGCCCCGGCCATGGAAAGCACCAAGACCTACCTCGAAAAGCTCAAGCTATGGGGCTATCATGACCCACGACAGCCTAGTGCATTCAAGGTCTTCTTCCTACCAATCCGCCTCCTATTCATGTTCCCAGGTATGGGCTTCGGCGGCTTGCTTGTCGGTGGTATTCTAGCCTGGTACAATGTTGTCGGTGGTTCGTTGGCCTTGATCCTTGGCAACCCGCCGTACAACTTTAGTGCTAATAATATCGGCTTGACCTACCTCGCCTCGGTCGTCGGGGTCACTATTGGGTGCTTCCTTTCCGGTTGGGCGTCAGATTCCCTTGCGCTTCGTATCGCCCGCAGAAACAACGGAGTGATGGAGCCTGAGCAGCGACTATGGACATGCCTTGTGGCTCTGGTTATGCACCCAGCTGGCTGTCTCCTGTATGGAGTGGGAGCATCGTATCACATCCATTGGTTCGGGGTGGTGTTTGGCCTTGGTCTCATTTCCATCACTCTTCCCATGGGCTCCAACCTTGCATTCACATATATTCTCGACAGCTACAAGGAAGTTGCGGGAGAGGGTCTGGTTTCAGCCATTCTAATTCGCAACATGATGGGTAAGTTTCTTCAAACTTCAACTTCCACGGCCACAGTTAACTAACTCGTTCGGTCAGGTTTTGCTTTTGGGTATGCCGTCGTGCCAATGATTGAAAGTCTTAGCCTTCGATATGCATTTGTCTTGATCGCCATCCTGGGTTTGGCGGTTTGGTGCACTGCGATTGTGATGATATATGTCGGCAAACCCCTGAGGCGCTCCACCGCACCTTCATATTGGAGACTCGTTGAAAAGTATGGTGCAACTGCCCATTGATATTCAACACTAATATTCAGTTGACTGTTAAAGGAGATATGATGGAAGGGGTTATCGAGGCTTGACATCTAATAGCTTGCTAATCTGGTTACGTCATGATGCTGAAAGATATCAGATTAGCCATAGACAGAAGTAGCAGTTGCGTAAGATGACTCTATATTTAATTTATTCAAATATCTTATTCAGATACCCGGGTAAAACGTTTCCATCATAGCAGGGCTTAGAACTTCCAGCAAGAGTTATATTCCAATCCTGCCAATCAGATGATCATCCGTTTAGCTTCAGTGTATCTCGCCACTTGAGTTATACTTTCTGGCGGTATTGTGAGTGAATATGATGGCATTAGTATACTTCGGAGAAACATCAAGTCGGCTCTTGTTTTGCTGCCAACACAGGCAAGTTCAATGACAGGATAAACTGGAGCAGTGGGATTAATACTGAGCACCCCAGACCAAAGAATTCTCCAATTAAAGTGAAACTCATGCTCCCGAATTGAATATAAACATCGATCTAAGAGTTCACAGTGTCATGAGATCTGTTTTACTCTATTCACAAGAAACGACCTCATTCCCCTGTATCTTCACCTTCATTTCTCTAGCCTGACTAGTGGAATTAACGTAATTTGGCCGTGCCGTATGCCCAGGCTTGTTCAGGTGACTATCTTCTCCATTTAGTCTCATTGATTGAACATTTAAACATGGAAAGACGTATCTCGAACTCTTGTTTTGAATTCCGACTCACTGTGTGGAAAGTGCCGTTGCAAGCTTGTGGCTCTGATTTTCTACCCCAAGGAATTACGAAATCAAGAATAGTGTCCTCCCTGTGATATGAGGCACTTCCTCTTCTGGATGCCTGATCTGGGGTAATTAACCCCGGGACCAGCCACCGGCTTCCCCAGTTTTGATAACGCATGTACGACAAACATGGCACCCCAGAGCAACTGAACCTGGACCCTTGTATCCCCGGTGGGCAGACCGGGTGCATTCCAGCGTCCCTGTGTCTTGCATATTTCATTCACGGTCCGTCTCGTCGCCTCGTGTTGTTGTCTCGCTCTCCCTTGCCAATATCAAACAATCCATCAGCTCCAAGCCTCATGACGGTGACCGATTCAACCTCGCTGCGATATATTCGCAAAGTCCTCGTGGCTAATCGAGGCGAGATTGCCGTCCGTTGTATCAAGGCTTGCAGAGAGCTCGGAGTCCACAGCATCGCCATCATCACAAATGCCGACGCTACCTCGCTCCACGCCACATTAGCTGACGAGACGGTCTTGCTGCCAGGCGATGACAGTACCGCTTACACAGACGGGTGAGTGGTGTCTCATTACTTACCGCTGCACTTCTTTGGCTTTTGCTGATCATACGTTTCATCCCAACAGAGATGCTATCTTGGACATTTGCAAACGCACAGGAGCTGATGCCATTATCCCCGGATACGGCTTCCTGAGCGAGAATGTCGAGTTCGCAGAGGCAGCCGCATCAGCCGGCATCACATTTGTCGGGCCTTCCCCAGCATCCATCAAGGCCATGGGTCTCAAGCACGAGGCAAGAGCCATTGCTGAGGCCGCAAATGTACCCGTGATACCAGGTACCCAGCTTTTGGAGTCCGCCGCAGCTGCGACAGAAGCCGGGGAAAGTCTAGGGTTTCCTGTGATGCTCAAAGCCACGGGCGGAGGCGGTGGCATGGGACTACAGATATGCGAGGATAAGGAGCAAGTTGCCAAGGCATTCTCCATGATCGAGAGCCGCGCTGGTGCACTCTTCAAGAACAGCGGGGTGTTCTTGGAAAAGTACTACCCACGCTCTCGCCATATCGAAGTTCAAGTCGCAGGCAATGGAGATATTGTCGTGGCCTTTGGAGAGCGCGAGTGTTCGTTACAGCGGCGACATCAAAAAGTCATCGAGGAGTGCCCCAGTCCGTTTGTAGAAGCGCATCCGGGCCTGCGCGAGAGGATGCTTGACGCGGCAGTCACCTACGCGTCGCAGTTGAAATATAAGAGCGTGGGCACCGTCGAGTTTCTGGTTGATGATGAGACTGCCGACTTCTTCTTCCTGGAGATGAACACGCGCTTACAGGTTGAGCACGGCATCACTGAAATGTGCTACGATGTTGATTTGGTACACCTGATGCTGAAGCAAGCCGACTATGAGCATGGAGGCCAGTTGGGAATTCCTTCAGACGTCTTGCGAGGTCTTGGAAGACCCAAACCACATGGATCAGCTATCGAGGCCCGAATCTATGCCGAGGTGCCGCTCAGAGACTTTGCACCGAGTCCCGGAATCTGCCAGTTCTTGAAGTGGGCAGAGGGCGATGGAGTGCGAGTCGACACTTGGGTCCGCAACGGCCAGCGAATCACACCTTTATATGACCCCTTGATTGGCAAATTGATAGTTCACAGCCCTGATGGTAGGCCAGCTGCCCAGGTGAAGATGCTCAAGGCCTTGGCAGAGACGGCTATTCAGGGAACACAGTCCAACCTGGAGTACTTGTCCAAAATCATCGAGTCGGACATCTTCGTGAGCGGTAACACGCTGACCAACTCTCTGGCAACATTCAAGTTTGAGAGCTGCTCTCTGCAAGTCCTCGATCCGGGTGTGTACTCCACAATCCAGGACTTTCCAGGCCGCATCACCGTGGGTCATGGGATCCCACCTGGTGGTCCTATGGACGACCTCAGTGCTCGTGTTGCCAACATTCTAGTTGGGAATGATCCTGGAGTGGAAGTTTTGGAAGTGACCTTGGTAGGACCAGAGCTCCTATTCCACGAGGCAGCCGTTGTCTCCGTCTGCGGCGCTCAGCTACCACTAACTCTCGGTGGTGGATCTTGTCCCATGTGGTCCAGAATTATCATTCCAAAGGGACAGACACTTAAGCTTGGCAAAATCACCGGCAATGGTATCCGAACGTACCTGGCCGTCAAGGGTGGCTTTCCTCAAATTCCTGAGTTCCTTGGGTCCAAGTCGACTGCCCCTGAGCTTGGATTTGGAGGTATACAGGGACGGAAACTTCAAATAAACGACATATTATCTCTGTCACCGGACTCTAAAACCTGGGCAGCCGAAACAACCGTGACATCACTGCCCTCGGAAGCTATACCAGCTTTTGGCTACACTACCTTGTACTGTATGGATGGACCGTACGGCTCTGATGACATTCTCACCCACCAAGGGCGAGATACGCTGTACGGAACAGATTGGGTCGTCAGTCACAACAGCAGTCGAAGTGGAGTTCGGTTAGATGGACCACAGCTAGAGTGGGCGCGGACGTCGGGCGGTGGCGGCGGATCGCATCCATCCAATGTCTTCGACTACGGCTATCCAAATGGCGGTGTCAACTTCACTGGTGAATCTCCGATCATCTTTGCACATGACCGCCCCGACCTTGGCGGCTTTGTTTGCCCGATAACTATCTGTTCCGGGGAAATGTGGAAGGTTGGCCAACTAAAGCCCGGCAACACGGTACGGTTCCAGTGTGTGACTTATGACGACGCCCTTGAGATTGTCAAGAGGAAAGACTCGTATCTTGACGCACTGAGAAATCTACTCGGAGGGAAATCCTCCCCTGTTGCGTCCCCTATCATCTCTCTCAACCATCGCTCGCTATCCTCTATTCTACATCAGACCCCGCGTCTAGGGAACCACCCAAAGGTTACATACCGCCAAGGAGGCGATACCAGTATCATCATCGAGTACGGCGAGCAAGTCTCGGACCTGCGAAATACAGTGTGCGTTCAACTCTTGGGGAAGCAGTTGACGATAGCAGACCTTCCCAGCGTCCGCGGCGATGCCAATTTCTCGTCCCTTACCGTGCGCTTCGATCCGTTCCAGATGAACCAGGGCAGACTGCTACAGCTTCTCATCGAGTATGATGGGACAATTGGTGACATCACCGGCATCAAAATACCTGCTCGGCAAGTACGGTTGCCCGTCTGCCTCGACCATTCATCACTTCAGGAGTCCGCTCAGCGCTATATGGAGAGCATCAGACCCACAGCAGCCTACATGCCAGACAACGTTGAGTACCTCCAGAAGAATAACGCGCTCGAGTCGCGTAGTGACGTCTTTGATTCACTTCTAAAGACGCCGTGGCTGACCGTCGCTGTTGGTTTCTACGTCGGAACACCAATCATGTTCCCCCTCGATCCGTGGCGCGTCCTGACAGGTCAAAAGTACAACCCCAGCAGGGTATACACACCGAGCGGCTCCATTGGAATCGGAGGATCATTGGCAGCTATATACCCCGTTACGGCACCTGGGGGCTACCAGCTCATGGGTCGCACTTTGGGCGGGTGGGATGCTGCTGGCAACCGCCCGGGTTTTTCGTCCACGCAGCCCTGGCTGTTTAACCACTTCGACCTGATCAAGTTCTACGCAGTCTCCGAGGAGGAGTATGACAAGGCGGAGCGAGACTTCCAAGCCGGTCGGTACGTGTTTGAAATTGAGGATATTACGCTCGATATGGACGAGCACATTGCAAAGTTTGATGCTGCAGCGCAAGACCCGAAATATCGGGCGTGGCGGAAGCGTCAAGATGCGGCTGCGCAGGAGTTGGGGGAGACTGAGAAGCAACTCTTCCGCGAGTGGATCGAAGCAAAAGAATCCAATCACAGCCAAGATAGTGCTGAGGATGAGGCTATCGCCGGGAAGACCGTACTGGTAGAATCTCCCGTGGATGCCAACGTTTGGAAAGTGTTGGTAAAGCCAGGTGATGTGCTGGAAAAGGGGCAGACTGTTGCCATTTTGGAGGCTATGAAGATGGAAATCAAGATAGTCGCTAGTGATGACCAGGTTGGGGCTACAGTAGTGAAAATCAGCCAGCCACCTGGAAGTATCGTAAGTCCGGGGGCCGTAATTGTCAAGGCCAGGAGGGAGGAGTGAAAGAATATCGATCAAATTCTAATTTTACAATGTCTGGTCCTATAAATAAGGAGTCAATAAACCCGATAATCGTGGCAAGATTCTTATCGAACTGTAACGGGCGGTTAGGATGATGACGACTAGTTCATGTTCGGTAAATAGCGTATCAGCGTCGTGTGATGGGTGTCACGTGAGTCTCCTCTTGTGCCGGTCAGTCTCCAGTCTTCCGGGTCCAGACCATCATCATCCCATCTCCATCTGCCATGGAAACCCCACACTTCTTATCTGTGGAATCGTTTCATTTGGTGTTCCCAGCAATCGTCGCAACAAAATTACCATCGGAACTGCATCTGCCCCTCTGCCTGTCTTCCATGCGGCGTCTTCCTACTACGCTTACGCACCTAGGCGACCTCCCCTGCTAGCTATTCATCATGAAAGGCCGGCCTCGGCTCCGTGTAGATCCATGCAGGTTCTGCGGCAAAGAGTTCAAGCGACAGGAACATCTGGAGCGTCATATCCGAACCCGTGAGTCAAGGCCTGTCGTCTACTTCGCGATCTGATACTGAGATCTACTTTCAGATACCCACGAGCGACCATTTGCATGTCCATGCGGCCGGAAGTTCTCCAGACAGTATGTCATCACATCTCACCCGGAATAGCAGTTCCGCAGTTGTTTACTGATCCTCCCCAGAGACCTACTCAAGCATCATCGGCAGCTCGCCCAGTGTTCGCATGCGCGCCAGGAGGGAGATTCCAGCCGCCAGCCTTCCTTAATTGACACTATCATTGTTCATCCATCTTTGCTGGGCAATGAACAGAACCAAACTTCCTGCTTTGATGACTCCTTGGCGGCAGCCTCACTCCCTTTCCAAAGCCCTGACTTCGGCATATCCAGTCAAGCACCAGGTGCAGAAACTAGACGAAGCATCTCAAGCAATAATGCCACAGAATACTCTCAGCAGCAGCTCATGGGGAAGTTCTCTATACGTGATCCCATTATGGGCGGCCCTGAGGATAGCGTTGGCTTCACCCCCCAGGCATCTAATCTTATGGCTCCCCATCAGCCAAGCGAAGAACTACAAATAGAACCAAGCGGTGATTTTGTACCGCTCCAGTCGTTTGACATGGACTTTCCTTTTAACGAAACGGACATGATCAATAATTATCTCATGGGTGTTTTCACCCCAATAGACTATCAAGGAAGCGTCAGTGAGAAGGCATCACCCATATACGCCGAATTTCCTCCAAATCCAACTGGCGCTCCTACATCAGCAGATGCCACCCCGAATGATTCGACAGTGAGCTTGGGCCGGGATCTTGCGAGCCAACCCCAGACTACGAGTCAATCACAAGATACAGCCGCCCGCATGCAGGTTGATCAAAACACAATTGCTGGGTCACTGGATGCCATCGACGACATCGCGCCAACGAACCCATGGGCCGTATCTGCTGTCGCCTATGAGAAGCTGTCCGCGGAAGTCGCAAAACACATGGACGTGTTGCCCGAACCTTTCTCTCTTCCAGGTCGGCACACTCTATCGAGATATGTATCCAGCTGGATCCGTAGTTTCCACCCCCATCTGCCTTTCATCCATCTCCCGACAACATGCTTCGAGTTCCGGACGCCCATGTTGCTGTTGACTCTTGCTGCTACGGGGTCATTCTACGGATTTGAACATACACACGGGTACTCCATGTACTTTCTAGCAAAGTCCATCATCATGAAAGAGCTCGAAGAGCGCCGTCGCAAATCGACATTACACCTTCTTCGGAGTTTCCCCCGTTACGCAGAACTTCACACCAGCTCCTCAGTAGCCAGCAGCACACCTTCACAGGCAGAAACACCACGCCAACCAGGCTCCGCGGCTGCAGACGTGGAGCTGCTCCAGGTCTTGCTGGTTCTTGTCCTTACAATGTCCTGGCTCGACGGACCGCTGGCCCAAGACGCCTTGGCCATGAGCAGCCAACTTGCTGAACTCACCCGGGACGTCCTGAAATGTCCGCCGGTGCAAAGCGCAACCGACTCATGGAGGGATTGGGCACGCGAGGAAGAACGGCGACGCACACTCTTCTCGGCCTATTTCGTGCTCAATATCTTAACAATCTGTTTCAACGTCCCTCCGCAGGTCCTCAGTTCCGAGATCGAATTGCCACTGCCATCCTCCGAGGCCGAGTTCAGCGCAACCACACCCAACGCATGGCGTAGTCTGAGGCAGAAGAATAACCTATCCCGGCTGACATTCCAAGACCACCTTAAGCAGCTTCTCTCCGGGAAGCCGCTCGCCAAAGAGGACTCGGCGACAGAGTTCGGAAACTACATGCTCATCCAGACCCTGCTGATCCAGCTCTACTTCGAACGCCAAATCGCATCCTCGGCCCTCAGCCCATCAGCAACCCTCCCCACCGCCACCATCTCACTCTACAACAACGCCTTCAGCGCATGGCAAACATGCTGGGACTCGGCCATAGAATCCGCCCTTGATCCGTCCTCGCCCCACGGTCCCCTAGCGTTCAACTCAACGGCCATCCTCCGCCTCGCGCACGTCCACCTTGGCGTCGGCCTGCAGAGCCAGTGCGCCCTCCGCTCGCGGGACCCTCGAGTCATCGCCCAGGCATTCGAGGCACGCCACGACTCCATCCCGCTGGGCGCTCCGCACCTCGACCAGGCGGTCCTGCAGGCCATCTGCGCGCTGAGGATTCCCGTCCGGGTCGGGATCGCGTTCGTGGCGCGCGGCCGGACGGGACATTGGAGTGTCCAGCATGCGATCAGCAATTTTGCCTGCGCGCTGCTCCTCACGCACTGGTTTGAGAAGGTTTACCAGCAGGTGAGTTGTGACGGGTTGGGGGCCCTGAGGGGAGAGGACAAGCGGTTGCTGAGCATGGTCGAGCGGCTGATTGAGGAGACTCACCTGGAGGGGACTTTGGGCGGCAGGGAGGATGCGGCGAGGCGGATACGGCTTCTGTCCATTGCTGCGTTGAACCTCTGGGCGGAGACGTGCAAGGGGATTCAGGTGTTTGAGATTGTTAATGTGGTGGGAGAGACGCTTTCGCTTGTGGCAGAATCGCTTGGGGGCCGGCTTTAGATGACACCTTCTGTCTTTGTGTAGGATTAATAATGAGAAGTGTTTGGCAGCATTTTATATTGTCTAAATGTTTCAAACTATGCAGAATGGTGAGAAAGGTTGGCAGAGACGAGAGTGTTGCCTTGGTGGGAGTAGGTGAATCTGGATCAGCATCTAGGGGTCTATGCTGAGGGCGATACTCCGTTCACCCAAAAGGCGATTCAGGGCCTATCATTTGGATTTAACCGTTACTGACTTCAGTGAGTCTGAGGGATTCAGCTGGATCAGGTCAACGCCGGGAACTTTGGGCGTGATGCAGAAAATGGTGCCACATATCCAATGATTGGTCCTTGTACTGACTTGTGATGCAACACTCTGGTCTCACGGTGCCCAAGTACCTCCTACACCAGCACCGCCTCCCATCCTGTGTAAGCTGGGGGCAAGGGACTTTGGTGTGTGATTCTCCATCTCACCCTCCAGCCAAGGTACCTTCGGGTCAGCTAATTTCTTTCTTCTTCAGGCAGTGGATCCTGCTGTAAGGCAACAGTCTGTGCCAAGAGCGGCACGAACGGCCCAGCAAACAGTATAAAATTTCACCGTCTGCCTCAGAATCTCTAACTAGGAGCCTTACACAACCTAACGTCAAACAACCGCTCCTTATTTACTCATCAGACTTACAAAACCTCCAACATGGCCAAAGTCGACGACACATCGGAGCCCCAGTCGGCGTCGTACAGCACCTGGTCCGGTCCCCCAGGCCGGATCAACGTCTTGACCCGCCAGGGCGTGGCCCTCCCCATGATCGCCCTCCTCTATACGGCCTCGACCCCGTTCACGCCCTTCGTCTGGCTGCTCAACCTCGACGGCAGCTCCCTCTTCGACCGCCTCTTCGCCGGCATCGCCATGCTGGGCGCCTGCTACTTCCAGTGGCACATCGCCAGCATCACGCGGCCCCTCGCCATCGCCCTCCCGGGACCGTCAGGCACGACTGTCCGCAACGGCCGCGTCGAGAGGAGCGCGCCCGTGGGCTTCGTCTGGCACCCGAGCAACTACTGGCCCTACGTCGTCTGCGAGGCCATGCTCCTCGCCGCGGCCGAGTTCGGGCCCAGCGAGCTGCTGAGGAGGACCGTCGTCTGCGGCGTCGTGGCTGGGCTCTGGCTCATTGGCTTCAACGCTACCCCCGAGTCTACGAAGCGCTGGGCGTATGAACAGATCAAGGCTTGGATGTTCTGGATGGTTCTGAGTGAGATGATTGGTATTGGGGCGAGGAGCTCCGGCGCACGCCGTCGCAGATATTGAGCATGGGGGTATCAGCTTTTGGTCTGGGATAACAATCGTAAATGAGATCTAGAATAACGGAAATAAATCTCAATATTATATCTTTCACTCTATCGAGATCTCGCAACCAGGCTGTGTCTGATAACTCCCACCCGGATCTGATTGACCTGCAGATTACCCATGATCAGCAAACCGCTAGAGCACTCATCAGCCCTATGAGACACCAACAGGCGCTGTAGGACAGGCAGGTTTAGCGAGGGTCAGCCCTACTGTACGAGTCAACTGGTTGTGCGAAAGACATCCAAACGACAGCGGCTTACCCTACACCTGCCCGGACAACTCTGTGAATTTCAAGATTTTCATCAAGGAGACTACGTGTTCTTTTTTCTCATTGAACGGATAAGAGTTCGAGTACAAAGTAAAAAATAGCGATGGAAGATTCCAGACGCGACATCTTAATGAATACGAATGGCCGTAAAATAAGCGATTCTACGACAAGGCTGTAACCATCATTGCGTAAAGAAATTTATACAAACCTTCTTCAATCACTCAATTGCCGTCAGGATAAACCATTCATCAGACCACCATTTATTCAACTCCTTCACCTAGCTACCACACACAATTCTTTATGCTCATTTCACATGAATCTAACCATTTCAACATGCCAACTCAGTCAGCACCAGTAGTCCCTTAGTCAGACTGCTTGAATTAACATATGCGCAGCCTTCGACACATGCCACAGCACACGCAATCTCGGCGCATCCTCTCAAAGTCTAGAGATGAGAGACTTCGAGTTTAAAGTTAAAAACATTAGTGGAAGATGTTAAAAACCAAAATCTCAACGCAACGAATACGAAAGGCAAAAATAGGCTCTACCAGCTTAAGGCAGCAGTTATGTTGGAGTAAAATTCTTCCAAGCCCTTCTACCGATCACTCACTTGCTCTCAAAATGAGCCGCTCGGCAGATTATGATTTAATCTGCCCTCTTTCACCTGGATTTATTCTCGTCTTACACCAATACTGAACACACCAAGCTCTAGGCTTTTCGGCTTGCAACATACCAACCCAGTGAGTACTAGCACTCTCTCAAAGGCAACAAGATCATCTTGGCCGAGCTTATGAAGCCTGGGAAGAACACCTGCGATATAAGATGTGCTGTGTCCTCATGCAAGGGCAGTCCCGGTTCATCAGGTTGATCAAACCTACGTTATTTGAAGACCTTTACCAATGCCAGGGCTAGAGGCTGGAGAATCTATCTCGGTCAAGGTCTTCAAACAGTGTAGTTTGATCAAGTCTGATCAACCCGATTAACCGGGACTGCCTTTGCATACCCAGCATACCTCGCTTCTTAGTATAGTTGTGTCTCAACTGAAGAGCTGCATGAAATTCTCGAAACTCGTCGGTATTTCTTTCCTTCTTCCGTAAAAGTGTATTATTCTTCTGGCGAAAAAAGTGAGATGACTTCCGTTAATTTTCAGCGTGTTGCTGCCGAGATAGGACAGTTTACAAGAGTGGCGAAGGGCACTGAGACTTTTGAACTCAGCTACACAATTCTCTTCTCTTGAATAGTCGGACATTATCCCATTTAGGTTGCAGTATGTCACTCTTGATAAGCCGGCAAGTCTTCTTTTACTCGGCATCAGCCTTCCAACCTCATAAGAGTTTGAAGCCTCTACAGTCAAAGGAGTATATGTGTCGCCCTTCGGGAGAGAGTTTGAGTGGAAAGTTACACAGCAATGGAAGATGCCAGAACCCGACAACTCAAAACAATGAATACGAAAGACAAAAAAAAGCTTCGCTAGAAGTTGCCGTCCTTCTCATCTTCAATACCTTCTTCTTTTTGGTTACTGTCCAGATGCGGTCTGAATATCTACTCTAACAGCGTCCTCATGGTCGACTCCTCTCATCATGTCATCCGCTCACTTAAACGCCGTTCATATCAGCCGGTTTTGGTAAAGCATGCCTGGTCTCACCATACCCTATCCCTCTTAAAGTAGATCCTCGGAGCTGTTGGATCAAGTTTCGGCCAGGACTCCGCAAGATAATCAGATCCCGGCATGAATAAGAATATTACTCGAACATTTGCCAAGCATCTGCTGACCTATTTCCTGTCGCCTCCTCAGGACAATATTTCAAAAGCACACAACCCCAGGCTTCAGATCTCGCCATGTAAGTCTAAGGACTTAAGAATGAAGAAAATTGATCTTCGGCCAACGTAGGCGGCACTCGGCCACAAAGGTCAAGGGGGATTACCGGCTCAGTTAGGTTAGGCTCTTGAGTATTCCTCCATCAATTCCGCATTTTTTCATCACTTATCGCTTAGACAAGGCCCTTGCTTTGCATATTCTCTCTGTAAATTAAACTCTGCGACTCGGTCAGCGTTGACAGCCCGCCTCGTGAGATAATCTGAGAGCAATGGCCCCCAAACACGGTAGTTCAGCGCTGACACCCCATAGCGCCCACGCCTCTCAAATGCCCTTTTTGCAGAACCGATCGAGTGATCTCACTGGGTAAGCACCCGTGACTAGACCTGATTGATGGCCTTGTCGATCCTTTCTTCAAAAACCACGCTGTTTGAGGTTACCGAGTTTGTGGGTAATAGCCCCTGCGCCTGTTCGGCTATCTTCATGTTCTGAAACTCAGCCCTATGGCGTCGCAGCCACCCTGGTGGATTGTATATAGACGCGAAACATGGCACGATAAGATGTATATGATTTGGCATCTTGAAGCACATTGAAATGGCTCTATATTGTTTTCGTGGGGTTGAAAGTTTAGGCGGTTATAGCAACACCTTGATATGACAGACCCTCGCCTATGGCCCGTTCAGCTGGCTCTGAGCAGGGCTAGGAAAACTGCCCAGGTTCGCCTCATTTCACTTGAATTGGAAGTGCTGGCTAGCAACTGCGGGTCTCTCATCCAGGTTGAGATGCATGTCAGTGCTACCCTTGGACAAAAATATCCCCAAAATACACTGTGTCCAATCGGGTCATTGGGCCAAGCGAAGGTTCATGAGCACTGACTGGACTTTGCATGCCGTTCTCCAGCCCTTGACATCATTAGCCATGTGGATGGAGAGTCGGTTAACCGGTCAGAGGATGTGGGATCGACCCATTCCACAAAGCAGCTGCGTTTGCCTTGCAATGATTGGACAGCCTGATGACTGTGAACGGCGTCTTACCGTTCAGCTAATCCATTCCTGTCGTGGTCCGGGACAAAAATAGAATCAAATCCTTGCAGCTGCTTATTTAAAGACATTAGTAAATGAGATGGGTACCGCATTCATCTATTGGGTGCTGAAATAGGTCTCCCGATGTTACCCTTAACAGCGAACCCTGTCATAATCGAAATGTTCTTCCCACTGGGCCATCTCTCCGCGATCCATGGGAAGTTCTAGTGGTCAGCCTGCATAAGCTGACCAACGAAGCTGAATGATGTGCACAACAGCATATTTGGGACTTTAGTGACTGGGCACATATGACTCGGTTGTGCGCCCACCCAGTCTTCTGTTTCTGATCTTCTTCTTTTTCTCTTTATCCTATTCTTCTTTTCCTTTGTTTTGCTCTTCTTCTTTACCCCCTTTTTTAATTTCTTTTGTTCAACCCTGGCATCTAGCTAGGTGGAGACGATACAACCATGGCCGCACCGGAAGAGTTACCTTGGGATGAGGATAGCATGGTAGTGGTGGATCACGACGACTTTGCAAGTTTTGACGCGAGCAGCTTTGACACTACTCTGCCCCTGGAGACCGAACAGTACATCCGCAACTGGCTCCAGCCAACCGAGTACAACGCCAGCAACGGCGAATGCAGCAAGCACAGAGCGTCGCATGTTCCCGGCACGGGGGACTGGCTGTGGGAGTCCGAGGCGTATTCGCAATGGCACGGGGGCAGCGATCACGGGATGCTCCTGATCAAGGGGATCCCAGGGTCCGGAAAGTCAGTCATCGCCGGGAGTCTGATCGATCGGCTCTCGCAGGAGGAGGTGCCGGTCCTGTACTTCTTCTTCCGCCAGATCATCGACGCGAACCACACCCCGGATGCTTTGCTTCGCGACTGGTTGGATCAGATTCTGAGCTACAGCGAACCGCTGCAGCTGCGATTGAAGGAGTACGTTGAGAAGAGGCGGGATCTGAGCAGTGTGTCCATGAGCGATCTTTGGAGGCATCTCAAGCTGTCGCTCGCGGACCTACCGAAGGCGTACTGCGTTGTCGATGCGCTTGATGAGATGGATAGCGGCAACGACGAGTTTCTCAGAGCTCTCTGCGAGCTGGGCCGTTGGCGACCGGCCAATATCAAGGTGGTCGCGACCAGTCGCCCTATTACGCGGATTGAATTCCCGATACGACAAATACCTATGCTGGATATTCGACTGCAGGAGGAAGTCATCGAGGAGGACATTGCGACGTACGTGCAGCATCGGCTACAGGAGTCTGGAATCCCGGAATCACAGCATGAAGTCATCAAGAGAGCCGTTCCTGGAAAGGCAAACGGGCTTTTCCTCTATGCGAAACTGGCAATGGACGCCTTCCTTCAAGACGGAGTGGATATTCAACAGGTCACCGATAATCTGCCAGCTGACTTGAATGTGCTGTATACCGATTTGCTCCAACAGCACATCCAGCAGTCCGAGGTGCTCTGGTATCTCCAGATTCTCATTCTCTCATGGGTGACGCATGCTTCTCGTCCTCTCAGACTGCTGGAGATTGCCGAGATGATAAATAAGACCCATAATACAGACCTGTCCAGCGATCTGAAAGCGAAGAAGGAGCTTGTGAGGAATTCTTGTGGCCCTTTGCTGGAAATTCTGCCTGACGAAACAGTCTGCGTGATTCATCATTCATTGACCGAGTTTCTCAAAGGATCTACTCGTCGACAGTCATTGGGGCCAATTCAGAATCAGACCTATCCTGTACTAGATATGGGAGCAACGCACGCCCGTCTAGCCCAGGTCTGTATTTCGTACCTACTCGGATCAGGGTGTCTCGATGTTGTTGGAGAGATTGAACCGATAGATAATCGCTATATCGCAAAGGAAGTGCCGGAACTAGAGGGAGACACCCGGATCAGAACTGAGCTGAAGTCCCAGCATCCGTTCCTGGGATACTGTCTTCAGTACTGGCATTATCACGCCCGGAAGGCCGACGATTCTATTCCACTCACCGAGGAGCTATTATGTGCTTTGGACGAGCTCCTATCGAGCAAAAAGAACACGACGGCCTTGGCGATGCTGGCAGAGAGGAAGAGGGACGGATGGGAGCCGATCCACATGGCATCCTTCTACGGACTAAGCCAATATGTCTCTCGCATTCTGGAGAGAGGAGACGTGGATGTTGAGACATTGGATGCGGCAGATGAAACACCGATGCTATATGCAGCTGGCAACGGGCACTCGAGCGTCATCAAAGTGCTGCTATCAAACGGAGCTGACCCCGACGGGCCCTCCCGGAAGAATGGAGTCAAACCACTTCACCTTGCTGCATTGAGAAATCACGGAAAGGTAGTAGACCTGCTCCTCAGGGCTGGTGTGCACCCTTTCACACGCAAGACAATGCAAGACCCCCACGACGACTGCATCGGTACAGGAACAAAAGGACACACGCCGCTCATGTACGCCACCTTATACGGTCATAGAGAAGCCGCCAGGGCATTCCTCCCCTATCTCAACCAGAAGATTACGATCAACAGGGCGCTGGTATGGGCTGCTCAAGGTGGACACAGCGGCATTGTTGAGGATGTACTCAAGCACCCTCTTGTCGATGTCAATGCTAAGATTCGGTGCGAAACGGCAATATTTCATGCTGCCAAGCGTACAGACATTGGCCACGGAGACATCAATACCATCATCGCTTTGCTCAAAGCAGGGGCTGACCCGTCGATTCAGTGTATCCCGACTATGGATGAGTTCGAGGGCTGGGTAACGGAGGACGAGGACAGAGACGAAGAAGAAGAGCCGGAGGAAAACAAGCGCTTCTCGCGCATGAGTACGGCACACAATGCTCTTCATGCTCTATGCGGTGCCTACGGTGAGCGATATTATGCCTGGAAGGAGAGCCCAGTCTTCAGTGCCCAAACACTCAATGAGGTCATGTCCTTGATGTCGCGCAAGTCTCTCGATGTCAATGCTAGAGACCGTACCGGTGCCACAGCATTGCGCTATGCTGTCCAAAACATGCCCATGATGGTTGAACCGTTATTGAAAGCTGGGGCGAACGCCAAAATCCAGCAGAAGAATGGTGAGACTATTCTTCACGGATGCTCTGACCCCCACGTTCTGCAGCTTCTTGTGGAGGAAGGCCAGGTGGATATAAACCAAGTTGAGACTGAGAACAGAAGATCGCCCCTCCTCTTCGCCGCCATGAAGCCCTGGTTGACGCCCGAGATTATACAGAAATACGCCGAGTTGGGTGCTAACATGTCCCACACGGACATGAAAGGCCAGGGAGCACTGCATTTATATCTTGGCGACTCCTTCAAGGAGAATGAGTCTGCCGAGATAATTGTTAGCACACTATTAGAGATGGGCGTTCCGCCTAATCTGAGGAATCACAAAGGCGAAACTGCCTTGCACATGGTTATTCAAAGGTGCAATAAGAAAGAAAACATAATCTGTCAGAGTCTATTGTCGGTTCTCGTGTCTCGGGGAGCTGATCCAAATGCTCGAGATAATGCGGGAGAGACTCCTCTCTTCAAACTTGTTTCGAACGCCTGGGATATTGGAGGTCTTCTTGATTTGGTCCGGACGTTGTTTGAACTGGGCGCACAGCCTAATGCGGTTGACTACCGTGGGAGAAACATGTTGTTCCATCTTCCAAAGAGGATATTCCCTGGATTGGTCGAGGAACTTCTGGAGCGAGGGGTCAATCCAAACGTTCGCGACCACGAAGGAAACCCTTATGACTGGGCGCTTGCTGACCCAGGATATGTCAATAACTTTGGACAGTCATACCTTCACATTGTAACAGCAACCCCGGACTCAGTTCTGGACGACCTCTCTACCTACCCAGATATTGACGCCAAAGACAACGAAGGTATCAGGCCTTTGCACATTGCTGCAAGATCAAATGAGAAGCACGTAGCAGCATTGCTAGCCGCAGGTGCCAGTCCTACCGAACCTACCTACGAAGGAGTCACTCCTCTCCACGTAGCTGCCCGATTCCGCCAGCCCAACATTGTCGGCCGGCTGTTACAGGCAATCAGGGCCCAAAGTGGCAACAGAGGCTTATTATCTCACTTGAATTACGTGCGTGAGCAGCTTCCTTCAGCTTTACATCTTGCCTGTCGATCTGGTGTTCCGGAAACGGTGTCCCTTCTCTTAGAAGCGGGGGCGGATCCTAACCTTTACTTTGATCAATGCCATGATTTGCTGCAAGTTCCTTATCCTTTGATTTACCTGGCCAAGTATGAGGAAGAAGAGAAGCTTTGGACTAACCGAGCCATCCGAAACCAGCACCGAAACTCTTCCTCTCAAGAGGTAGACTTCAAAGCGCTCGGTATCAAACTCAATGATCCATGGAGGCCGGTGTTTGATGAGGAGCCACCAATGGAGACTTGCACATGTCTAGAAGGTGTTTTGGATCTACTTTGCTACTACGGAGCTCAAATGGTAGATTCGCAAGGGGAGTCTATTCTTGAAATCGCCATCCAGGAGAGTCAAGGGAACGACTACACGACTGAGTGTCTGATTCAACTTCAGAGCTGTGTCAACCAAGGCCAGTCAGGAGTGACTTCAGTAATGAGCCTGATGATGTCAGAATTCCCGGAGTCTTGTGTCGAAAACATGGAGAGTGTTGATTACGGAGTCCTTGCGGCTCTCTATCGTCGGGCGAGTACGCGAGAGGCATTCTTCGAAGCCCCGCCAGACATGGCCACTCCCTTCCAACCACGCTTCAAGTCCGAGCCTCAACCGGACATCACTGTTTACGATCTGGCAAAAGACCACCAGTGGGGTCTCATTCTCCAAACAGCTACGGAGGAGGAGGAGTCTTTCCTCTCAGGGTACTATGGAGAGGCATCCATCTCACACCTGGTCTTACTGGGGCTTGAGTCAATCGTCCGCGAGCTCTTGACTCCAGAGAGCCTGAAGGAACTAGAACAGAGGCATCAGCAAGACATGATGCAACCACCCCCTCGTTTCAGAGGTGCCCTTTATATGACAAAGACTCTCGAGCCGCTTCTTCTCACCGCTTGCCGCCGAAAGCAGTGGAACCTTCCAATGATACGCTTGTTGGTTGAGCATCTTGGTGCCGATGTCAATATTCGGGGGTTGGAAGTTGATAACAATAGGATTGTCAGGCATGAGTCGGCACTCCATGTTCTCGCTCGCCAAGACTCTTGGGCTGCATCAGAGGCTATCCAATATCTTATTGATCACGGAGCAGACGTCAATATCAGGGATCACTATGATCGCACGCCGCTCATGTGTACAACCTCGGAGAACACGGCGCATATGTTTCTCAAACACGGCGCCGATATCCATGCACAGACCAGACTCGGCAAGAATTGCATAGACTTCAACACTGAATGTTTGGCCAGGACCAAGTTTCTCCTGTCTTGTGGAGCACAGGCCAGTATCCAGTCAGCATTCTACGTCATGGAGAGCCAAGCGGTGCATTGGAACGGGGATGCGGCCGTGCTGGATGTTCTGGGAGCCAAGGTTGATCTGAACGCCCGGCTGACGCAGAAAGATGCCAAGTTGAAGTTTGAACGCCGGTATACCGAAAAATACGCCGTCAACAGAGAAGAGCTCTATCTTCTGTATCTGGCAGCTCTTTACCACCCCATGAGCCTCACAGTCTACAACAGGATAGACCTTTCAAAGGCTGAGATCTATGACCGCCATCTACCTGTCTTATCTGCCCTCCTCAAGCGCGGGGCCAGTCCCTATGCCAAGTTTATGAGGCAACCCCCTCAAGGCAGCTCCGAACCGCCGCAGGAGTTTACTGTGCTGCATGATATTCTCGAGCATGCAGGCTTGGTGGAGCCGATACTCCAGCTACCAGATCTTGACGTGAATCACAAAGATGCCCAGGGTCGGACCTTGTTGCTCGCAGCGTGCCGCAGCATAATAGGCCCCGACTCAGCTATTGACGATTTCGACACTGCATTCCAGGGGAGGTATAATGGACCGGAATTCGAGAAGAAGACCGAGAAGCCATCTCTTGCGCAGTTCCTTGTGGACAAGGGTGCCATCGTCACTGTGCAAGACAAGGACAACAAGAATGCGCTGCATCACCTCCTCCAGTCGGAATCCAGAAACGGGTCTCAGTCTCTGACGCTCCTGTTATCGCTCGCACCAGAGCTCGTGTACCAGGTCGACGATGATGGCGCGACACCTATGCTCTATGCCCTGCAGAGAGTTGCCTCGAAGCGGGCCATCCCTTCAGACGTAGAAGCAGTTGCAAAACTTCTGGAGGCAGGGGCGGATCCCAATGTCACGGACCGAGACGGCAATACTGCACTCCATTTCCTCGGTGCCCGTCTAGCAGGCTTCGGTTGGGATTCTAACGAAGTCGCGGCGCTGCACGATCTCTTCCGCGGGCTCGTTGAGCTTGGGCTATCTATAAACGCGAAGAACAACCGGGGTGAGACACCCATATTCGCCTATTTCCGTGACCTGGGAGAAGCTTCCAGTCACAAGCACGATATCAACTACGATATCGTGAAACAAAACGAGTCGTTGGACTTGTGGATTAGTGGGGATGATGTCGCTGACGTGTTCCACGTTGATGATGAGGGAAACACCCTTCTGCACTACGTGGCGGCCACGAGCAGCGGTTTACAAAAGAACGATGCTGGAACGATCATGGTTGATAGGTTTCTTTGGTTGGTTGAGCAGGGACTGGATGCGGGACTGGAAAATCGGCGGAGTCAAACTTGCCTGGATGTGGCAAAGGTTAACGATAATGATGCTATTTTGGCGCTTTTTCAACAGGGGGAGTAGATGGCTTCTTTTCAAGTATATATATGAATTGTAATGGCGAGGCTTCATAGACCTCGTTTGGTTTTTCTTGATGAACGAGCATTTAACGAAATAAGACCAAGCTACAGACTGTGATTTTAATATGAGATTAACGATTAGGCCAGTGATGAAAAAAAAAAAAAAAAAACTCTTCCATCCCTAATTCTGCCTGGATGCTTATTCATATCCTGCATGATACTCACTCATTCGTCGTTGGGGATGACAGCTATTGCTTCCTCCGAGACTCGTCAGAAAAAAACCCTACTGTTTTATTAAACAACCAGCAAAATTAACCGGATATGCTCGAGTAAGTGTTTGCCAAGTCTCCTCCAAGAAATCGCTGCACGGCACCGTTTATGGTGACATGAACCACGTGGAAGGTTAAACTTGATTTGGAAATGTCCTGCAGAGAGCCCTGGTCTTCCAGACTCTCGGGGACTTTGGTGCGTGGCAGGTCAGTGCCGACCAATGAAGCGGTCAAATAGATCGACATGCAGCCTGGGAAGGATTACTACGTTACTGCATGATCCAGAGCCTCCTGACACGGTATACACAACATGGGCTTTGAAAAAGTCACCTCAACAAACCTATCAAAAGCAGCTACGAAACAACCGAAGCAGTCTATGGAGGGTTTTCTCATTGGTACCAATCTTTTCTGTTAGATAGTTGGATCTGTCTTGATATTCCGAGTAATTGCGTGATGATCAAGTCTAGGAAGTGGAATGAGGACCCTTGGATAGATTTACTAAATCTCGATTACAGTCACCTCTGTTCAAATTCAAGATATTCCGAAGTGGTGAAGAAGCTAGGCTCAGCTCGGCAGATGCTAATATGGTAGTTGATTCGGCTCTTATGCATGCCGATGAAGGGATGAACTGCGAAATGGGGGCGATCCTGAATGATCGCCAGACTGACGCTGCGCAGAATGAATCAATAGTGGAAATGTGGTGACGAATGGCTCAAAGAAGAACGCTGATCAATAAATTCATTGTGATGGCCATCTGTCTATTTCCTACTTGGTCCTGGTGCTCTGCCTGTATAGGAAGCCTCAGCACGCTTTTGTCAATCCGTGTCAGGGAGGGACTCGGTTCCTGACACCTGTCAATTAATTTCAATGCCGCGAAGGCACATGGGCATTCGGGGGCTTTTCGTGTAACTTTCCTGTTCTGCTCAAGCGCAATGGGGCAATGTAACGGCAAAGATGACTTCTCCTTTATGTACGATCTTCCATCGTTCCATTATGCCACCGAGAAACCGAGAAGCTGCCAGGCCCGTGGGTCTTAAAGCTTATCTTAAGATGCCCTCACCAACAGCGTCGCATCCTGCATGGACATGCCGGACGGTCAGGCTCGGACGATGGCTAATAAGGAACGGTGAATTCGTAATGGCGAGCTATTTCGAGCCACCCACAACGGAGCTCCCTAAAACGTGTGTCTGGACTAGGAGAATTGGCATTCCTTTCTTGGCAACTAAACTATTTGCACGCCGCTAAAAGGCCCCAGCTAGCTTAATGCGTCGTTGGTCCTTCGTTGCAGGTGCCAATGCGTTATTATGCCGTCCTCTTCGTTGCTTCAGCTCTGCTTATGCTGACACTAACGCAGGCGGGCAGGAGCTAGCTCGTGATAGTCCAGGGGGATTGTTCAGTTCAATGTGTGGGCAGCAATTACGGAGTGGTCTGCCTCTATATGACTACCTGGGCCGTAGCCGTCGGCCCGCCCCCTTCAGTGTCCCTTCATTTATTTTTCGGAGATCTTCAAATCTCGAACCGTATCTGGCTCTCACGAAATTATGGCGAATCTTCTTCCCGCATTGGCCGTTGTGGCCCTGCTGGTCGGCGGCTACCTCTGGCTGTCTGCAAGTCAGAAGCCCCAGGGCAAGCTTCCACCGGGCCCCAAGCCGGCCGCACTGATGGGCAATGTTAAGGACATGCCGCCCCCAGGCGAGCCTGAGTTTCTCTTCTGGCACAAGCACAAGGCTCTCTACGGCCCCGTCAGCTCCGTGACCGTCTTCGGCCAAAGCTTTGTCCTCATCCACGGCCGAAAGGAGGCCCGCGATCTGCTCGAGAAAACCTCGATGAAAACCTCCGATCGCCCCGCCGCGACCTTTGTGAGTGAAATTTGTGGATATGAGAACAGCGTGGTCGGCCACAAGTACGACAAAACCTTCCGCCACTACCGCAAGCTGCTCCACCAGGAGCTGGGCACCAAGTCCAAGGCTGCTCGCTATCAGAACATCCAAGAGCTCGAGGCTCGACGGATGCTCCTCCGAGTCCGTGATGACTCTGCTAAGCTCCTCGAGCACTACAAGACGTATGTACTGATCCTTCTCCCTGCTTTGCTGAACAACCCCATCTTCCCCTCCTCCTTGTCGATGGCGTGAAAGCTAAGCGACCCTGTCTTCAACCAGAGCTGTGGGGGCAACTATCCTGAAACTGGCTTACGGATACACAATTGAGCCACACAAGGCCGACCCATTGGTCAGCCTCAACGAGCGAGTCATGCAACAATTCACCCTGGCTGTGACGCCCATGACTTGGGCTGTGGATCTCCTCCCTGCGCTTCGTTATCTCCCGGATGGCTTCCCCGGGGCTTCCTTCAAGGCAAAGGGAAAAGAGTGGAGCGAGTGCCTCCGCACAATTGTCCATACCCCTTTTCGATTCGTCCAGAGTGAGATGGCCTCGAACAAGAACTACCAGGAGTGTTACATTTCCAAGCTGCTGCAGAACCCTGATGGCGATGAGAAGGGCGCCGGGCCTGTCACCCTGAGCCCTGAGGTTGAGCGTGATATCGTGTGGTCTGCAGGCAGTCTGTACGCCGCTGGAGTGGACACCCAAGCACTCACCCTGGCTGGCTTCACCCTGGCTATGATTAGGTTCCCTGAAGTTCAACGCAAGGCCCAGGAGGAGATCGATCGCGTCATCGGAACGCACCGGCTGCCCTCATTCGAGGATCGTGAGAAGCTCCCTTATGTCCAGGCCGTGTTCCTCGAAGCTCTGCGTTGGTGGGCCGTCCTGCCCCTTGGTATTCCCCACGTGGCCACTGAAGCGTTTGAGTACGAGGGCATGTTCATCCCCAAGGGATCCTTCCTCATCGCCAACATCTGGTCCCTCATGCATGACCCTGAGACTTACGCCGACCCGGAGGCCTTTGACCCTGATCGCTTCCTTGAGCCTCGCAACGAGCCTGACCCTTCCCCCGAGGCCTTTGGCTACGGGCGCAGAATCTGCCCCGGTAGACTCTTGGCAGAGTCCACTGTCTGGGTCAACATCGCCAGTCTGTTGGCCACCTATAACATCTCACACGCTCTTGACAAGGACGGCAAGAAGATCAGCGTGGACCACGTGAAGCCATCTGCTGGCACGACCAACACACCTTCGGACTTCCAGTTCAAAATCACCCCAAGAAGCGAGGTGCACCAGGAGCTGATCAAGAGGTTCGAGGTTGAACACCCCTGGGATGAGTCTTCTGCTAGCCGTATCAAGATGACATCGAAATAGACTGAGATAGTTGAAGTCTGTGTAGAGCACTTATGCATATAGACAATACAATGATGAGAATGTGATTGTAAAACTAATAAACCACTAAGCCCACAGCAGTCAAAGTGCTCTCACTCGAAAGGCAGGGAGCCGTCCTGTATTGTCAGCCCGATGTAATATAGATTCAACTAGGAACCTAATCTACCTCTATTAAGGACAAAATTTAAAAAGTATAAGAGAAAAAGATTCTTCTCCTGTGACGAGGGGTGATGCAGAAGCTTAATGTCATAGGAGCTCGCGGACTGTTCGCCATTTGCAGTGGGAAAGGATATATGCCTAAATCTTCACCCAGGACTTGGTAGACTGCTCACCCCGATAGCCGACAGTTGTGCGGTGTTAGAGAAGGAGTCTTATCACATCTCCATTCTGCTAGTGGAAGTCTGTATGTAAAGATAGATCATCCTTGTCAGACTCACTGCTCTGCTATAGAACCACATTGACGAGCCTGACGGAGTCTGTGCGACATACCTGGCCGAGTTCCTGAGGCTATTGCTTGCAGCGGAGAGTGGTTTAATCTGACACCTACTCAACCTGTCTGATGATACACGACCGACATCCCACCTGGTATCGTCGTTGAGTTTGCTGCAGTAACTGTCTCAGAAAATCCGACCTTGCCTTAATTATTTAACTGGCAAAATCCATTTCTAAGGCTTTTTTGGGGCAAAACCTGGCATCAAGTACAGCATGAAGAAGGGCTTTACACTTGAATAGCTTCTTTTACCCTTTCAACGCTAAAGCTGTTCCAAGCGCTGTCATGGTGTTATTTGGGAGATATTTTCGTGGCTACATGCGTAATAAATGGGCGGCATCCGGTATGTGTTTTAGAATTAAGTCTCTTACCAATGTAGAGTCTGTTTACAGTAGTACCTTCACAATATTTTCATAATGACAGTCGCAGAATCAAGATTAACAGTATAATATTCGAGCGTCTCAAATTCATCGTCACCTAGCACCACAAATGTGAAATCACGGCGGCAATAAGTCTCTTCTATTCACTTATGCATACTGCCTGCATTCTTCTTTGAGCGAAGCCACGTGCGGTCATTGAGCTTTGTGCTTCTAAACGGTCACATACCCGATTCGTTGCGAATATGACTGCATAATTCTTCGTATCGTGATTGGACCTGATGATGTTGGGCACAGCGTGGCTTAGCGGTTGCTGCCTGGTGTTCAAATAATAACTCTCCCCCCTTCTTTTGTGGTATATGACCTTGACACATGAGCTGTCTTGCGTCGTCAAGCAGATCCTCGTCCTTTTGCTTGTGCCTCCATAAAACTCTGGGATCATCATCATGCTCCAAACGAAGGACATGGAACAATTTAGCAGCATCGACCATGACTGCACAGTCTGCCAACGAGAGAAAGATTTCCCACTTAGCCCACGGCTGATAGCTGCAAGGGCTGGGATGATCTGACTCATGTGATGGAATGCCTGGAACCGGAATATCCGCATATTGACCCCGAACGCTTCAACTATGGATTCGGCGCAGAGGATGACATAAGTATTGATAAGCCTAAGGGCGCGGTGGATTCCGATCAAGACCTTGGGAGCTTAAACTATCGGCCCTTGGATCAGTATTCGTCCTCTATGACCTGCATACTGTGTCTTAGGATTGAAGAAGCGATTCGGGTCTCCATTAGCCCTATATCACGCATTGAGGTTGGCCTGTGGCGGCCTTTCCGTGTTCTCTCGGGAACTTTCCTGTGTGAACACCGAGAGGCTATCACAGCTGAGGACTTGAGAATGGAGAAGAATGGAGACAAGCAATCAGTGAGATTGATATTGCCGGTTTGTGTTAAATCCCAGGCGTCAGGAACAGCAGGTATGCTCTTCAAGACATTGCTGGTTGGACTAGAGTTCCACTACGCTCACTCTCGTTATGAATTGGAGGGCATCACAACATGGGACTGTAGCCGCCTCGATCCTGGCATTGTCAAGCAGTTCGTTGAAAATTGTCGAGAACACCATGGCAGCGATTGCAACGAGCTTCTTTGGGCTGCGAAGATCCCTCGGTTTCTCCGAGTCATTGATACCAAGAATTGGTGCGTTCAACCAGCTCCAGAAGAGCCGTTCGAGTATCTCGCCCTCAGTTACGTCTGGGGGGCGCCAACGGAAGCACAAAGCCAGAAGGATATTAAAGTCCTTCGGCTTGATACAACAACTCTCGCAGAATTGGAACAGAAGGGCTCATTACGCAAATACTCTATCCCAGAGGTCATCCTGGATGCTATTACTCTCTGCGCTGATCTCGGCTACCAGTATCTGTGGGTAGACCGGCTGTGCATTATACAGGATGAGGGCAACCATAAGCACAGTCAAATTAACGCAATGGATTCCATATACCACATGGCTACGCTGACAATAGTCTCCCTTGGAGGATGCTCGAGTGAGGGACTCCCAGGGGTGTCTTCTCGCCCTCGAGATACTCTTTTAATGAGCAATTTAAGCGATGGAGCCTTTTCATTGATGGAAAATACTCGTATGCTTCTCCGCCCCCAATACACAATCAGATCTCTGCTTCGAAGTGGAATCAACGAGGCTGGACCTATCAAGAGAAAATCTTGTCCCGGCGGCACTTATATGTGGACGAAAATGACTTTTACCTCAACTGTTTCTACGCGATATTTGAATCGAATACCGGATGGATGCGCGACCATCACGTACACCCAAATCAGAATTGGGTTGATAACCTGGGCCACGGCTACGACACAGGGGTTAGAAAAATCACTGGAATACCTCACCCTGCTGGAGCAGCTATGAAGTTTTATCAGCAAGCGGTTGCTAAATACACAGTACGGAAGCTTAACTTTGATCGGGATACGTTGAGTGCTTTCACCGGGGTAGGAAACTTGTTCGCCTCCCAGCACAACACGGACATGTTGTTCGGGCTGCCTGAAAAGTACTTTTTTCAGTCTCTGCTCTGGCATCATACGGGCACATGGAGGTCAAGGAACCTTACAGCTGATTTAATCATACCCAGTTGGAGTTGGGCAGCATGGGAAGGCACAGTCTCATATTGCACACAAAAGTGGCACTATAACAACCACACCTATTCCTTCACTGCAGGTTCACATGATCATTTAGGCAGCCTCGTCAGCTTTTACTACGTGGACCCGTTGAGAGGATTGAGGCGGATACACGATGACAAGTTCTGGTTTGAAAGGAAAGCCTTCAAATACAGCGATGATAGCCATGAGCTGCAGACTCGATGTGAAGATAGCATCAGAAGGCGCGTTTCAGACAATTTCGGAGAGCAGTATGGAGAAGTATCCGTGGATGCAGAACCTTTCGTTGAAATGTGGAGAAACTGCGTCCAAAACCCATGGGATGCTGGAAAGCATGCCGAGATCCGAGATAAGGATGGATCGTTGCAAAGAAAATTCCCAGGCAAGTTAGCATTCAACACAGCCGTGGCTACGCTTGGAGTGCGGACTGCCGTGGTGAATAACGGCCATAAAGGAGCGGAAATGTACCCGATGATCCAATGTATACGAACTTCAATCTCGTCTCCGAGGAAAATGTTATAGTTGGCCAGGTCTTTGCCAACTGTCGTGAAATGGTTCTCCGGACGTTAAGGAGTGGTGATAAACACCGAGTTGCTGTTGCCGGCGCCTGCATCTCTAACGAAAGAGGAGGGAGTGAGCCTTGGGGGTTTATTGTCATTATTCTTGGGAGAAAAGAAGGGGTACATCGTCGCTTGGCCCTTGGGGTAGTGAACCCAGGGGCATGGACAAAGCTGACCCCCCAATGGGAGACTATTCTTCTTGGATAGTCACTGAGCACCTATGTTCTTGACGTATGTTCTCGCGAGAGATAAATCGAAAAACAAAACTCAAGTTCATTGTCTTTGAATTAGGGGATAACGTTTGAATCAGACCATAGTAAATCTCTTTGTCTAATATTTGTGTAATATCTCGTGAGTCAGTCAGGGGGAAATAGGTCGAGATAATGCAGTTGGGTCAGTGAACTGTGAAGATGTAGTGGCCTCTCGACCTCTTTTTTATACGAGCCAAGCCCCTTTTACCTAACTTATGCCCCTCACTATATGTGCTCTATTTATTTTTATCTCTATAAGCTGCCCTAATTATTGTTGAGCAAGCTATTATTTCCATGGTCCAGATCAACTGGGGCCAGTTCGGTTGGGCCAGTTCAACTGAGCCAGTTCAACTGAGCCAATTCAACTGAGCCAATCAATTGAGCCAACTCGGTTGGGCCTGCATCCGTGCCCCACCGACGTACTTAAGTGAGGTCTCCCCGCGTTTATACGGCACCTCAAGCGGCCAGAATCGGCAATGTAAGTCGGCACTCTGAGCCAACTGCATGCACAAAACCCCCTTTCGACGCAAAAGGACTTTTATTCTATTTTAAACGAAGGAACTAATCCCAAACCTGGTCTGATAGGGGTGGGGACAAAGTCCCGTCTGTTTCGTCCCCACAAGGTCAGTGAATGCATGCATGGTGGCGGTTGGCAATCCTCTGAAACAGCATTTGTCAAGGTGATAGCAACACCTACCAGACATTTATTTACATCTCATTTGAAACCGGGGAAAATCCTCAATCGAATGATGGTTGCACTTGCTGCGGGCGGGTGGCTGGGAGATTAATGCTGGTGTGCCAAAACAAGGCTGCGACAGGTGAGATGACACAAGAACCAGTGAATTGCGCCACAACGCAGGTCGCCAAAAGCAGAAATGAGCTGATGCTGTTGGTTGGTAACGGAGCAAACGTCTGCCCAATCACATTTGCTCATTTCAAGCCTTGACGTTACTGTTCCCCCTTATCTCGTCACCTTTCATCTTCTCTCTCCTCCCAACATCCCGGCCAGACCTCCATCAGACCTCCATTACACGTATTGCCGACCACGTATTTGGTTTAGCGCAGATAGCTGAGTTCGACACGAAAAACTAGCTATGCACGTTTCTGAGCTGGGCAGGGTTGTGAGATTATTGGTTCTAAGGCTTCTGCGGCCGTTTCCCGGTCTCAAGGGGACTGTAAATATAAAAAACCTGCAGGCGCCCATATCTGTGCCGCTATGGGTTCGGGGGGATATCAGTTGCTTGTCGCCTCCGTGGGAAGCGCTAGACTCGGCCTTCAATGCACCACTTCCTCTGCCTATATCATGGAGAGCTCATCTATACATACTGATCAGAACCGCATAGTGGAAGCGTTGAATGCCGCCGCCGTTGAAGTTGATAAGTTCGTCAGCAGCGCCAAGTCTCCGACACTACTCCACAAAGAGGAGAGCGAAAAGCAATTCCAGTCCGTTCTCGACAATATCAAAGCTTTTCAACAGCTGCCCGGCGGAGGCAACCACGCAGAACTCGAGAAAGTCATCGACATCGGCGTACAGTGGAAGGACTATAATAAACAACGCGGCAAAGATGCGTTGGCGAGAGAGGACGACCAGTATCTAAACGGTTTGATCCACAGATCTTTACAATCTATAGAAAGGGTTTCTGCATTCTTGAAATCGCTGATTCGCCCTGTCACTGAACCTGAAACATGCCAGCAACACCTAGCCACACCACAAGGCTCAGCCGAAAACGAGCAGCGACCTGCCACCGAAACAGAAAGCCGAAGCGAAGTACATCACGATTCAGAGCGTTTAGATAACGAATCCGGGCCATGTGCTCCTACTCCTGGGCCAAGCCAATCACCTGTGTCGAATAAACGGAGATTTGTCACCGCGATAGATGAACCCCCAACACCGATCACGGGCCCTACCATCGACTTCCAAGAGGTGTATCAGGGTGGCAACAGCCTCATAAGATATACAATAGTTGATTTCGCGCACACTCTTTCAGCCAACCCAACTGTCAGTGGCCAGTGGTGGATATTGCGATGTGTCAAATGCGGCTGGCACGGAGTGAACCAGAAAACCCGGACCCTATACGACGGCTCGCTTCATGCCGCGAGGTGTTTTCCCCAGTCCAAAATAACTGACAACGCCTCGGTAATCGATGCGCTTGGAGTTCTCGTCCTGAACTGCGATCGGGGCCTCTTCTCGAGAAACAATGATGATGTCAAGCAAGCGCTTATCGACAGGTCCTATGAGCCAGCCTATCGAAATAGGAACAAAAGGACGAAGTTCGTGAACGTACCGGTACCACAAAGAAAATCAAATGAGCCCCCGATAGTCACTGACCCGAAAGTCGGGATGCTTTATCTGGCTCATCAGCGGGGTGGTCTCGTATTTGGGGCTATCGTCCTTCCATTGGGGGATTTTCGTTCTCGCGTGGGTATTCGAGGTAGCATATACGACCCAGAAGCGTTCAGAGCTCTACCGGATTGTTACCGCTTCCATGAGGGCCAGAGGAAGTTCTTCTGGGCAGAGGGATACGAAGATGGCGGTGGGAATGTCACGATGCGACAATTTCCGGTTTACTACCTCGATGGTCCCAGTGTTGAGATGGGGCATGTGCGATGGGCCTCTGCTGACGACCTTGAGCCCTTCGATGTTACTAAAGTCGCTGCCGGGTACGAAAAACCTGTTGAGGAATACACTCGGTTCTGCCAGTGTAACAACGGTATCAAACCTTTTAGCTGTGGTACGTATATTCAATTCGTTAGCACGATCTCTCACTGCGGTTGAAGCCAGGATCCTAATTCACTCATGCGGGCAGAGCTTTCAAAAGAAGAATGGCCATCAGTTAACCCCGACCATGGAGAGAGTTCTGAAGCTGCCAATGGAGATCAGGAGAGCAACCGTCCAACTCAACCGACGTCAGAGTCTCCCATTGTCATCGAGGACGACGAAGCTTTGAGTAACGGGCCTGATACCTCGACACCTGAGGATGAACAGATTCCTTTCGTCTCTATTTCTAGCACTCAGGCACCTGTGCATCCAACAAATCTGGAGTCACACAACCAAGTTGATGGCGAAGCCAATAGCTCAGATATTTCAGCTCCGAACACCTCGAATTCAGAGAGATTTCCAAGCTCTCAATTTTACATACCACCGGAAATGGATATGGACGAAGCAGTCTATCAACAGGAGCAAACAGTGTCGCAAAAGGGAAAAGCTCCAGAAGCGTTCATGGACCTTGGAGGCTATGCTTCAGCTACTGCTTCTCCCGTCGTCAATCGACCAGCGGCAGCTACGATGCAAGTGATTAAGGTCGAAAATGGTCAAGGAGAAAATGTTAATTCTATGAGCTACAGTATACCTTCACCTACCAGTAGCGGGCCAACTGTCCAGGGACACGACGTCGACTCGAGACATTCCCACTATCAGTTTTCCGCGGAGAGTCCTCAATTCTCCATTCCCGAATCAGCATTTTCCACTATTCATGGTTTATAGACCATAATTTGACAGTAAAATGTTAAAGGGAAAAGATAAAAGAAAGAAAAAAGAGGTCTAATGTGTGTGGTAATAGTTTGGGTGTACACGAAAGGTTATCAACGTTGCATTTCCGTACTCAATATATTGCGAATCTATGACTAGCGAGCGTTCAATGGAGCCAAGCTCATGAAATAATCCACAGTCACCGTCCCCCCTCGTTGAATTGAAACAAAAGCAGTGGAAGCCTTGAGAAAGTCCATGGCTGTACTCTCAGTCAAGCGGAAGAGGTTTAGTCTCGACTAAACGACAATAGTTTAATATAAGCCCGGCAGGTCGTGTGCTGGCTGATTTTCGCCTCTTTGCAGCTGTTATACTTGGAACGATACAACTAAATCCTATCGCTGAGTTTTGGGTTCCACGTCAGGTAGCCTCCGTGTTAGCCTTAGTTCTTTGAGTACGGCCAACAAATCATACCGTTATCTATTATTCCAGCAGCCAGAACAACAAATTAGAGATTGTGGGATTCACTTCGACGAGTTCTTATCTGGTCTCCTAGAAATTCCCACAAAGCCTTGCGCATAGCCGGGTCTTCGGAGTCATGAGCTACTCCGGGGACAATTGTTAGCAGTGAATCCACCCCGGCTGCAGTCCACGTATCGCGCAGCTTCTTAACCGTGTCAAGCCTGGACTCGTTCATGGGAGGTAGATCGTCCGCGCTGCCCATCACTTTCTCTAGCCACTCCCAAAACTTTGAGCTCCCGTGGATCTCGGTGTCTTTCTCGCCAACGACAAATTGCAGAGAAACCTCGTTCAAGTTTGTCATGCTGACGGTAGTATTGAATATCTCTCCCACATCCGAAATTCCTTGAGGCCAGGGCTTGCTCTGATCAGGATACGTCACTCGACCCGGGGCTCCAATGCTAGCCGCAGCAATTCGATAAGGGTGAAGATAAAGGAATCTATGGGCGAATTGACCTCCACCTGAAAACCCAGACAGATAGATGCGCGTGGTATCAATGCCGGGCCAGCGGTATGCAACCTCGTCGAGGATGTTCAGGAGTGCCAGGTCAGATCGAAGGCTGTCCGTGTGAAGGACCTTGAATGAACTTATATCATTCGGTCCCTCTATTCCTGCTGGAAAGAGTGGTGCCAAAACCGCACAGCCTATCTCATCCGCAAATTTGGGCAGCTGGTCGTCTACCTGGAGAGCGGTCATACGGCGGCTTGTTCCGTGGATATTGACAAGAAGTGGCAGCTTGTCTTGGGTTGAATTTGACAGTTCATTGTAGTGATCCTTGGGTACATATACTCCATAGGATACTCGAGGATCAGATCTGGACTGGATGATTGGGAAACCCCCGAGAAGGAATACATACTCGAGGTATTCTGCGGGCACATTGGATGTTGTTAAGGCGTCCTCCATCCCCGGAGGAATCGAGGCCAATGTTATCGAAGTGAGAAAAACAAGACTTATAGTAACATTGAGCCTCATGTTGCTTAATTTCATAGTTATGTCGACAGAGAAAAATAACCAGTGGAAAGATGGATGTTGAAGCCAAGGAATGGGAGTTGACGTAGGGCGTGGTTATTTATACATGTGTTCTTGGCGGTAAGGTACGTATGCTTTCTGGTTGTGGGCTAGAGTGCATTATGCATCTGGAAGGTGGGAGATGAGTCAATCGGTTATGAGTTACGTAGCCTCGATTTTCCTTCCTTGAGTGAGCAATCTCCTCACCGACCGAAGCCATATTGGTATTGTACCCTGGTCATTCATTCCATCCTCGATCCTTTGAATGGCCGTAAAAGTGGATTATTCCATATGATTACCTATGGAGCGTACCAAGTTTGTCGATTAACAGGGTCTCACGGACTTTGAAGCCGCTCATTAAAGCCCGACGGGGTTTTTCACACATACCACGATATATTAGCAATCCATTGACGAATCGTGTGGCCATCGCAAATCGCCCGTCGGCCTGCGCTTTGGAATTGGTTGAAATCTCAATAAGATTGATGGCTTGGTCAAAATCAGCCACTGTGATGAGGCAAGAAAGAGTTCTCGACTAGGAGGATATAGCAGATCGCGGCCGCTAAACATGGCTTAACACAAACAAATTCTCCATCTAAGGAAGTACTATCTATTCTCACTACTGCTGAGAAACGGTTGTTTAAACTAGCACTTCGTTTGACTTGATTAACCCTTGATCTGGCAGGTAAAAGGCACTTTTGTCTACGTGCTATATTTCTCCGACCCAATATATAGACTGAACTACTTGTATCCAGTCCCCGAGAGAGAAAAAGCCCGTTTAGAGCCAAGTCAAGAGCCGAAAGAGGAGGTAAAAGATAGTTTCTAGTCCTTAGGCAGCAGCACCGCTACCTCATCCACCGTCTCCACGTCTGCGATTCTGGGCTTCTCCCCCTGCTTTTTTCATCGCCGCATCCATCTCTAATTTCTTTCGAGACTCTTCACGCTTTCTTCGGGCTTCATCAGCTGCCTTGCGCATGCGTTCTTCTTCCTCTGAGGTAGGGATCTTGAGGAAGCTGCCACTATCGGTCATGTTGAACTAGAGCTGTAAAGCGAAATGCTAGAGAAAGAATTATTGGGACAAGAGCATACGCTGAGGGATACTCTAAGAGGGTATGCCACTGGTTTGAAAAGCTGATGGTGGTGCTGAGCGTTCTTCAGTCACGAACAACGTAGTTTCCTAGAGGGGAGAGGAAGGCTGCAGGTGCAGATATAGTCAGGAGCTGGGCACTGCTTCACGAGCTCTCCAATCTCAATTGGTTACACTACTGTCTATTCACCGCATCCTCCGGGCTCTCGTTTGTCTTATTTGCCGCCCTTCACAAAGCGTTCAACATGCAGTTTGAGGGGGCATGCGTCACAACAAAGGCCGAAACTAAACATACAGGCCGCAAAAAGTCCGTCCTTCGCTCTTAGACAAACAATTTATATCAGCCAAGATGATTCCTGTCTCAATATACATTATCCTTGAATGGCCCAGCAAAATAGCTTGAAAGGCTTGCAGGTTGACGAATCTTTAGGTCAACGTCTTCAAGATGTACCGGGTGACATTAACTTTGGTCAAACGTTTGCCGACGAGCTCCCAGCTCCCAAGCAAATGGTTGTGAGCTACTCAGCCATATCATATCACTAACCCAAGATGTGACAAACTCGGATGAACACATTCACGTGGGGCAGGTTTAATATCGTTTTACGCTGTGAACCATCTATTAGTATACACTCGTATTGCTTATTGGGAGGTCGCATACACCATAGGTCACCTGTGTACACAAAATAAAGTGATTATTATATTATTTGAGGGGTATTTGCTTCGACTACTAACTCAGAAGTGTGATAGGAAGACAGTCTAGGTGTAACCTCAAAGGGCCAAAAACAAACACAAAGGGAAACTTTGTTCATTCATTAGCTTGGGAGAAATCTCACCGTCCACATCGAGCGTGAGAGACTCTTTGTGATAGAACCAAGGCGAATTATGCGCATGAATGTGGTGCGGTGAAGATATCAAGACAATTCTGTTATACTCATGATGTTAGTATTTGCTATGTATCGAACCACCACGTCCAGCTCGTCAACCGCCTCAATGCATACTAAGAGTCACTTTTATATAGCAGTAAAGAATGAACTAGATTCTACAAAGATTATTACTTATAGTTGAAGGTATTATAGTTAACTCTATCTATTCTTTTAGGTAAGAATAGCCTAACAGGATGTAATATTGATAATTATCTGGTTTTACCCTCCAGATTTTTTTACAGCGCCCTGATGCCCTCCTGAAAGCATGGTCTTAGCGCCTGGAGAGGTTGACTAGCCGGACGTGGTGGTTCGATGGCAAAATCCTGTTGTCATTGGATGCCTGCGACTTGTAAGGGAGCGGCACGGATGAACCTACAGCCGAGACCCGGCCGCCAGAATTCGCTACCCTAGACCTCTTCCCTTTTGCAAATTTCTATGTTCTTGCCTAGGTAGGTTCAAATAATGAATGACCCTCTGTATGTATTCTTGACTCTTTAAGTTCATGAAGTCTCTTGATGCAAGCGATCGGCAATTTGCGGTTGAAAATGGAGATTTAATGCTTGTCGTGTCGCAATATTGACGTTGATAAGTGAACGTACAAAAACACACTAGCTTTGTGTGCACAATTTTGGAATGAAGGCTTCACATTATTCTTCTGGACAAGAGGCGCCCTTATACGTCTAAAGAATTCGCCAAGGGATGCTCCAATAGAACGGAAATCAATTCATGATTAACATCTCAATCCAACTTTTGGCGAGCTTTGCCGAGGAGCATTTGACAATCTCTCCCATTGCTTCTTATCACCACGTGCCGGGGCGCGTTGGGCTGTGGGGCCTGTGGCTGAGTTTTAGTGGTCGAGCAAAAAAATACCCACTAATCCACAGGGGCAGGCAAATGAGTCTGTCGGTGTGCACAATCCCTCAGTTCCCTAACTATTGAGATCAGAATTCCAGTCCAAAGCTTCGACCCCCACCAACTGCTGTCTACTTACCAAGGGGACGCCAAATCCTACGCGATGGAGACTGCCTCTTATCTCGTTATTGGCGGGTGCGGCCACCAGGGCGCCCACATCGTGAGGGTCCTCCTCGAAAAGTACCCCAAGGCCAAGGTCGCTGTGATGAGCAGAAATCCAAACGTGAACACGTTCCCGGGAGCACAATATCTGTAAGCTCCCACCTATGATACGCTCGCTGGCTTCTGTTCTGTGGATGTGCTCACTGGTAATCCGCCATAGGAAGGGCGATGTTACGTCCTCTGACGATCTCAAACGCGTCTTTGGCGTCTGCAAGCCCCTGGTTGTGTTCCACACTGCAGCATTGATCGTGGCGTTCAGAAAGAAGCAGCCAGACTCGTTGATTCAGGCCGTCAATGTCGATGGAACTCTCAAGGTCATCGAAACCTGTAAAAGCTTTGGGGTGAAGGCACTGGTGTACACAAGCAGCGCCTCGGTGATGCACATAGACCAGTCCAAGCCCATGACGGATGCTCTGGAATCGGGTCCAGAAGTCAACGAAGACTCCAAAACAAATTCATACAACAAGTCAAAGGTACACATCTCAGTTTCCATTTCTCGATCGTCCCGCTCACCTGGACTTAGGCTGAGGCAGACCGCATCATTCGTGCTGCTAATGAGGATAACGGCCTGAGGACCTGTTCTTTGAGAGTCGCCGCGATTTACGGGGAGTTCGACACAGAGCAGCTCCCGGGATATCTCAACGTTCTTAAGTCAAATCAACACTGGATGCAAATCGGAAAGGGCGAGAACAGGATGTCTGTAGCATGTGAGTCTCCGGTCTAGAGCTTCACCCGAGATAAAGCTGTTCTCATGGAAAGCTCTTTATCTTGACTACAGTAGCTGATATGTTACTCAGATTCAGGAAACGTAGCACACGCCCACATCCTTGCAGCAGAGAAGCTTCTTGCTGGAGCTGAGGGTGTAGCTGGCGAAGCCATCACTATCAGTGATGGGTCTCCCAAGTTCTGGGAGCATGGGCGTGCAGTATATCGTGCCGCCGGGACTGACGTCAAGCCAAACCAAATTATCCGAATCCCTTATGCTCTCATCATCATCGTTGCCCTGTTCGAGGAGTTCCTTGCCTGGGCCATTGGAAGACACCCGACGCTGACGCGCGAGTCGATCCTGTTCTCAGTCAACGACTACACTGCGAAGAATGACAAGGCCAGGAAAGTATTGGGCTACAACCCTCCCGTAGGCTATGAGGAGAGCCTGGAGAGGAGTGTCAAGGTGAGTGATGAACTCCAGTTAAATTCTCTGAGTTTCTTCTGACGTGAAGTAGTGGTGTCTGGAGAACATCGAAGGACTTAAGAAGTAGCCCGCGGTTGCCTTTTAGGAGGATGTGGGGGGTTTGGACACTGGGGTCTGTATCATTTAGAGGTTTAGGCTGATAGATCACGGTGTAACTCATAGGTTTTCTCCGAAATGACGACAATGCGAACAGGCTGAGACTTGAGTTAGCTCAGCCTTGTGAAGCTGTTGGTTGAGTCGGTGTTTTTGTTGACCCGATACACAGTGCTTTGTCATTTTGATGGGAGAATTGTGGAGAGCCGCTGGAAGATGCCGAGGCACTTCTATTTTCAGGGACTGCCGAAGTGGATATTTGGTTTACATCAGACGAAATGCTCTGCAGACTTTTCGTAGCCGGTGGCAAAGTAATTGTTAATTCTGAAGATGCCTGGGAAATTCTTTGATCACCGACGGCCCATCTTGAGTTACTGCTGCTAAATACGCCCGGTTTTGACAGGTAAAAATTCCATCTCCGAGGCTGAATACAGCCTTATAGCGGCAAACCTATCCCAAGCGAACCTCGGCTCCTTGCTAGCGCTGAGATTAGGTGCTTATTCTTCTCAAATTTAGCACGAAAGAGAGCAGTACCCTTGAGCCTTGGCTGGTCTAATTCACTGCCAGGAACATGCAGGAATTTTCTCCAGTGACGATGACATGCCCGCCACTAACTTAGACAACGTATCCCGTATCCGGCACAGTTTTTCCTCGTCCTCGCATCTGCCGTCTCTGCCGCCGCGGGGAGAAGGCCTAATTGGTCATTTCTCCGAGACAAGGCCCTATGAAGGGATGTCATCACATCATCATGACTGCTTAGAAATGTCCACTCTTCTTTCTGATCATCCAGCTCGATCCGCCATTCCGGAACTCCGTCTCCGTCTCCGTCTACGTATTTTATGGTTTGCTTGATTGTATGGCTGTTTCTACTATTTAATAAAGTCAATTACCTCACCACGTACATCACACACAAACAACCCCTCTCACTCACAATACCATCATCCTCTCCAGCATAATCACGCAATCATGACTCAAAACAAAACCCTTATCTTCAAGAAGATCCCCACTGGCCTCCCAGTGGAGGGAGAGCACTTGGTGGTCGAGGATCGCCCCATCGATCTCACCAAGGCACCCGAAGGCGGCCTTGTTATCCAGAACCTCTATGCCTCCTTCGACCCATATCTGCGCGGCAAGATGCGCGACCCTGCCGTCAAGTCCTACACCCCCGCCTTCGAGGTAGAGCACCCCATCGCCAACAGCACCGTCGCCAAGGTCCTGAAGAGCGACACCCCTGACTTCCAGGAAGGCGACCTGATCAAGGCCTTTGTCCCTATCGCTGAGTACGCCCGCGTCGAGAAGGCCCATCTCGCCTTCGCCCGCAAGATCAGCAACCCCCACAACCTCGACCTCGGGCTGTTCCTCGGCCCCCTGGGCATGCCTGGACTGACGGCCTGGTCGGGCCTGTACAAGATCGGAAAGCCCAAGAAGGGTGAGACCATCTTCATCAGCTCTGCTGCTGGCGCCGTCGGCCAGGTCGTGGGGCAGATCGCCAAGCGCGAGGGACTCCGCGTCATCGGCTCTGTGGGCTCAGACGAGAAGCTGGACTTTATCGTCAAGGAGCTTGGGTTTGATGCTGGCTTCAACTACAAGAAGGAGAAGCCTCATGATGCGCTGCCCCGATTGGCACCTGACGGCATTGATATTTACTTTGAGAATGTCGGCGACGACCATCTGGAGGCTGCTTTGGTTAGCTTGAATACCTTTGGCAGAATCCCTGTCTGCGGAATGGTAAGTCTGAGCATTGGCTGCATCACATTACATTAATACGACCACTGAAACTAATACCCCGCGGTCTAGATTTCCAGCTATAACACACCCAGGGACCAGCAGCGAGGTGTCAAGGGTCTCTTCCAGATCGTTACCAAGCAGCTGACGCTACAGGGCTTCATCCAATCAAACCCTGAGTACGGACCTGCTTATACTCAGGAGCACCAGGAAAAGATGCAGCAGTGGTTCAAGGAGGGCAGCGTCAAGGCCAAGCTGCATACTACCGAGGGCATCGACAAGGCTGCTCACGGCTTCATTGATATGCTGACTGGTGGGAACTTTGGCAAGGCAGTGCTCAAGCTCAACTGATTACGACTGTTATGACATGGAAGGGTAGCATTTAAATATGAATTTAATATGATCGAAGCTGATCTTACATTGCCATATCTGATTGGGTTTAACTAATGGCGAAGAGTTGGTCCTGAAACCGCAGGGACATCGAATTACTCGTTGTCCAGCATTCCACCTTGCTAGGTATATTCAATGGCACGACGCAAGGGTTAAAAGCCCGTGTAGTCTCTGCAGCGGCGGGATCTACAGCGCATAGGAACTGGGATAGGATGTAGCGGATACACTTGTGGGAGGCGAACAAGATGGTCAGTGTGAGAGGAACAATACGGCAAGAGTGCCTTTGCTGATATCGTAATCATATCGTGTGGAAGTATAGAGTGCATTCCGTTTTAATCAAACAGGAAAAAATATTTAAAAGGGAAGAGATGCCCATGCTATGAATGTAGATTATTATCGGCTATGGTGCTTCTGAGATGATGAAGGACAACCAAACAGACCTCTTGCAGCGCTCTCTTATATCCGCGTGCTACCTGTTTCTTCTGACATGCAATGTGACCAACCCGGCTTAAATTTATCGGATCAGGTGACCCCCCAGCCGACCTTCGGAGCCAACGTGCAGCCAATTGTTGCATTCTCCGGGTCCAGGCCGCATTATCATGTAGGGTTGACACCCTTGTCTACCAATGAAAGACACCTCATGATTACGGCCAGACCGACATATCGGACTCTTCCCCTCTTTGCTCACATCAACTTTTTCTCCCAGTTGAGTTTTGACTTTGGAAGTAGGCCATTGAAACGCGATAATCATGGGAATAACCACCACTATTGAAGCACCACCGGAAGTGATTAATGTGCCCTTCCAGAGCAAGGACTCGTGTCCTATCTCTCGCCAGGGAGATGGCGGACTTGGACCTGGACCATCGGAGCCAGCGACCCGGCTGTTCACCATTGAACCTGTGTCATCCGGGGACTCTCACCCAAGGCTCGCCATCACCACCCTTCTAGTGACCCTGAATATGATACAGGTAAGAAATTCTGAATACTATCTACCTTGTGTCGTTTAGAACTTGACTAATGGGACGGTGCCAAGTTCTTGTACAACTTCATCACTATTGCTGGCGGTCTGACGTTGAGCGCGGACCTTGGCCGAGAGCCCGGTGCTGGTCAAGCGAATTGGATGGCAGCATCATATTCGTAAGGTCCATCCAGCCTGAGCGTTTATTCGCCAATCGAGAGAACTACCCGCTCATCCTTATTGCAGACTAACCCAAGGGGCCTTCGTCCTGATCACCGGCCGCCTTGGCTCCATCTACGGACACCAGAACCTGGTGCTCGCCGGCTGTGCCCTGTTCTCCGTCTTTGTTCTTGCCAACGCCTTCTGTCGCGACTACATCTCCTTCGTGGCAATCCGAGCTCTCGCTGGTGTCGGGGGCGGGATGTTCATGCCCAACGCCGTTGCGATAATGACTACCGTCATCCCGCCAGGCCGATCTCGTAACCTTGCTCTGGGTTTCTTCTCTGCCGCGCCTCCTATTGGAGGGGTGATCGGTGCCCTTCTTGCTGGCCTTTTTATCGAAATCGTTGGCTGGAAATGGCTTTTTATCCTGATGTGAGATTTATCCAGGTCACTCTGCTCTTTTGTAGCCTGTGCTAATCTCTTTAAGCGCTGGATGTTCTGTTGTCGTCACAGCCATTCTCGCCTGGGTATTCCCCCGGGAGCAGCCCATCGACCGGAATGGCAAAATCGACTTTGTCGGAGCCTGCCTGGGTCTCTTTGGCCTTCTCCTTTTCAATGTTGTTTGGAAGTGAGTATTGTGGCCTGTTTATTTCACAAATGTCAGCGGAACTAACACATAACATAGTCAGGCGCCGAGTGTGGGATGGGACACGCCGTATGAGATCGCATGTCTGATCCTGTCCGTACTTTTATTCGCATCATTCATTGCGTGGGAGAAGTATTTCGCCAAAGATCCGATCATGCCCGTGCAAGTCTTCCGGGCTCCTACATTCACGGCTCTCATCTTTGTTGTTCTGCTTACTTACATGGGCTTCTCCATCACGCTCTGGTATTCGGTATCCTGGCAGCAAATCCTCAGAGATATCTCCATCCTGAAGACCGGTATTCACTTTATCCCGTTCGGAGGAGGTGCAGTCATCGCTGTCGCTCTCGCGGCCTGGCTCATTTCTCGGGTGGCAGCACAATGGATTTTGGCCATTGGCATCGGCACAGTCATTCTGAGCAATCTTTTGCTGGCGACTATGCCTATCCAGCAGACGTACTGGGCAGGAATCTTCCCTGCCGTGCTGTTGTCTAGCTTCTGCCCTGACCTGGCTTACGTAGCAGCCCAGTTGATTGCGAGCAACAACGTCGGACGTCGCCATCAAGGTGTGGCAGGTAGTCTTATTGGCACGCTGAACCTGTACGGAAACAGTCTGGGTCTTGGTTTCGCTGGTACAATTGAAGCGCAAGTATCCAATGGCCTTGAAATTCGGGACATCGTCTTGGGATATCGCGCAGCATTGTATTTTGGCATGGCTTTGGGCGTGGTTGCACTGATTCTGAACTTTGCGTTCGTTCGGATGCCAAAGGATCAACGCCAAGGCTGGGATGAGTCACTTGAGTCTGACCTGCCAGAGAACACATCGGCTTTGGCTTCAGCTGTGGATAGACGGATGGTGAGTTCGCTTGGGTGATACTGCTATTCACAACCCCGGCACTTCAGTGCTCTTTGGACAAGCGGCCGGCGCATCCAGGTGATGCAGAAAGTGACACAGCGGTATGTGCTCAGTGACAGCAATGGCCATGGGAATCTCAACAGAACAACAATTAATTTGCATACTTTGGTTCTTTGTTTTTTCGCGGTGGGGGTATTGTGTGGATAGCCTTGATGCGTTACTTAACTTGTCTCTTAATTCTACCTGAGGTGAAAAGAGGGGATTCCCAGTATCTTAACCCCAAAAGACTAGACAGTTGTTTTAAATTTTGTAACACTTTCTTTGCCTAAATCACCGGTTAGTTATTCAGCTAGCGAGCAGTGCCCAGGGTGTGGTATTCAGCTGAAAGGCAGCCCACCATGTCAGCTCTGCGAGAGTTACATCGGCATCCAAAATGAGCTGACCGCACTGCAGCCATAGCCACCAATGGCCGTGATCACCTGCTGCATGACTGACTGCCTGACTGCACATTTGTGTGTGGGCTAAGCCACAACGTTCTACCGTCCTGGTAGCCACCTTAGGGTACAAACCACCAGGAACGTCGTCATGTCCGCATGTTGAGTTTGGGAGCGACAAACCGCCCATACCATGGATCCATTTTCATCACTTAGCTTGGCAACATCGGTTGTCCAAGTAATTGATTTCAGCTCAAGATTACTCTCCGGCTCGTATCAGATTTACCACTCCGTCGATGGTCACACTGATGATGACCGGGAGCTCAACGAACGGGCGGCCGTCCTTCGTAAATTGGCCTCCACCTTGACGAAGCGAACCCCGTCAACTGCTGTCAGCAGGACCTCCAAACCGGTTGATGGTCTAGTTGTAGAGAAGGCCCCGGCTTCGATTGATTTGGATAGCTCGGCGCGCACCGCTGATCCGCTCACTGGTTCCGAAGGGGAAACAAATGCCGCACAAGATGGAGCTAATACTTTTAAACATCCTGAAATGGAGAGAACTGACGCTGAGTTTCCTGGCCAAGGGCCCGGTGACGAGGGCATGCCAGTCGGGTCGAATAACACGCTTGGCATTGAACAGGCGTACCGGAAGCTCCTGAAATTGAGATCCAGAATGCAATCGACCGCAGATGCCTTCGTTCCCGAAGACACACACCACAGCGAGCAAGAAAAAGGCATCCAAATAGTTGCGGCCGGGTGCAACGAGATGGCTAAGAAGATCGAAAGCACACTGCACAACCTCCGCGCAGACCCCAAGAACCAGAAGTTTCGGACGCTCGTTAGCTTTCGCCAAGCCTTTCTCAGAACTTGGAGCGACAAGAAGATAAAGGAGATGGAAAAGGCGCTCGACAAGAAAAGGAGCGACTTGATCCTTCACTTGGTGGTGGTTATGAGGTAGGTATATGCCATTGTTTATGGTGTTCATCGTTAATATATTGGATGTAGTGACCAGCAATCTAGCGTGGTTAGAGAGCTTCGCACGTTGCGAGAGGCGAGCAATCGTCTTGGGTCAGCCTATACGGATCACCTGGACAGCATCACGAAGTCCTTTAAATTGATTCAAAGCCAGGCCGGGAAAGAGTCAGATATTAGGCGGAAGAACCCGAAGGCTTATTATCAAGAGAGCAACGACAAGGACGGCAACGATGGAAAGACGTTCAATCTGTTTAATCTACATATAACTCCACACAAGAAGTCACTGGAACAAAGTGATATCGTAAGCTACGACGAGAGCGCACAAGACCTTCGCTACCTGGCTGAGGCTCTCTCGCTCCTGACCTCGACGGCATCTAAGGTGGCGATCGCTCAAAGGGTACTCGCAGGTCTCCATTACAAGACCATGTTGATGCGGATGGAGAATGTTGCCGAAGCATATGCGGACACTTATGAGTGGATATTCAAGACACCGCGAGCAAGAGCCAAGAAGAACATCAAAGTGTACTTTCTCGAGTGGCTGTTGCACAACGACGGGATATTTTGGGTTTCGGGCAAGCCGGGCTCAGGCAAGTCGACTCTGATGAAGTTTCTCTGCGACCACGCCCGAACCGAAGAAGCCTTGATAGAGTGGGCAAAACCACTGGATCCAGTCATGTCGACGCATTTCTTCTGGAGTTCGGGAACCGCCATGCAGAAATCCCAGGAAGGCCTATTCAAGTCCCTCCTATACGATGTGTTTAGAAAATCACCCGAAATTATGAAAGCCGTCTGCCCTCAACGATGGGAGGCAGGCCGAAGAGGGGAAGGCGAACTGGAGCCTTGGACCATATCAGAGCTGCGCCGGACACTAATTTCTATGGCAAGGTGCTCTGGCCTTCCATACAAATTTTGTTTCTTCATTGACGGGCTTGATGAATATGAGGGGGATCATTCGGAGATGATCGCCGTTCTAAGATCGTTAGCCACTTGCCCAAATATTAAGCTCTGCATCTCAAGTAGGCCGTGGAATGTCTTTGAAGATGCTTTCGGGAATACTGACACTAGAAAGCTATACCTTCAACACCTGACTAATAACGATATACGGCTTTATGTACGGAAGAAACTCGAAGAGCACCCAAATTGGCAGGTTCTACCAGAGGAGCAGGATATTTATCGCAGTATTCTGGCAGAAGTAACTACGAAAGCACAGGGGGTGTTTCTGTGGGTGTATCTCGTCGTCCGCTCCCTATATGAAGGCCTCACCAACGGAGATCCATTGCGCGCATTGGAGCGAAGAATTCGCAGATTGCCAGCAGACTTGGAGCCATTCTTTAAGCATATGCTGAACTCTGTGGACTCATTCTATCATGCACAGATGGTTCAAACGTTCCAAGTGGCAATGGGCTCACCTAATCCGCTTCCGTTGATGATTTACTGCTTCTTGGACGAGGAATACGAACACCACAACTTCTCACTTCACATGCCCGTTAAGCAAATGCCAATGCTCGAGGTGGAGCGCCGACAGGCCCAATTGCGCAGACGGCTGAACGGAAGATGCAAGGGGCTTCTGGAGGTGTATGAAAATGCGAGTGAGGGAAAGTACTTGGGCCACCGCGTGGACTTCCTTCACCGGACAGTCCGAGATTTTCTTCGGACTAAGGAAATGGGTGACTTCCTAATGGCTAAGAATACAGAAGATGGGCCAAATGCGCTGATTTTCAAGACCTTTGTCCCCCTGATCAAAGCGATTCCCTGGGAGGAGATGGATATATCAGAAGACGGCACCCTGTCGATCATGTTGATGGATGCAATGCACTACGCGTATAAGGCCGAGCAGGAGTTGGGCAAACCTCAGACAGAGCTCCTCGAGGACCTTTCTCGCGCACTACGATTCTATGCTACTACAACTGGGAAGCCCATTCCCTGGTATCGTTGGTGTTATTCGTCGTCGAAGGATGGTGCCGGATACCCTCCTTGTCAAACCTTCCTGGAATTTGCGGTGCAGAATGGGTTATGTTTATATGTTGAGGAACAGCTTCGACAAAAACGAGAACCCCTCGACGTCAAACAACCACTATCTCTCTGTGCAGTTGCCCATTTCCCCGGTTACACAATAGAAGAACCAGACCTGCGCGATATGGTCCGTCTTCTTCTCGACATCCGGACGCCAGCCACGCTGCACTCGATAGATGACCTTTGGACCGCGTTCATGCTGACATATGCAGAGGTCAATGATGATGCGGACTATTTCCCTAACATTCTCAACATGGTGAGGCATAGACAAGGAATAACTGAATTGTTGTTAGCTCATGGCGCCAACCCGGACACACTCTCTCATGACTCCATCCCCGCCTGGTGGCACTTTCTTGTGAGCTGTGCATCCCGGAGTATTCCTCCTTCAGCATATCCGCCCCTGCTCCAGACTCTCAAACTTGTCCTCTCGGCTGGCGTTCAACTCTCTGGCCGAGATTGGAGCGTGTCAAAAGCGATAGATCAAATCATGTTTGATGACGATGACGAGGGAGTAGAGAACCAGGCTGCGCGACTTGAATTTCTCTCGGAAATATGTTGTCTGGCGATTTCGCATGGTTTCGAGTTATCAGCAACACAAAGAGATAAATTTGAACTACATTTCCCGGCTCGGCTGGTTGCATCGATCTTTTCAACTATAGAGGAGAAAAAGTCCAAGGCCGAAACCAAGCCCCAGCCCAAATATACTGATTATTTAAGTATATGGAGATTGGTATCATGGGTAAAAGGTGGAGGTTAGTGGCAACAGCACTGCACCCATTTTTAGGCCGCGTGTCCTCCGAACATCGATCCCTATGTTGAAGTCGGTTACATTCTTGGGATTAAAGGCGTATGGTATGTGATATTTCATCATCGATTAAGAAAACCATAACCGTTTAGTAGCTGGCGAAACGAAAATTCAACCATGAAGTCTCATTCTGTGTTCTGTGTTCTCTTGCCTTAGGATTTCAAACCCCAACGTAACATTCCTGTCTCTGGGTGAAGCCAACCGACTGCTAGTCTAGAGAGAATAGAGCGTAGAAGACGAAGCAGTTGCCAAGACTGCAACCATGCGATTGACAGCTTCGGGTGATTGGCTAGATACGGCTCACCCCTGCCGCCCCTGGACGTGACTTTGATCCCCAATAAACCCTGCGGCTGCTTGAGTTTTGCGCGTCTCCAACTCTCTGCCTGTATCAGCGCGATACGGCGCTACGCCATGTCGCAACAAACATTAGGGTATGAATACACGTCCTTGGCTGGACACGAAATAATCCGTGTACTTGTCCTCCACCCTGCCGCTACAGACAAGGAAGTGATCCAATGCTCATTCCGCGAAACTCCTCTCTGGAGAGGCTGCTCAGATTCACCCCAGGCCTACGAAGCTCTATCGTACACGTGGGGAGAGCCCCGAGGAACACGTCCTATCCTATGCCATGGAAAGACACTTCTCATCACCCCAAACTGCGAACAGGCGCTTCTTCATCTCCGTGGAAAGAAAGAACCACGCCAGTTATGGGTCGATGCTATCTGCATTAACCAAAATTCAACAGAAGAGAAAAATGAACAGGTGTCCCTCATGACGCTCATTTACCAGTGTGCCGTCCGTACCATCATTTGGCTTGGTCAAGACACGAGTAAGGAGATTTCGAGCCTTTTGCGAGAAGCATGTCCTCTCCAAGGCCGGCCGTCTCGCCGTGCCAAAGCGTCAAAAAAATTACGCAAATTATCTCGAATCATACGTCGCGATCCTCCGAATCCCTTGCTCGGCGAGCCAGGCGAAGAATATTATAGCGAAGGAGACCAGGAAGCCTATGATTTTTTTGAGGCTGACACTGGTGAGTGAAGGGATTCGAGTTTAGTAGACTTTCCTTGTCTGGCTAACCAAACCAAAAGCTCGTACCGAGAAGGCCAAAGAGCTTTGCTCGAATCAATGGTTCCGAAGGGTGTGGACAATTCAAGAGTTCCTTCTATCGGAGTCCTCTATATTCCTGATGGGAAACGTGCAATGTCCCCCGCGCGACCTGTACATCTACCTCAAAGACATTGTGCCTCTCCGCCATGCCGATTTCGACCATTATAGGCTGAGGCACAAGTTCTTCGACTTCGGACCCAAGCAAGGTGAAACCGCGTTCCAAAGCTTCATGAACCACACTATCCGCCTGATAGAACAGAACAACGCGACGGACCCACGCGACAAGGTGTATGGCATGTCGGCGTTTATAGAGAGTAAATGGCCAGAGATCCAATTTCCGGCCGTCGATTACTCACTCTCCGCCATGGAAATTTATGAGAACTTTACACGGGCGATCATTGTCGCGTCGGGTTCCCTCTGGCCCCTGGAGCTGGTGGTCGGAGCGCCAGAATTTGGCACGGGCCCGGCAACATCTTGGATATTAGACCTTCGAGGCGCTGGCCATCTGGCTCCAGCCCAGGGTCCCGATTATCTGCGCTTCGACTGGAACTGCTATGACGGGTGGAAGCCGGGCCCTGGTAAACTTGCTACTGAGATCTTGCGAGAGGAGAAGAAGTTGAAAATACGTGCGAGGCGGGTCTCTGAGGCTGTCCGCGTGGTCAAGACTAGGGAGGGATTGGGATCTATGTGTTCTTTTGAGAGTAGGTTCCTGTCAGCGACCATGGATGAGTTATGCCCCGTCCAAAGCCCAGGTGACGTGCAAGTGGGAGACATTGTATGTACCGTGGAAGGATCCAGGGTCCCGCTTGTTCTGAGAATTCGTGAGGGGTCAAATGCCATCTATATAGGGAGAGCAGACATATCTACCTATAGTTTTAGGTTTATGTACGAGCCGTTTGATCCTGCCGCTTGGACAGACGAGACACAGACAGACTTTCTGGTCTTGGCATAGGTGTAGAAAGTAATACTTATGGTTATTGTTTGAAAATAAAGTGCGAACTCCATGTGTATTACAGAGTAAAAGTTAACATAGTCTGTTTCTGGTCATAAAGTCGACCAGGATTGACCGAGTGACGGATCAGCTGTTTCTCAACGAACCAAACAGGTGCACACAAAGCCTGAAATCATGCAGTTAATGTTGAGCATCAGCAACCCTGTTTCACCCGATGAAAGATCATTGGTCCATGATTGAATTTGAAGGCAGTTGTGCCGTGGAACTTACAGAGGGCGGAAAGTGAAGTATCAAGCTATGTGCTTGTTACATCCACTCCCCGCAATTCCCGAGCCATGATTCGAACATGGACAGTAAATACCAAAAATTTAGACTCGCGGTATGTGTACAAACAAACTAGGAGGAACTCACATACGCGTTCTCCTTCTGATACAAGCAGTGACTGGGCCTATTATCACTCTTCTCCTACCTCCGTGCCCCGCTTTGTGCATCCGCCTTCTTAGGCCAGTCACTCACCTTCTCTCTCTGCTTTTTATCTTTCTTTCTATTTTTTCAAAGAATCTCAACGCAGCTTTTGTGTTTCACCACAGACATCTCTTCAGCCATCTACGACTGGATACACGCTTCCCATCTGCTACACTATCACTCTCTTGTCTTCAACACCCGAAACTCCCTTTTCAGTCAACACACCCGCTCTTCTTCTCCACGGGAACTAACGATCGTGTCTTCCGCACCCGAAGCAATGCAACTACGTTTCAACACGCCTCCAACCTCGACAGGAGGGGTTGGTAGTGCATCACAGGCAGACGGCGTAATGCATGAGTTGCCTGAGTTCACTCCTTCTCAGCTGGATCAACTTGCTCTGCTGGCTGAATACGGGCTCGGGCCGATGAAAGACAACCTCCGCCAGCAATGGCTTGCGATGGACAAGAAGCAGGCGAAGCCCCTCGTCGAAGACATGGTCCGAACCATGATGGAACACGCCAACAGCCCAGCTGAGAGATTCAAGAAAGCATACAAGGCACAAGTCGATAACCTCTTGTCCAACAACTGCCACCACGTCACGGATTGGAGCTGGACAGCGCTTGAGCGTGCTCGTGACGAAATCATGCAGGTCGCCTTCATCCAAGAGAACTATGGACTGACCGCAATGACTTCGTGGACCACTATTGGAATTCTTTTCTGGGCGCTGTCTTCAAGAATGGTGACCGCGGCTGATGCGGCAGTCGAGAAAGTGGTCGAGCAGTACGTGGAGCGGTACCACCTCCTCGACAAGATTCCGACCGCTATTCTGGCATTCGAGCTCTACAAGAGATGTCGAAGCGGCGTCTTCATCATTATTGATTGCCCCAAGGATGTCCGTGGCCCACTGGCGATCAAACCTGCCACGTCCACCAAGAAATTCACGGACAAGAAATTCATAGAGATCAACTGCTTGCCTCGAATGGAGTTTTCGGCCAAGTCCAACTACAGTCTCGAACTCATGATCATCGATTCCCGAGTGAAGAGACAGGAGCACGTTAAACCTGTTCGCCTACCGCCATACTTCCTCGACGTCGAAGAGGAAAAGGTCTGGCGCCGCGACACCGTGTTGGCTAAACACAAAGACCTTTTCAATCAACTGGAGACCCAGAAGGAAGACGATTCAGGACTTGCGGAGCAAGTCAAAGCTCTGGATGGGGGAGAGATCGCGGTCCTCCCACTTGATGTCAAGGCTGGAATCTCCTTCCTTGCCCAACGATTCGGCCTTGCCGAAACAATCGCGACACTCAATGAAGCGACTGATGCCAAGATCACACACACCACCATGGCCACTGTGAAGAGACTTAACGCTGACGCCTGGTCGGGTAAGTCGATTCGAGGAGTTGCAGGTATTGTCGGCACAATGGGTTCGACTGGTGAGAATTGCGACGTGGGCAAAATGATGGCCAAGATGAGCTACATCAGATCTGAAGCGGCCCGTCTCATGAAGCGCGATATCGATGACCTCCGCGCCTTGAGAGAACGCCGTATCTGAGAACAAGTCGAATGAGAGCATGAACGCTTAGTTTCCCGCGGTGATAGACCGACTCACTGTTGGAGATGGCATACACTAAGTGTCCTGCTAATGGTTATCACTCTTGTTATGGACTAATTGTAGCTGGAGAGAGCAGGGGCCAGGAACAATCTTTCTTAATTCTGGGGACGTAAAAGCGCCTATGAGCTGATAGTGCAAAATTCCATGTGCCCAAGGGCTGATTTGTTTCTTCGTTCATCCTAATGTGATATGTGTGTGATATAAGATTTCCCTGTGAAGATGTGTATTTTTTTTAAGTTTTTTATTTTTGCATAACTGGAAACCTATTATTTCAAATCTGCCGAGTATGCTAATACCGAATTCATCCACCGGCTATCTACTTCTCAGAGAAAAGAAAGAGAGACCGTAATAGTTCTCTATATTTCCACGCTTTGCTGCCTTCCGCTTGGCTCTTCATATTGTTCCAGCTCAATTTACTGCCTTTTTGAAGATTGCCTGTTCTCTGTGATAATACAATAACCAAACTGCATCGCGACCTACCATTAGCCATTCCAACTTTGATTGATTATTTGAAGAGCCTTAGTATAATTTAATTTCAGACTCACTGTATGATTTGATCATCAATTGATAATAATTATTGTTAGAGAGATAGGGCGTTGAATATTGTTAAAATATGCCGGTTTATATTGTTAAATTGCGATACAGAAAGCGACTTTGCTGTGACTAAACTTTACTTTGAATTATTTTTCGTGGAATATCAAGAGGGCTTCTGGCACTATAATATCATGCCAAAATACGGAAGAGAAAGAGAATAGAGTTTAATAACAATGAAGCTGCCAGGGCCCGACAACTCAATACAATGAATACGAAAGCTTAAAAATATAGCCTTTCCTAGTCCGCCCAAGATATAGTTATACGGCAGGAAAATTCTATGAGCCTTCGTACGGATGACTTACTTGCCGTTAGGACAGCGGCTCATCGAATGACTATTAAAGCTATCTCTTTCACCTGGCTTCTTGTCTTGTAAGAGGAAGGGCTAGTGGAGATAGCATTAATAGAAATGCTTTTAAGCTTTAAAAAAACACAGTGAAAGCACGCCAAAATAACACATGATAAATACTAATAATCATTCTAGTGACCGTCTTTGATCTTCCTTCATTCAACACATAAACACGGTCAAAATACATTGCGTTAGTTGGCACATAACTGATAGAGTGAACAAAGGAACTCCAAATTACGACTCCGCATTTCAACGATTTTATTTAGGAAGCCATTTACTTAGTGTGCGTATTTATACACTATTAGACAATGGTAAGTTTGTTCACATGGAACAATTTAAACAAAAAAACGCAATTAAGAAGGTTCAATAACAACCGGAGCTTGTTTGTGTTTGTTTTTTGTTTGAAATGCAGCCTCGAGACTTACTTATAAATTAGTGGACTCATCAGATTAACCGTTTCATCTTCAATTTTTGACCACTCTTCCCCTTCAATGACGCAGCCTAATCTATCATTTCCCACATTATAAAATAAGTCCCTACTCACCCGGTAGCAGATCATGGCGGAACATGAGTTGAAGCCATTTATTCTTGATCTTCCAAACGAGATCTTGATAGCAATACTGGAACAAGTCGCGAGGCATGAATTGGTCAATCCCATTACGCCGAGTCTCTTCGTGTGCCGCCGCTTTTGCCAACTTGGCATACCCGTTCAGTACAAACGTCTGAAGTTAAGTTCCAGCAAGGATGTGTCCCGCTCAAAGCCCCGTATAAGTGAGCTACAGCGAACGCTCCAGGAGAACTCCGGGCTGGGCCAGTATTGCCGTGACCTTTGCATCTGTTCCAACGATGCGGACGACAGCGATTCGAACGATCGTAATTCGGGGGAAAGCCATCACGGCTGGGACGACGGCGATTGGAGTGACGGCGATTCGGATGGCAATTCTGATGGCAACGATGCGGACGACAGTGATGCGGACGACAGCGATCCCAACAACTTCCCAATTCTCCGAAACATCGCATCGAGTCTTCCGAATGTTCATTCTCTTGAAATAGATGGAGGTCTTGGCATGGATGAAGGATCCTACAGTGCCAAAAACAGGGATACTTGGTGCCTTTTCCGTTTTTGTGTGGCTTTCATGCCGTCTCTCCGGACGGTGTCTCTGCGCGGGGGAATGGGTGGTCAACTAGATGTTCGTGAGCTTATGGACACTCTGAAAGGTACATCAGTTCGACGTCTCATTCTGCACGGATTCGAGGTTTCCGATTCACCTATACACCAATGGCCATCACAGGTATGTATCGCTAATCCACTCAAAAATTTGCAAAGTCGTCATAAGCACTCACTGACCTGTGTTAAGGAGTTCGGGCCGTCCTGCATAAACGAGCTAGACTTAGAATTGTGTAACGAGAGACCAACGGTCACAGCTTGTCTTCTTGAGTGGCCGGAAGCCCTGACAAGCCTCACATTTAAAAACAACTGTTCCGGCCAAAAGGATATGGACCTGCCGGCGCTTGGGTCGATGCTGCGAAAGCACAAGGATAGCCTAGTCAAATTATCGATTGGGTCCCTCGCAAGTGAAGGCATGGGGAAACTATTTGACTTGTCGGCGTTTGGAGCAATGGAGGAACTGGAGCTTGTTATGCAGCAGATCGTACCAAATTGGCCTGCGAACTTCGGCGAGAACGACTACAGTTCTCTGCTACCGCCCAACTTGAACATTTTGAAAGTGGGAATTTTTGGCTCCGACAAAGATAACTATGAACATTTCCGTGACGGGGCAGGGAGTTGGCTGCGAGGCTATGCGAAGGCAGCAGTTCGCCAGAAAGTACCGCTACAAGAGATTGTCCTAGACGTCCCGGTCTTAGCACGCAAACGCTCTCGGTCGCCTGCCTTATTTTTATGGGGAAGATTAGATGCTCCAGAGTTCGATCAATTTTGGGACGCGATGGATGCTCTAGAGAAAGACTTGCGGTCGATGGGAATAGCACTGACTTATTAACCCAACCCGAGTCCCTCTCTGGAGTTTTACGAGAAACCAGGGGCAGAGCTCTTAGGTTCTGCTTATGAAGACTTTTCCTCGGAGTTACAACATACTTGCAAAGTACGGTCAAATTGGATGGGTGGTGGGGATAGAACTAATGCTATATGAGTCGTATTTAAGGGCTGCTTATACAATTGGATCTGTTGTTCAACGAGAGATTGTATCAAAAATCCGAGAATTCCGTGAATGAAGACACTAGATGGATGAACTTTCTATGTGGTAGTATTTTACCGGGGTTAACTAAACATTGTGTTATGTTTCACAGCGAAGATGAATCCTCCAGACAGTCCAGATATGCCACTTCCTGCAATCGAAGATAAAGAAAAGGCCGATACATGTTAACTAAAACTCATCAAACGGGACGTTGCTTGTCACCCTCTGCTTCCTCCGCTTCCTTTGGTGGGTTTGCACTGTGGCGCAGTAAGAGGGCAACAATTCTATTATGATCGTGTTGTGTGCCAGATGCAATTAGACTTTTTTTCTGGGTAAAACGAGGTATTGACGTTAAATTGAATATGAAAGGTCTACATTACATATATACCGAATCTACGAAAGACGAAACCAAAAAAGAAGAAAGAAGAAGCAAATGCTACAGCACAAAGGGCAAAAAAAGGTGATCTCAAATAGCTTGTGATTTGTGACGATTAAGTCACCAGGCAAAACGAAATCCTTATCAAGCTTCCTCTGGTCGCTCTATATACCGTCACAATAGACGGAGGACATGAAACTGCGGTAGAGGCTGGCAAGCGTATTTTAAACAGAACTTGCAAAAAGGCTGGTTTGCTTTAAGCCTGCCTCTATGCAGCTGCTGGGAGTGACATTTTCCGTCTCAGCATTCACACCGCCGTTGTACGAGACATCTAAGCCAGAGGATGAAACTATTAGCGACCTGATCCTAACCAACCTAAAGAGCGAAGTCTAAGATCAGTCCAAAAGCATGTTACGCAGCTGGGTGATGAGAGGAAGTATACCAACGAGAGAGTTCCATCGTTGGTGAACCTTGAACATGTTCGTTTGAATCATACTTTTCTGAGCTTCTGCGAAACAGGGCTTTAGATATGCGACTAGTATCAAGCTATCGGTGGAGCTTTCCGATGAAATTACAAATGGCAATGCATCAAGATGATTCATTAAAACATTCTGGTTTTCGGTCCCTAGTAAATAGCGGTATAGCGGAGTATTGATAGTAGTTGTGATGCCAGCTCATGCGAAAACCTTGATAGCCTGGCAATTAAGAACATTACACAGAATCATGATTCCTTCCAAGCGTGAATATTGCTGGATCATCTGATACGTGATTTAAAAAATATTTGTTAAACATTTGCAAGGAATTTTGAAGGCTGTTCTAATTACCTACAACCAAGAACGCCAACGTAGTTCTTTGTTTCATAACGTCGCTTCACCCACTGACCATCATCACCAGGGAAAAGCTCTTCCGAATCACAAATGCCTGCCAACATCTTTATAAACGCAGATGCTGTTTCGCGGCCATCTTTGGAACGATATTCGAGCCCGATGTCAACGAACTCTTGATCACAATCATAAAGTACCTGCTGCGATGACTTGCAGGAGGGTGATTCTGGCAACATCTGATCGTTGCGGTCGCAATGGTCAAGTAACCATATATGTGGAGTCGGTTCGTCCTGCGACATGAGGTTGCATACCAAGTTGGCTATGAGTCCCCTTGCACTGAGCTCATTCAATAGACGGGTGCCGGATTTGGGAAAGTCGGTACTCCAACTTGGGTCGAACTCGAACACAAGGGACTTGGGCGTGTTGGAACAAACCAGGTCAGTGAACGGGCAAGAGTAATCGAGAAGCCTGTCTGAGAAGCTCAGTATACTCATTCGCTTCAATAAGGGACAGGAGCTGAAGTCGATGTCGATGCTGAAACAGCATATATCCTGAAAGGGTCGGACCATTAGGTGGAAGGGCTCATCAGTAGCTCTAGACACAGCTGGGCGTGGCCTAAGTCGTTGCAGAACTGGGAGGCATTCGTCTCCCTCGGCTGGCTCCCACAACTTTTCGCACCGATCAGCCATTAATTCTAGCTGTCGTCTCCTCTTCTCCCAAGACCTCATTTTGAAAGCTTTTTTAACTACTTCGCGAGACTCCCAGCAGGCAGTCCACAGTCCGTAGTCCCGCTTATAGGCCGACCGATTCTTGTCATCGTGGTTGCCGATTGTAGGGATCATGCACATAGGATCCTCGTGTTCTTCAACCCAGTCTGCCATAGAACAATAGTGCATTGCCACCATATCAGGCTGTGTTGGGCGAATGGATGCCTCCCATATTTGAAGCCTTAACTCAGGCGGTAGTTGTGAGAAAGAATGAAAAGTAGCCATGATAATGAAGGTATACAGTGTTAGGAATTCTTTTTGAATAAATGGATCGGGGTATAGGATTATGGGTAACGAGTGTTGAGCGAAGGGGGAGATCTTTTTTCGTTCCAAAGAAAGGCAAGTAAGAGTTTTATATTGTTGTTTGCGCAGTAAACACCTGAACACTGCAAAGTATAATAGGCATTTTACTCCATGGATGGAACTCTCTTTTGATACTCCTGCCTAGTGTGGCTACTAGTCACGATTAATTTTTGAGATTGAGATCCTGCGCCCGACATCTTAAAGCGATGATACTAGAGCTTGGTTTAGCTTTCTACATAGGTCCACGACTACAACCAGTGTTTATAGGCAAGCTCTATCAACGCTATGACAAGTCCTGAGAATCATTTAGAGAGTAAGATATACCTAGTCTTCATAGCAACAAAAACTTCATGAAATCTACACATACTTGAAGAAATGCTTGGTTAGGCAGCAGCTTTACAGTACCACGCTGGTGGCTTGATTTATGCTTCATCATCCCACGCATGTGTTAGGTTCAATGTCTCGCCCGAGGTCCATGGGATTTGCGATGTGGCAGTCAACTTTGATTGCCTGAACTCAAGAGCTTTCGCCGCATTCTCAGCTTCTTCATTTATGGGACTAAGAAGGATATTGCGAATAGGACATGAACGCTCGTGGTAGACACTCGTGGTCAGCAGTGCCACTCCCGGGGCTAAGGCGTGGATATTATCTCTCCAGCAGTGCCGCACACTCTATGATCAGCCATTACATGAAGGAATGTCCCGTCATCGTGTCGGTACATGGTCTAATCTCTCAAAAATCTAACCTTCAGCCACAAACCCATGGTGCGGGACTTTGGAATCACATGTGATTAGAAATCACATGTGGCGAGTTTCAGGCTCCCGTCGGCTTTCGACCATTTTGAAATCTCTGTGTGACTCGCAATTACTTGTCTTATGACGTTTGGCAGCTGGACTCATAAGTTCTTACTTGTGATGAGCCTCTTCGAGAATATGTAATTCACTTCGTAGATATTTCATAACTTGAAGAGTTTTAGGCTTCTGGGATAGGCTTCATTACCTAGCTGATCACTCTAGATTATTTATGCCCTACGTCGATAGCTACGGATGCCTGAGTTGAACCTACTATGAGGGTTTCGAGTTAATGTTGCCCGGTTGACACGACGGGGAAAGAAATGTGGGGCCGGACGTGAAGCACAAAGTTCGTACTTTCAGCTCGGCTTCTATTGGGAGGAAATTTTTAGTACGACTGTCGCAACATCTCGTACACCGCTAATTTTTTTAATAATGAAGCTGTAATTACGTCGCCTCATGATGTTTGAAACTGTGGATAGTATATTAAGGAAGGAAGAAAGTTGGGATTTGCTCAAGTGAAGCGGCTTCGCTTCGTCGGTGAGAGGAATACGCGAAAGAACCATGTTGTATTACATAAGCTATGAAAACACCAGATTTTCTACGATTCAATAGGTCGATAGGCACGATCAAGCTCGTGCTGGTAAATGAGTCCTAGCGAAAATGCCTGGAGGCGTCTCAAACCAAAGCTGCATGGCGGGGCAAGCCCAGGTCAACATGTTCTCCCCATTGTGTGTCACGTTACAGTGATTTCTCGGTAATCAATGAATCATGGGCTAACGGCCTTGCCCGTAATTCGGCCCGGGGACAAACCGTATTGGTTCCAAGGCGGCTGAATTGTTCCATTTTTGGATACAGGCGCAGTTAGCCATCTCCCTGGGAATGAATACGAGGGCCTTTAGCGTGCCTTTAGCGTGGTCTTGCCGCTATCCGCGCTGCCCGACCACTGAACCTGGAGCACATGACAGCTGTCGCCGGGCCCTAACAAACACTGACAGTGGAGCGCTAAACGAGCTGTTAGTGGAGCGGTAGAGCGGTGCTGTAGCGACGGCAGAATCTTCGGCCAAGCTTCTCTTCCAGCTTAGCGAAATGGAGCTCCCGCCTGATACGAAGATGCAGCGCAAGGTCAGCATGAGCTGAGCAATATTGCTATCCGAGCCAGCTCGTGACAGCAAATGACCGGTGACGATGATGGAAAATAGCCGCAAAAGAGTTGATTAAATACTTGCCCGCACCTGCGTCAGGAAATGAGCCGCATCTCATCTGCAAACACCAACTTATCGAGGTAACCATCCGCATTCACTCAATCCCAGAAGTGTCACAATGCGCCTGTCCACTGCCACCGTCGCTGCCTTGTCGCCTCTAGCCTTGGCTGCCCCGGTCACCATCAGCGGTGCATCGGGCACGGCCGACATTATCGTCAGAAAGAACATGGGCGGAGTTGCGGGTGACCACAGCGACACCAGAATCCTCGTTCCCCTGGGCCGTGTATTCGCCGGCCATCCTTCTCTCGACTTCGAGTCAACCCTCTCGCTCAACGCCGTGTACGGCGCCGACGTTGCGACTGTTAGCTGCACGCCGTTTAAAAACACCGACGGGACTGGCGAGACCGGTCCTTCGTTCTCCAAAGAACACCCGTCATTCGTCTCGACTCACAACGACAAGGTTGGCAGCATCTTTTGCAGCTAATTATCGAGACATCTTCAAACACGCCCGCATCGAACGTGCGGTGGGACAACTTTCCGACGATGAAGGAAAAAATAATGTGATGAAGGACAACAAGTGTGCGCGCCTCTGCTCTCCAACAAGGCAACTGAATGTTGCGGAGGGAGAGGAGTCGGCATTGGGAAACATGCCCATATTCGAGATGATGAGTCTCTAGCCAATTGAAACTCAGTCTCTAAGGCGATCCTACGACAGCTCCTCGGGCGCTGCATTCGTCCTGCAGTCCATGCTCGAGGAGACTGTGCTTATGGAGAAGGTCTCCAGGTAACCTAACCCGACTTTGGCCAAATAATCTGAGAGCCGAGTAATCGGAGTGCCATGCAACGCACGAGGGATCATGTCGGTTTATCCCAAGTTACATTGCAAACTCTCACACAGGCCGCTAGCACCCCCGAGTTCGACAAGCTAGACAAAGTCAAGTTGTCGGATATCTAGGAAGAGAAGTTTAGGGCCATCGCGATATACTGATCCTAAGATGCTGGCCATATCCAGAGTCAACCTCGCTCCTGAAGGTTGGGTAAGATAGCCACGCAACAGTAGACAAGATTCCTCCTGCAAATTGGATGGCCACATTCATGTCTACAACCAATAAGTCATCTTTGGTGATAGGTACCACCATATACTTGCAAAGAATATAATAATAAATCCGTATATTTATTGTAGCAGCTATGCTACAACTACCATGCCTACCCCTCCATGCTCTGGCCAGTTCCAGTTAAATTTTCCGATCTTATTCGGATAACAAGTGACAGTTTCTAGGGAACGATCTATTCAAGGCTCCAGTTCCAATCCTAAACTCCTGTCGCTACGCTAATTTTTTCACACAATTCTGCAGCCGTGTCAAATGAATGACCGTGGCTTGATAATAACACAATTCTGAGGCGTGCCAACTAAATGGTCGCGGCCTGATAGTAACACAATGTTTTTTCAGACATGTCGACGGAAGTCATCACATGAATGATCACCGTCGACTGTCTGGTGGTAAACCCGATATCTGGCTTCGGGTGAGGCCTTCCACAGAAGGTCGCGGAGAGGCAAGAGGATGGTGGGCAATTGTCCGCGAGCTTACTGAATATGGCATTGGATGTCATCAAGTTGGCGACCACCTCCCCTCTTTCTGAGCTCCTTGACGAGCCTGTTCATGCCCCATGGATAGACCTCGTTGAACTTGAGCTTACCCACGTTCCCAACCTGCGCAGTCTCAAGCCAGTCCTTGACATCGTGGCCCTTGCCGTCCTTCAAGAACTGGGCGACGACCTCGGTAGCGATGTTGATCAGATCATCGGTGGGCTGGCCCGTTTCCTGGACTCCCTTTCGACCGGAAGCAGTAGCGAAGACATAACCAACAACAAAGGGGAGATCCTTCTCTTCCGGGAGTGGTGCCATTTCCGCGCCGAAAGCATCAACAATCTGCTTGCGGATCTCCTCTAGCAATTTCCAGACACTGTCGTGCATGGCGAAGTAGTTGAAGGAAAGTTCAGCCCGCTCGCCCTCGATCGCTTCAGCGATGTGTCGAACCAGCTGACTAGGGGACAGACCTTCAAAATTCTTCATCTTGGCTTCCTCTCTCCTACCCGGGAGAACATTCCCCTTGCCGTCAATCAATTTATGACGGCGACCCTCTTCAAGCACCTTGGCGAGGAACTCCGCGCTCGGTGCAGCACGGGCGCCGGTCGGCATGAGGCGATGCGAGAGCAGCATCGAAACCCTACCCATGATCTTCAAGAAGCGCTTGTTGGCATCATTGGCGGTAGGTGCAGGCGCCTTCTTGCCCTTGACCTGCTTGGCGCGGTTGCTTGGAACCCAGTTCTTGGCGGAGAGACCCAGAGACAAGCAATAGTTGTTGAAGTAGGCGTCACGGGAGGCGGGAGCGTCAATGGCGAAGAAACTTGCGTTCCCTTGCATGTCCCAGATCGTCTTCAGGTCTTCCCAGATCATGTCGTCGCCGAGAAGCTTCTCCTGGTGCAGAGCGTGGTAGAGCTGGGTCGTGACCATGACGGCACCCGGCTCTGCGATGTACTCGGCGCCGGAGCGGTGGAAGGTTGTTCGCATCATGTGAATCCACAGACCGCAGTGCATCGGGTTGCGGCGGAGGAAATGGAAAGCAGCGTTGCCAGGCCCTGACAACATGTCGAGCTCTATCGTCTTGTCGCGAACCAGTTGGATCGGATCGTGGTCCCATTTTGAAGCCACAGACAGAACGCGGTCCCGCGCTTCCGAAGGGGGGACGTTGAGCATCGCGTTCTTGATAATGTTGCTCTCACGCACCATCTCTTCATATCCCCGCTCACAGTCCGGTCCAAGAGGCTTCAGAATGTCGAGGTAGATCTGGAACGCCCAGGCGAGCCACATGGGGGTCTTGGCGCCTCTGCCAAATTGCAGTCGCTCGCTAACGCAGCGGATCAGCTCGTCCTCGACAATGCCACGGCACATGTTGGAGCCGAGGAACTGGATGTCGGGGAGTATTTCCAGGAGTGCTGTTATGTCTTGGTTCCAGTTCTCGCGGTTTGATAGATGTTCCGGGTCTCCCAATCTCGGATTGTACCAACCAAACTTTCCATTGTAGTCCGTGATGAAATCATCCTTTGAGTTGTTTTCGAAGTGGCCATTGAGCAGTCCTATGGTGTTAAGGAGAAGGTCGTGGGCAAGAGGGTATCCCCAGAGGTTGTACAGGTCTCCAGGTTCTTGAAGCTTCTCCCCACCAAAGCCAGCCGCGGCACAGATATTATTGAAGTACCCCTGCAAGAATTTAGGGCCCCCGTCATATTTGTCCAAGATAGGCTTGACCTCATCTTCCATGCTTCGAGCCAGTTCGAAGCACAGGTTGGTCGCAACGGAAACGGAAGCCAGGTCTCGCTTCCCTTGAGCCCACTCCTTCCAAAGCCCCTCGAGGGCGGAGCGGAGTTCTGCGTACTCCACGGAAAGCATTGTAAAGAGAAACGAAGCCTCTTCGTAAGAGTTGTCTTGCTCGACAGTGTATTGGACCTCGGGCTGAGTACTCGCAGTCGGGGTGGTCTTGGGAGGCGCAATCTCTTCGAAATGTTCCGAAGGTTCGTAGACACCCAAAATCGAGTAGTAGTTGGTAAATGGACCGTGGGTATTCTGTCCCTGGCGGGCGGTTCGTGCTTTGTCGAGTTCCTCCTCATTGAAGACACCGGCTTCCATCTGGGGTCTAAGGAGATCGCGGACCCTTTCAAGGACATTGGCAAAGTGAAGGTGGCGCTCGTCAGAAGCAGTGTCAGCAGTGCTACCACTTCCGCTTAGACCATTGGCGAAATTCTTGCGGACTAGAGTGTAGCCAGTCAGTCATCACTTCGTCAGACAGTGGGAGAGCGGAGCAGTACCCCAAACAACACGCTCGATAGCGACAGCAAAATAGTCAGGGACCTTGATTGAGTTGATACGGCTGAGAAAGGTGGCCATGGGCTCAAAGTCGCTGATCTTGAGGGCATATTTCTTGGCCTGTGCAGCAGGCTTCGAGCTGATTGTCGCGCCGAAGTCCTGGGGAGGTTGAGCTGCTTGCTTTGCTTGCTTCCGAGCTTTGCCCTTCAGTCGGCCACCGCCGGAAGCGGCGGAGCCCATGCCCTGGACATAGCCATTGGCCTTGGCTGTCGTAGCGAGCCAAGTAGCGACAGCATCTGTGTCACCTTTGTATTGTTGGTAGATGCTCTTGAGTGCGGGAGGCAGCATGGTCACTCGAGGAGAGATCGTGCCGTGTAAGGAGAGGATAAAAGGTTCAAAACAAAGATACCCCGCGTCACTTAAGAGGGACTAAGCGCGACTCCGCTTTCGACACGATCCAAGGAGCGGTCAAGGACCTATAGTGGAGTTATTATATCTTCCTTTTCCTTTTCTTTGCTCTTGTCTCAAATCTATCGATGGTGGCAAGTGGGTGACATAAAGTGACATAACAGATAAGACACCAAACCAGTACCTCAAGCGTCTACAACGGAAGAGGCCCTATATTTTATCTACCGTATTCCCAGCCTAAACCCACGTATATAAATTCAGAAAAAGACTGAAATATAATCCAAAGGCTATAGAATATACTTATACTTTTTTCTTCGATATCTGAATATTTCTAGCCACAGAACATGCCTAGAAAGAGGGCCTAAGAGTTTGGTATCTCATCCGTTGTGTCAGCCTCTTGGCGGTCAATGACATGACGTATAGTGGAGTTATTATCTCTTCCTTTCTTTTTCCTTGCTCTTATCTCTAATCTATCGATGGTGGTGTAAAATACAGGGAGTATCAGGCTGTATCTTGCGCTATAGAGCATGCCCCTGCGATGTAATGAATGCTATATGATCTAGACACTGTGTAGTTAATACAGCCTGCCTCTTGCAATTTCTGCCAATATCTGCGTCTAGAATGTTCTCCTTATCATCAGTTTTAGATATATCCCTTTGAAACGCGTAAGAGACTTTGAGGGCCTTGACTCACATGGGGAAAAAAAAAGTAATACATTGAACAATATACCTTTAGATATCCTCCTCTCCTCCCTTTTCCCTGTAGCAAGTGTTCACTACAGCCTCATGTTGATTATATTTCATGCTCCGCAAGTTCACTTGACTCGTTCGCTATCGCAAGATGGAATGCTTCGTTAACACGGCCAGCAAGACAAAGCAAGTACCAAGTTACCGAAATACGTGTGATATCATAGATTGAGAATCAAATCATTTGTCCATTCACGTTAAATTAAATCATTAAATCCCTAAGTTTCTAGCTCGAAAACTCTCCTGCGATCCATCTGTTCATCATATCCAGAGACGCCGCCGGCTGGTTCGTGGGAACCATATGGCCAGCCTGGAAGACCTGGATAAAGGCAAAGTGACCTGAAGTCGTGAGGTTCCCCCACTGGGCGCCGCCGCCTCCAAGCTTGAGCGGCTGGACGAGAGCGGCGTTGAAGGCGTCCTTGCCGGGCCAGTCCAGGGCCTTCGTCCAGGCGCGGTTGCCGAGCCAGTTGCAGATGAAGTCGGCGTCGCCGGCGTAGATGAGGACGGGGATCTTGGCGAGGATGTCCGGGACGAGGCGGTGGATCGGCTGCATCCAGTCGCCGCTGTTGTAGAAGGCGTTGTAGACGCTGTTGTCGCATTCCTCGAACGAGGTGACCTCGGCGCCGATGGCCTCGAGGACGCTAGGAGTGTTGAGCCACTTGTCCACGCCGGTGTCCTGCGCGGGCGTGTCAGGGCGGATGTCGTAGACGTCGCTGCCCGTGTTCTGGTATGGGGTGAGCATCCAGTTGTTGCAGGAGCTGAAGGCGCTCTTGCACGATGACAGAGTGCCGTCGTAGCAGCCTTGTATCAGCTTCTGGCAGCTAGCCAAGTTGCTGTCCATTCGCTGGCAGGCTGTGGACGAGAGAACAGATGGGTAGCCGCCCTCACCACAGGCCATGGGGCGGTAGTAGGCGTACTGGGTATAGGGGTCTGTCAATCCATTTCCGATCAACAAACTCTTCAGGTTGATGATGGTGTTGGGCTCAGAGATGATTTTGTGCCCAATTCCAGGAATGTAATGACCAGCGTATGACTCTCCTGAAATATGGAAAGGTTGCTTGGAGTACTCAGGGAACTGGGTGAAGAAGAGAGTGAGCAGGGCGTAGAGATCATCGGCAGCGGCGACAGTGCTTCCAGTAGCGTTTGTCTTGCTGTATGACAGACCAGTGTTTACTGGCTGATCAATGAAGATGACCGACGCGTTGTTGTTCCAAGCGTATTCATTGCGCACAATCGTCTGATTAGACAGAATGGCGGATGGGCCGAGCTCGTTGAAAAGCCCGATCATGGAGGAGCATCCAGGGCCCCCATTGAGCCACAGCACAACTGGATCATTGGCAGGGTCGTTTCTTGACTCAAAGAACCCTGTTCAATTGCGGGTTAGAAAGAGATTCGCCAGATTTCACGGCGGGCCACCTGACTGCTTCTACTTACAGTAAAACAGGTGCTTATCCTGCTCGTTGTTGTCGAGATAACCACTGTACTGCTTCACAGTATCGATACCCAGAGAAGAAGGATCGACGGCCTTGGCACGCAAGTTGAAGTTGGACAGGTCGGTGCTGTCCTCGCTCCTAGCCGCAGCCTGGGCCTGAGCCTGGGCCTGGGCGACATCAGCACCGTTGACAATGTGGTCCCAGTAGCTGTCTGGTCGAGGCTTGAGACGATCATTGATATCTCTCTCTCGGACATTGTCAAGCTGCGCAGTGGCGGATGCAACTGCTCCAAGAGCGAGGGCCAAGGTAGAGAAATGCATGATGGACTTTGTCAAGGGGCCTGGGTCTGCCTTGGAACCATAATGAAAACCATCAGGGGCAGCAGGAAATAGATCTTATATAGCAAAGCAGCCGGTGTTTTATCGTCATCGTAAATGCTTCATGGAGGCCCGGTCAGGGTCTATCAATTGGAACCTTCCTAAAGTGTAAGTGGAGAAGTCGGTTGACAGCAGATGATTTCACAGGGCCTTTTGCAGACAGCTCCGCGTACAGCTTCCACGAAGGGAACCCAGGCGATGATCACTTCGCCAAGGCTACAGAAAGACCTATATGCAGTGGACCACTACGACATCTGCCGAAGAAGCCAGCCAACTCCATCCCAAGTAACATCTCTCATCAGATTTCCCTGACAGTTTAATTCATGCCTCATTAGTGCTTCCTTCTCCATGCTACTGAGCAGAAAATACGGCTCTCCTCATAAGTTCTCTTTATGATAGGCATAATCGGTGGGGATCTCAGCCCCCCGCTTCGGCATCTTCGCCCCCATCCCCTGTCAAGAGGTAAGCCCAAGTGCCGTTGTATCCGTTCTTCTCAAGTAAGCTTTCTACCCGGCCAGAATCCAGGACATAAAGTCCTCAGACTACTTGCCTTTCTGGATTAGAGGAATACCACCTATCTCATTCGTTCTGATACGAGATGTGCTCACAATCCCCAAACCAGCCAATATCCCTGATGATCGCAGCAAGTATGTCATGAACGGAACTTTCCCATGACAGTCAAATGAAAGTGCCGACCGATAGCAACTAGCCGCATCAGCCGTGCAAGGGACCTTCCTAACTGCAACAACACAATGCCACACAATCTGCATTCTCTTCCATGCTGTCTTTTCTTTGATGGTTACATGACGTTCATCTGTGGCGCGATCTCGGGCTGTGCCGACTCCTGACGTTTTGCCACATACCGGGATCCTCTTACACGAGACCGAAATTCTCCAATGCCTGAATATCACTCATCCTTTCCCTTGCCTATCTGTTTCAGGATCCTAGAATTTCTCCTGCGTGAATTTCTCAACAAGGCTTGCATAACATTAATACATTATCTCTTTACTCAACAATCATAAGGCGTTTCGCATAACGTTCATGGTTATCATTATTGGGATATCATCGCGCTGTTTTCATTACCTTCTGTCGCCTCATGGGCCATCTACAGCTATCCAGAGGAGTGGATATTACATCTAGTTTAAAGCAGCTAAAGATTCATTTTAAGCATTGAAGAGAAGTCATTTCGCTCAGATACGAGTGAAGACCACCGACAACCATGAAGTCACGCGTATGAGAATTACGCCCTTGCTACTATGCTTAAAATATGGTGAGAATGGAGGTGCAAAGGTAGTAGAGGTCATAAATGTAATTGCGCGCAGTAAATCTAAGCCTTCTTTCACCTTTATCTCTTCTCACTTAGGACACCTGGCAAACCGTCTTTCCCAAAGCTTCTGCTCCCGACAATGAAACACTTTATGTCGATTATTCACAGGTCGGATGTAGAATCCTGCCTCCCACAATTGGTTGTTGAAGTTCCATGTTCATTTGAAATCGTTTCACCTCACCTAGCCTTGGTAGTCCCTTCATTGAGCCCATGTCTCCATAATGTAACCGAAAATAAATTGCGCTCACATCCAGTGGCTCTTATCATCTCAAGCCTAGAAGCTAGAAGCATTATTTCATTGGGCTAATAAAGAAATGCTTGTCCGTCGTCTCCATAACCGACATTTTCATGCCAACTTTGACCATCCCCTCATCCTTGGGCGCACAGAGCATGCCAAAACTAGGCTTGAACTTGAGACCTTGATCAATACGGCGGTATTTCATGAGCTCGTTCCAGGGTCGTCGGGGATGCTTCTCCGCCGTGTCTGGATCAACATTCGGGACCTGGCAGCGGAGGCACCTGCAGACCACATTCAGTGACAGAGTCGAATTTTCGCCGGATATCTGCAGCGTCTTCCAGTTATCCTCGGACCACGGCTGCTGACCACGGAGGATGATGTTTGGCCTGAAATGCTCGATGGTGAGTTCGGGTTCACCCTGGCTGCGAAGGCGCTCATTGAGCTCGTTCACGCTTGCCATGGTGCCGACCAAGACAGGCATCATGTCGGCGAACTTGGTCGCTTCCGTCCTACCCAGGCGTTCCGGGGTCGCGCAACCCTTGAGGATGCGTCGGGTAGGGCCCTTATAGACGAGACGGATGTCCATATCTAAGAGGTCTGCAAATGGCTGTGAGATTTCAGAGTTATACTCCCACCCATCGGTCTCCTCACTCCAAATGACAACCTTGCGCAAGTTGGTGTTTGCGTCGAGCCATTCCGGGGTTGGATGGGCCGGGATGGTGACTTTCGCATCGCTGTCCTTAATGGAGATGGTAAGGCTGTCGGTCTCCTCGTCCCAACCAGTGCGGATGAGAGTCATGCGAGAATTGGTGCGGATCGTGATGAACTCCCCATTGGAATTGGTGACAAACATCCAGTTCCTGTCCATGTCGAGCCCAGTGCGCAGCATTTTGGCGGACTGGACTTCAAAGCCACGGCATGATTTGATGGGATAGACGCGCATGCTGACGATCTCGTCCTCTGCGAGGGGCTTGCGGGTGACAAGCCTTTGTAAGTTGGAGAGACCATTGGTGTTGAAGATGTAAATCAGAGTGGTGAAAACTGCGACGGCGATTGTGATGGCTAATGGCGTCACCATCGGCTGGAAGTCGACAGCCAGCATGATGAACCAAAGGAAGTTGTTCAGTCTCACAGAGTTCCTAATTACTGTCGATGAGTAACAGGCGAGAAACTCACCCGAGCCGCTCGTGTAATTTAATGCCAGTTGATGCAGGTTGGCTTGGCCTTTGTCCCTCGCTGGGTTTTGCTTAGTTAAGAAATTCTGTTGCCACAGATATCGATCATCCAAATCACGTGGCAGAGAGTGGGGATCCGGTGTGGAGAGATTTGTCAGCGATTTGCAAGTGACGACGCTACCCTAGAGCCTTTATATTCGTAGACAATATTAACATCTGTGGCAGGAGCAAAAAACCATGGGCTATGGTGTCTATTTATTCTTGCAAAGGTGCTGGATGAAGCTGTTGTGAAACTAACCTGTCTATTCGTTGAATTAAGGTGCACTTTGGCTTTGTATTCCAATTTCGATGTTGCTTGATCCGTGCATGTGGATGAGAGTTGGAAACTAAGGAAAAAACATAAAATATTTGAAAGATACTAGACTCGATGTCTCAACACAAAGACGACTAATCTTAAGGCATGCTTATAAACTGCATTTGTGATACTACGGCATGCCATGAACTTTGATCTCATATACTTGGGTTATTATTTGTCCTTGTTATTAGGCCTCATCTAGTTGCATTCTATAACCCTCCATCTCTTTTTCCGTCCACTCCCAAAGCTTATTCGCCAGCACTTCATCCTTCACATACTTTCCTGCCTTGCCAGACACCCCGATCGGTTCGTAATATTCGCCACTAATGACGACGTCGGAGGTAGCAGCCCATAGCTGATTCTTTACTCCGTCCTCGACACTAGACATGAACAGCCTTCCTACAGTCATCAGACAGCGGAGCAAGAAGCTCTTGCTACTGACAGAATCGCTAAGAGGCGTCCTCACTGCTCCCGGGTGTACCGAGGCCACTTTCACCTGCGGATACCGTCGTGCCAGCTCCTTCCCGAAAAGTATGCCTGCTAACTTGCTTTGTCCGTATCTCGCCATTGCATCTAGGTTGGTAGCCTTGGATTTGAGGCTTTTGAATTGGATACCGCCGAGAGGTGCTTGCTTATGTACCGCCGAAGAAACAAAGATGCTTCGAACGTCCGAATTAGGATCGGTCTCGGCCGTGTTCAACACCGTGGGTAGAAGCAGTTTTGTCAAGAGTGCGTGCCCTACGTAGTTTGTACCAAAATGGACTTCGTAGCCGTCCTCGGTCATGCCTGGTGTGTAGGACATCGTGCCGGCGTTCAGGAGGAGGATGTCTAGACGGCCGCATGAGTCGCAAAAAGTTTGAGCTGCTGCCTCCACAGACTGACAAGAAGCCAGATCGAGCGCCAACGGCTTGATTGGGATGTTAGGCACGACCGTCTGGACCTCTTCGGCGGCCGTTCGGGCCCTTTCCAAGCTGCGGGCGGCGAGCCAGATAAGTGAGGGCTTTTTCTGGGCGAGTTCGATCACGGATTGCCTCCCAAGGCCGCTGCTCCCTCCGGTGACAAGTATGACCTTCCCCAGAAGGGGAGGTATGTCCGTCGTGGTGTTGAATTTAATACCTTTGCTTCCAGGGAACGACATGGTGTTTTATTTTATTTTATTTACTTTTTTCTTCTTCTGAGGGAGGGGTTTGCTTGGTTGTTTAACACAGAAGTTCAGTCGAGAGGAAGAGAATCAGGGGGTGATTTTTCAGGTTCGGGGTACAAGTCAAGCCCGTTGAACTGGGTCGGAGCACAACTCGGACCCGGTACATCATGAACTGCACGGTAGTCTAGGCCCTAGAGCTCGAGATCGTTCGACGCCCAGCTTTATGTCTTTCTTTCTCCGAAGATTCCCTATCGCCTCTTATTGACGGTGAGTACAGCTGCCTTTCGTGTCTAGTGCTCCCTATCTAGATAATTCCCCGTCCTCACCTTAACAATCCGACCTGTAATGACAACTAACGCCTTAATCCCCGAGCCCAAAAGAACTCGACATACCCCAAGCTAAATCCCCAAGCGACTAATACGAGCACGTATCTCTGAACAAGTCCGAGCTATTTAGGCGACAAATCGCTACTTTTGAAATCAAAGTTGGCGTCACCGTGTTATACAGATATACGTCCAAGGACAACAAAGCCACAATAGCTGTGTCAACATTGCGGCCAATGCTTTGGAATTTGTCATTCTGAAACATCCCTGAGATTAGAAGGGCCTGATAGCGCCTCAACCGTCCTCTCTAGTGACCGCAGCGTTTTCTAAAGGAAGATTGCTTCCACCCATGGCTACTCCATTTGGGGTTGACTAAAGCGAGAGAAGTTCGGTGTTCAGTCTTCCTTATTACTGCTATACTCAAGGTTGTCGAGCAGTCTAGAGAGATACCTAAGTGATAGGCTGATACTTGATGCGTTGTAATCTAATTTACGAATCAGCGCTTTTGATTGTGCGAGGCAGGTCCAAGGCGAACATGCTTAGTTTAACCTAAACAATAATATAAGTAAGGATAGAAAGCATATAGCGCCACTTTCCTCGTGCTAATGATGTGAAAGATCAGCCTGCTTGTGACTGCGGCATTTCATCGTCCATCAAAGGACAAATTAGCTCACATGAATTGACAGGGAGGGATCACAAAACTGCTACGCATATGCAAACATGTCAATTGCATTAATGCGTTTGTAGATGATAGCCAATCATGAGTTGGTATTCACACGTCGAGGTCGCTTCATTAATCAGCGTCTCATCATATCCACTAGACCGTAACTTCGGCCTGCAGACGAACACCGACAGGAGACCGATAGCAGCAAGTGCATGAGTCGCTGTGATCTCTCTGTCTATGTAATCTGGGTATAAGAAAACCCGCCCAGAACGATAGATTATTCAGTGCGGTGCGAGTAGTCCATCAAACTGTGTTGAAAACATGGCTGAGAAGTTTGAGCTCGAGTCGATGAATCGCTATCCCGAGTCGGGACTGTCCCTCTTAATCGTAGGGGGAGGGATCGCAGGTCTTGCTTTCGCCATCGAAGCTCACCGGAAGGGACACAACGTCCGAGTCGTAGAACGGCGGCCCTCGTTTGACGACTTTGGTTGGTGCGCATCACGCTGTAATGAGTGTAAATACTGACGTGTCGATGAAAAGTGATATCATAGCCATCCAGACACCTGCGCTACACACTCCCAAGCAATGGCCTGGTTTCATGGACCGCCTCAGAGCATCTAGCTTCACTCCACGAGCAGTCATCAAGAAGTATGACGATTCCCTGGTTGGGACGTTTCCACTGGGCACTCCCGATGATCCCACGTTGGTGTTCAATAGATTCGAATTCCACAACATACTTGAGGAGTATGCTCGATCTTTGAATATTGCCATCGAATTCTCGTCAAATGCTGTTGCCTACTTCGAGTCCGATGGTAAATGGGGAGTAGAATTGTCAGATGGCTCAAAGCTGGAGGCTGACGTTGTCGTGGCTGCTGATGGGGCTGGCTCTAAGTCGTGGAAACTGATCTTAGGGGAAAAGAATGAACCCATAAGCTCGGGCTATGCTCTCTACCGTGTCAGCTTCCCGGTCGGTCCAGCAATGGAAAATCCTATCATCGCGAAAGAATTTGAGGGCTATGAAGACCGAGTGTCGATACATGCCGGCCCAGATGCACACGGTGTAATCGGCAAATCCGAGGAGGAAATATGCTGGGTATTGACCCACAAAATGAGTTGCTATACATGGTATTGACGCATACGAGGCGTGGTGCTAACGCGAAAACTTAGGATGATGGGAGTGCGAACGAAGAGTGGACAAAGACGGCGTCCAGTGATAAAGCTGTAGAGCTCGTCAAGGGTTAGACACCCTTCCTCACAGAGCTCATCAATGCTACTCCTGGACATGTGGTTACCGACTGGAAGTTGATGTGGCGAAATCCACAGTCCAGATGGGCATCACCGTTGGGTCGAGTTATCCAGATAGGGTATTCGGCTCATTCTTTTCTTCCAACATCCGGCAGTAGGGCGACCATGGCTCTAGAAGATGCATACTCATTGGCTTCTTGTCTTCATCTCTCTGGGAAACAAGCCGCTCCGCTTGGAGTCAGAGTCCACAATCATCTCAGGTGCGCAACATCCTATTGCAGTCTCCTGTCATTGTTAAAAGCTACTAATGGAAAACAATAAGGTTCGAGCGAGTGGCCTGCGCACAAAAGACGGGTTTCCGAAGACGTGAGATCTTTCACAAGACAGATTGGGAGGCCGTTGCAAAAAACCCTGATATCCTAGGAAGGGTAGTTGGGAATTGGATACTGAATCATGATCCGGAGAAGTATGCGTATGAAAACTATGGCAATTGCGTTAACTTTCTTGTTGCTGGTACCCCGTTCAAAAATACGAACAGCGTACCAGGTTATAAGTACAAACCTTGGACGGTTCAAGAGCTTCTAGAGGCCTCAGAGTGTGGAGTTCCTATTGTTGATGAAGGTGATTGGTCCTGATATGAGTAGTTTAAATACGTGTCACGGTTTCAAGCGTCTCCTTGACGATAGAGGTAACAGATATGAATTTGACTAGATTCAGTATCTCCATTTCCGAGCTTTTCTCTTGCCCTTGATTTTCCTTTAGCAGGACTCCCTTTCTTCACTAATAATCGTGCTACATAGTCTTTCCACCTCCCGCTGACAATGAACTCGATGGCCGGCAGTAGATGATCTCGCGCCCTATGGGGTTATGATAACTTCCCCTGGCTCGGTTCTCTCAGCACCAGTGTCGAGCGCCACTGCCCAATCATCCAACTTGAACTTTCGAACTGGACCCATACTGTGAGCATCTAATGGCAGTAGCCCTGTTTCAACCATACTGATTAATCTCTTTGTCTGCTCCTTCGCGCATATCCAAGTCCCCTTGATTGTAAGCCCTCTAACCATAATCTGCATATAGTCGAAGCTGACACTGGAAAGGATACTACTCATCAAACTGATCCGCGCCCCGGTTTTCAGGACGTTGAGGCTACTTAGAAAATGCGTTGAAGTGCCAGCCCCTGGTGGTGACATGTCCCAGAAGACATCTGCACCGCTGGGGCCTGCTGCTGCGCGAAGTGCCTGGGTATCAGCATCAACGTCTCCAGTAATAGGGACGGCACTCAGACGTTGAGGATGTATAGTGGCTAGCTGCTGGAGGATTGTCCTGTTACGGCCAGTAGCAATAACCCGCTCGCCCACAGCCAGTGCGAGATGCACCGCGGCGCTACCATATCTTCCTGTTGCTGGCGCAATGATCACAGTTTGGCCGGCTTCGAGGCCTATATCTGCAAGACCCCCAAAAGGGATCAGCATGCTAAACAAGTGTGTAAGATTGTCTAGTGTATACCCTAACCCTCCGTCCTGGGAAGGTCTCATAAGCCGTGATTCGTCAAGAGGGAAGCAATTCTCCAGGGGCAGGTTGGCAAATTCTGCAAAGGTCGAGTCCCTCCATTCGCCGCGAGAGAGTCTTTTACTCTCTTCATCGAGGCATTCCATAAGCCCACTGATGTACTTGGCATCTGATGAATCACGGCCTATAATGTAAGGGTCAAAAAATACCAGTTGACCCCTTTGTAGACGTGTTGCGTCTGGACCGGTTTCTGCAACTCGTCCGATAGCAGCGAAACCGGGTACGAATGCTGTGGGTAATGGGTGGCCACTGGTAGGTTCTTGGTAGACGCGACGAGAATTGGCTCTGATTGACGAAGCAAGGATGCGGATGAGTACGCTCCCGGGACCAGGTTTCGGTGTAGGCCGCAGTTCAACGCGCATTGGTTTTCCAACTTCGTCCAAAACAAGGGCATGATGATGGTCGGGAACACCTTCTGTGCTGGTAGGGCTATTAAGTGCAGCTATGTTGTTTGTATAATGAGAAGCAATAGTCGCAGCTGATTTGGTAGCTGCAAGGAAGGGGGATTCAGTACATTGGCCGATTCTGTGCGCTTTAGAATATCTCTCGCCCAGATCTCCATCATAAAATAGGGGTTCAAAGTTTCACTTTATATATTCCTAAGTGCCCATCATGGTCGGTAGGTCGTATTGGCGGACTTGAGTAGTTGCCAGCGGAGTTTGGGTGCATCCGGCGTCATGGCGCAACTATCATCATGTGGACGAGCAGATAGTCATCTTCACACACTAGCACGGACCAGTTGCGGAGAGGAAAATGAAATGAGATGTAGAATCAGATGCCTTATAATGTACTCTGTACCTAAACCAACATTAGATTTATTGTGGCTGGCTGATAATAAGCTCAGTGGTCTTTAGAATCACCACCTTTTTCTCTCTGTTTCGAAGTTGGCAGTACGTCGCCATGTCGAACTGCCGCACCCCTCGCCTGGATTTCTTGGGTTGCACAGTCTAATAGCATTGCCGGCCTAGATGATCTGCCTCCGACACTCATGGCATAAACCTTGCCGTTTGCCCTGTTCCTTGCGAAAATCGACAATACAAGAATTCGGGCTCTTGGTAGGGCCCGTCCCGCTTGATGGGTCTCTCCACCAAAAAGTCCGCAGATCGTCGGGGGATGATACAGGCCACCCCCTGGAGCTGAAGCCGGATCGTGTGAATTTGGTCTCCCCGAGAACAATTAGAATGGAATTGTTTGACTGGCTATTGTAGATTAGGGAGGGAAAATGATTGCAAAGAACGCATCAATAGTTAGCAGGGTAGGGGAATCTGAAGATGTTGCCGAGGCTGTTCTAGCCTTAATGCGGAATCATTCCGTCACAGGAACCATAAAAATCTCCAACATGAGGCCAATTTGATAAAAAAAAGACTAGCCCTGAGCTGCTAGTGGATATATCAAAGATTCAACGCAAACCGGGCTAGTTTACTTTGTGATGCCCCGTGTTTTGATGATCTCCGTTGCATAGGCATTTCAGTTGTTACTTCCAAGACGAAACGCCGCTTCGTGTGAGCGCTAGTCGCTGTAGAGCGAAAGTAGGCGTCACTTTTTTGTCTAGACATGTCTCTTCATCTCAACATTTTTGATCCAAACAGAGTGACAACAAAGTGAAAACATTCATGCTGGAGGGGTTTTGGCATTTGCCGTGATATCGACAATCATTTCCTCAAACCCCGACAAGCGAAGCGGTCTTGACGTTTTGACATATCCCCGTCCCATCCATGCATGTGGGCCTTAGTTTGGATAAGCAGTTCTGAGACTATTGGCTCTTATTTCCCTTGCCGTATATTTTAGTTTCCGATCCCAATGGGAAACACAAAGTTGACGCCGTCCTAAGAATCAAAGGATCAACGCTTAGGAGGTGTGTATGCCTTCTCGTTCCAGAAAAGTGATAAGTTGACCAGGGGAGTGACGAAGTGGCTTTTTTTGACAGGAGCTTGTGACCAAAACGGGAATAGATGCGATTGGTAACCGGGTGACAGAAAAAACGAGACATCACATCAAAGAGCAGTGATAATATAGTAGTCCATGACGATTTATAGTGAGATTATTCACTTCTTGAATATTTAGTAACTTGCTATCAATGGAATGGAAATACAATACAAAGACTAGCAAGATAATGTTTGGGTGTATGCCACCTGTTGATGAGAAGGACGTTCAGTCAACTGTGGAAGAACATGTGCCTTTTAGCTTACGTACCATCCAAGATCTTTAGACCCTCCCTGCTTTCTGGAGACCGAATGACGAACTGCCACATTGATCCAAGCGAGCATTCTCCCCTGTTCTAAAAGACATGTCCCACCAGACTAACCGCGCCAAGCAACGACCGCACCATTCGAAGCGGGTCTAATGCATCTTTTATTGACTCAAGCTTGTGAAGTCTGTATGTAATCGATCGATCGAAGCGTCATGGCCATCGAAGCCACTGGAAAATGAGCGACGGTGGCCACCGTTCTTGCGGGACGAAAAGGGGACGGAGACAGAAACCACCCACCGTCCCACGATAGACAAAAACCGCCTGCATTAACTAGCGACGATCCTACATATCTTTACCTCCACTGGACCAAATCACTGCGAGAGACGAGGGTTCCGTTTCAGTTCCAATGTCGCGCTCGGCTGGGCTCCAGCGGGAACGTGAGGTCCAAAGCTTCGTCCAGAGCTGGCAGTCCGCACAGGGCTCGTCGCTCAACGTAGCCCTCAATGTCGACAGCCTCGAGCAGCAGAGCCTTCACGGCAAAGGCTACACGCCGCGGGCATCACGCGACAAGACCCTCACGGCCTTTGCCCAGCTGGCGGTCCTGCGTCTCGGAGTGAAGCGTGCCATGGTGTCGCTGATTGACGATCAACACCAGACGATCCTCGCCGAGGCCACGCGTAACCTCAAGCTGGGCGACCTCGAGGCACAGGCGCCTCATGAGTCGAATAATTCTGCTGCCGCCGGGAACAACAGCACCAGTGGTGGCAGCCAGAATGGCATCAACGGTCCTGTCACCGAGAACGACCTATGGCGTATGTGTTGTAGATAGTTGACCTCCAGTGCGACACCCTGCCTCTGGCATCTTATTATTGAACCAGACTTGGTGCATAAGTCTACCTGTCTCACTGCATTGGCAAGAACCGCTAACAAAACTAGTTGGCGCCTCCGTTATTACTCGTGCGGATGCTGTCTGTGAACACTGCTTGACAGATACCTGCATTGCGCGCGACGAAAGTGGCCAGTCCTACACGGCGCCAGGACTGATCGTACCGGATCTCCGACTTGACCCTCGGTTTCAGAATCGTCCCTATGTGGCCTCTGAACAGGGCATACGATTCTACGCTGGCGTTCCCATCTTTTCCCGTCACGGCCACAAGATCGGCGCCTATGCCGTGTCCGATGAGTCTACCCGCCACGGCCTGACGGTAGACGAGCTCCAGTTCATGCAGGGAGTCAGCCAGGCCATCATGGAGCATTTGGAGTGGGCGCGTGACCGAGTTGACCGCTTCAAGGGCGAGCGTATTGTTCGCGGTCTGGCTGCCTTTATAGAGGGTTGCTCTGGAATGGATGATGAGCCTAACCACTCAAAGAGAAGGTCATCACGGAGCCCCTCGACTGTCCGTCCGCCAAATATCTCTGTCACGACCAAGAGGCCTCCTTTAACTCGCATCAGTTCCCGCTTCTCTGATCAACTGGAGCCTTCAGATCAGCATCTCTCATCATCACCTAAGCAAACTTCAGGTTCTGTAACACCAGTCGGGTCCCGCTCGTCATCACCCCGTCAAAAGAAGACGAAGCAGCCAGGGCCGGATCGTCTATCGCGAATGTACCACCGCGCAGCCGAGCTCATGCGCCAGTCTACCCTCGCCGATGGAGTGATCCTCTTTGGCGCAACGGCCACCACGTCTAGACAGATGGTACGAGCACTGAAATCCGGTGGACTCCAGTCAGCAGACGACAACGAACACTACCTGCAGTCGACCTCAGGTTCCGAGGCCAGCGTTGGAATAGATAGCTCTGATTCTGACACCTCGCCCACTACCCGGCCGTGCAAGATCTTTGCATACTCTCTTGCTGACGAGCGTGCTCGGGCCGATATCGAACAGGGCACGGCTTTGTCTCTGGGTACCTTGGAGAAGTATTTCGCCTTGTTTCCCAAGGGCAAAACCTTCTCGTTCACTGAGGAAGGTGCCGGAATATCTTCAGAAGATGATAGCGCCAGCGACTTCGGCGCTTCTGACCATGGGGAGGGCGGTCATCGACGACGGAAGGTAGAAATGGACCATAGAGAACTGCTCAAGAAGATACCGGGCGCCAAAGTGGTCGTTTTTGTGCCACTGTTCGACTACGCGGAAGACACTCTCGCCGGCGGATGCTTTCTCTGGGCCTCAGTACCGGGACGTCTCATGACACTGACATCGGATCTTAGCTACCTCAGAGCCTTCGGCAACAGCATCATGAACCAAGTTGGGCGGATCACGATTCAAAAGAACGAGGCTGCGAAGACGACCTTTATTGCTAGCATGAGTCATGAGCTGCGCAGCCCTCTCCACGGCATCTTGGGGGCTGCCGAGTTTCTCAGGGACACCAATGCAGACCCTTATCAGGCGGGGCTCATCGCGTCCATCTCTACCTGTGGCAAAACGCTGCTCGATACGCTAAATCATGTCCTCGACTACAGCAAGATCAACAGACTCGGCCGGGTTCAGATGAGGAGAGGCACGAGACAACAGAAGATGGGCAATTTCGCGCCTGATTCGATGGAGAGCCTGAATATGACCAACGTGGTGAATTTGGGCGTTCTGCTCGAGGAAGTGGTTGATGTCATCGCAGCTGGACACACCTTCAGGCTCCCCGGAACGGGTATATCGCAAAACTCTGTGTTGCCAAGTGACGTGTCCGATGCTGATGGCAGCCGGTTGGTGACAGTGAGGGGAGGGCCGGTGTCTGTGCTGTTAGATATTTGCCCGAAGACATGTGGGAGGGTACGTACCCAACCGGGCGCTTTACGTCGAATCATCATGAATCTATTCGGAAACGCCCTCAAATATACAAGCTCTGGGTTCATCCTTGTGTCTCTGCGCGGCCAAAAGAGCGACGATGGATCGAAAATCGAGACCCTGATAAGGGTCGTAGATACCGGGAAGGGGATGTCTGAAGACTTTCTGCGGAACCGACTTTTCGTTCCATTCAGCCAAGAAGATTCCTTCCAGCCTGGTACTGGTTTGGGTCTGAGTATTGTCAAACAGATAGTCGACAACTTGCGCGGGAGGATTGAGGTCAGATCTGAAGAGGGGAAAGGAACTGAGGTGGACGTTCGTCTACGCCTTGCTCCAGCCGCTGAGGATGGGATATCACGGCCAGAGGAGACACTGGACTCGGTACTGGAACAGACGAAGTCTCTTCAAGTGCGTCTTCTCGAGGGAGAAGCTGGTCTGCACACAGATGTGGACACTCAACAGCAACACCCCAAAGTAAACGAGGTGCTCAGTGACACTTGCACGACCTGGTTGGGCATGAATGTGACAAAGAAAAATGCCCCGGGCACGCAGCAACCCGATATTTACCTTTACAATTCACCCCCCTCGCAGCAATTGTTGACGACGCGTTTGGAGAGTATTTCCAAGAACTTTCCTCAGGGTCACAGGCCTCCCATTCTTATTGTGTGTCCAAATACAGAAGAAAGCGTCCGGGTTGCGCAACAGACCCAAAGCTTGACGAAACTATTGCCATCACAGGTGATAGAAGTTATCCCTCAGCCGTGAGTACTTGACTCCCTCCTCCAAGAAAAAAATCGGATAAGTCCTTCGAACGCTGACATGTAATTGTAGATGCGGTCCACGGAAGCTAGGAAGGATTATCAGCCAATGTCTGACAATGGCAAAACAAACTGCCGACAAGGGAAGAGTGACGAATGGTGTTATCCCTCTCCCGCCATCACCACCGATGGAAGGAGGCCTGGTCACAGAGGGAGGACTGATGAAGGCGGATGTAAACGGCCAGCAACCGAAACTAGTCCCACAAATCATACCGAACGGCCCAATATCTCCCGTGTCGCCGCCGCCCTTGGACCCAGAAACACCGTCTCTATTGGGTTCCATTGCACCAGTTTTAGAAGACCCAGTGCTAGGCGCTCAACGAAGCGCTCCTCACGTTCTCGTGGTTGACGACAATGCAATAAATCTCCAGCTGCTCGTCATGTTTATGAAAAAGTGCGGCTTTACGTATGAAGCAGCCGAGAACGGACAAGAAGCGGTGGACAAGTACAAAGAGGCCTATAAAAAGGCGTCCTCAGGGCCAGGTGGCGGTCTGACAGTCCCGGCTTTCGATTTTATTCTCATGGACATCAGCATGCCTGTGATGAACGGGATCGAGGCGACGTGGAAGATACGAGAGTTTGAACAGGATCTCGAGTTGCCGCGGTCATATGTAATTGCCTTGACAGGTCTGGCGAGCGCTGACGCACGGCGGAATGCGGATTCTGTCGGGGTGGATTTCTTCATGCCCAAGCCGGTGCGGTTTGCGGAGTTGAAGAAGCTCCTTGTCAATAAATAGGTGTGTGTTTTTACTTGAATAATATATTGGATGTAGCGATTAGGTGTTTGTTATATTGAGGAGAAAATAATTGAGGTAATAGCGTACATGTGGCTTTTTGGAGTGGCTTTTTGGACGAGAGGTGTTGTCTTCTCGCTTATGGTTGGGTACTCCAAGCAAACAAGAATGGTTAATGTGAAAGCTCATCAGTCCCCCTATGATAAAGTAAAATATGCAAACAGGGTTGTGCATTTTGACTGGTTGGCCTCCCCAAGTTGGAGACTTACATATACTATAGTCCAGTGGGGTGAACAGAATCCCCCTATTTTATATGTATCATAAGTGATATCGTGTGAAAGCATTACGAATGTCGATACGATAGCATCAGCCCCCACGAATCATAGTGCTGAGAAGAATCGAAAATCTTGAGAGATGAACTGATGTATTGTAGATTGCAAAACTAGCTACAACACGGATGCTCAAGTATCAAGTTGAGCCCCCTACATTTGTCGTTTGCTCCCCTCCGTTTATATCCTCCTCCGCCATCGCAAATCGTAATCATGAGGAAGGATGAAAATTGTAGAGAAGCTACCCAAGTGGGGTTCATGTATCGGCTGCTATTCCTTGACCCTCTCCCCATAACCACATTCGATTCAGGAATCCTGAGTGACAACACCAAATCATGTCTGGGGTATTGCCACTCTAGCCATGGATCTAATTAGCGATGTCAGTGTGATCAGACCACTCCTCGTATGGGGCCTCAAGGAGGCGGTAGGCAACGCTGAGCTCGTTTGGATGCTTCTGGAAGTAGAGCTTTAGCTGGTGTTGACCCCCCACACGGACGACGTTAGCACTCAAACCACTCTTCTTGTCAATATCATAGCCCTTGGCGTCGAACTCCTTGCCAATCTCCCAAGTGTCGTTACTGGGAGGCCCAGAACGCCTGATCTCCTTGACAAGGAAGGTGTCGGGCTCCACATAGTAAAGGCGAACCTGGACAAAGTACGTTAGTGGGCTGAGAGTTTTATGTACCGTACCTAAAGGAGTGCTGCACTTACCTCATCTTTTCCATGCCCGTGATCGGCGCAAGTCTTAGGGTCGGAATAAGCAACAGCTGCGATAACAGGCAATTTCGGGTTGACCCTGATGGCACTTCCAGCAACTTTGAGGGTGGTGTTGTCATACTGCTGCAGCTTAGTCTCGTCAGGGCTGCGGCTGATGTAATAGCTGATCGAGTGGTTTTCATTGACGTGGGAGACAATGTCCTGGTCAGCCTTATTTGGTGTCAACAGCAGCGTAGTCCTGAGGGAATGGTTAGTAATTGCAAAAATGGCATCTATGAATGTGAAAGAAGGGTTCAGACCTGGAGGAAAGCGGGACCGTTAGGCATGGTGGATGATCTTGGTGGTTGTTGTTTGAGTGGGTTTTGTTGTGAAGATTGTTCTGAAGTGAGTTGTTTGAAAGATGCTCTGTAAAGAATTCGAAGGAGATCAAAGAAGGTATTTATAAAACTTCCAAGGTCCAATTCAGATGACTCGTGTGGCGCATGTACTTCTACAACTGGATGATGCCGGACAAGGGAGTAGAGTCTCATCACACAGCCCATACACAAGGCGAAAACAGGAAGACCCAAGCACGCCATGGACAGGATACAGGCGAATACGCGCGCAAACATCATAAGCGCCTGCACAATTGATGGATCCATCTTCCAGAACAGTGGCATATCCAGTCATGCGTAGTCGAGATGTGGGGTAGCTGAAGGAAGATCAACGAGGAAGTGTTGAAACGACGTGAATGTCAGGAATGAGCCCAGGATGCGATATGCAAGAGCGCAGCCGAGTCCCTGATTCCAGTAGCATCCGTTCAAGCGAATAGATCAAGGGGATGGGAAATGATGTGTGGATATCATGTTCAGCCAGTTGATCATGACGCTTCAGGATTTTCAGTTCCACATTGAGACGGCGATGTTCAATATGTTGACTCAAACAGGAAGAGGCTTGTATTTTGAGTATACTCAGCTAGCCACCAATATGTAGCACTTTCCGGTTTCATCTATCTTCAAGCCAATTCCAATATCCAGGCCAAGGCTTGGTGGAGTTCGGACGATGAGCAAGTATCCAGCTGCGATGATACCTACCACCCCCAAATCGTTATGGCGAAATCATTTACAAAGTTAACATGGAGCAACGCTTGGCTCTGATATATCATATTTTTATTTATTTATCTGTGTCAGTAATTATGGCTACATCCAGTACATAGAACAAAGCACGAGGGACACAGACGTCAGCCGTGGTCAATACTCTCTCCACCCCAGAATCAGTGAGGTGCATTTAGGCTCCTTGGTCTCCATTTGGCATGTGAGAGCCTGAAAGCCTCAGACAAAAGTTCTTATCCAGTTTGGTCTATTATTTAACGGGACTGGTGGTAGGGTAGCTGAAAGTTACAGTTTAGATGCTCACCAAAGGCTGCCGTTCACTGCCAGTATTGAGCTATTTTGAGGGAGCACATAGGATGGTATGGTTTGTGTTTCAGCTTATCCCAAAGAGAGAGAACACCAAATCCGAGCAAAATCCCCAACGGCACCCTGTGGCGACTTGTTTTGGCGAAGACTGGAGTGCAGGCAGTCATGCTCTTGGCAGCTCCGTTTTCTTCAAATCAAGGGGCCAACTCTATCGCTTGCGTACCATAAGCTTAGGCTTATTCTACATGATACTTGGGGCAGGCACGTAGATGGAAATGGCCAGGCTCGGCTTTCAGCCAGAATCACCCGGCCTGTCATATCTTAGTTTCAGCATCACGAACGTACAAAGTACGACGTGTCCGGGGCTTGAGCTAACCCCAAGGCTCTAAAATCGGCCAGGTTCAGTCAGCCACTTTTACCTTCAGGCCATTGTATGCCCAAGTCGACGAGCGTATGATGGACAATTATTGAAATTTGAATGAGAAAACAAGGCATTGGCAGATCCTGTTAACCGGGGGGTTCTGTATGCTGCTATTCGCCTACCCCATGTAAATCAACTAGGTGAGCGAATGCAGCTTGCCAACCACGGCAAGTAATCAGCTCAGGACGTTACATGTCAACAACAGTCTGATGATTCTTTGACATTTCGGCCCGCGTGGGGCCTGTGGGGAGTTTCCTTTTTTTTTCTGCATCACCATGCAGAATGGGTAGAGCAGCGAAACGACTGTGACCAATAGATGTCGCCAAGAGTAATCCTATGTGCCATGAAGCCAGGAAGGCATGCATATTCTCAGCTAGCCATAACTCAAACCACGCAGCCCGGGTAACCGTGGTAGCGCTGAAGAGCGGGAACACCCGGTTTAAACTTGGGCACGCGACGATCGGATACGGTCGTTGAGCCCAGCGAAGGTACTAGTTGAGATATTCTCGGGAGGGGAAGTGTCACAGTAGCCCAAGTGGACAACACTCCTGAGACTTGGCAGCATTATTGGCGCTAAAGTGGCAAAGATCGCTCAGTCTTCAGCCCTGGCAGAGCTGAGTGGGTTAACCGACCTGGGATCGCGGACTCCATAGTTGATGTTACGCGAGTGGTCTATGTAGTGATCTAACGAGAATTTCACTAATCGACCATGAGTCAATTTTTTTTTATGACATATAATAGATAGGATAACTTCAATGGGTAACTTCAATGGGTTCGAAATGCAGCTCATCAATACAAATTCCAGCTTCCGCAGAACTAGATTTGAGGTAAGTCTCCTCTACGTCACATCAACCAGCGTTCCGTCGCATCTTTCTTCTTGAAGAGACTTTCTTTGTATTTCACAACTTGTTTTCACAAGATTTATGCACCAGGCATAGTACAGACAGGCAAGTGCTTTCAGTCCGTGTGGTGAAACACCCGCGTTCGCCTTGTGCAACGATCCCCCGTCTACCTGTAACAGCTTACGCGGAAAGACTGGATCCCCGACACATCCTCACACACACCGTCCAAGTTATCTTCAGTAGTAATCTCGACCGCACAGGCTGTATCACTGAAGAGGAAGAAGTGGCAGTATCCATTCGGCTGCGTACGCTCTCGGTTAGCTACCCTAGAAACAAATCAAGTTCGATCACTTGCCTCATCTTCAATAGCACTGATTGAATTGTACTCTTTGCCAAGAGATACACAGTCGGTATATCGTGAACCTTTCATCGAATACGGCGCTGAGTGTGTTAGACGTCAAACATTGCATTATGCCTCTGTTGGTCTTATCGGGGTTCTGAAAGTTCACATACTGGAGTCCCCGCAAGCATGTGAGGTATGAAGTGTCGCATTGTATGTACTCAATGCGGAAGCGAGGACTGGGGATATGGCTACGAGGCCGAGGAAAGATATAACAGAAGGCATTTTGTATTGGGTTGTGAGAAATAAGACAGAGGGAGGCTCGCAAGCCCAGAACGTGAGAACAGCATGCTTAAGTAGAACTCCGCGAAACCGTCAGCATAAGATGATGATCGCCCATCTGCGACAAATATCCCAGCTAGTGAGGCGGGATGAACGTCAGACAAAACGTTTCCCTGCGACTCTGAATATTTTCATTGGCTTGCGTACGACCTCCCATTTTAGGAATGTTCACGACACATCCTAAAACACAAGGTACTCATTTGGGTATCTCGATCTACTGGTCATCCTCGCATTATTATTTCCTTGCCGTCATCACGCCTGCCTTGCCTTTAGAGGATCAATGATCAGATTTGTCCCAATAATTTGGTAATTTAGAATCTACGAAGAATGAACAGATCAACCCAAAAAGATGGCTTGGCCCAACATCCAATTTGATGTGGTAGTTAGGATGCTCTCGACATCTATGGAGAAATGAAAGACTGGCGGCTGACGCCGGACAAAACAGACCTGGCGAGGGGATATCTCCACCACTCGCACGTTACAAACCCCAATCATGTTTCTCTATTTACGTGTAATTAATTATAAATAGCAGTAGATAGATGCCCTTTGCCCCTCTAGGGATTTATGGACGTTAAACAATAACATTTATGTGATGTTGCTACCCGGAACCCCACACGGAATATTCTCGTGGCGGTTTTATAACCGTTCAGGCCCCATTCAGAATCTCGGGAATAGAGGCCGCGTGTGTGCATGTTTCAAGTATTGCCTTATCCAACGGAATTTGAAAATCAGACAAAGTGATGACCAGCTCCCAGGTCAAACGTCGTGGTCACTATCTACATAGGAAGGGTGGCCTGTGCTTTTACTGCGGTCGCAGCATTGATGTCTGTTAATCATCAGCTGTTTGTTGACTGCTGCTCTTTCATGTTTCTAGTCCCAGTTGTGTGTAAATTCTACGACCGACCTACACAATCCCTCCTTATACAAAACTGCAATAGCCACAAAACTAGGTGGTAATTGCAGTCCATATGGGTGAACATCAACATGTGTTGGACCTCGTTATTTCTGATAAGGACTGGTCTAAAAAGTAGCTAAGCTAATTAGGTCTAGCTGGCCGGGATTTATAGCTTGGTGTTGGGAGTGAAACCCGATCGGCTAAAGCCCGGCTTACCGCCTGGCCAAGGCTGGCTACGCGTCTTTCTAGTTACAGCGATAGCATCCATGTGTTTTGTTTTAGGATTTCATGGAGATTCTATGCTGTTGATCGCCTTTCTGCCTAGCATCTCAACATGCCATGACATCTGGGTGATGCCTTGACCCATGCATCGGATCAGAACCCCTCGGGCTTTGCCGGGTAACCAAACGAAATGATTCCTCCAACAATGGATCCTTCAACGGGACTCGTTTGGCCCGCTCGCACAACTTGCACGATCTGCGGCTTGGTGATCCAAACGATCTCCAATTACGATCCACTCTGGTTGTCAAAATACCGTGTTCGTATGTATACCTGAAATTGATTGCAAGGGATGGTGCAGCTAATTTGTTGTCCCCAAAAATTACAGTCTATGATGAGGAAGCCAATGAGCCTCATATGTCCGGAAATATCAAGGTGTCTGGCATAGGGGGGAATTGGCAGATCATCTCCAGCGACTGCATATATTTTCCAAGAGACTACACGAAACAAGTCGAGTTCCCGACGGACTATCACAGAAAAACTCATGGCAAAGTTGACCTCGGAACTCGAACAGCCCATATATTCCATGATTCATGCTGGACACTGCTTGAGCGTTCATACGCGCCATTACCAGTTCCCTTGAAAGACTTGCACGATACCTGTCGATCCAAGAATCTTGATCCCGTGAAGCGACTCATTGATTGGGGCCACAAGCATTTGAGAGACTTCCGAATCCCAATCCCGGGCGGCGAGGACTACGAGCAATACTTGGGAAGATTCCCGGAATTGGCCCATGACGGCGGGAGCACACGAGATCTTCTACCTGAGCGTCGATACCCCGACCCTTTAGGTTCTGTGGAGGCAAGGTCCTGGCGAGTTGATGATGATATGCTGCGAGCAATCCCTTCCTCGATGGGAGAATACAACACCGTGTGTGTGAGCCGGCTGGGTCGTCTTCCACCTGAAATTCGAGACACCATCGCGCAGTATCTTCCTGCACGGGATGTTCTATCTCTAGGAATAGCATGTCGTCCCTTTTTACCAGTCATTTACGATGAGCTCTACCACAAGCGACACTTTGGTCCAGGCGGCGATGGAGCTTGGTTCTTCGAAGCGGATGCATTTCGCCGGGAGAAAGGCTGGACGTGGACGCAGCTATTCCACTTGACAGGGCGGAGATCCTTGAGTTCCCTACTGCCGATTTTCATTAGAAGCAAGATATGGGAGCTAATCCAGTTTGTGCAGACGGAAGTTTCGAAGTTCAATGCTTCATCGAAAGTTTCGGAGGCCAATGCTTCATCAAAACGGAAGTATTCGTCAATAAGTGGCGAGGCAGCACCAGGAACCACAATCGAGAAGAAACAGAGGCGGCAAAGGGATAATTCTTCTTCCAAATGACTTTAATCTGTAGCTGGTGGCTCTAGATTTGTCAGGATGAGCTCTACCGCATCTAGCAAGTCTCACAAATCTCATTGTCACTTTTTGGTCATTTGTCGTCATTCTACACATATCCAGCTGTTAATCAAAGTTCTCAATACAAGCTGTGGCACTTTGCTCATCATCATCTTGCGTTTCAAACCCCACTAGTATTCACTTATCTTATGCTTAAAATGTCTTAGCCCGAATGCCTTGTGCCAGCAAAAGTAAGTTACATGTCCTAGAACTAGGTATATGGGGCGATTTTGGTGTTCATTATTTGCAGTTATACTGAGCAACCCATAAAGCAATGACAGTGAGCTCTCTTGAACTCTTTGGAGATGAAAGCTACCATGGGCTGTGTCTAAGCTGTTCTATCTTCCTCAAATAAAAGGTGCCTTAGATAGATTAGCCTTTTGGATAGACCAAACTCGTTTGCTCATCCTAATGAGATCCGGCCCAAATTCTGCCAACACTTGATGAACATCCGGCTGATCCTCGCGAAAAGCTTCTCGACACTGATCTTGCGTCCCGAACGTACACTCATGCCATATCTTCTTCCATTTAGCCAGAGCAAGCATGGCATCTTCCTGCTGGTTCTGAACATTGGTCGCAACCATGTAAAATGACGAGCGCGCCCCATGTGCTGATTTAGGCTTGAATAACCTCACGGAGGCGAACTTGCTGAAGGTGTATAGGACCTTGACTGTCGGCCACGCCTCTGGCTTGTGAAGAAGCAAAATGATCGTCCCTCCGGGCACCAAGCGCTCTAAACCAAGAACAACTTGAGCCATTATGAGCCGGCAGCTTTCACGCCCCTGGCGATACGTAGCTACCTGATGATTTCGGACAGCACTGCCGCCACAAATCACAAGCCCAAATGTCTGCCCGTCTTTCAGCTGCTTTGGATGAAACTGTCGTGCATCCGGATGTTCTGCGGGAATCTCTAGGACTCCTAAGTCTGCCGCCATCATTGTCACATCAACCAACTTCACAGATAGTCTTGGATGCTCGGGAGCAAGGATTTCGTAGCCACCACTCGAAGGGGGCAGACTCAGAGCTACGGCATCGGACAGGGGGTTGGCTTTCATCGCCGCAGTAAGAAAGCCGCCTGGAGCAGATCCCATGTCCAGAATCCCGGGGTTGGTAGATCCCGGCAACTGGATGGTGAATGCCTTAGTCGCGCTCTGCATTTCAGCTCCTATTCGTTTTGTCATTTTGAAAAAGTTTTGCTGGGTTCGTGGACTTGGATTGTCTGCGGTATGGCGTCTTTTCTCCCAGTATTCGTTGCCTTTAGGGTTTTCCCATCCCTGTATCGGATGATCACACGTAAGTATATCGCCTTGGAGTCGGAGGGAATAGTTAGTAACGTGCACATACTCGTCGCCTTATTTCCGACAGCTCTTTGAATACCTTGCATCGTTCGAGTAGATATTCGGTAACGACGTGGTGGGCGGCAGCTGCGGATTCTGTCTCAGTGGTTTGAAGATCGACCGAAAACTCCTCGTCCCGTGGCTGAATGTTTCCAGAGGCAATCAACGACGCCGAAGGTTCCATGGTGAGAATGTAAAAGTTACTAGAATTTTGTCGAGAAAATAAGAGGCTTTTGTATGAGTGGTAATGATTCTTTTGCTAGTTGCTCAAGTGAAGAAGAACCAGAAAACAGTACTGAATACCCGACAGGGAAGGATAAAGCTTTAAATATTAATTGGCAGAGGGTTGAACGCTATATGTATCTTAGTCACTTCAACAGTAACAATGCTAGTGATTGGTCAGTGATAATTTCTCGTAGCACACTTGCCGTTTGTATCTTTTATTCGAAGTTTCTGTACTAAATCTCTTCCTGACAATATACTAGAAGAAAGGTTTCAGTACTTGGAGTGTAGAAATTGTCAAGTTACCCACATTAGCCACTTTATGCGGGAGGCCTTCCACGACTGATGCATCTATCCAATAAGTGGCATAGATAAGAAATGCTCATCAATGCATGTCTCGATAATGTGACAGGTCGAGGCCATGACAACAAAGTCGCCAATTCTTATTTATGAGGGCTCTCTCTATGATGAGGTCAAAAAGATCTTTCACATTCGACTTTTAGTCCTGATCCAACGCAGTCAGAGACCTTATGTTGTGGTTAGCAAGTTTGTGATGCATATAGAAATGAAATTCTAGCAGGGCTCATGGCCCTACACTTGGAATCGGAGGCGGAACCTGGGCTTAAATACTCTCACTTTGAGCGGCTTAAGTACCCGGTGTTCATAGTTGGTGAAAATATATATAGCTCCCGGGGTGGTGGAATTGAAACTCCAGTGTACATATGTAAGTTAGACATCCGGTCGGAATCCGCCTCTAAGTTCCAGTTTTCCACTCGACACCAGAATTCAATTCTCTGCCCATCCCTAATTCTGGTGTTTAAGGCTCCCTCTAGGCAGGATCGCACCTGCGGCTATGGAAGTTTGGTCGTATGGACTCACGTGACGGCAGAGACCGACGAAGCTGAGTGCGGGCTGCTCCTTCCTCCTCTCCTCGACGAGGTATCTTCACTCTGCCACTCTCGAAGGAGGGGCGAAGTTTTCTTTTCTCTCCAGCTTCGCCTCGTTCGCATGGAACATTAGAGGTGCCTGAAACTGCCCTTAATCCTGGAGCCTCACATGCTAACCAACAATTCAATCAGGGTCGACCGCGACACACAAATCCCACAGAGAGCACACAGCACCAGAGCCAAGCACGAACAACAGAAGCCGCATTTCTGTCCTAAGAAGAAGAGAAAGTGATAACCACCGCCCTGTCATCGCACGATCCAACGCATCTGGAAGAAGATGGATTCCTCCACGACGTCTTCGGATGAGAGCTTCTCTCCATCGCTCACCTCGTACGAGAACGAAACGCTCAGAGGAGCCATGGTGCCGTCGCGCTCAGGCAGCAGCACCTTGGTCGGACCAATCGGATCGTCATTGGTGCAGCAGCTCGCCGTTGATCTACCTCCTTGTTCGGTTCTTGTCACACCACGCGACGTGTGCCCGGGGCTCCCGCGCTATCCAGCTATTGGGCAATTTGCCATGACGGCCTCAGAAGAGGTGGTTGCGGCGGGGCCCGATGGCCTCTTCTCCTTCAAGCGCGTGAATGAACACCCTTCCAGGCCATGGTCCAAGCCCCGGCCCTTTCCGGGCACTCCTCTAGACAACTCGTCTGTCTCTGGCATTGCGCTGCGCGAGAGCAAAAGCGGTGGCAGATTAGACGTATTTTGCGTCGCGGACGGGAAGTTGCATACCTTCAGTCGCACCAAAGAGAAAGATGCGAAGGCACCACCGCCCTCGTTTGTTGCGGACTCATCCCCGCCCCTTGCCACATACCGTGTTAGCGGCACGCCGTCCATTACCACGATAAAGGAGGCATCGTACGGCTCTTTTGGAGAGCGATACGGCTTAGTTGTCCCGAGCCGATCGGGTGGTCTGCTGCATACGTCCACGACAGGACCCTCTAGCTACTGGTTTTCCTCGGGTCAGACTAATGCCGAGTGGGAGCCGGTTAACCATGTGGCTAAACATCTTGGAATCATCTCAGCCGCCACTACAGCTACGCTCAAAAGAGGAAACTTGCAGGTCGACATTGTCGCGGTGTGCATCGTGCAAGGCAGATTGCATTCGGTCGAGGGACCTTTCATCGAACCCAAATCCGGAATATTCTCCTTCACCCCCGGCGGATGGAAGGGCGAAAAGACGGACAGAATTCCCCACCCCGGTGAAGTGACAGGCAGCCCAGCGCTCCTCCAAGAGAAACTGCAGGAGGGTCAGTTAGATCTTCTCGTCCCCTCAGCCGCCGGGGGCATCTTTCACTTCGTCCGGATCCCCTCTTCGCCCGACGAATGGCACATGATCGGGCGCATTGATACTCCCAGCTATCTTCCGCCGGCGGGCAGCCTGGACTTTTTCCATCTCAAGCTAAAAAATTACTTTGAGGACTCGAAACTTCGAGCCGCTGCTGAGATTGGAGGCCGGCTCTACACCATTGAGACCTTAACACTCAGCAGCTACTCCCGGCCATGGCCATGGCGTTGGCGTTACCTCCATCCAGTTATTGGGCCAGGGCCGTCGCATAAAGAGATATAATTGGTGGACTACCAAAAGGCTGTGTTTAGAGAGAGAGAGATCAGACTGCGTCCCCAATGAGGATAGACTTATCTGAACCAACATAGGCATACTTCTTAGATCATAATTAATGTTAATAGGGTGCCAAGCCAGAGAATCACCTTCTATATATAATTATATATCCAGTCTAGTGGGCTAATGGCGAATTATTGAGAGTCAATGCAGAGTGAGCACTTTGGCGTACAATTAATCACACAAACCAACCAGTCAAGGTCTTTTACCGTTAACAATCTTGTAAGTGCAACAATCGTCACGTTCGGGGGGTAGTACTAGCACAGTCAATACGATGACAAGGCCATCGCAGTGACTGGTTTCTGGACTTCCGGCGTTCCCGTTGCAGAGAAGGATATCCATATATGCATGAAAGATGCCTACGCGTGCAATGAACTAACAAGGTGATAATAAAACAGGGTTCATACTATCAAGCTTAAAACAGACTACGGCCTTGATCGCATGTCTGTACCCGTTGTTTCATGTTCTAGGTTGTTGGTAATGGGTACCCTGATCGGAGGCTCAAATTTGCCTCCTGCTTTTTGATGTCTAGTTTTCCAGTGACAAGATTGACATTGAGGTGGGGCACACTTCACGTAGGTATTCGACGTATCGACGGTCGATCTGAAACCCAAGAAAAGCCTCAACTGCAAAAATAGAAAGAAGAGAAAGAAGCCATTTGATGTCAAGATGAGGTGCTATCGAGAGGACCCGAACAAGTAACAGCCGAGCCAGGAGCTCTAGGCACTCGAGACCGGGCGGAGCTCCTCGTAGCGTCGGCTCACATGGAATCCTTGGGCCGTCTGCAGCGGAACTTGGGATGGAAACTATCGACATGGTTGTAGTATTCACAGGCCGTCCAGCTGCTCGCAATCTCGGCGTTGAGGCAAAAGGGCTAGTAGTTAATGTATCCGACATGAATCCTGTCAGCTGGGGTAGCACCTAGTTAGCCGAGGCCACAATAATATCGTCAAAGGTCACACACTTCTCCCTAGCAACGTATTTCCTTGCTGGTTACTAGCAAAACATGGTGCGAACCGCCCGAGGATCCAACGCGGCTCGGGGTTCCCTACTTGGCAGTTGGCAGGTACAGAACACAAGGGACACCCAGCTCGATGGGAATGGCAATACACCAGTGCCAAGGGGATTCCGCAAAGAGTTTCTGGGGTCCCTGGTCTGAGCGGTGTTTTGGTGTGAGGCATCACGCAATATCGACGATTCCGGCAGCTGGAGTAGTCAGACAAGGGAGAGGCCCCACAAATTGGCATACAGTTACCGTTTGGGTTATATTGGCTGCCCCGCAGACACAGAGGCATGCTAAACGAGCTCAGGAGTGTCGCTGGTCCCTGGATCCAAGGCATTATTGCGGTGGTTGAGCCAGCGCTTCGAACTGTGTTGTCGTGGAAGCCCTGATGATGGTGGCAAGCAGCTGCACAAACTTGAAGATAACCTTCCGGAGTACCCAGAGCAGCTAAGGCAACCAGAGAAAGCTATGGTTCATCCCAGACAACCAGGATTCTGGTGCGGGGTTGACCGCTGAAAAGGTATTATTGTGCCGGCTTATGTACTGCGGGTGCACTGATGGGCCATGGATCACCATCACGGGACGCACTATCGTCTCCCATCTTGAAGCTAGAGATAGTACCAAACCAGTTGGGCAATGCCCGAAGAGCCGGATCATGAAGCGAGCAGGCAACCTGACTCGGCTGACTGGCTGCCCAGACGCGCCTATTCATGCGGAGCGGACATTGGATATTTCGTCAACCATTCAAATGGCTGGGGGCAGATGGGTGCACCGGCCGTTCCTACAGATGCGACACAAGCGGGCGGCATGCAGCATCTTGATGGCAATTTTTAGAGTGACGCATCTCGCATCTTTTCAGCGAGGTTTTCCCGCGCCAAGTCGTTCTCGCTGCCACAAGGTCTCGGCTGTCGCGTGCAGCCGGACTTCGACATGTGGCCCAAGAGCACGATCAAGGGCGACATTCTGAATCTTGGAATGCAGAAGCGTTGCAGCACGGCTATCCCTTCACTCAATACAGCGACGATCGAAAGCACTGCTGAGGCACTGTCTCTCTACAGTGTATAAGCTCCGTCCGGTAAGTGGATAGACATCAAAATAATCCGACGTTCAGGGAAACGAAAGCAACCCTTGTACCGACCAGGGGGTGGTCCTTTGGCCTCAAACTCTCAGTATGCTGTACGGAGTAGCCGGCAATAAGTCTCAAGCAGCAGTGCAGAGGTGCAACTTATGATACCAACAACCTTAGTAATATAGATTAATAACCCTTGCGATGATCAACGGTGATGCAAACCCCCAAGCATTTTATGCCCCCCAGCCTCCAGGATATTGGCTGGGCGGTTGTCAATATGAACAATTCAGGTGGGGTGATTGGCGAGCCGGACAAGTTTCAACTAAACGACGGGCCTACTGCATTCTTATACAGACCAAGAAGGCAGAGACCGAGATATAAGGTCGTCTCAACTATCACCATGCATATTAGCTCGAGCTGCCCCGCATCTGCTATGCCTAGATAGCAAAGATAGGCTCGTGGAAATTAGACAGTAGCGTCTCATGTCGACGAAAATAGGCACTCGACCAAGCAGAGACGGGTTGACCTGTCCCTTCTGAGCGCTGAAGGAGTGGCCCCTATGGATGAGCCTCATCCTTGAATTCTCCGTGGACTACGACTACCTAGCTCATCTCCAGGGCCAGTGCTTGAACCGCAAATAATCTCTATTGTTAGATGCGGACATATCCTAACGCGGTTCTATACTGGCAAGAGGCCTGGTTAATAACAATTTCAGCCTATCTATAGAACATCTTCTTGCAATGGCTTTGGTTCAACAAGTACAAACCATTCATGTATAAGAAGCCATCTTCGCCCTACTCAAGCCACTCTTCTTTTCCTTATCAGCACACAAACAATTAAACAATCAACACAGTTCTACAAGCCAGGATTTCCTAGCTTTTTCTATTTTTCTTTTCTTTTTTTTCCTTGAGTTGTCGGTTCTATATCATTTTGCCGTCATCTTTTATTTTACAAATCAGCTCTCAGCTTCATCTTTACCAGTTTCATACATCAGCTTCACCTTTGCAGTTTCAGCACATCAATTAGCACCACCTTCTGTTTTAAAACTCAGCTTCCAGCTTCTTCTATTTCAAAATTCGGCCTTGAACCCTTTACTACGATTTACTTTACCAACTATTACCACAACAACACCATCACCAACATCCATCAAAATGTTCTCCGCTAAGCAGCTCAGCCTCGCCGGTCTCATCTGGCTCGGCCTCACCAACAAGGGCCTCGCCCTCAGCTTCGACACGTCTGACGACCTCATGCTCGTCTCGCGATCACCCCTCGACGTCCAAGACCTTGCCGAGTTTAGCACCCGCGATATCTATGAGGAGCTCGTCGCCCGCGGCTCCGGGCGCCCCCCTAGTGGCCCCAAGGGCGGCGGTAGCAAGGGGCATGGCGGTAGAGGCAATGGTCGTAGCTAGACATCGGCAAACCCGTTGGGTACCAAGTTTTAGTGCTTCTACTGTGGGCAGCATTGCTCTTAGCTTAGTACTTAATTGACTTTAAGATACTTATTTGTAAGCTATTAATAAACATTTCCCTAATAGTGTGAAATATTGGATGATGTACATAAAGGTATTTTCAGGTACTCCCTTATCTAAATTAGAGAGTAAAGATAAACATAATATCGCGGAAGTTGGTTATGCTCCAAACTATAAAGCAAACCCCAGTAACAATTTCAATTATTACCGATGAGGTAAGGTGCCATCCAAAAATAGCTCTTTCACTTGAGGCTAACTAAGGAAGCAGACCCGGTGCTTGGCGCCTTTTTCTTGTACTAATTTTGGTTCATAAGCTAGGTAGTGCCAGCTAGTGTTCACGAACTCGTTCCTTAATTCAAACGCCTACCCCTTGACTCCAGAACTGGATGTCCGGCGCCTACACCTATTCCTGCACCGTAATAGGCGCGTATAGTAAGTTAAAGGCATAACAGTGACCAATAGTTCCAGGGGGGCAGACGGAACGCGGATCTCAAATGACGAAGCTCGGATGGGATTTGCTGGCGTTGGATTTCTGATCTTGGCCCTGCTGATATATCAGGGGCAAAAGGAATTAGCCAATAAGGGTACGTGGATAAGTAGGCCCGGTATATAAGGCTACTATAATAAAATAATATTATAATCTTAAGAGGTTTTAGAAGGATTAAGAGCTAACTTATCTATTAGGAAGATATCTATTATTATATAGCTATTTAATTATAAACCTTCTGCTAGTTAGTATCTACTTATTTTTACTCCTCCTAGTATATATTATTATTTATCTAATAAGTTAACTCTTCTACCTCTTAGAGTATAAGAACTATTAATAAGTAAAATAATTCCTATTTAATAAGAATTATAAAAGTAAGATAATAAGAAACTATAAGAAGAAATAAGTAATTTTATAATAAGATTTTCTTATAAGATTATATTTATTATATTCTAAACTCTAGATAAATTTATTACTCTAAGTTATTAGTTTATTTAAATACTATTTTAAGCTTTAGATATATATATCTTTAATTATAATAAAGATAAAGAGTATAAATATACTATAGTTAAAATATAAGTTTATAATAAATAAATAATAAAAAAGCTAGTATTTATTAAAGAAAAAAGAAAACTATAAGAAATAGAAAAGAAACTTAAGAAAATAGAAAGTTATATATTTTAATTCTAAATTTATAAATTAATCTTTAAAAAAATAACTTATAAATTAATATTCTTTAAAATATTATTTCTAGTAATATAATAATAACTTCTTAATAATTTAATTATAATTTTTATATAAATTCTTATTAGAAACTAGAGATAAGATTTTTATTTCTATAGAGATAAAAATTAAACTAATTTCTAGATATATAAATTAGATAGTAATACTTATATTAAGAAAAACTTATTATAATTCCCTATAGAATACTTAAAAATACTATTAGTTTATTATTATTTTAAAAATAAACTATAATATAAACTTATATAAAAAAGCTTTATAAATTAAAATTATATTTCTAATTATATACTATAAGAGTTCTATAAATTCCTTAAAAGAATAACTAAAGATCTAATTATCTATACTCTTATAATTAAATTAAAACTAATTAATTTAATTTAGAAATTAGATTAATTCTTTAAGAAATTTTATACTAAATAGAATATTATAGAGATTAAACTTACTAATTAAAGTTTAGATTTAAACTAGATTATTTAAATAGTTCTTAAATTAGTAAAATCTCTAAAGTAGTAATTTATTAATAATAATCTTTCTATAAAGTAAAAGAATCTTTATAGTAAGAGAATAATTACTAAAGCTATTTTTAAAACTAATTATAACTCTCTTCTAATAGCTAGTAGAATAAGAAATAATTATTCTAAATAATTAAGTTTAATAAAAGATATTTAAATTAATAATAAACTTATTATAATCTAATAGTAAAATAGCTTAAAAAGCTTAAAAAACCTTTAACTCTTAGATTACTATAAGTATAGTATTTATAGTTATATATATTCTAACTATAGATAGTCTAATTACTTTATATATAAAAGTAGTTAATATATTATAAATATATATTTAAATAGTAGTTTAGTTTTTATAATTATACTAAATAATATTATTATTAGTATAATTAATAAGTAAGAGCTATAGTTTACTATTATAAACTTTAGAATAAAGATATAATATTATAATAGAGGGATTAATTAGATTATTATAAATATACTAGAAAACTATAGTATAGATTTATTATTAATTAATATAAAGATATTAACTATAAGGAAGAGAGAGAAGATAGAGCTTTTTAAGATTCCTATAGAGAATATTAATAGAGATCTAATAGAGATCTTTAGAATATTAGATAAGGTTATTAAGATTATTAATAATAAGGGTTATATAAAGTATAAGTAATTATACTTTCTTATTATAGATCTTTAGATAGAGAATATTATTTTTAGTTTATTTTAATTCTAAAAAATAAATCTCTAGATACTAGATTAGATAATAAACTATTAGATTTACCTACTTAAGATATATAGTAGTAGTTTTATAAAGATTTTAAAGTATACTTAATAAGTACTATATATAGTCTAGATAGTTACTACTTTTATATATTATAATTAAATAATCTTAATAGATAATAAACTAGAGGAAAAACTATTATTAAAATAAAATAAGTAATAAGTTTATAAAATATTAATTATAATTAAATTATCTAAAAACTTTAAGAACTTTAAAGATATCTTCTTATTAGAAAAGATAAATAAACTAGCTCTATTAAATAGAAAAACTTATACTATTAAGTTAGAAAATAAAAAAAACTCTCTATAAGGCTTAATTTATAATCTTATTAAGAAGGAACTATAAGTTCTTTATAAGTATTTTATAAATATATAGAAAAAAGATTAGATTTAATACTCTAAGAGTCTAATTAGTATTTCTATTCTTTTTATATTAAAGCCTAATAGTAAATTATATCTTTATATAAATTATAGAAATCTTAATATAATAATCTAAAAGAATAAAGCTCTACTATTACTAATTATAGAAATCCTTAACTAACTATAAAATATAAAAAAATATACTAAGTTAGATATAAAGAATATATATTACTAGCTATATATTTATAAGAATAATAAATAGAAAATAGTCTTTTACTATAGATATAAATACTTTAAATATAAGATTATATCTTTTAGCTTAATTAATATTCTAGTTATTTTCTAAAAGTATATTAACTAGATTCTTAAGAACTTTATAAATAGAATTTATATTATCTATCTTAATAATATTCTAATCTATAGTAATAATCTAAAAGAGTATAAAAAGTATATTTATAAAGTATATACTAAATTATAAGAAGTTAAACTATATACTAATCCAGAGAAATATAAATTTAGAATTAAAAAGATTAGTTTTTTTAGCTTTATAATATCTCTAAAAGGGATTTTTATAAAATAAAAATATATTAAGATTATTATAAGATAATTATAATCTTATAATATAAAGAATATTCTAATATTTTTAAAGTTTATTAGGTTTTATAGATAGTTTATTAAAAACTATATTAAATATATTACTCTATTAAATAATCTACTTAAGAATAAATAGAAAAGAGACTTATAGCTAGTAAGTAATAAAATTACTATATTTAAAAACCTTAAGAGAATCTTTATTAAAGCCTCTATTCTAATATATTTTAATCTAATAATCTAAATCTATATTAAAACTAATATATTAGAATATATAATTAGAGCTATTCTCTTATAGTTATAATAAGATTACTAATATCTTATAATATATTTATTAAGAAAGCTTATTAATATAGAGCTTAGATTTTATATATCTAATATAGAATTACTTATAATCTAGAAAACTATAAGAATATAGAGATATTATATAGTCTATAGCTCTTATATAATTAAGATCTTAACTAATTATTTAAATTATAAGTTTCTTTCTATAAAATAATAATTAATTAGAAGGTAGATATATATATTAGATATACTAAATAAGTTTAAATATAAAATTTTCTATAGATTAGATAGATTAAATCTAGTAAATAAATTATTTTAAAAGCTAGATTATTATAATATAAAAGAGATAATAGAAGTAAGATAGAGCTTCTTACTATTATTTCTTAGTAGGTTTATAAAAAACTTATAAAATCTAATTAGCTGTTGAAATTACAGTGGGTTTACAGGGCATTTGCCCTTATAAGCCTCTATAATACAGCAGGGAAGTTCGCTATAACTTACAGTTCTTAACTGCTAACTCCGCTATAACTCAGTGAGTTTTAGTACTAGAGGGACCAAATATAGTGCAAAATATAGCGCAAAAGAATCTTATTTTTATAAGAGAGACCAGAAAATTCTATCTAATTTCTCTTATAGGTCTACCAACTAAAAACTACTCTAAAACCCGCTATAGCTGCTTCCCGGGCTACTTTTGATTTTCCGCAAAATTTATTACTATAGGAAATCTAAAAAATCAACTTATAACTACCAAAACCTTTAATCGATATATATAGCTTTTATAAGACCCACTTTTATCTGAAAGAGGCTCTTAAGCTGATCAGTTGAGTATAGATATTAGATACCTTATCTTTAAAGCCGAAGGAATTATCTAAGATCTAAGACCTAGTCTAGGGTAGGCTAGCTATAGGTTAGCCTGAGTATAGGTTAGGTCGTCTGAGAATATCCTAGGATTTTTCCCGGATTTATTAGACCCTTATCTGGGCTTAATAAGCCTGATAACCTAATAATAGCTCTGCTGGTAGCCCGGACCCCTGAGGGTTCCTAGGGCCCGCTAAGCCGTAGCGGTCATAGCGGCCTGTAGCTACTGACCCACAGTGGATGCAGCCGCTATTGGCTAGTGATAACGATCGCTATAAGATAGCGATCTCAATCGCTATTGGCTAGCGTTAGCAGGGGGTTATTAGCGGTTGTGGCCAGTGGCTGCAATCGCTAGAAGCTAGTGGTTACGATCGCTAGCAGCTAGTGGCTGCGATCGCTAACAGCTAGTGGCTGCGATCGCTAGCAGCGATCTCTAACAGCCAGATTGATCGCTAATAGCCAGTGGCTACGATCGCTAGCAGTTAGTGGTCATGACCGCTATCACGCTCATAACCCCACTAACTTATAGTGGCTATAGTCTCTCAAAATCAACATTAGCTTAGAGTATTTATTTCCTAATAAGAAATAAGTAACTATTAATTATAAGAATTTATATAAAAAGTTAGATTATATTAATATATAAATAGTATAGATAAAGCTATAGTAGTTTTATAATAAACTTAATATAAATAAAAAAATAGTAGCTAAGTTTATAAATAAGATATTAATATTATAAAATAGTATAAAGAAATTTAAATTAGAGAATAAAATAATAAACCTAAGCTAATACTCTAAAGAGTAATTAAGAAGGTAGATTATTATAATATAGTTATAACTATTTAATAAGAAAAAATTTAAATAGATAGAGATTATTAATAATTTGATCTAATTAGAAATATTAAATTAGATATAGAGATCTAATATATATATATAGAAGAGATTAAGAGAAATATAAGCTTATAATAAAATTACTATAAATAAATAGGAGAAAAAAAAGAAATAGTAATACTAGTAAGATAGTATTTTAATCTATAATAATAGAGTATATATACTAGAGCTAATTTAGAATAATCTCTTATAATTATTTTATAATAAACTAACTAGAGAGTACTAAAAAGCTTATAAAATAATAAAATAAACCAACCTATTTAAACTATTATTAGAAAAATATATAAAAGATAATAAAAATATATATAAGAAAATATTATAGTTATTAAGCTAA